CGCACCTTGATGCAGCAGGAGAAGGCCACAGCCGCCACCGTAGCAACGCACGAAGGCCCCCCCCCTGGCTGACGATCCTCAAACTGGCGGACTCGCTCGCCGGTGCCATCAGCCCACTCAGCTCGGACGTAACCACTACGCCGGGCCCCCCGCCGGAAATGGCCTCGGAGCTTACGTACCTCTTCGGGGTCGATGACCTGAAAAGCTGCCACATAGCAGGATATGGCCCACGGGTGAAAGCCTACAGGCTTTGGACCAGCTACGCCCCTAACATGGGGGCGGGGCCATCGACCTGCGCCGGCGTTGGTTGTGCCGCCTCTCAGGGCTCCTTATAACAGTCTGCACCTTTTTCAAAGTGCCAGGGTTGGCCTACGTCGACGGCCAAAACTACGGCGCTGCAACAGCAACGCAAATAATCCAGGCAAAGGCCTCCGCCCACCAACTCGCGACCTGCTTGGGCATCTCGCTCTAGTCTCCGAAAAGCCGGCGGCTGACCAATCTTCCGCGAAATGTGACAGCCTCGAGCCAAGGCGCTGGGCCTCCTGTATCACTACACTCGAGCAGTTGGCCGCGCATGCCTTACAGCACTCGAGCTACCGCCCGCCCTCTACATCAAGGTGAGCCAGGCCCTCGAGACTGTCTTCACGCAACTCCACACAAGACAAAGAATAGAGAGAGCCTCACCCACGGCTCACGCCAGGGACCTCCAAAGGCTAGCTTGTGGGCATGCGTAGCCACCTTCGGGACGCAGCACACGCGCGCGAAGATTGGCGCGGAGCTGCTCCGGCCGCTCTACAAGTGGCTGGGCGTGTCACTTTTCCAAATCTTAAAGAAGTGCAAAAAACAGGGGAGCTTCCTCAGGCTTGACGCCTTTGCTCTCCAGCGCCTCCTCCTGGCGTTGCCGCGGGTCGCCTATGGATCTACACGGGTATGGCTTATGCAGTCGCACCTTGCCCCCGTTCGACGCCTCCACAGACGGAGGCGCAGGCGGTGAGCTTGTGCTGGGGGTCTTCTTCGTGTACTCATCTGGCTGCCGAAAGGGCTTCGCCGTCGCCTTTCATTTCTTGTCGACCGATCACCTGTCGAGAAGATTTGTGGAAACTCTATCAGAGTCGAAGGCCTCGCACCTCCTCAGCATCATGATCATCACCGGCGCCGCACTACACACGGCGGCCACCGAACAGCGCACCCACTACAGCTTGCTACGCCAACACACGCTACGACATCGCTGACGTCTTCGCCCGAGAAGACTGCGCAGAGAGACGCCCGCACCTCACTCGTCCACGATATTGCGCAACCACTGCAACCAAATTGGACCAAAGTACTCCAGCAAACACCTAGGAGCGCACCGCTGCCGGACGTTACGGATGGAAGCCCCGATACCCGAAGCGCATCGCCTTCAGCTTCCACGTATGGACTGCCACTGAGACGGGCGCGACGCCTGTGATAGGTGACTGCTTTAGTGTGCCTCGGCCTCAGGTCTCTTACTGTGGGCATGGCTCTCATATTTATGCGAGTTGCAAAAATGAGATGCGTATGACAATGCAAATGGATCGCCAAAATGTTGAATATTGAGGAACTATCGGCAAGTGCTGCCCTCGGCAACTGTGGCCCGTAGTGTGGCTCTTTGAGTTTGGCAGGGTATATGCCCACCTTGCCCCTGCGGGGCCTTGTGGCTCTTATTTGCTGAGAGCTGGCCTTGGAGCCAGATGGTCGGTAGCTGTGAGTTCCTACGTAAATGCAGCACCATTTTCTTGTCAGGTACTCCGGCGGCGACGTTCTACAGGCTGGTAGGTGTCTCAGAGGGAAGCCCGCTTTACTACGCGCATGCAGAGAGGCAGCAAGAAGAGGAGTCGCAAGGGGAGGACGGTCTCTTCTACGTGCATGCAGCTGCAGGCCCCGAACCTGACGCATGCTACAAATGGACCATTATGAAAGCGCGAAACTTTTTTCGTGATCCTTACGCTGGAGAAGACCAGGGGATTTTACTCCGCCGTCCTCTGGGTCAAGAACTGGGAGATCGTCTGCTGTTTCGGAAAGTCGGCACCGACAGCGGGGGCGTGTTTGATCTGCTACTTGTGGAGGGGGGCGCCCCTACGTTTTTATTGCGGCAAACGGACGCCTTTCTCTCATCCGGCAAGACGGACGCCTCTCTGCCCTCGGAGATTCGCGGCAACATTCTGTTTCCCGCGAGTGTGGAAGTCGCAGGAAGTCCGAGGAATTGCGGCTGCTTGCCACACGATTCTGCTGTTGCACGCGCGCGCACGGCAGACCATGCGGCGCCATGCGGGCTGCTGCCGCTGTCAAACAAGTACGGGCTACCAAAGCTGGCAAGCGTCAGCAAGAAGGCGGACGCGAGCGGCCGCCTTTCGGGATTGCAGTTGGTGACACAGCTTTCTTTTTCTCTTATGATTTCTCCTGACGATGTTCTAATCTGGGTGGCCCCACCGCTGCGCGGTGAAGCTGGGGCCTACTCCATCTGCGGAGTCCAAGTTCCGCTGTGGACGGCGAATGCAAACGCCGGCGTGATCGCGGCGGACGCCGACTGGCTCACCTTTGTGCCCGACGGCATCTCTCAGGGGCCGGAGCTCCTGACGAACGAAGACGCAGGGGCCTCGTCAGATAAGGTCTTTGACACACTTGCGGAGCGGTGGATCGTGGAGAATTTCAGCACGCTGTCCCCTACGAAAACGCTGCCTGCTAAGGAAGAAAAACTTGAGAACGAGGAGAATCTGACAGGAAGTGTGGTAGTTCTCGACTACGATCGACTACCGAGCTTCACGCTTCCCCGCTGGCAGAAAAGGGCCACGGCTATACCTCTAGTTGTCGAACGAGAGCGGGCTCCTCAATCTCAAGCGAGGGAAAGAGAGCCAGCTTCTCCCGCCCCACGGCGGCTTCAGCTAGTTCGGGTTGTTCAGAATGCAGATGCGAAACTGCGAGGCCATACCTCTGCAAGAAATGGCCTTAGAGATTGGACTGAGTTAGACCCGCAAGAGCTTCCTTCTTCTGCAACAGCGACATCGGCTCTCAATCGGGAGGATGCGTTATTTGTGCTGCGCGCGCGGGCAAATGGCGCGCACACGTTCAGTGCGAAGGACCATGCCCGGCCACTGCAGTATGCAGCCACACAGCTGCACGCGCTGGGGCGGAGGTGGCATTCTCCACGAGCTGCAGGCGCCACCGAGGGGGCTTCTAGTTCAAAGGCCGTCCCGCTCCCTGCTGCTCGTGAGATATCCAGTCCAGCAAACGGCTTCGCGCGGACATTCTGCCTCTTCGAACAGGCCGGCGATGATGAGACCACTGCTGGAATAAAAGCGACAGCTGTAGCGCCAGATGAAGTTGGTCCGACAAGATTCTGTCTCCTCTATCTTCTTTTTTTAGAAATGAAGGAGCCCGGTGCAGCCAGTAGCGTGCTGGCGACGGTTGATAAGATTGTGGCGCCGTCCTCGTCACCACATGGAGCAGCGTCAGAGGCATTGCGGGGATTCTCCTCGGAGCAGGACGAAGAAGTCACAGGAGGACAATGCAGTTACGCCGAAGATCAGCCCCAATTTGGCGGAGGGCCAGCTCGCACTCAGCTTGCTCTTGCGGAGAGAAATGTCATCGGCTGGATTTGCTCGGTGTTTTCGATCGTAGAAAGTGCAGGCTCTACACACGACGCAGCATGGGACGAGCTAAAGGCGGTCGCTTTTTTGCAGCTTGTTTTGCACTTTTTGGACGACATAACAATCTTCGGCAGAGGCAGACCGCCTGCAAAAATGTGTGTAGACGTTGCGCGCGCGCACATAAAGCAGAGCGCGCAGGGCAAGAGCGCTGGAGCCCGCGGGCTTAGCCTGGAGGCGCGACTTCCCGGCGGAGCGGCCCAGGTCGGCAAACTCGTCTACGACTTGTTCGTCCGCGATGTCGCCGCAAATGCTGAACCTGAAGTCCCTCTCTATGTTCGAAATTGGCTTGCAACAATGCAAGGGCGCCAGTTCGACGCAAGAGCAATCTCGAGGGAAAGAGCGCAAACTCTGGTGGTGCAGAGCAGCCAAGCAGTGGAGCTCTTTGGCATAGAAAGGTGTATTCCCATTCCCCTCGGCTCCAAAGACTTGCCGAGTGTGCGGAACCCTCTACAGCGTCTGCGCTGCAGTGACGGAGAGGGGGGGCAGCAGCTATGCTTTGAGAAGGGTGGCTCGAAGGCGGAGCTGGTTGCCCAAAAGGCGCCTGTGTGTTTTGCCTACGTTTACACACTGCAAGCGCCTGGCGGTGGCGGCGAACACGATGAAGCAGAACCGGCCACAGCGTTGGCGCTGCGCGAATTCTTACCTGGCGTTGGGATGAGGGCGCGTAGCACTCCTTCTTGGTGTAAAAGTACATCTTCAACACCTTCTGCGCCCTCATCTCCGGACTCGGTCCGTGCTATTCAACTGTCCATCTTGGGCCGCGAGACGGAGTCTGCCTCGAAGCACGGACTGACCACGCCCGTGCTGGACTGGCGCTCGCTCCTCGCACTCCTCGCGGACTCCGGATGCAGGCGGTGGACACAGAAACTCGCTCAATCAATATCCGACCAAAATGAGACTGGGCGCCTCCACTCTCGCGTGAAGACGCTTGCCAAAAGCTTCTTGCTCAAAAAACGGCTAGCACTTCTCGACAGTAGCGCGGATGAGGGGGGCCCTCCTGGTCAAGTAATGACACAAGAAGGAAGTAGCGCTGCGAAAGCGAAATCAAAAGCGATCTCAGCGGTCGAACAAATGGGCGCAGAATTGCTAGCGTTCCAGCTGTTGCAGGATGTCACACTCCGCGATGACCAGCGCGAAACGCTGGAGGCCTTGGACTGGCCTCGCGACGAGGAAGCGGGGACCTTCCAGCTGGCGATGCCGGTTATTGAGCACCCGTGCACATTTGACGACCGATCGACCGATCGCTCCGTCTCGGGCGCTGCTGGTGATGGCCGTAGAGTAGGTGGACGCCCCGGTCTGCAGGGTGCGCAGGAGGTTGCCGAGGTCCAAAGATACTTTCCGGGGCGTGTCAGGTTTCTGCTTCTGCCTATGGGGTTCGGAAAAACGAAAGTGCTCTCGCCTCTCGCCAGTATGCTTTTCTTGTACAGAGGGTTCTTGCCGATCACGGTGATGCCGCCAGCGCTGTTTCAGATCACACAAGACGACTTGCGCGACTCCTTACGCGGAGCGCAAATCCACGTGCAGCCACTTTTTGCGTCGGAGACGGCAGCTGACGCGAGTGCGCTGCGCAAGCTCTCGGCCGAGGAATGGGACGAAATTGCGGACCGATTGCGACTAGCCGTTGCAGAAGGTGCTACGACTCTCGTGGCCCAACCGTTTCAAATTCGAGCACTGGCGCCGCTCGAGGATGTCTATTGGTACCAGTGGCACAGGATGAGAGATCCCAGCAGCACAGCTACCCACGACGCCGAAGCGCTGGAAAAAATCAAAGCAAAGGCCGCTGCATTGTCTCAGGTTAACGCGCTGATCCGGGAAAGCGCACACTTGCTGTTGGATGAGATGGATGACCTAATGCGAGCCAGCACATCCGTGGCCTTCCCGCTCGGGGAGCAAGTTGCACTAGGCGAGAATTTGCTGGAGACTGTGGTTTGTGATTGGCTCTTCGATGGATTGCTTGGAGGTAACCTACTTGAATTCCACGACGAGAGATTACTCACAGAGGTCGCGCGCAATACTTTTAGTTTAACGGACTGGAAAAGCTTACTACTGCAAGCAGCTGCCGGAGCCGCGCAACAACCTGAAACTCAAGCAGGGCTGCCTCCTTCTGCATCTGGCGAAGCTTTCGCGAAAGCAATTTTTTCGACGGAGCTGCCAATCGCTCTTGCGGCGGAACCAGGAAGGGACTACGGATTCTCATTCGCAAACCCGAAGCTCGGCGTCGTAATTCCCTACGGGGGGCCATGGACACCTCGGGAAAGCTCCCGCTTTCAAAAGCCATGGCAGTCCGTTTTTCGAACTGTGTTGCTTCTGCTTTCTGTGCCGCCAGAAGTCGACGGCGCGGGCAAGGACGTTGGCGACGTGTGGCAGCGTCGGCGACACATGCGAGCTTTTCTGCTCGACCTGGCGGGGCGACCGGACGTGGACGCGGTCGAAGCAAAGAAGCAGCTGCTGCGCCAGTATGTCAAAGAAACTGTGGACGCAAGCAACAGAGTCAGAGGGCAGAAGACAACGCAGGAGCCGCCCTTTCAGCAGGCTCTGGCGGAGTCTTTGTCACCGGCAAGAGATGGAGCCGCCGATGAAGACCAAGACGTGCCTACCCTCAGCGAGGCAGCGCGGCTCGTTGTCCCCACTGAAGCGGCCCGAATCAACGACGCTTTTGCGGAGGTGATGCAGGAAGTCGACACAGAGGGGCCTGCCGGAGAGCAGGGTCTATCGGCGACGCCCGGGCGAAACTTCGGAGCCCCATCCCTGAAGAAAGAGGCGGCAGCGTCGGAGGCCCTGGTCATAGCTTCGCTCAGGGCATTTTCCACCTCCCGCGCCAACCTTTTGCAGCCAGCAAGCGACAAGTCCTCTGGCGGGGGGCAGAAGCGAGGCCCTTTTTCTTTTTTTCGAGCCTACTTCCGTTTTCTCTGTCGCAAGGTGTTCAGTGACAAGCGCCAGCTCGGTATGTATCCGGAACACAGCGAAGGGACCTCAATCGACCTTGCAATGACAGGGGCAGCGATCACAGGATGGAGCGGCACCGAGGAAGGGCATGAAGCGTTTCCTTATTGGGTGAAAAAGGATCGCCTCAGCGATGCCACGAAGGCTATCTACGACAAAATGAGCAGTATGCCGAGTCCGCATGTGAGGGTGATAAACGTAGGAAGCCCCGCGCGGCCGACGCCTGCCAACACACCGACTGACCCATCCGATGGGCTTGGAGCAAGCGCCAGACTCAGTCCCATTGATCTATTGCCCTCTGAGTCTGAGGACGCCGGCGCGAATACTTCTGGGGACGCGAATTCTGCGCCGCTGCATGCGTTGATCGATGCCGGCGCGCTTTTGTGGAATTTTCATGAAGAGGATGTCGCGACTTCTTTCCTACAGTATTTCCTCAAACTCCGCAACGCTGCGGCCGAGGACAAGGAGGGCCCCGGCAGGTCAGCCGCGTTTCCTGCTGTCGCAGTTGCGTTCCATACTTTCTCTGGCAGATTAGCTCTGAAAGTCGGGGTGGTCAAGAATACGGGAGGCGCCAGGCGCGTGTGGGCTGTTCGCGCAGAGCCCACCATTTTGCGCGGCAGTGATCATGGCGACATCAGGAGTGCGGTCGTCAAGGACTTGAAGCTCCACAAGATGGTAGGAATTCCGGCAGAGGAGTGGCGGCGGTTATTGTTTTGCTACTTCTCCACGAAGCGAACCACCGGCGTCGATTTTCCTTTGCCGAAAACGAAGGCGCGCGCCCTGCTCACGAGTGGGCCGCGCGTGTCGGCGTCGCGATTACGACAGGCTGCACTGCGGGCCCGCCAGTTTCTCGACGAAGACGGCCAACAACTACAGGCAGTGGTCACAGATGAGGCGCTGAAATTTTGGAAGAAAACGAGACCTGAATGGACAGATGCTGGCCTAAACCTCGGGTTCCGTCATATCATTTCGGCTGCGAGAGACGTCGAGTCCGCAGTCGCGACACGGTCACAGCTCTACGCGCTGCAGCTAACCATGCGAGGGCTTGGCGTTGATTTTGTGCATCGAGCAAGGGCTGAATTTTTTGGCACGTTAGAAGGGCCAAAAGAGCAGCTGCAGCGGGACACGGACCAGAGCCGGGTCGCGTGCTTGGTTGCGGGACAGGATATTGCAGTCGAGAAAGGTTCCGAAGCTGAGACAAACTTCGGCTACGAGTCGCGTGAAGAAACTGACGATGGCACGCCGCAAGGACGCTGGACGACAATGCAAAAAACGGCTGAAAACCTGAAGACGAGGCTGACCGGAGGCGTCAACAAGGTTGCACAAGCTTGCGCATATCCCTTCGCTACACAACATGCGGCAACAACGAATGCGCGCATCGAGTCCGTGTTCAACTACTTGAGAACGAGGATCGAAGAGAACGAAGGCAGTAGCAACCGGGCCACCGCAGTCCTTTCTGAAGATGCTGGAAACAGTTGGTTACAAGGACAAAAGGAGACGATAGTGGAGCAAGAAGAGGATAGAGAAGAAGAGCAGGAGATGGAGCGGGAATCTGAGCGCGAGCTAGAGTTTGGGTTTGGCGCCATTCGGATCTACGAGCCCAGCCCGGAAGACGGCAAGCTAGAGGTGCGGGGAAAGTCCTCTTCGGTACATTTTGGCAGCTCGCCTGTTGGCCTCCCCCTGATTCCGCTTACGCAGATACCTCTTCCCACACGCGCGCAGCGACTTGTGAGGGAATTTGAGCCCGCAGGCAGTATAGGGACGGATCGCGCTGCTTCGTTTCTTGACGGTTTTTACTTGTCACGCAGGTTCCCGGTTTTCTTCAAGCCAGACGACAGCACCACAGGCATGCCAAGGGAACCAATTAACCATCCTCAAGTCGCGCAAAGTTGGAGCGTTCGGTCACTCGACTTGCGCTTACTGCGGCGCGTGTGTGTCTTTTTTCCGATCTTGATTGGAGGTAGTGAAACAAGGGTGAGCGCCCCTGCCTTCTTCTTTGCAGAAACCATTCAAGATTGCCGGCTCGCGCGTGATGCAATGATGGACGGGCGCGACCCGAATAAAGGGGCCCTTGTCGTGTTTGAGCGGGTGCTCGACTTCTCACCGGTCATTCCGGCAGGCGGGGGCCAGGAGTTTGATTTTCTCCAATCCGCAACAGTGCACATGCCAGATGGAGAAGAAAATCCTGCGAAGCAGGGGGGCGATCTCTCGCTCTCGGTACAACAGCGCTCCCAGATGCAAATGGCGCTGTGTGAAATGAGCATCCGAAGCCAGCTGCTGCTTGGTGACTCGCAGATGCTCCTTCGGTTGCTACGATACGAGCAGGAGCGCCACGAATTCCGGAGGCAACAACTCGACGCGTCGAGCAAAAGGGGTTCGGGCTCAGTTGCGAAAGTGTGCGGGGACACGCATTCGCTCCCGTATACACGAACCATGTTGAAGGTGATTTGCAACGGAGAGACGAAAGGGCGCGAAGCTACGGACACCCAGGGGCCATCGCGTGCGGAAGTAGAGAAGGCCACCTTCCTGCCAAAGGGAAAGGAAGTCGCTGCCACGGAAAAGGTCACGAACGAGCTGCAGCGACTTGTGGACACCTATTGTCCGACCCGGCCACAGCGACGGCGGCTGAGGCTCTTCTTGGCAACAACCAAGAATGACGGGGAGCCGGCGGTGACTAAGGCTGCGGAGAAGTATCGGGCAAAAGCTAGAGCTCCGCATTTGCTCGTAGCCGCGTCATCGTCAGCGCCATCATCATCTTCTAGCGCAATGCGTAAGTGGATCGATGGCGACTCACTGTCACTAGGTGCGTCCTCTGATTATGGCTTCACTTAGCTTCCCTGAGGAACATGACGCAAATATACTCCAGCAGCGACATCAGAGCGCTGCTGCGAACTAAGTAAGAGACCCAAGAATGAAGTAGAAGCTTCCACATGCCTCCCCCTTGCTTAGTAAACTAGCTGGATGAGGATATATAATTTTTCGCAACTGATGCGCAACAGCTCAAATCCTAACAGAAGGCCGAATCGGATTACCTTGATCCTGGGCCCCAACTCCAAGCATACCCCTCGGAAAATGGCGAGGCGACTGCCCTGCGAGGCTCGGAAAATGCGCAGCCGAGGCCGCCAGAGGGAGGGGGCTCCTCGATCAAGCTAGCGGGAGGAAGCGTGGGAAGTCAGCAGCCGCCAGCTCCTACGGATGGCACCATATCACAACCAAAAGCAGCAGGAAGGCACGGCGTTGAAGACAATGGAGCTACTCCGGACGCGAAGAGAGAACAAGTAAGTAAAACTTAGGAAGAAGTAAGCACTCGCAAGGGCGTCTACGTAGATATGTTCCAGGCTCCCCCCTCTTGTGGATGGAGCGGCGGCGGCGTCCGCGCGCCCTTTTTTCCGCGGTGGTGACATCTAAGTAAGGACCTGCCGGGGCCAAGGCCTCAGAGGGCGGGGCTGGAGGCTCCTGGCGGCTCTCCCTCCGCGCGTGCCCGCCAGGCGTCCTGACTCTTGGGCCTTAATATCAGGGGGACGACCTCCGGGGGAAGAAGGCTGCCGAAGGCTTCCACGGTCGTGCGGCCTGGCCCCTTTGGCCCTCGTCCGCCACCACGAAACGCCTGGGGGGTTGAGGACCAGAGGCGGGGAGGAGTGGGGGCAAGGCGTGCCCGCCTGGGTTCTGTCGGATATATGCAGCACGGCGAAAGGGGTCAAGCCTTGCCACCGGCTTCCCGGAGGCCTTTCACTCCCCAAGAAACTCCCTCAGCGAGGAACCCGCACCCTGGAGGCCTGTAGGGTACATGCAACAGGCCGCAACCGCACAAAGGAATTAAAGGGGGCCAAGCATTTCCACCCTTGCCACCTTCGGAGGCCTTCCCTGCACCCCTGGCCCCCGGTGTTTCAACGGCCACAGGGGTGGGGGCGCTGTAGGGTCCAGGCAAGAAGCGGGAAGGGGTCGGAGGTGGGCTTTTGGACCCCTTCCCGCCTGGCTGTCCCTCGCTCAGGGAAAAGGGCCAGGCGCGGGAGGCCCCCCCTCAAAAAGTTATATTTTGGGGGGCCTGGGCCCCTGGCCCCTGGAGCATATATTTGTATATACGTCGGAAAGCTATGCATGAAGGCTGAAAAAAATGCTTTTCTGATATCCTTGCGTTGATGGTTTTTTCATTTTTTTGCAGCAGCTTGCTTCGGGTGTCTAGTAAGGAAGCCTTGTTTTAGTTGCACCCCCTTCACTGTTCTCTCTCCCAGGTCAATCGTCGTGATGCCGCTGTTGGAGCTAAGAGTGATCTTGAGGGGCAGCTTGCTGCTGAGAAAGAGCGTGCCCACGAAGCAGCTGATGCGGGGGAGCCTGCTGCAAAGGCCAACGAACTGCGTAATGCGGCCGAGACGGTGCTTGTTCCCGTTGAAGGGGAGCGTGATGCTGCGCTAGAGAAGCTGCGTGCTGAGCACACGCGTTCTCACGAGGAAGAGCTGCGGCAGCTGCATGATCGGAAAGAGCACTCCCAAGCCGCTGCAGCTGAAGTTGCCGCAGGGCTTGCTGCTGCGCGAGGACATGCCCAGGAAACCGCGGAAGAGGCTGAGCAGACGAAGCGTGCCGCAGCTGAGGCCGGGCGAGGTCGTGTCGCGGCTGAAGCTGCTGAAACTAATGCCAAAGCCCAGCTTGCTGCTGAGAAGGGGCGCGCAGATGAAACGAAGCGCGAAAGCGAGAGTGCGCTTGCTGCCGCTGCAGTCACTGCGAGAGAAACTGCTGAAGCTGCGCAAAAGCAGGTCGCCGAGGCCAAAGATGCCGCTGCTGCAGCTGCTGCGCGAGCAGACAAGGCCGCGGAGGAACGTGTTGCCGCTGAAGCTGATGCCTCTGATGCCCGGAAAAGGCTTGCTGATGCGCAAAAGCATGCCGAGGATGCTAACACACGAGCACGCACCGCAGAGGCAAAGGCCGACGAACTGCGTAATGCTGCCGAGACGGCGCTTGTTGCCGTTGAAGGGGAGCGTGATGCTGAGCTAGAGAAGCTGAGTGCTGAGCACACGCGTTCCGAGGAAGCTCTGCGGCAGCTGCATGATGAGAAAGAGCGTGCAGTCGAAGCTCAGCAGAAAACCGAGCAGGCGCAGACCCACGCCCAAGCCGCTGCTGCTGAAGCTGCCGCAGGGCTTGCCGCTGCGCGAGCACATGCCAAGGAAACCGTGGAAGAGGCTGAGCAGACGAAGCGTGCCGCACCTGAGGCCGAGCGAGGTCGTGTCGCGGCTGAAGCTGCTGAAACTAATGCCAAAGCCCAGCTTGCTGCTGAGAAGGGGCGCGCAGATGAAACGAAGCGCGAAAGCGAGGGTGCGCTTGCTGCCGCTGCAGTCGCTGCGAGAGAGGCTACTGAAGCTGCACAAAAGCAGGTCGCCGAGGCCAAAGATGCCGCTAAAGAAGCTGCAGAAATCGACGAGCAAGAAAGCAAAGGCCCCGGTACTTTTTGGCTTGTTGTTTTTGAGATGCTGGCCGGTCTTCATCGAGGCAGCCCAAGTGCTTTGTGTTTTCTTTGTGGGCGTTTTTCGAGGTCCTTGGGAGCGCTTACGGAGTCCCGCTCCCTTGTTGCTTTTCCCTAGCACTTGAAAGTAGGAGCAAGAAAGTGTCCTGGCGAGCAGGCTCTGCCACGCAGTGCAGCGCGCTTGGGAGGGTTCAGTGGGTCGATCGGCATGGAAGCCTTTTCGCGACAGCGCTCTTTGATGGGTGTTCTTCGTTTTTTTACAGGGCTGGGCCAAGACTGTTTTTGGCCCGCTGGGTTTCGTGGCTGAGCTTTTGCTGTGACTATGCAGAGTTTTTGGTCCCGGAGTTTTAGGGCTTTGGCCGATTTATTTGATTTTTGTTATCAGGTTCTTTTGCTTTCGAGTGTTTTTTTGGTTTTCGCGTGGCCGTTTTGGCTCTATTGGGCTTCACTGTTTTCCAGGGGGCTTGTGGCTTTAGGTGGGGAGGCTCGTTGCCTGGTCTGGGGCGGAGTTTTTCGTCCTTTGGAGGGGGCATGCCCTTTTCACTGGATTTTTTGTGGCTTTGTGTGAACTCGGTTCTTTGTCTTTTGGGGTGTTCTCGCTGCTAGGGAAAGGGAAGGGCCGTGTCTCCCTCCCCATACGATCGCGCCATAGGGTGACAGACAGTAGGCCCACGTGCTGACCTCTGGTGGCATTTCATACGTTGGGCCAATTATCAACCTCATGATAGATTGTGTTGGGCCTTTAGTTCTACTAAGAGCAAGAAAGCATCCACCAGTACAATACATAGCAGATAGACAAATCTTCCCAGAAATGACGTAGAAGCAAGATGATGCCGCCAGTTGCTTGTTTGTGAGGATCCTTGATTTCTCATCTTCGTCAACCCATTTCCATTCATGTTGGCTTGCCGTTTCAGTTGCAGTATTAATATGCTCAATTTTCTGTCTCTATCTACATTTCTTGACATTGTCATCATTATCTTCCACATCACGTTCACGATGACCCTCGATGAAATAAAATCTACCAGATCCCCTCGTCATTAACATGATAACGACTGCCGCCAGCGAATATGTCACGCAAGACCCGCTTGGGCGTGTTCGGAAGTATTGCGGCAGCGCCCCGGCCACGTCTGGCCTCGATTGCCCTTTGGAGTTCCAAGACTCCGTCAAGAGGGGCTACAGCGCGTTGTGGGAGATTCTACAGAATCTTTCCAGAGCCGGTCTAGTAGAAGTTCTGGCGAATTATAAAGAAAGGTCCCAGAATTCTTTGCGGCCTCTTGGTCTTGTAGATGTAGTCACAGTCAGGCCTATGAAAATGCCATTGAAAGACGACGAGGCTTTTTCACTTACAGACACGCATGATGTCCGGATAAACAAAATGTTAGAAAAAAAAAAATTGACCTCCGGACAAAAAGTTGTTGAGCAAGGTCCCAAGGGAGCATTTGAGACCTTTAACTACCGTTTATGCTTCTATTTGAGTCACGCGGTAGGTGACGTCGTCCCCGTGTGGAGCAAGTGGTGGGTCACCGTTACCATTTTCAGTAGCCAGGACGAGGGCGTTGCGATCTTCAGAGAGAAATGTTTATATTCATGCAGCAACGTGGCTTTCCTGTCTCAGCGAATAGAAAAGAGTCCCATTTTTCCGTTATTGACACCGACACAGACGCTAGCGTGTGTCCGGTTTATAGAAAGTGGTGAAGATGCATCAAAATCAAACGCAGGTTCAAAAGGCAGCCTTTTGAGGAAGTGGTGCCGAACAGTAGTGGTTGCTGCGCTTGACAATAGCAGCGACCCTCCTGTCTTCACTCCACTGAAGAACGAAGACAACTCGATTTTGGTCAGTTATTTTGATATGGAGAGTAACTGAAAGACTCGGGGCCCTGCAGGCCCTCCATGTACATGCGTAAGCTCCACCTTAGAGTTCGACTTCTCTGGAATGTGTGTCTATGTCGTGGCTGTCTTTGATCACATATAATTTGCTCTTACATAAGTTTTTGCTGTTGCCCTTACGTACCCAAAATTCTCGCGCGTAGAACTATGAGTATCGTGGGACAGCTAGTATTTGTACTTCAACAGTAAAGACTCTTTCTTCATTTGTTCTTGTTGCTCATTCAATACACATTTACAAATAAGGGGAGCAATTGGTCGCGCATCATTTTACTTCACAAGTGGCACGCTGGTTTCGGCAGCGGGCAGAGATTTCCCTTGTGACCAATTTGCAGCTGTTTGCGTTTAGATCTATGATTTGAAACTACCAGCCTCTTCGGACTTCGGCGTGCAGTTTGCCTGTATGTCACTTGTCGAGGTGGAAAGTGGTCAGTTTAACAGGACGCCTAGTGTTTGTGTTGATGTTGTATGACTGAGTGAGGGCGTTGTCGTATCGTTAAAAAAAATTTAAAGAGCAATAATGGCCAAAAGAGTCTCGACAGGGCTTTTGGAGGGATTGCGGGGGGGAGGGTGGGGGGGTAGGGGGGCTTACCCCTGTGCGACCCCTGTATAACCCCCTTCCCAACTTCCGTGCCCGATCAGACGCGGCGACGCTTGAGAGCCTCAAGGAAAACCGCGGAAAAACTACCGCCGCACCTGGGGGGGTTGGCGTCTCGCAGCTCCTCCCTGGAAGTGTGCGCTCGGAGGCTGCGAGCGAGGAACCTGAAGGGGGGCCAACCTGCTGGCAACGCCTTCACAGCTTCCCACTTGCTTGATTATTTTCGCGGAATGAAGCCGTAAAAGGAAGCGCCGACAGTGAGAGCCAGCCACGCGGGTGCGGGGCCATAGATAGCGGCAGGCGCGCGGCTAGCTCCGCGCGGATCCGGGCACCGCTCTAGGAGAGTGCGGCCGGAGAAGGCTGCGGGCGGGTAGTCTCGCTGGCCAAGATAGGAACGCCGCGCCCGCCTTCCGCCTGGGCAGCCCCGTCAGGCCCGCCCTTTGCGCCCGGTCACAACCGACAGCGCGAGGAGGTAGCCGCAGTCAAAAAGTGCCAGCTTTAGAGGCTGACCCTGTGGGATCTCTCTAAGAAAAAAAACCAAGGGAAAGCCTGGCGGGCAATAGGCAACGCCTCCGCAAGCTGCTTGATGCTTGGGCCCGCGTGGTCTTCTTGCTCTTATTTTGAAGGCGCTGGCTGCGTCCATAAATATGAGAAACCGCCCAAAGCGCTCGGCTTTAGGGTTCGTTCTTTGCCCGTTTCTTCGGGGGGCCACGCTGCTCCGCATCTTTCTGGGGCTGTGGCGTATTTGCTTTGTGTTTGTGGGGCCATGCTTGCTGTAGCTTTGGGGCTTGCTCATCCAGCGCCGCCCTCGGTGGTCAGGTCGTGCGCTGTTGGGAGAGGGGTGTGGTCATGCTGTGCCTGGGGGGTCTGGTGGTGTGTGTCATTTTCGGGGGTTTGCTCGTGCCTGCGGGGTCGGTTTGGCTTTGGTCAAGCTGCGCCCCACGGGTCGGGTCACTCATGTTGCGCGGGGAGGCTGATTCGTGGTGAGTTTGGGGGGCGGTGGTTCGTTTAGAGGTCGCGCTCGCGGCGCCTGTCTGTGTTTGGGGGTTCGTGGTGTGTTGGGGGAAGGCGCTCAGCGTTTGGGAAGTCATTCTACGTCTCAGCGGGCCTTTTTTCGCTCGGGGGTCCTGGCAGGCGTCGGGGGCGGGGGTGTGCTTTTTAGATGCCGGGGCGCCGCTCTGTGTTTGGTTGTCGTCGTGTGCCAGTCTATGGGGGTCGTTCGTGGTGTGTTTGCGGGGGTCGCTCGGCGTTTAAGACGTAAAGGAAGTGGCGACGTCTTGGCCGCGTTGTCGGTGGGCTGGTCGTCGTGGCATGTTCTGGGGGGTCGTGGTGTGTCTGGAGGCAGGGCTGTGGCGTGTTTGGCGAGTCAAAGAGCCTGCGGGGGTCGTCTCATGTTCGGGGGGTCGCGCTGTGTCCCCTCGGGGGGTCATCATGTGTCGCCTGGGGGGCTACATAATGCTGAGAGGCTCGGGCGGTGTTTGTGTCTCAGAGGGGTCAGGCTTTGCTTTTGGACGGTGCGGCGCTTGTGGGTTCTTGCTCTAGGACGCGCGGCGCCTGGTGGGTTGTGTTGTGTCTTGGGTGCTGTCTGCGGTGTGCTGGGCGGGGTCGTGACGTTTAGCGGTGGCAGTGGCGTTTATTGAGCTGGTCCGTGCAGTGCTTGAGGGGCGGGGCTTTGTCTTGGAGGCAATGAATGTGGTGCCTCTGCCTCAGGCGGCCTCTCGTTTTTCTGTTGCGGGGGCCGTGTCTTTTCTTGCGGGTCTGACTGAGGGGCTGCGGGGTGCGTCTGTGTCTGTGTGTGTGTGTGTGTGTGTCTTTTGTGTGGGGAGAAGTCGCGCGGTGTTTGGGGAGGTCGGGGGGTATTTTATGGGCTGAGGTGGGATCGATGGGCAGTTCCCGCTCGTTCATTGAGCCAAAGAACAATCGATCCTGAGAACCGCTAGCCTTCGACGAGAATGCGGGCAGCTCAGACTGGAGAGGCCTGAGCGGCCAAAGCTGGCAAGCCAAATTGTCTGGGCAAGCTGGGCGGGACCAGCGAGGACGAGCAGAACGCGCGGGCCTGGGAAGGCTCACCGACGTCGAGTGCCCCCTACGGCGTTGGCAACACCCTCGCCCACGCGCGCGCATGTCTGCCCGGCTTGTCTCTTTGGCGTGGCGTGCCTAATTGATTCCGCGCGCAAGGGTTCACTCTGGGTTGCGTGGGCTGCTTCGGTCTTTGCTCCTCTCCATCATCTCGACGGCGGCCGCCAAACGGCGGGCGTTCCGTGCCTCACTCAGTCGCTCTTTTTTTGTTTTCTCTTAAGTTTCTAAGTACTCTGTGGCTGTGTTTGTGGCTGTGCTGTACCAAGGAGTGCGAGGGGTTGCCCAAGGGGTGCCCCCGGTTTCTTGTATATATGAAACTGGGAGACGCTGGGTATTGAAAATGCATGAGACTTCAAGTTATCGCATGAAGTGTTTTTTACAGATATAATGTTCCAGACGCAGACCGTCGAACCAAAATCAATTCACTGAATAAACAACTGAGTTATTACTTACTCTAGCCCTAACTCATTAAAATTAAAAATAAAGAACGCTGCTCCAAGAAATATATGAAATGCGCCCTGCCTCCTAGGATCCACCACCCATCCCACCAAGAGTAAGCTTAGGGATGTCTAGTCTGTAGGGGTTCGGATAGTCTGTCGCTTTTTTGTATATTTCAAAGTCTAAGTCGTACTCAAATACTCGATGATTAATACGAAAAAGGGTAGGACTAATTAGTGGGCAAAAAATAAATATGAGTAAGTGCAAGATTAAGATGAAAATAGAGCAAGTGGAAGAACGTTCAGTTTTTTTTTTTGAGGAACCAACGAGGATAGACGGTTAGTTTGAGTTATTTATATTTTCTTTTTCGAGTATCAGTATGAGTAGCGATTGGAAGCAGACGACGTTAAAGGTAGGCCATGAACTGAAACAACAGCTCCTCTCAATGAGGCTAAAGATTGCAAAACCTCGAGCGGGCCCAGGTCCGTGCATAGCAATTTTTGTCGAGTAGCCGACTAACTTTCTCCTCCATTTCCATTACTTGGTATGTCCTGGATATTCAATTGCAAGGGCCACATGGCGCTGAAAAATATGCACCTTCGTGCTGGTCAGACCTCCAGCAAGGCTCAGAAAGCACCTACTACTAGGCGCAGTATCTTATTTATTCAGTAAAAAGGAAGAAGCGCCTGCGGATCACCCTTCGCCGTGGGGACTATTTTGTATGTGGATATCCTTCAGAAGAAGATGATGAGAATGTTTTTTCTTCGGTGTTTTTTATCTCAGAATGTGGCGTAATCGCTTGTTGTCATCAACTCGGCTGTCATCTAGATATGACTCTGAGTGGTGTGGTTTTTTTCTGCGTCTCGTACCTACGATGTCGTTGTCCGTCGTCGGCAGTTTTTTTTGCAATCGGTCGTTCGTTCATAACAGAAGCTAGCTTGTTGCTTTGTTTTTCCAAGGTTAACTCATTCGTCGTAGTCGTTGAGCAACGTACTTTGACTATTATCCTGCAGTCACTGCACTGAGTGTCAGTCATTTTTCGCGCATTCCTGTGATTCTCCTCGTTGTGTTTCCTGAACATGGCTCTTTTCTTCAAGTACTTATTTCGAAATTCCAGTTTAGTTTCAGCCTTTGCCCAAGATCTTCAGGAGTTTTGGAATAAGTCGATGTGGATCTGACTGTGCCAGAATCTCTATATCTTTTCGGAAGAGAGACTAGAAAAACGATGCCCTCAATCGCACTTCCGCATCGACATCAGTCGCAGTCTAGCGTCGTTTCTGATGCTATTTCGCAATTGATGTCACGAAGTTGGATGGGTCCCGATGACCCCGGTTCACCATCTGGATTGCAGAATACGAGTGTTTCTCCCAGCACGTCACTTCCAGCCAGTGGAAAAAAGGTCGTCGTCCGTTCCGTAGCTTGTTTTTCCGGAGCATGGGAGGCAGTGGAGACTGCAGAAGGCCGTAACAACTCGGTCATTGTGCGAGTCGGCGAACAGCGAAATTTTAGCGTCGATGACGTTGTTGCAGCCGGCGCATCAGTTGCCGAGGATGAGCAGCAGATTACTGTGCAGTCGAGCGAGTGGCTAGGGCAATTAGACCGCGTTCTGAACCCCCACGTCGAGCGGCTGTCAGTATCAGATGATTTGGGACGAACCAGCGCGATCGTCGCCTACGGGGCTCGTGCCTCTGGGAAAACAAGTCTCCTTTTTGGAGGTTCTTCGCAGACGTCAAAGTCAAAGACGGAAGAACAGCGCCCAGGTATGATCGCACGGGCGGTCGATCTCTTTTTGCAGCAGAGCAGTTTGGATCTCTGCTGCTCCCTGATAGCGATTTGGGGTGATGATCGTCTGCAAGATCTTTTCGTTTCAGGAAACCGCACAACATTGTCACGTTTTGAAGCAGCTCGACGAGTGCGCGTGAAGGGTTCCGAGGTACTGTTGTTTGACTAACATTCTACCAATGTTAGCAGATGAAGAATAAGCATTTAATATTCTCCACCCGCTTTACGCTTATGCACAGTAGGCATTAAGTCTGTCTACAGAACAGTACTGGTGTCAGTACTTTTTGGGTCATTCATAATCCCGGAGCAAGTATTCGAGAAACACCACGCCTTAGACCGTTTTTCCACACATGCACGACAGGAATTGTCGCGTATGGTCCGAGAGGCTATGGAAGTCCACGGCCGCGGCAACCTGTCCGGCGCTCATGCCGTGCTCACTCTTCACATCGCGCCAGCTGGCAGATGGACGACCTCGTCGAAAGGAGTTCTCGATCCTTGCAGCAATACGAATACTGCAGAAGCGAGCGGCGCTCCTGGCCAAGATGATTTCACTGTTTTTCAGGCAAGCGACAACACTATCATCTTCACATCTGCTGGCGCCCAAGCAGCTCATAATGAAGTTACCACTTCAGCACCGGGAGACCCAGCGGTTGGGAGCGAGACCCTGATTTCTGAAAATGGGAGCAGTGCTAGTTGTAAAGCTAGGAATACGCATCATCCACACCCTGCTTCATCGTCTGCGCATGCTTCTTCATTCTTACGAGACTGCAGTTTCGTTTCGACAACCCACGCTGGGAGTCCTGAAGATGAGGAGTCCTCAGTACCCTACGCTCAGTTTCAGTCGTCCTCGAGTATGCTCCATTTCTTGGACCTGGCGAGCTTCCGGCACGGATATGCGGAGGGATCGCCAAACCTGCGAGAGCAGCAGAACGTGGGATCTAGCGCAAGAGATTCTAGGAGAGGCAGCGCCAGCCCGACTCGCGTGAACCGCTCACTCGTAGCCCTGCGCGAGGTGGTAGCGAAGCTCGTCCAGCAAAAGAATAAGACGTCGTGGGAAGTCAATCGAACATTCGATGCCTCGGTACTACTAATATTTTCTTGCCCTAGAAGGTAGGAGATGGGTCAATCATGTAAATTCACTCCAGATGACGATCGGTTGTATTACTGCTTTTTCGAAGGAACATCAAGGGGATAATTTCAATTAACGAACAGGAAGTATTTTGTACTCATCTCTCTGTAACTACAATAAAAACCAGCTTCTTGTTGGGTGCGTCGACAGGAGCACGGCACACCAGATTGCTGGTCGTCAGTCGCCGTCGTCGAAACCGCCCGTTTTGCGGAGCAGCAAGAGCTACGTCCCGTTTCGTAATTCAAAGCTGACGCAGTTTCTGCGACCAGCGCTCCTTGGCTGGTGGGAAACCACAACTTTTCTACTATGCTGTCGCATTGAAGCTAAGCCAAGTGGCCGTGGTCCTGTCTTGGATCGAGACACTATGGAGACCCTACGATTCGGCGAGTCGCTTAGGAGTCTGCGGGCCAGGCCGTTTGAGACAAATCTTAGTAGAAACAATTCTGGTTTTTCTCCGATCTGTGTTGGTGGAAGTTCTTCACCCGGCACGACGACAAGTCGGGCCTTTGCTGGCGGCGCGCGACGTGCTGGCATTCGGCGCGCGTCCCCTGTGCGAGACGCTATGAAGCTTGGCTTGACTCACGTCGCCGTCACGAGTGAGGGTCCAGCTGTGGTACCAGAGGAGTCTGTACATCAGAAAAGCTCGGCTCTGAAACGTCCGTCGATTGGCCACGCCGCTGCGAAGCCACCGCTCGGTCCGACCGTTTTCGTTGAGATTTCTTCTGAACAGACGGACCCAGATGCTGTAGAAAAGACTGATGAAGCTGTGGACGACAGAGACGCAAGACCGTCCTTCATGCCGGAGCCGCGCAAAGGTCGCAGCATGGGTAGTGCAGCTGTATATTCTCGAGACTTGTCGCCACCACGCGGTGATGATGATCCGGATCACAGAGAGGCTGGACCTCGAAAACAGCGGTGCCCTGACCGCGTGATCATCCCATCCCGTTTGCTTGTGCCTCCATCGCTACCGAAGTCGCCGTCTGAATTCGCGCCAGAGGCGCCTGGAGTGGTTGCTCCTCCTTGCACAAAGTGTAATAATACAACCATGGTAACAGAAAGAGAATCTGTTAGTCTTGGTTCCTCGGTGGAAGAGCCGCTTGCAGGTGTTGCTAACCACCAGCGAGCAGACGACTTTGGCGCTAGCCTAGCAGAGCGTATTCGCGCGACGTTTGCGGAGCGTGCTGAAACAGCAGGAGGCATGGAGAGTGTGCCGTCTCTGAAGCGACCCTTGGAAGCGCTAACTCCTAAAGCTGGAGTGCCTTCCGGGCACAGCTATGACGCTTCCCACGATGACTCATCTAACCACGCTTTTGACGATCGCGCAGTCGACGACACCAGCAGCATGATAACGGACAGCGCTCGCAAGCGTCGCCGAGCAGCAGCTTCAAGTGCCGGAGGAGTCGGTGCGATGCGCTTAGACGACAAGGCTGATAAAGCTGTCAATGGGAGCTCACCGTTTGGATCTTCGAATATCGAACGCGCCTGCTCGTCTTCCACTTCGTCGTGTGCTGCAGCTCTATATGGCAGTGCTGCGCCGCTCTCAAGAGGTTCATCCTCGCGGTGCGTGGTTCTTGAAGAGCAAAATTGTCAAATTCTAGGCTCAGCTGGGCATGATTCGAGTTCTCAGCTCTGTTCGTCCTCTCCCTTCGGGTCTTCATCCTCCTCGTCCGACGAGCAGACTTCTTCTTCGTCTTCGAGCGACGGCTGCTATCCTCGAACGCGCTCCACTTGCAAGCGCCAATGCGAGGAGGCTTTATTAGCCGGTCGTGAGGTAGAGGTAGACGAGCTAGAAGAGGACCCTTTGGTTGCGATGTACGAGCAGGATTTCGCAAAGTTTTCACCCTCCGAAGCGTTAGGCATTGTTGGTAGCGAGATCGAGCGCATTCAAGTACGCGACTTGGAGGCTGAACAACAAAACAACTACAACCTTGTGCTTGGTGCTAGCACGACGGGTTCGGTCACTCCTGGAGCTGTCGGTCTAGACCATGGCTCTGGTGAGAAAAATCTGTACTTCAACATCTCCACGCCTCCGAAGCAACCTCGAAGGAGTCGACGAAACTCGGCTGCGGATGACGATTTTTGTAAAGAAGTAAAGCTTGCAGAAAGCGAGATAGGATCAAAAGAGGACCACACCTCTCGCAGTAGAGCTTCAAGAAGCAGCAACAACCGAGGTGATGGAAGGAAGCATCGGAGTGTAGTCAAGACCGAAGTTGTGGTAAACGAGTACGGGCGCGGCCGCGACGGTCTGAGCGTCCCCGCAACTGCGGTCGATAGCGAAGCGGAAGCAATTGAGCACACGAAGCCTCGGATCCCAGCTTATCGTCGGGCCATCCCTGCTCAAGCGGCGACGCTTTCGTATCATCTGTACTGCGACCCTGATGATATTGGACAACGCGATGTCTCAGCTGTGATCGAACTTTCTCCAGAGCAAGGCCTTGAGCAACCACCAAGACGAGGCAATTGTACCGAAGATAAAGACGACATGAAAAAGATTTCGGGCTCTCCCTTTTACGACGAGGCCGAACGCGAGAATCAATTAGATCGTTCTAGTACAGGTGGGCATACTAGTTGGTCAGAGCGCGCTTGGAGATCGCTAAGTCGTGGAGACCTGCTAGTCGGTAACGGCGCAGCTTGTTCCGTTAGGCGGCAGCTATTCGGTGAGGCGCAGAGTGAGGTGAGTGACGACCAAGGCGAAGATGAGGACCTCGATCTCGACCTCTCATCGTATAAGCGGACGCCGGGTGGCGGTCCAAAGTCGTCGCCTTCAGAGTATCCTTCAAGTAGCGCTGACGAGCTGTGCTATTCGAGCAGTAGCCCTTGCCCTGAAGGGACGGAGAAGAAACAGAATGTAAAAGGTGCTGCTGTCTTAAAAATCGCCCCTCGCAAACTCGATGAATCCTTGCTCGCTGAGGATACGACTACACAGCTGGGAACTGCAGTCGAGAATGATCCAGTGAACAACGCTGTCGATGAAGTCGTGCAGCAGGAGTATATTATTGGGGGACCAGGAGCAAAGGCTGTTGCTTTATGCGGCAGCGGTACAACTGACCTTGTCCCAATTCCCGTTCTTGTTGAAAACGCTGCGTCGCCTGAGTTGCTTGCTTTTGCCGGTTCTCCTGATTTCCTAGAAGGTACGAAGCCTGCGGCAACAACGGCATCCAAGTCCACAGGTTTACCACTGTCCTCGCAGCCTCTGGGCAAAGCATCCCTTTTGGGTTCGACTTCCGGAGCTTTTGGTGGACCTATTGTGAAGGGCCACACGTCGCAAGCTGACAGTCATCTTCATCGTGGTGGACACCTTGTTCGCGAAGACAAACAAGACAATGATGGGGAAGATATTTGGGATGAAAGGTCGGACACAGATTCAGACTTGGACGCTGAGCATCCTGGTGGGAGACGCGATCTTCGTTTCGAGGAATATGACGGGGCCGCTAGTCCCGAGATGGCTGGGGTGAGGGTGACAACACCAGTTGCTCTAGGAAAAGAAGAACAAAATCAAGTACTAGAAGTGGAAGAAGATGGTGGCAAGATCAATAACAAGCTTCTAGGTCAGAGAGGACGAGAAGTCGATCAAGAAGTTTGCGCCACGGTCGACGCTGAGCACAACAGCGGCGATCTCCTAGTGCCATCATCCGGAGACGAGAGCTTAGCTAACCGCGCGATCATAGTCGATAGACGCCGTGATCTACTCGTTTCTTGCAGCAGTTCATCACCGACATCTCGCACATCCGGACATGTTTCGACGTCATCCGACGATGGCAAGAAAAGGGACAGAGCCAAGCTCTTGGAGGGTATTTCTGTGCGTTTGGACTTGAGCCCTTTGTCGCTAGAGGACTGCGTATCTTCCTCGTGGAGATCGGGCGTGGTCGCATCGTCTTCCAGCTCTGATGAAAAATCAGTCAGGATGAAAAGCAGAGCAGAAGAACCTGCCCTCTCATCAGGAGACGACGAGTACCCGGGAGCACCATTATCTAGCGACGATGGACGCGGTGCATCTCTTAGTAAACAGGACTCACTTGTTTCATCGTGCGGTGCAAACCGCGGCTCTTTCTCAGCGACAATCACGGAAAGCGAAGAAGAGGTAACTGAATCCTCGAGTTTTGACGAGGTAGTGGCGGATATTACGATGCCGCTGCCAGCGTCACGCACGGCTCCAGGCGTCATAGCGTCACTCCTCGATGCCAATGTCACGCCCATCCTGCCTCTGTATTCGCCGCGCGGTAGTATCCTTTGCAATAGCATGATTAACCGGAGTGGCAATGCGGAAGACCCGAAAGTTGCAGCAAATAAATTGACGAGGTTTCCGATACCAAGAGATTCGCCTTACAGGTACCATCTCGAGACTCAGTGCAACGAGCAAAGCAATGCTGCGAAGCATGCAAGTTGCCAGCCGCAGCCGCTAGAAGACCAGGTAGTGCAGTTAGACGAACACAGTAAGAGAGGATCTTCTTCTTCTTCCAGTAATAAAACGACTAGAACTTCTTGCGAAGTAGATGGTCGTGGTCCCGCTTCAAGAATCAGGGCATCATCTACTTCAACATTAATGAAAACTCCATCGCCGGCCAAGTCCTCTCCACCAAAGTTTTCTCCTCAGCGGAGCGTCCGCGGTTTCGACGGAACTCGTATTTTGGACGGTCAATCACTCTCTTCTTCACCTCCCCACTCGGAGGGATCGGGTTTGCTTTCTCCGATACTCGAGACCGAAGTTGAGAACGCGACCTTGTTTTCGATTCCAGAGGCAATGGCCACGGAAGAGGATGAGCAACGGTTGCGAGGAGAGAGCACAAAGCGACGAGCTGGAGCGGGTGGGCGAGGAGTTGTTGATAAGAGTGCACTTGCGTTTGTTGGAAAAATACAACTTCATGAAGAGCAGCACAAGGACGGTCACGGTTCTCTGCAGTGGATGAAACACCTACTTCGAACAGCTAAATTGTTTCATGTGATGCAGGATGGAAGCGTGTACGTGGTGAGAAGTAGCAGTCCTGGTGAGGAGAGAGGTAAAGGCATCGAAGATACCCATGAGTCGGAAAATGCTCAAGCTAGTCGCGTTTCTGCTAGCTTGGCGACTGGTGTCTCTTTTCAGCGACTGTCCTCGCCTTTTGTGGTCAACGATACTTCGTCCGGAACCGCGAATTTACCTGCCTCGTCGACGCATCAGATGAAGGAAGAAACGAGTTGCGAAGTTGAGGCACTCGTAAAGGACTCCTGTGCTGAAGCCTCCGATGGTGACACCGACCTACGCATTGAGGCTGATTTGATTTTGCAGAACGAAGCGATTCTGCGCCGCACGAAGAAACATGCTGCTGCGCGAGAATCTCATCTTCTTCAAGCGGGGACTCGCAATGCGTCCGTCAAGGGCGGTCGTGCACCACCACCACCGACACCCGATGATGATTTTTTCCCTGAAGTTAGCTTGACTCTCAAGCATACTAGTTCGTTACCACGATCTCCTGGCTCGAAAAGCAATCTGTCCTCTTGTTCTACGCGCGGCAAGTTCGCGGCCTGGTATGCACGGACCTTAGGCGGGATCGCATCAGCGTCTTCGCAGACACTCGAATTCCTTCGAAATCCGCGTGAAGCCGATGTGTCTTCGAGTGACGAAGGGACCCTATATGGAAGCCAGATGAATACTAGCAATCAATCTTCGGCCATGATGAATACGCGAACAGGTCGAGGTCGTGCAGTCGGTCACGGTACCACCAGATTGCAACGTTGTGGGCAGTGTAGGAAATACTACCAATACCTAGAGGGCGTGGACGAGCGATGTCGCAACTGCGGCGCGCGTCCAACAACTGGCAGTTTCGGGTTAGGGTTTGCTGAATTGCTACCACCTCAATAGGAGGTCACTCGTGGCTAAGTAGAAAGTGTATAGGTAAGTACTTTGTGATTAGAACATACTTGGGTGAAATTGTTATATATAATGCGGAACTAAGATTTATCGTACTACCGGAAGAAAGGTCATACTTGAGATAGTTGTAGAAAGAAAAAGAGACACTACTCGAAGAAACTAATGCTTTTCTTGAAAAGTCATGTTTACACGGAAGATAGAATATGTCATTTACTTGCAGTCCTCATCAGATGAAGATAAATGAAGAACCAACAACATGAACTTTTTTTGCTTGATGTGGGAGAAAGCCAGTTATCGAAAGTTTAAGGCTATGGCACGAAGATAGAGAGAGTCAAAGAATAGAATTTGTAAGTTCAGAGATAGACTATTGCGCATTGGAACGACAGGGACGACCGCAATTGTTTGGATACATGAATACTTCACGACACAATGAGCTACCAATTGATTTTGAATTCTTAGACTTTCATGATTAGTATGGGTGAGTAGTGATTTAGACACATCTTGTTGGCATTATGGGATGGAAGAAAAATGAAAAGCGGGTATCATCTAGCAATCGTCAGACCTTATGATTTCGAGAGCGATTGATTGGCTCGGAAAATAAAATGAACTTAGTAACCACGGCCATGGGTGCATAGAAAATACCTAATCAAGGCGACAGAATACAGTCGAAGCTCTCATTGATTATGCTGCACTCTCTTTTCGATCGCAGTTGAGACTGAATAGTACGGAAAAAAGGACTTACCTACCCGAATCGATTGTTGAAGAAGCATGTTCTGGATAGCAAGAACAAGGATTATTCTGAACTTTCTTTGTTTTATGATGCAGAACTCAATGGGATTATCACACAATGTGGAAACGCGAAGAGGAGCCGCGATCCTCCCACCAAAGTGGTGTATCTGGTTGGCGCCGTGGTTGTCACTTCATCTGTCGTTGTTCATCTTTCGCGCACGACCGGCAATTAATATCGGACTCCCGTCGAAGATGGCATCGGTGTCAATACTACTACGTCTCAGGAGATAAAGATGAAGGAGAAGAACAAGAGCGCTTTGCTTCGGACGGTAGCGTTTCTATCGGCTTTGATCGGTCCGGAAAGAATTCAAAGTCTATTTGTGAAGATTCAAGTATCGGTTGACCTGTATGATCAGTTTTTGGTTGACATCACTCATTCTCATAATGGGATATGCAGAAAGTGCAACTCCATGATCGGTCGAAGATTTACCTCCCTCACCCTCTGATGCTCACACAGAGCACCTGCTTATTATTGATCCTACTGTCACCGTCATCTTCGGCGGCTTGCGTGTGTACTGGTAGCACCATATACGTAGATCTAGCTGAGCATAGTAGAAGTCCGCTCCTCGGGCTTTATTACGTGACGAAGCTGCATCTTCAGTATCTCTGCATCTTCGTTACTAATCTACGTGTCGAAACTGCATCTTCGTTATTTATTGAGGAAACTGCATCTTCAGTATCTCTGGTACGTATTACTACTAATCAAACTAACAACCAAGTGCGTGCCTAATTACTTCTAACCACCACGACCTAATCGAGGTCCTTAGTATGTTGTGAGTACGAGATACAGATAGCTGTATCGATCCTGGTTCTTCGTTTCTGTCTTTTGTCACAGATAAGCTGCACAGACAGCAGCGATGTTATCTGTGCGTAAGTGGTGGGAGGCGGATGCCACAGCTGATCTCCTGGATCCCTATGGAACCCTCGAAGACGATGACTTCTTCGACCATGTTGAGCAATCGCGGCTTCCGGTTGTGGGCAATCAGGTATCAAGATACTACTTAAATAAAAATACCAATACATTATAGTGTGATGTGAAGACTCACCAAGATCTTAGATTGAAACCTACTTCTCTTCTCTGTAGTCTTGAGGCCTCGAAAATTTTCTTATGGGATAGTAGATCCTTCTTTGTGTTTATCTTATTGTACAAAAATCACATCTCGTGAGTCGTGAAGTTGCTCGGTATGCTTCCAATCAACCTCTGAACAAAGGTGTTAGTCGACGGTTTTATGCAAGGACGGCGGCCTCAGCAAGATGCGACTCCTGCGACGCAGCCCACGCCTGCCAGCGATTCCGGTTGGGTCTACAGCATATCAGATGAGAACTCTGCATCTACCCCCAAAGGCCGCACATCATCCGACAATTCACAGAAAGACATCGATGAACAGGATGAGAAGGTTGATTTTTTTTAGAATGTGCTAGATTCATTTTGATGTGCTATTTTGATTGTTGAAGTTTGCTTGAGCACAATGATTCAGTGTACTTTATAGTATGGAGCACCACACTCACTGTATGTGTATGTCATGCACATTTATTTCTGTTGCACCTTTATCTTACAACTACTTCGGACACAGATTATCGCAATCCTATCTGCCGAACGAGCTACGCGCGAGAAAATGCGGGCGCGAAAATACATCTTGACAGATAATGGATACGTGACCCAAGCACCGGAAGTTTCAACTAGTGGTGCAGTACTAGGTGTGGGCACGACATGTTCTTTATCCGATCGCACAGCGGTCATCAGCTACGGTCCTTTTGTACCTCCAGCTTTCCCACCCGCTGCTGTCCAGTCCAGTACCGAGAATAGCAGCCACACTTACACTGGCTCGTCGACAAGACTACTACCTGCCGAAAGTCGATCTGCACCGCAAGTAGTGCAAAAGCAAAGCAGCTCTTCTGCTTCTTCTTCATCAACAAGTGCAGCAGGATTGGCAACAGCCTCATCGCGTGAGAAGAATGTTACCTCAGTAGCTTCCTCCTCGACAACGTCAACTACATCTTCATCAAGCGAGATGACGCCAAGTAGACGGTCCTCCGCTACTTCTTCTTCAAATACTGCACTTCGTCCAGGTGCAGCGATCGGTGGTGCGCAGTACCTTCCCGGTTCACCAGACGGTGCGCGACACAGGACCCGCAGTCGCTTGCTTAGTGTCAGAAGTAGTCCGGGTCTAGATACGCAGCTACGAAAAGGCGGAATAATTCCTCTACTCCATGTTACGGAAGACGAGGTTGAGTCCAGTACTCACGATTTTTCGACGAAAACCACTTCTACGACCACTTCTTCCTCATCAGGTGGTCCCGTTTTCTTGACAGCAACCAATAAAGCCAACTACAAGCGGAATAATCACGTAGTGCGGCTGGACCTCGACGAGCACGACCGGACTAGTGCACGAGGAGAGGAAGCAGGAGGCCAGCAAGATAACGACCAGTATCTCATCTCAAGTCGAAACCTGAAGCGGCGTGGCTCACCCCTAGATAGCGTTCCAAGAACGAGGGTTGCATCTGCCAGGAATAATCACTCGTGATAGATCGATGTGACGAAGATACCTACGATAGTATAGACTTTTTTAAGATTTAGATATTCCTTGAAATCACACCACTTTCTCATGATTAAATGTTTAATCTTGATATCATTATAGATACGAACTACAACTATCAAAGTTTGATAATCATGATTTTAGATCAAACACATAGATGCATATAAAAGACAGGGATGGAACTGCAGAAATTGGGATAAGTACGTACCCTATGTACACCGACTGGGCTATCAGTTGTATTAGATTTTTGTGGATATTATCTTATCCTTCGTGTACTTGGCTAAGACGTGTAAGCTTGGTAGAGAACTCTTGGTTCATATTCATTGAGACAAACATGTAATGCGATTTTGTGACTAGAATGTGTACGAATTTTATGACTAAGAAGTTGTTGTGTACGACATTATGAAACTGCAATGCAGTCATATCGAAGATAGGTTACCAGATTATACTTGTGAATAAAAATGATGAAGAGGTGACACTGATCATACTCATACTTGGAGTTCTACTCTTCCTATTCCGCGCGCGCGGAGATCTGGCAGCACTACTGTAGTGCAACGATTTCGATGCACGGTGGACAGTGTTCTATCGAGGTAAATAGCGTCTTTGACGTTCTAACAGATCACACTGAACAAGTCGATTGGAGTGCGCAGAAGAGCAGTGATTTGTTTGACTATAGTTCTTGCAACCAATCTCCATTGAGAGAAACAGCCGTGGGTGGTTGGGTATAAAAATAGACTTAACCACGAAAGTAATACCACTTGAAATTAACAAGTGTCAAACAACATAAAGAAAAAAATGCGAGGTGGTTCATTGTTGTGGATTTCTGCTCCGTCTCGTGTGCTCGCGAAGCATATCCGGAGGCCAGGCAATCGACGTTTTGGCCGTGACGTACCTGACGAGAAACCGGTGAACCCTTTTGCGCCCGATATCGATGCGAAAGCTTCTGCTGGCGCTTCTGTAGCAGAGATTCGTGAGCGGGATCAACAGTATTTTGATCAGCGGGATCGCGAAGTTGCAAATCGGTCTTCGCGCGAAGAAGTCGCCGCCTTTTTTCAACGACAGAAGATTTTGCGTTCTGAGCCGTTGCGTCTGCAAGCGGAAGCGGAAATGAAGCGGGCGGATGCGGAGGGAGGTCGTCCGTACGGCAAGCTGAATGACACCAGGTTGGAGAAGGAGAACAACGAGAGGTCTCCTGCAGGATTAATCGATGAGAGGGATATATTCTCATCTGGTGGAATCGCTAAAACATCAACAGCTTCTAGTACTTATCTTTCTGTAGTTGCTCACGGAGAAGATGACGAATTATACATGAAAAAGTTTTTGCAACGTCTTTGTGCACCCGAGGAAGAGCGCAGGCATAATTTCCAGTGCACCAACAGCCTAGACCCTGATTTCAAGGCGAAGGAACGCCTCCCATGGCGCATAAGACGAACCTCATTTTTATGGCAGAAAGGGCGGGCTTGCTATCTTTGTAATTGGAGTTGCATTGAAATTGAATCACCTGCCTTCCAAGTACGTAGGAACTTCGAAGTTTTTTATATTTCAAATTTGAAACGTCGAAAACCTGGTTTTTTATCGCCTTCAATTTCAATTCGTTTCCTGATCGAGAGCTTTTCTGATGATCAGATCATTTAGTGGCGCCTTCTCTGCTTTCATACAACGGCAATTTCGCAGTTTACGAACGCTTCAAGCGTGGTGGCATCGAGGCATACACGGTTCTGCGGAACGTCGAAGGAAACATTCGTTCGCTCCGCAAGCAGCTGATCCATGTTATGGCTACTCTTAGAAGAGGTGCGCCCGTGCTGAGTGTTAATTTTTTTATGCGGATCCGACTTTTAAATTCTCATTTGGGAGTGAAAGTAGAAAGGAAAAACATGATACGGGAGTGGAATGAAATATCTTATCCGATAGGCGTCGAAGTTTCTAATCTTATCTGCGAGGCACCGGTCCGCGTTCGCGTTGGCTGCTTTGAGATCCGAGGGTTACATTCTTGGAAATTGAAAGAATGGCTGGCTAGTCTAGGTTTTTGACAGGGTGACGAGTAACAAAATTTAATGAAGATCACATGAGACTGTTAATCTTGGCATCAAATGAAGTGAGCCGCAGCAACAACTAAGAGTTTGGCAACCATTATTTTGGTGGTTCTTTGAATGGCGGAATGAGCTCCCTTCACGCCCTGCTTAGTTCAAGCATGCTCAAATGAGTAGTCACGATTATTTTTCTTCGTGAAATATGAGCGTGCTGCGAAATATGTGTTAAGAGGTTCTTCTTCTATGCGCAGCGTACTGAACTAGTTCCGTTGCCAACTAACGTCGTCCAATGCAAACCGCTGAGAGGCACAAAGAAACACAACGGCCTCCGCATCGATTTTTTGTCATGATTCTCTATCAGTCCTGCTCTGATCAACATGCGTTAAGAACGATAACGACATCACCAGTTTATACTTGTTCTTCTAGCTCCTGCTCTGATGTAAATGTAAAAAGAAGTTCTTGGATGTTGGTGCTGTAGTCCTCAACTCCAGTAATGTCGATTTACCTATCCTGTAATATTGATTTCTAAAAAAAAAAACCAAAACGATTTGTGTACAACCAGGAGGAGTCGGAGTACTTGTAGTGACATCGGATAGTTGTCTGAGAAGACTATCTTCTAAAGGCGGAACGAACTAGGCTTCATCTTTGCTTGGTTGCGTGGTACTACTACAACTACTTCTGTAGCGATACTCGAAAAGCAAAACAAGATGGCACCCCCTCAGTTGACTCCGGAGCAGGCCAAGTCTGCCTTGACCGAAATCTTTAGCCGCTTCCAGAAAGAAGAAAACAGGGCACGATTTGAGGCACTGGTTAAGGAGTGTGAGGCGGAAGAAAATCCGATGGTCGCAAAAATGCAAAAATTTCCACCTGTCGTCAACGAGGTCCTTAAAGACCTAATGGAATCACTCGGATTCCAAGAAAACGAACTCATGATGGGTACTGACACTATGATGAAGTTTACTTGCTTCTTGATTTTTAGCGTAGATCACGACACGTGGTAGAACAGATGAAAATGATGTCTATGCTACTCCAACTTTCATCTTCGAGATGAGAGCCCAATAATCGCTCTTGATCAGGTGTGATGCAAATCCAAATGCATGCTGCAAAAGACCCGGAAATGGCTAGCAAGGTCGGCATCTTGATGCAGGCATTTACGGGAAATATTCCTGCTCCGGCTGCAGCTACCGAGGAAGCTGAGATGTGCGATTAATTGGGCGTTTCGTGCGAATGCAGCTGCAGGTGGCAAGCCGCAAACTTCGAATGGGAGGTACTGTTTTGCGGATGAAGATAAGTTCTTCTAGACATGTCCTTGAGGAGCACGGTTTGATGTGTTCTGCCTGTTCGCCACTAAGGGAGAAATGTTGATGCGGTGGAACATTCTGGGGATGCCTACGAAACGTAGACTTAGATTTTTCCATTATTTCCATTCTTACAGATCTCTGCACGCGTCGCGTGGGGTGATTGTGCTTTGGGGGTGCATGTGCAAATATATAAGTAAATATATAAATATGTTTATGCCGCAACAAAAGTCACAGTAAGAGGCAGGAGGAGGTGGAGGTGGACCTCCAAAACTTCCATACTTTTCAGGATCACAATTTTTCGGAGAAATGCGACAAGTGTCTGGCGTGGAAATAATTCCCACAGCGTCATCGTCAGTATGGAAACAGTCTGGAGGCCCTACTTCTAGAAATTTCATTTATAGCATGAAGATACGCGACAGGCGTTCAGGACTCGGACGAGGTTCTCACACACCTTTGTCCCTCAAGAATTGTTCAGGACAAGAGTCCTGTGCTTCGTGTGTTCGGGAGTATCACTACTTGCGTCGAATTCGTTCTGTGCGCATCAGAAATATACCTGCGTTCGAGAGGTCAGCAGCGTATTGTGCAAAATTTACGAAGCCCGGTAGGCAAAGGCGAATTGTTAGAAGAAGATGATCCTAGACAAGTAAGATTAGTTCGAATTTGAAACAAAGTAACACTATAAAACGTTCATAAGTTAGTCTTAGTCGGCTTCACTTTGACCCCACAAGAAAAAAGATGCCTGCTCCGTCCACAACAAAAGAGTTCGACATTTCAGCGCACGTCCCTGCATGCATTGGCAAGTTCAATCGCATTGAGGCAGCTTCCGCACAAGGATGCTGGGTTACGGATACAGATGGCCGGCGGTATCTAGACCTGTCCGCTGGAATTGGTGTGCTGTCTACCGGCCACTGCCATCCTCGCGTTGTTGCGGCTGCCCAGGCGCAGGTGGCCACAATGATTTTAGCACAGCAAAACTGCATTTTTACGACTGAGGTTCACAAGAACTTAGTGCAGAAGCTGCTGAGCATCATGCCTTGTGAAGAAGCAGCGAAAGATGTGGCGAATGCGACTGATACGACCACTGGTGAAGCTTCTAAAGACGTAGTACTCGAAAAAATAACAAGAGCACCTTCACCGCTAAGCAGCTTCTTTTTTTGCAACAGTGGTGCCGAAGCGATTGACAACGCCATCAAAGTTGTACGAATGGCAACGGGCAAGCAAAATGTGATCGTTCTCACAGGAGGCTATTAAGGGCACCGTCAACCCATCTCTGACAGAATCTTTGAGTCGCCAGTTGCTACGTGCTGAAAGATGTTTGCTCTATAAAAGATGGGCTGTGGGTACCTCTAAGGCTACCATGGGCGCACTATTGGCTCCATGGCACTCACCAGCTCGAAGACGACTTACCGTCGATGCTTTGGTCCTCTCATGGCGGGCGTTCATTACCTCGAATTCGACCCCGAAAATGGCAAAAGCAAAGTCGTTCCTCCTTTGCACTCCTTAACTGATGATATGCAATCTTCTGCATCGACCGAGAGTACCACGACCAGCGACTCTGGGGCACCACATGCACATCAAGAACAAGACCCTGGTTTCACGAATAAAAACACACCAGGAGCACTCAAGTCTGGTGAAGATGAACAATTGGCGGCTCGATTGATATCGAGATTTGAGATGCTGCTAACACAGCAGACGGATGCTCTGGAAACAGCGGCTGTGCTTTTGGAGCCAGTGTTGGGTGAAGGTGGTATTCTCAGAGTGCCCCACACTTTCCTGCGGTATTTGCGCAAGCGATGCGACGAACTAGGCTTATGAACAGGGTTCGTTGAATAATGAATTTAGCAGTACGGAAGAGTAGAACATGGAGGATATGGATTTTTCCTATGTATGTCTAGAAATACCTACTCCAACTATGTTCACTTAAGTACTCAATGCCCTCGTCTTACTTGCTTCACGATTTATGTTTGCTGTTGCTCATTTCTGTATTTGTACTCTCGTAGAAGTGTATCGACTACAACTAGCAGCTCAGTACCAAATCCTTTCATACAACATCATGCTCGTGCTCGACGAAGTGCAGTGTGGCATGGGCCGTACTGGAACCTGGTGGGCCTGTGAGCAAGCCAATGTCTGTCCAGACGTATTGGTCTTCGCGAAAGGCATTGCTAGCGGTTTTCCTCTTGCAGGTCTAGCACTCCGAAAGGAGAAAATAGTCGACAAATTGTTACCTAACGCGCTGGGTGGAACCTACGGTGGGCAAGCCGTGTGTCTGGCAGCTGCAAGTGCGACCATCGACGCGATCCGAGATGAGGGTATGCTGGGAAATTTATGAATTTCATTTGTAATCAATAATTATTAAATTTAAAAAATAGTTATTCAATGTACATACGATAAAGTCTTCACGTAAGTACTGAATAAGCTGCGTGCAAGCACTAAGACATAATTTTGACTTTCTGCTACTTCCTTGTGCGAAGGGGAAATTCGCACGCAATTTCTGGAACTCACCTTTCATTCTCTGCATGCGAGCGCGGAGGCGAAATCGCGACTGGACTTCGGGCGCTAGAGAGCAAGCTCATCTTGGGCATTCGCCAATATGGGCTTTTCATCGCGGTGGATCTGGCCCCAGACTTGGTCACGCCACAAGAGATTATTAGGTGCGCTGCTGCGGGGTGCAGTGCTGGAAACCAAAGTGAAAATTCTAAGACCTCCAACGACTCCGACGCAAAAAGTGGGGACAGCGGCCGCTTGATAATGATTCCTGGAGGACGCAATGGCTTAAGGATTACGCCTCCGCTTTGCATCTCAAAAGACGAGGTCTCATATTTCCTCGACCACTTTCGTCGACTTCTTCAGGTGGTTGAAAAGAGTAAATAGAAGAACATGTACATGCCCTCGTTTGAGTAGAAGTTTGCGCGGAGGCGGAGCTCAGTCGATTAATTTGTTTCTTTTTGTTGACTTGATAGACCAGCATAGATTTAGATAGAGATGGACAGTTTTGTTAAGAAATACTGCAACTCATACAAAGAAATTGAAATTGATGGTTCCAATTTTTGACAACTTGTTTCATAATTTTTTAATGTAAAAAAAAAGGAGACGAGTGGACGTCAAGCAATTTTGTTTTCTCTTGCTTCTGCATGCAGTCATTGATTGCGTGACACTATGACCACGATAGATACAAATAGTTTCCTAGCCTCGGCCATATATCCTGATTGAGGCCTGTGAATCTTTGACTCTACGACAAAATGATATGCTTTCTACAAACTTACTAATAGAGCGCAGGATCAGGCTTACAGCGGATCGTGTCACGTGCGTGTTTTGTTCTGATTTTCTCGTGTGATTCATTCATTGGTGTGCGCGGGTTTAAGTTGGTGGTACAACGTTTTGTTTCTTCTGACTTGATAATTTTCTTGAACAAGGATGACACGGAGCAGAGCTGCTCGTGCAGTGAGGAGAGAAAGAGAGATCTTCTTTTCTGTGACCTGAAAGAGGGATAGAGAGAAAGCGACCCATCGGAGAACTTTATAATTGCGTCCGCACAAGAGGTGAGAAAAATACATGGTGACTCGCGCGACGTCGTGACTCTCAGTGGAAAGTATGCCTGCAGGATGCAGCTCCTTGGACGAGGAGGAGAGCAACGCAAAGCAAGCCTTGGACAGGCCGTTTATGGACAGAAAAAGAAGACGGAAAACGACCACTCGAGGATGTGGAAGTGACGCTTCTAGTACGTCGGGATCGTGGAGGCATGGACATGCACATGGAAGACCGATGCAGGTTAGGAGAAGCAGGATGCGCGTGGAAGATGTTCAGCGGTTTGACACCAGCGACAACGGAGGCCGGACATGTACCGGGGTCCGGGCAGTTCCGAGTATGGCAACACAGTTTCTTCGAATTTTCTGTCGTGGAAAAAACGACTGCTCGAGGCTCGTTTGTATTATGGGTCAACAGTGTCAAGAGCAAAGTCTACGTCCACGGACATCGGTTTTGTCCCTCAAGAGAACATGTTACGCTGCAGCGAGTGCCATTCGAAGGACCCTGTCTGCCTTACGTTTCTACGCTCTTCTAGTGTATGGCCTAATGTTGCGGGCGTTGTGTGCCGTGCTAGGACGATGTCGCGTGGAAATAGGTCTGAAAGCACTCGTAGAGGATAACAACAGCTGTGGGCCTCCACGCACTTTGAGGAGGGGAATTGAAAGGATACCACTACCACTAGGAGCAAACGCAACTAGCGACTGTGAGGAGTGCAAGACGAGCAGGCGGGTTCCCAGCACAAATGAGAGAAGCAAGTGCGGGAGTAGCTCTCGCAGAGAACGCAGTATAAAGTTTCATGATCATGGTGATAGAGGAGACAAGGTCAGGGGGAAGAGAGAAAAGCGAGGGCACGGACTGCGACGTGGCTTTCAGCTAGCCGCGCGCCTTCTGTTGCACAAACTTATACCGGTGTTTATGCCTAGATGAGATCATTAGAGTTGCATTGATTTGTACTCTCTCACAATTTTTTAAGGGCAATAAGAACAACACTGACAAAAACTACTATTTCATCTTGATATTTTCGATTTCTATGTACTTACTATAATAGATTGTGCATGATAGATTCTTCTTCATTCTTCTTGCGGATGTCGGTAGGCAGTTTTACGATCCCGATTGCGTGCGCGAAGACCCATTTTGGTCGAAGTACTTGGAGCTAGTGTCGGCGCAAGTGGCCGCAGGGGAAAAACCCGACTTTCACGTGTCCCGATACGCTTTGCAGATAGCAGGCTGTCCTCTTGGGAAACTCGTCGCATGCGTGGGTTCCGAAAACATGAGCCTCAGGGAATGCTTTTACTTATGCTTAATGTCTACTATTGATCCTCTGGAGGTACTAGATTACTGGTTGGCCTCGCAAGTAGACGCTAATAGCTACACAAGAGGCACCATGACATGACTTCTCTATCGTCGCGCCCCCTTCTCCTAAGATGCTTGAGCATGTTTCAAGAACATAAAAGTAAAACTCAAGAAATCGTGTGTGTTTCTTGATGCCAAACTTCAAAAAAGCTAGAGCTACACCACTGTGTCAGGGACGGCGCTTGAGAGTCACAGAGCCTGAGAGTCACACAACGAATACGAAAGCCCTCTTTTCATATGCTCACATTCCAGTGGACTTTTACTTGCTCATGAGCAGTCGTTGGCCGATATTGAAGTTGCTCGACGCGGAACAGCAGAAAATTTGGGACAGTGGTGTTTTGGAGGAGAATAATGGGGATGATTGTATCCTCTCCGCGCATCCAGCAATCGAGTGGAATCAATTTCGAGGTACTTACTAGAAATCAAAAAAAAGTTGTAAATTCCTATGGCATGATATATAATGCGGAGTTGTTTACTTTGTTTCGTGTGATAGATAGATCACTTATTTCAATAAAGATCCGCTTCCGCGTCCGCCACTCCACCAGGTGCACTAGCAGAGGGCGTAGGCGAGGCGCATCGGTGGTTGGTCGAAGACAACAAGAAAGAACCACGAGCCAATCTGGGTTGGGCCATATCATTCGCGGATGGGGTCATATTCAAGTCGCACTCAGATGCTGTCCTCGACAGCGGACTATGTATGAGGAAACATTTACCACATACGGATGGTAGCTAAAATAACAGCTAGAAGAGCCAAGAAACACGATGCTATTACTAGCTAATGGAGCTTCTAATGCTAAGTGACTACTAGGAGGGAGCCCAAGTACAGGGCTAGTCCACCCAATTTGGTGCTATCCACCTCAATGAAAGGACGATTAGGGACTTTTATAACATCGTAGATGATATAGTAGATGTCAAAGTAAGCTTGTTGTAGTTCTTTCATTTCTTCTGTTGCTGAAGCGGTTGGGCATTGCCAGTTTGGTGTAGTTTCGGCACATGCTTTGAGGATGTTCGCAATTTTATTGGCGGATGGGGACGTTTATAGAATGCTTGAGCGTGGTTTTCAACAAGTCGAGACTATCTGGAATCGGAAACACCAAATTCTCTACTCCCGTTGGCGGCTCTTTGGGATTGTTCACGTACTTCATCGAGTCATCTTCATCTTCATTATTAACCACTACGTACAAGTACATGCTATGCCCTTCTGCCGGGGAACCCCTACGGGCATCTCCATCATCCATACAATTCCTCAGATCTTAAACGAGTTGAAGAAGCAGAAGCTTGACCTGCCGGAAGCTGCACTGACCGACGACCTGGATCAGGCTCCGAAGTATCTCCAGAGTCGCAATCCATGGGACTGGCGAGTGGGCGACTTGACGGAAGCAATAGAGAGGCAAGAACGGGTAGAAGTGCACGTTGTATAAGTATAAGTAATTGATTTTAGGTTTGTTCTCTGGGGTACATCACATTTTATTTTGGGGTACATCAAGATATGGAAACGCCTCAGCGACGTCCGCCAGACATCCTGAGTGAACTGTACTACTTGATTGGGACAAAAAAACTATCACAGATAAAGCTGCTGAAGAAGCCAATGCCAATGGAGCACGTTAGTCGAGCGGACTATCAGAACGAAGGTAGTGAAGCTGGTGGCGTAAAGCGCGACGAGGACGTAATGCCATTGCCAAACTCGTCAAGTGCGGCGGCAGTTGAAGGGAGGAGCAGATATGGCCTGACTAGCCTGTTTGTTATAGTAGGAGGCGATAGAAGATAAGATATAGATACTTATACTTACATATACTTAGAAATTAGACGGGATAATCATCATGTACAGCGAACAAATAACGAGGAATGAACGTACCTAAGGGTGTTTTCCTAGATGGTCTAGATCTACCCTGGATGATCAACCATCCTCATTGCAATTGAAGTAGCTGGCAGAACGACCTCTAAGAAGCTTCTAGTAGCGCATCGGGTGCATCCGAAGTAGCGCATGAGAATGGCAATAGTGAAACCGACGAAGAAAGTTTTTACGAGGATACAGAGGCTGCGATTGCCATCGACGCCCTCAAGCATCCTTCCAACCTTCCCGAAGACCTCGAGAAAAAGCCTTTCACTAGTATCGAGTCCATGTCGGAGATTGTACAGCAGAATACGCATACGAAGAAGGAGGACAACAACGAGATTTACTGGCGCCTCTCTAGGATCGTGCGGAATAACCGCATACTCTTCACGAGTGTGGACACACATACGATACGTTGGCTCAAAAACTGGCTACGCCGAAGCAAGTACTTCATGAAGCAAAGCGGCATCGGGATCGTGCTGCAGAACGTTCACCTTGATTATGATGAGCCGAAGTTTTCTTCTTTCTCTGGTGTTGGGTTGAGTAGCTCCTAGAAGAGTACAAGTGCAGCTTATATCCATCATGAGCTGCCGCGAGATAGCGAGGCACACACGCACGCACTGACTTGATTCTTTTACTCCCTGCTGCTTGTCAACATCTAACTTTCTTTGCAATGCAAGAGTGTCGCAAGTGGGCAGCTTTCCAAACTAGACCACTCGCTTGAGAAGCACATGTGCCTTCCAAAGCTCTCTGAATCCAGTGTCTTCCTCTCCGTCTTGGGCTACATGAGAATTGGTACGTTTCTGTTTTCAAATTTCATTTAGAATGAAATGTTTAGGTTTACAGTCGTGATGACACTTTGTTAGCCCTGGTAAATATCTAATCATGCTGCAGCTAATTGCTGCAAATTGCGTTTTCTCTTCTAGCCTCTGAGGCTCATCGTACCACATTCTGCTTCTTCCCTTGTTCCTTGACGACTCTGACACTTGCGTCTTCCTATCAAGGTGCCCTCGCCGGTTATGATGTCGGCTACGTGGGGATCAGCAATTTCTGGGTCCGGAATCCGTTCCCTTACCTGTGGGTGAAGGACATAAATGTCGCGACTGAGTTTTACGGTAGTCATAAAACTCGACTGGAGCTGTTCACGGTCAAGGGCACAGCACGCGGGCTGCTCTTCCTTACTGACTTGTTACGGCTTGTGATTAGAAAACTGGTCTACGACATCTTCGCCCTCCCCTCTCCGGGAAGCATCTCATGATTCTAGTCAGTGGCTTGCATGGTTGACATTGTCCTTTACGACAGCGGCTTCTGGCATTCTGGTTCATCGACAGCAGAACGAGAACGACATAATTAGCCGACCGGTCCACATTCCCGTCATACCCACAGCCAATTCCAACAGCTGCATTGCTCTAATCTCGCTGTCGCTCGTCTACTTCTTCCCCTTCACCTTTCTGCCACGTGCCATGGACAGGCTGTCATTCGGGCCGCATATCACCGATCGCGTCCCGACTGTCAGTTTCGCTGAGGACAATTTTCTGCATTACTTATGGCTATTGAGTAATTCCCTTCAGTTACTCTGACTTGTGTCTTGAGATTCACTCAGACCACTCAAAACATTGCTTCGGGGTGCACTGATTCACTTCTGCATAGAAACAATCTTTCGGGAAATGAACCTAGAGAAATAGCTCTAAGGCTCCACTTGTTCTTCGTGCACTTTTTTGATTGTGAGAACCGGTTTGTGAGTACAGACGGATGGTTTGGGAAGCCCGATCAGGTGGTCTTTTTCGACATCCAGAAGCTCATCGCTGACCACGAACGACAGCGAATCTTCGACCTCCTCTACAGTGGAACTATCGGAGGTACTGTCGTACTCTCGATGCCATAAGAATGTTTCTAGGTCCAGGATATGGATAATCGGATCAAGAAATATTGTTTTTGCCTAGTACTACAACTAGGAAGCATCTAGTTCGTCTGACTTGCTAACGTCACTAGTAACGAAACTGAAGTGTAGTCTGGAAAGTAAAGCATTCATATTCCGCTATCGACCAGTTGTTGTATCATCTTCCAGGTGGCAACCATCCGATCCGCGTCGCGCGGAGCTCCGTTTCCGCCAAAAGACGCACTTGGCTAGCTTACGATGGGGCCCCGAGTTTGCCAGGCAACATTTCCACCGCTAGTGTAGTTCCTCAACCGGCTGAGTGGACGACGCATCCAGGTAGCTCTCTCGCTGGTGGTTGCGTTCAACTACAGGACTACACATTTGTCGACGTAAACCACGCAAAGAACTTGTGCATCCAACTGGGACCCGACGTGTGTGGTGGCATCAGCTGCACCAACGAAAAGCTGGGAGAATGCTTCATTCGCGACGCGACGCCTTTGGTAATCAGCGCAGAGAAGGACGAGGCGGAGGCTGAATTTATGATCGACGATACGAGAATTATAAATATATTATAAGAAGAACACCAATTTTTTTTATGCTATGCGGCAAAAGCTGATCTTGCTGATTTTGGGTGGATAACACTTGATTTGGTTGATAATGCGTCAGAATCTAGTTTCTGAGGATGAACATGATGAACTTCAAGTTCAAGGGCTTTTCTGTTTCGGATTTTTCAGGAGATTTCGTTAATTTTTGGACGAGAGCATTGATTGTGTTGATTCTAAGTCTTTGCTTGTTCTCGATAATGGTGCGATTCGCGTTCGTGCAGACGGGAACGCGGACAAGAGCGATCGCGCTGTTTGGGCACAGACTCTTCTTCCGGCAGAAACGCCGAACCAGGTCTCACTAGTCCCACCGGGTTTTCAGCTGCCTACGCGGGAAAAGATTATTCATGTTAACTTCGCCAGCGGCTGCTGCGAGGAGGATCAAAGGGAGAGCTCAGAGAGCGCCGTCCGCATTGGTAAGGTGGATATCTCTTACGCCATGGGCGACGCTGACCTATCACAGGAATTCAAGGAGAAGAACAAAGAGCTTCTAGAGTTCTTGCGCACACCGGAAATGACACGGTATCTGATTCTGATAAATAGCGTCAAAAAGCTTCTAGTGCAACCAGTGCGAACGCCTGTGAGGAGCAAGGTCGGAGCAGCGCCACTGCTGAACGAAGCGACCCCACGGCGCAGGGTGTTGCTGTAGTATGGTACTGCGCTGCCGGGGGCGTTTTTATCGACCTTAGGCTGCACAGGCGACGCGGACCAATGGCCGTGGGTCTTCTGCGTTGTTTCTTGCTCGATGAATGTTGCGGCAGTCCCAGTCGCCGCACCTGAACCCGTGAGGGGGTTTGCAATTCTTGGCCATCGTTGTGAAGTCGTGGCAGCTACCTTGCGCTCTATAGGGCAGACCGCGCGGGTGCGTGAGGGTGTGGTGCTATCTTTTTCAGCGAGCTGAAGCCATCTCTTGGCCCTTCGGGCTTTAAGCTGAAGAAAGTGAAAGACAGCTCCCCCAAAGGGGCGCAGGGGCGCTTGGCTGTCCATGTATGTTCTGGGTTGCGTTGTGACGTATCTGCGGGACTGCTTGTTAGCGTTCTGTCGAGGAAGTAAATGAGAGCTAGGGCTAGGCTCCGCTGGGCTTGTGTTGGGCTCTCTTCATGAGTTGGGCGGGCTGACCTCATTTATTTGCCTTAGGGTTATGAAATTCAAGTTTGTTCCGGCATAGACATAGCTAGAGTCTGCGAACGTAGTAATTATTTGATCGGCCGCGCGCGTGCGACTAGAATTGACGCATCTTCTTTTTACTGCGAAGAACTTCGAATTATTTGTGATCGCCAGACAGTTAAACACTAGAACACAAAGAAATATCCAAGGTATAAAACCCCGTCTGGGAAAGTCGGCTACTACGTATGGAAGCCGTACATTGTTCTGAAGACGTTGCTCGAGAAGGCGGAGCCAGGGGACCTGGTCGTGTGGACCGATGCTGGCATCACCTTCACGCAAGACGTGCGTCCGCTGTTGGCGCGATATTTGCGAGGCAGCGACATGTCTGCGACTCAGACTCCTATGATGGAGGGCGATTTTACAAAGCGGGACGCCTTTCAAATCCTGGGTCTCGACGTCACTACTGTAGCAGAGAGCCAGCAGATTGCAACGGGCGTTATTTTGGCGCGAAAGTTAAGACAAAAGATGAACCAAGATTAACATCAATTTTAGATTTTTTAATGTCAAAAATACAACATTAACTACTTAACTGATTGATATAGCACATGACAAGGCTATGCCAGACAATTGCCCTCTTAATATGCGTGTTGAGATTGAAAAAAATGAGAAATAGAAGACCAAGGATGCCACAACAACGAAGTCCAGGCGCTGGCCCTAGTATCTCTAATCCAAACACCTCTGGCCATCAAATTTCTGGAGGACTGGCTGGAGGCGTGTGAGGACCGCCGTGTGATGACAGAAGAGGGGAACGTCTTGGGATTTCCTAACTTTCCGAGCTTCAAAAACCACAACGACGACCAGAGCGCTTTTTCGTTGCTCTTCAAGAAGTACGGCTTCACGCCGTTTCCGCAGTCGACGCGAGATGCGTATGTACTGACAGGCCGAAATCTCGCAAAATACCTACACGCTGCAGAACGGTTTGCTTTATGGAAAAAAAAGAACATTTTTTTTAATATTTTTGAACAACTGAAGATACTGAACTTTCTTTCGCTGTTCCTATTGGGCTTGGAATTAACTAGAATCAACTTCATTGATCTGAATCTTATGTAATTAACCTCCTCCCATAACAGGCTTCTGGTTCCCCATTATTTTCTCTTAGAGGTGTGCTGCAAATCTTGATTGGCTTTCACCTTTTGGTAGAGGTTTAGGTCCAGCGGCGCTCAAAGCACTAAGTAAAGCAACCGGTTAGTTTTCACCTCCACAATTCTAGGTTTATCCCGTGCAGCATTATATATGGACCAGGGAGGGAGGCCCCCCCTATAGTATCTCGTATAAGCTATACCGAATTGTGAGCTTCGAGAAGTTCTGCATTCCTTGCCCGACAGTCTGGCTTTTTTTTGAGCATGAAGACGGACGAAAGACGGACTCACGACGATGGTTCTCCTATGCTTGACACGATGAGAGAGGCAAAGAAGCCAGACAAAGAACGCAGACGAAGAAGCGAGTCGATACATTTGATTGCCGTCATTTTGTTAACTTTCTCTTTGTTTTCGATCCGTCGGCACTTCGTCAACAACTGGCCTCTTTTCTGCTTTTTTAAGCGTTACATCTAAGGCGTAGAGTGACGCAAGACATTTACTCTGCTGATGGTCTAGCATGCGCATGCCCCTGCTTACGGCGTTTTTCATAAGAAACAGAAAAAAATTTCTGCTATCTTATCAAAAAACTAAAGTCGGCGCCTTCGTTAGTTTTCGTCTACGCTCTGCGTCTCTGCGTCGTGTTTCTCTCTCGGAACGCTTCTCCATGGCCCAGCCCTCTAAAGCTCTCCCTCTTTCAGGTCTATGATCTGCTGACGCAGTTGGTAGCCGCAAGACCCGCCAAGGAGTGCGCGACGCCAGCCACCATCCACAAGGGTGGCGATGCCTCTGCGCTGAAACTCGTGCGCAGTTCAGTAAGTATGGGCGAAAATAAATCGCAAGTCCATACTGATAGAGTTGCTCACGGTGCCGGACGTGCTCCGCCGTGATTTTTTGGAGACGAGAAGGATGAAAGTGAAAAGCTTAGCGCTGCTGCGTACCAACCACCCCAAGCCCCTACGCAGCACCCCACGGGTTTGCCTACTTCCGATCCCTCTGCGCCTTCTTCGTCAGAGCTCCCAGCGAGCTCAAGCGGCTGCTGCTGGTAAGTGTCGAACTCTTTGCGTGAGAAGCTACCCCATACGCAACCGAAAAGCTTGAAGGGAATTCGTCACATTCATACCCCGCCGCATTTCCACTCCCGGCAGGTTCTTCTTCCGATACCAACATCGACGGAGAAGCACTCAAGCAAAGAACAAGAACGAACCAACTTCACGGTCAGCGAATCGCCCAAGGCTACCTACCACGACGATGAAAAGCGCTAGCACGAGCAAAGCGCTGGGGAAATGCCTGCCCCTACGAAGAAAATGGCGAAAGTGCGCAGCCCAATGAAAAAAAACACAAAGCAACCGAAAGCAGCGACGAAGGCTGCCAAAGTACCGAGGAAGGCTGCCAAAACACCGGGGAAAGCTGTCAAAAAAATGATGGCCATGGAAGCGGAGTAGCTTGCTATAGAACTTCCCCGCTGTGGCTCGCATCGCTTTCGAAAGCCAACGAGAGACGCACGCTCATCAGTTTCCGACTTTAGAACGAAAGGCATCACTTCAGTAGAATAAATAAAGCAAATCGATCAAGTTCGAGAATCAAAGCGCGACAGCCAGGCTGATCGCTCTCATTTTCCATCCATCCAGGGAGAGGCCTTCGAGCAATTATATAGAAAAAGCAGGCAGGCAATACCTACGCACGGAAACAGTAAGCGAGTACCCCGCTCGGTGATATGTTAGAAAAAGCGCCAGCAAATCCCTGCGAGTCAGCGCTATCTTTTACGAATTGCATGGAGAGCCTCCAGACGGGCCCAGAATGCATGGCGCCACAGTTGTGACGAACTTCACACACGGCTGAGGATCAAGATCAAAACGAATGCCACAACAAAGCCACGGCACACCGGTGAGCTATCAGCTTAACCAGCCCGCAGCATACCATACGCATGCCACGCGCATAAAATAAATTCCAGAAGCATCCAAATGACACGACGCCAAATAAGGCTGCACAAGCAAAGGGGGAGCCATCCCACATCAGCGCGCGGGATTTGCATCACCTGGCTAACACGTCTAGCATTGCACGCGTGTCCTCTTGCATTTTTTGCAAGCGACGCCATCGGTGTCGACAGGTCAGCCGATGCACTGCGCGCGACATGAGAGGAGCTAAACCGGACAAAAAAGCAAAACAAAGCCACAAAGGAAGCGCGTTAGAGTTGCGCGCTGTATACATTGTTATGCCATCGAGGTCGGGCTTGGTCTCTCTTTTGCTCTCTATGCATAGAATGCAAATGCTCCGCGTTTTCTTCTGCTTTCTTGTCATGTCTTTGCTGCAAGTCATGCCATCAGCGTGCTTCTTCCGGGACAAAAGATGTCGCACATGCGCCGGCGCCAGCTGAACGGGAACGACGACGGAGACACCTGCGGTAAGTTTCTTTTTGGAATTGGAAACCAAAGAAAACAAAACACCAGCCCAGCAGTGCGGCTGGGGTCGATGATCTTCACGGGCGCGAGCACTGTCCACGCATGAGCATGAAGCACGGGAACACTTTTGAAAATGAGCACTACTGTGCTACCAGTACCATCAAGATCATGACGATGGTGATGATGTAAGCCCACCGATCGGGTGGGGCGGGATGCCGTCTCATGTCATCCCTGCAGCCGTTACCATCAAGATCAACCACAACGCGCTAAGACTTTTGCTGCTTCGTCAGTGTTAGCGTATAGGATTCTTTTCTCACCGCACCGATCTACTTCTAACTCGCGAGCCAGCGAAGTCGTGCTTCTTAAGCACTCGCTTCGCTGATAGCAATCCTAAAACCAGCGGAACCAACCAAGTCGCTCGCTTTGGACTATGCTACTGCATTAGCCGCTGCGGGATTCAATAAGCCACGGCCACGGGCTCAAAGCGATAAGCGCTGCGCTTGTTTTATGGTAGAAGGCAGAAGCCTTGCAGCAGTGCAGCATTTTGGCCCCCCTTCAGGCTACCCCGTTGCGCGGTTTTTGTATCGTGGAGAAGCATGGACAAGCCCCCCCGCGACGGTTCGTTTCGCCAATATCTGAAACAGCGCAACCCGCTACCTATGATCCCAATTCGTTTGGCGCAAGCCGGTCAAAGTGCTGGCTTATCGAATCCAGGTAGTCCGTACGTGCTACAAGTTTGCTCTCTATTAATTCGCTGGCCAAGTCCTCTCCTTTAAGTGTTCCCTCTGTGTGGGGCGCTTTAGCAAGTTCTCTCTCGATCGTGGGGTGGTCGCTGTTTTTGTTTTTCTGATTCGCTCGGCCTCCAAGATTGTTCTGATTCTTGCTGCCAGCAAGCTGCTCAAGGTTTTCACTGCATTGGACAAGCAACACAGTGGCAAGAGCTAGGCTGGGCCTCTCGCGTATTGTATACTGGTCAAAATTTTCGAGCGGCTGCGTTGTCTCAATCTGGTGCGAATCCATTATCTTGCGCGCAAGAGTTTGCAACTTCTTCAAAAATGTCGCGCGCAGCAACTGTCTGCAGCAACACCAGACCCGTCGGGTTCTGAACGTAGTGGCCTTTCTTCTGCTGGGTAGCAGTTTTCAACTTTTTCAGCAGTATACAATACTGCTGATGCTTCGGCTATTGCGTGGCTACTGTATTACTGACTGAAGACGCGGCGCATATCTCTCACGCGCGTCGCGTGCAGTCAGGTCGCGTCGCCTGGGTTCTTTTCAGTTGATTCGTACGAAGCCTCCTCGCTCTGACGCGCGCAGCCCTTTGGCGATACTTTCGTTTCACGCGCGACGCTTGTCCGTCGTCAAAGCAGCGCACTTCTGTAAGCATTCCCTTCAGTTCGGACCCACGTTCTTTGCTGCCAATCGCTAGCTGCTTCCAGAAAGTAGCGGGCAAGTTTCTTCCTTCTTGTCTCTGCAGTATTTCCCTCCTCCCCCTTCTTCCCCTTTTTCCTTAAAGTCATGCACTTTGCCAGTATATCAGACCCTAGCGGTCTTGTTTTCTAGGTCTAGACCTTATACTTACACGAGACAGCCCGAAGTGACTTAATAAACTTAACAGCAGCGCAGGGATGTCGTCATCCCTGCGCTAGCCTGTGATATATATCTACAAGTGAAGATCATGAAGTACGTGATCAGCATGGCCCACCTCTTCATTCTTTCTTGGGCAGACCAGCACCCAAGATTCGTATTTAGCTGCCGCGAACATGCGTGACGATAACGAGCTTCTGAAACGTAGAGGAGATCTCAGAGAAATCACACGGGATATGGATCTTAGTCAAGCATCCATGAAAGGCAATGGGAAGAACTCCAACATCTCCGGGATAAGGGCATAACGAATCTTGGGTCGTTAGGGTTACGGTTGTTTGAGAATATAGTCGTGCTTCGAGTAAGGATAATTGATAGAAGTACTTTCACCTCAAATGTGATAGAAGTGCTTTCAATTAAAATGTGAGGAATAATCATTTAAATGTGATACTAGAAGTACTTTCAATAGTGTAGAAGTCGGAGTGTATCTTCAGATGAAGATGCTTTTATCTGGACAAGGAAAACTTTTACTACTTCTAAAAAGGGTAATTACAACCCCGTCGTTTGTCGCAGTGTTGCATATTCATCGATTGCGCCCACAAGCACGATGCCAAAGGGCATCTGTGTGTGGCACTGGGTGGGTACTTCGCTTGATTGTGGTATGATAGGGAGTTGACATGAATTCTTTCACACACGATATACTCTATGTTGTTTTTTATTGCACCACCAAGTTCTTGAAGCAAGTAGCGGGGGCTTGCGTGACCACGGGATTTACACAAAGTTGTTTAAAAATACTTGATGGAAAAAAGGCTCTCGTTCTTCTTATGGTATTTATGGCTGCACAGGCTCTTCGGCAATTCTCTCTGTCATCGTTGCCCTTTTGGGACCAAGAATGTAAAGGTAGTAGTTCTTATAGAAGTGAAAGATAGCCTATGAGCTCTCGTTGGAGACTACAGGTACTAGTTTATTTGAGTTTGGCGTACTGCTTGCAGCACCCTCAGACACTCCTTGGATCTGGAAAGATCGGGTAACATGGTGGCAGAGGCGGTGAAGTCGACATTGCATGTTCCCAAAATTGATCATTGCTATTGCCCGCACACTAGCCTCCAGATTGCGTAATCAAGCGCGGATTTCCACATGCCAAAGTCAAGCAAGAAGATCAGTGGGCATGACGAACAGAAGGTCAACAAGGCTACAGCAAGATCACTTCTAATAGAGTACAAGGTCACATTCTCAGTTCATTATAACTTTCACCGCTTTTCTTGACGAGTTGTTCCTCGAGAAGATCACGGAGAAGATCCGCTGAGAACAAGGTCTTTTGACGATAATTCGTTGTCTTTATCCTCGTACAAGTAGTACTGCTGTCAACAAGTGGATGCGTGGGTGCGTTTACGCCTTGTCTGATTTTTCCCAGCAGGTGCGGTATAATCCTACTACTTCTACTGTGAAAATTCCAGTTCATTGTTTGTTGGCCTCACAACATAACGACGTCCGCGTGTACTTAAGTAAATTTTCCATCTTCGACGTAGCTCCAGCACCGATATTTTAGATGAGTAGTAATTTCTGCAAGTAGTCGTGTAACTACGGTATTCAGTATGCCACCTTGTGCAGCCTGTGGTGCGGATCCTGCCGCTGCATCGTTTAGGTGTGCTGAGTGCCTCACAGCTGACGGAGCCCCACTGGTTTTTAGCATTTGTGACCGAGAATGCCAGAAAGTTTTTTGGCGGGCACACAAGGCTACCCACAGAGCAGCTCACGCATCGGTGAACAATAGTGCGGGATTTGGAAGTAGCGGATCTTCATCATGCGGAGGAGAAGCAACAAGTAAAATTCATGGAATGAACAATCCAGGCACGACGTTTGGTATGCCTGGAAGAGGTGATTGGAGCAGAGGTCTCACCGCCAAGGAAGTCCCTGAGTGGTTTGTGGATTGCTACCGGATGCGCGTCGACGATGACTACGCATGGGGTGGAGGAAACTTGCACGGTCTCTACGCATCACACGACTGCGAAGACACCGATGAGATGGTCATGGAGATTCTCAGGGACTTTCTGATCTTTATGAAACTCGCAGTTTTGAGAGGTGTGATTCCCGCTGCTGGCTTTGATTTTCGTGCTTGCGTTGCAGAACATGGAGGAAAGCTGCTGAGATATGCATTTGAGAAATCAGATGCACAAGAAAAGTGGGGTGGAGAGAACGTGTTTCAGTCGATCATAGCTGGCGGGCGACCAAGCTTGAGGGTGGTCGCAGAACAGGTGTACGGATCTAGTTGCATGTACGGTGGCGGCGGAGGCTTCATGGGTAGTGAAAGTTAGAAGATGTAAGTAGATTTTTTGTTGCGTATGATTCGCCCACGGCGTTCTGTATGTATCATCTGTTGTCCACATCGATTTTATTTGATGAAGATGTGATATTATTTGAATTTGATATAATTGTTGAGTTCTTTCTTTTTTCTTTTTGATCATCATGAACAATAAGTTTTGAATCAAAGTAACTATATCGTAACTACAGGTGAAGATGAAGCTATCGGGGATGATGCTGTCGAACAAGTCGAAACGCTCATCGACAATGCTGGCTTGCTCATGCGAGGCGTGAATGATTGTGACCCTGCTGTGTTTCAAGAGGTTGGTGGCCGTGATACATGGCTCGAACTCTACAACGAACTTCTTCAACAAATGTAACTCTCCAATCGCTATTACCCTGAAAGTGAGGCTCCTGGGACTCATGTACATCACACCTTCGACGCCGACTAGATTAAAGATGATGTATGTGAATGATGATCCTGGTGCAGCATGTTGAGCATTTCCGGGTGAAGTGCTTATGGCGTGTCGATCCTTGGCCAAAACCCAAATCGCCCTGATGATCATGTATCTGAAATTCCCAAAGATAGATGATTATCAGTACAGCTCGCTGTACTCTTAGTGCTGTGCACTCTCCATTCAAACAGTACGCGACATTCCAAATGGACGATGAAAATCATATATTTGGCAGTGCAAGAAGTAGTACCAGTTCCCAACTGTGCGTGGTGCGGACTACGACTACAAATTTTACACGAACGCATCTTCTGTTGTGCGTGCTGTGTCAGAGACGATGGTAACGAATGAAAAAAATCAGAGATGAGCAGGCGTGAAGATGATCAAACTAAGTAGGAAGATGAACTACGAAGACACTCTTCCGTGATGAACAAGAAAACTTTGTATAGTATGACATCCTCATGAGAGCATGCGAAGGCGAACGGGGAAGACGTACTTACAAATGAGAGTGTAGAGCTACTGTTTGAGACGAAGATGACACGCGGACCCTTGCTTTCAATAGTTCAACGGGAATTTTTGGTTCGTACACTTGATCCCTATGATTACTATTCAATAAATGTGATGATAATAAAATGTGGTACCAACGAGCTACAGAAACTTCCTATTTTTTTATGACCAGATGTATAATGAATCGTCCACCTTGAAAATGTTTTATTGTCAACTCATTGGTTCATGATCATCGTCTCGTCATGATTTTTCTTTTTGGAATCCGAGAAGAAGTAGTCTCCCTGTGTCTGGTCGAAGATCAAGATGCAGTATCCTGCTGCGTTGATCGTGTGCGATCTCGGGGAGGATCGCCTCGAGGACCTGCGCGAGGTGCTCAGAGAGGCTCAGTACGCCACTGTCACACACGTCGATAGCACGGAGAAGGCAGCGGAGCTGGTGCAGCGTAACTTTTACGATGCGGTAATCTCAAAGTTGGGACGCGAGCGGCAGCCAGGCTTAAATGGCAATGCCTTGTTGCAGACGGTTCAGCGCGCGCACCGCGGCCGCTGTTTCTTCCTCGTCTGGTCACTCAGTGCGCAGAGCGACGCCGCCATGCGATGGAACTTGGCTCTCAATTTGCGGCTTGCCTTGATATTGTTTTCTTCTTTCTGTTCTCTGATGAAGAAATGCTCAGGTAACTCTACCTCGTCTAGGAGGATTTGAGTAATTGTACGTTTTTTTGCACTCTACTTCTCTCTGCTTCAAAGCTTTTTGTTCTACTTCGGAGCGGCGGCTGTTCTTCTTCTTACTCTTCTTCTAAACTTTGGCGCACACATGGTCAGCTTCGACATGTCAGCGATTCGAACTGCCCTAGGACGTGTAGCGAGTGTCCGTCTTTCGTCCATGGCAGCGACTGGTACTTTTGCAGCAGTTGCTGGTGGTAATGCTACCTCTTCGTCCTCTGCAAACAACGCTCTCTCGTCACAAGCCGACGACCCTATGACAGGACCTCCCGAAAGTGCTTCGACGCAGAGCCAACAAGTACATCATGTTGAACCAATGGCAGGGAAAGGGGTCAGCGCTACTCCTAGTAGTAGTAGTACTGCAACCATCGACACTACTACATGTATAGCGGTACCGACAACACCAAAATCTGGGACTTCGACTTTTCCAACAATGACAGCACCACTCTACTCGTGTCCCTTCTGCGGCCTAAGGGACTTGACGGAAGATGGCCTGTGGAGGCATATGCCCTTGTACCACATAAACGCGAGGCCTTCAATTATGCTTAATCCTCGGGTTTGCTCTTTTACAAATTATCATTTTCTACTTGAAAGTCATGTACGTAGTTTCAGGAATTTCCCTTAGCAAAAGAGTGAAGATCACTCACTTCCATTGAAGTGCGGCAGTGTTGGACATTCACGACTAGGATGAGGATGAGAAATTGAACCTCATTATATCAGAGTAGTTTATAGCACGCATGGTGCATGGAGGGCATGGAGCGCAGAGCTTTAAGGGGCGCAAGAAGCTCCCCCTTTAGCTCCATGCTACTCCATGTGGTCCATGCACTCCATGCCATGCGAGCAGTGAAACCTTATAAATTGCTCTGTTATATAAATTTTTGAAATGTCGCTTAGATGCGCGATCTTTTGTACCTACTGTTCTCTCCGCTTCCGAGCTTATTAAAATGAAATTTTATTCTGTGAAAAGCATAAAGCATTGGTGACAGGCTCTACTGGAATATTAAATTAGTACTGTGATGTCTGTGATATTGATTGGAGTTTCTGTGATCATGGTTGGAGTCTTTGAACTTTTCGCTTTAAAATTTTGCGTTCTGGTAAAGCATTGCCCAATATGCAGATTGCCGGAGGTGGAGAACATGCAGGTGCATATCCGAAACGCGCATGGTCCGTGCAGGCGCGGTGAGGTGCATTCAGAGTTTTCAGAGCGTCCGCCAATGCTAAACGCTTTTGCGCTAGTGGTACTTACTTTCATTTTTAGAGTTCGTTGTACATAAGAAAATAGATCTAGATCATAATGAAAAATTACATTTTATTATATCCAAGATACCATCTTCCAAATCCAACTCGTTCAATATGTTTTTTTTCGTTCTTTTCCTAGTTAGGTTGGCTCCACCACTACCATTCAATAGGTATGCATCCATCGTGGGAAGATTTTGCTGGTGCAGGAGTTCGCGTCCTCTGGGTTCTGGTTGCCTGGCGGACGTGTGGACGCGGGAGAAGACTTGAAAGCAGCAGCGACGCGAGAGACATTAGAAGAGGCTGGCGTCGCTGTTGAAATCACTGGCGTCTTACAGGTTCAATACCGTGTGCCGCGACCTGGCAGCGTGCGCTTACGCGTGATCTTCTTTGCGCGACCCATTCTACCGTCTGACCCCAGACATACTAGAAGCAGGACCAGCAGTGGCGGCAACTTTGTCGAGCTCTTACCGATAGAAAGCATAGGTCTAGGGTCATCTTCAAGACAGCATAGCGGAGAGCAGCAGTCTGCGAGTACTGGAGGAGTGACGGATTATGTCTGTCCCCCAAATTCTACACCTGCGGGCAGCAGTACGATGAATCTGCAACTAGGAAGGGATCACCACCAGTTATTCCACCAAAACGCGACTTCTGCATTAACAACTACAGCTGGCGAACAAGTAGTTGTACAGCAAGGTGTAGCTGCTACATCAACGGCCGCCACAGGAGGTGGTACGACACCAACCTCCGCGAGTAGTCAAGAAGTGATCCCGAAAACACTGCCCGATTACGAGAGCGCGGGTGCGGTGTGGGTTGCTCTGGACAAAATGGACTCGCTAGTGTATCGCGGCAGTGAGCCTCTGTACTGGGCAAATTATCTGCGGAATAAAGGCACAATCTTTCCTGTCAGTGTGCTGTCTGGGAAAGAAAACTAACAGGCGAAGGCTCTCGTCTTCCTTGCTCTGCTTGTAATGAGACTTGTACTAGTTTCTCCTCGGATGTGAACTCTATTTATTCAATTTGCATTTTTGTGCTTTGACATTCGCATTCCTGCTAAGTCCACACGCATGGCGTAGTCGCCGACTTATGATTATATCGAGCAAGCCTCTCTTTCCGTGTAGGCACAGAGCCGCGGTTTTGCTCCGTCGGTCTGCGTAGTAGCCTCATTTGATTTAGTTGTAGGAAGAGACAGCAATCGTGACAAGTGCCTGAGCCTGGCTGATGGTTCTTAATTATTCGTTGAAATATCGGTATACGTATCCGTCGGTATATTTCTAGTGCGGTCTACAAGAGCTGCTGAAGTATCATTTCGAGATCAATAAATTGTAGTGGACCCGTGCTTCTGAACGATCGGTCTCGAAGATCTCGAGAGGTTCTGATGAAGTTAGTGTCGGTATCAAAGATCTCGATGAATTCGGTATGTCTATCGTTGCCTACACACCTTTCGACTCATCTACCGCTCATCTCCCCGCCCCACGTCCTCTTCTGCCTTATTTAGAAAGTAGCTGAATATCAATATTGTTGGCGTGGTTTTACTCAGGTCGTGATGATGAATTGATATGATTACAGGTGACTCCTCTAAATATATATTATCGACTGTGCTGCCTAGCACTAGCTTGTCTAGAAGCATTTTCAGTTTCAGATCTCGTCTCTACGCTTATCAAGAGAGGTGGCAACAGGGACATATGCATGCATCTAAATGTTATCGAAGTTCTATAGTTGACGTCACGCCGCTAAGTCTACTCTGTCTAACACTTGCTCAGGCTTATTTTTATAGTTGGCGTCATTTCACTTTCTCGAGGATTTAAGTTGATGTCTCGATTTCTCACCTTACAACCTATCGATATTATCCTGACCTTAGATTCAAAGTTTGGTTTGATGTCATCATCAAAATTCGTCTAACTCCAAAGTAAGTAGTGTGCTGATATTGAATGAAAGAAAGATGAGAGGTGAATCCAGAAGGCACCTCCAGGATTTCAGTTCTTCGTATTCAGTTTTTAGTACTTTGTTTTCAGTTCTTCATCGTAGTACTATTCGTATGCAGTAGTTCTTCGTATTGGTATTGTGTCTTGTCTTGTGACTAGCATTTCCGGACGCGAACAAGATGTCGGCGAATGAGGAGACCCACCTGTTGCAGCAAAGTCCTGGAGGACAGCAAACTACAGAAAGTTCGGGAGCGTTATGTCCATCTCATTGTGTTGTAGAAAGTTAGAAGTTTTAAAATAAAGATCTTTGTTTACTACCTACAGATCCCGCGTCCACGCCCTAAAGTGCAAGGGGAAGAGAAACGGCGCATACTTAATTAAAGAAAGTAAATCAGTTTTTAGACTCAATTTTTGTGTTATGCAACCTCCTTGAAGTTGAATACCAATTTGATAGGTTTGGGTTAATAGGTACACTACTTCAACATCTACTAGTACTAAGCAAATCCGGGAGTCTCAGCGGACTCGTCAGTCCGTCAATCAATTTTACCTTTGTAGCTGCAGCAACAACCTCCTTCTGTCGTTGTAGCTACGAACGTGGAACAATATATTTCACTTGTTGTACTAGCTAGCAGTAGAAGAACATATGAACATTCGACTTTTACTCACAAATCTAATATGAAAATTGTACCAGCACTGATCTTGTAGCTGGTACAAGTACCACTATATTATAGTATACATAGATCTTCATTATTTTTGCGTTGAGAAATATCATGATTTGAGATGCACTGATAGTAACATTGAGTAGAAACCCGATTTTCATAGTCGGATCAAGACGAGTTCAGATGGGGACAGGATCCGAATGTGGATATCATGGTCACCGAGGATCTGGAGGCGGATCTGCGCAAAGGCTTTGCTCGAAAAACGTTCGGTCTGACTGGCGCAATGCTCGTTGTCTGGGCAATCATCATGTTTTCGTCCAAGTTTCGGATGTGTTCTGCTCTCGGTGCGGCAGCGCAAGACCCCAACTCTATCCTCTCGCTCCATGAATCCAATAATTATGGTTGATAATCTAAATTTCTGCTCTGTCTCTTGGTCTTGACTAAAAGTCTAGTTACATACTTGATGTATCAAATCAATTTCATCCGTTTTTCTGTCATCTACTTCATCTGCACGACCATTATTATTTATTAGATTTGTTTCCTTTTTTCTGGTTTTGGATGGTTTTTTTCTACAGAGGTGCCACACGACCACTGTCATGGAATACTCATGCTAAGCCCACCCCGGCAACGGAAATATTACTCCTAGCTACAACTACTACTTGACCACGTGGTGGTCCTCGTGGGGCCCTTCTATGAATGTATTATGTTCATAATTCTAAAACCTGAACGGGAAAGAATCCCTCTCGAAGCAAACCGCAGACGATCACAAAAAATATATCATGGGTTACCAGAATCTCTGCGTCACCGGTTTTGTGCAGATGAAAGAAAATGGCGCTGGGGGCGAGATGACTCCAGATATTCCTGACGACGAGAGACTCCTGAACGTGCATGTGTACTTACTATGTGAACTATAAGAATTAATATATGATTATAGTATTATACACTAACCCACTAGTAGCTACATAAGAGGTACTATCATGACATGACATGATTATTTTTATTGAAGATATGATAGGTATTTTTACTAAACGTAAACTTATTCGAAACTACAAAGAAAGCCATGTTCTTGTTTGTTGTGATACCGCGCTAGTTGTGAGCAGGTCGACGAGGTGGCGAACAACAAACTTTCTTGAGTATAAGAATATCTATGGCGTTATGTTCAATATTTCTTCGCAAGGAACAAGTAGAGCTACAAAAGAACAACGATGAAAGAATGAATTTCATCAATACCCCCACAACTCCAGGGCGTTGTTTCTCGTGGCCATCCAGCATTTGTTTATCGCGGGGATCGTTGCGTTTGTAGGAGTTTGCTTTGCTATACCAATTCTTTTTATGGGTAACTTCAACTGATCCTTTGGAACATCTTCATATTACTTAATATATATAATGACCATGAACAAAGTTCAACTTCAAAGAATAAGATGCTGCAAAGAATAGGATGCTGCTTTTTCCTCTCGATAGCTCTAATAGCTGCACAATATTCTGCTGTGGGCCCTGCTATGGAGACGATCAAAGATTAACGCCTAAACCACTAAGCCAACTGCGCAGTTGGCTTAGTGGTTTAGTGGTATGGGCGTTGACCTGTACACCTATCATTCACCACCATCGACGACTGTTTGATACTATCTTAATCTCTCATCTACTTGATATTCCGCATTTGCAGAAAGATCAATGAATCATGGACTTTTCTGGAGCACTTTATTAACCACATGATAATCGAACCTATTTCTTGTCCTTAGCGCCGCGGATACCGTTAGCAGGTGACAAAGACAAGAACAAAAGAAAGTACTTATACAAGAGCTGAAAGTGCAATATTGTCTCTTAGGTAGTCTTATAGGAATTGCGACAGGGACAGAGACACACACATGGCATGAAAGTGCGTGTGAACCTGGACGCATGGCTACACTTCTAACTTCCCTGTGGTGTCGGGGCCGTGAGGAAAGCACCTTTATCCTACATTCTGTGCTTCGGACTGGCAGCCTCATACTTATGGACGCCAACACCAGTCTCATTTCATCGTTGTATCTTCAATGGGTTACAACCTTGCTAGTACTTAGTGAGAAATTGAAATACTTTTTGTCGTCCTTCATTGCTGTTTCTCCACAGGAGAATTAATTTGAGCACCAGGGAAAAAGCCTAAATCCGCTTATAAGCTATGCAGAATATCTTGTTACCCACTCGGCAGGTCTTGGGCTGAATGATGAAAGGCTTCACCCTCTAACCTCAGGCATGATCTTTCAGGTACTGTCTCTTGTCATGACCGGTGAAACGATTTTTGCGGCGATGATATTTGCTGCGCGTTCCCCAATAGAAACTACAAGCAAGGAATTGGGTCTGCTGCGCTGCTCGCATCCTATTTGCTCTATTCTTCTTGCACTAGAAGCAGAGGGTCGTCGAACAAAATAAGTCAGCAGCTTATGAATTCTCTTCATTTTTCTAGAGATCGATGTTGAAACTTCTGGTACGATCTCAGATTCCACTACTCCCTGATGAAAGTAAAAAGACCTTCAACAATATGCATCTTACCAAGAAGATGCGACACCTTTTGATTACAGGTACACTGTGAATGACCCACGACTCAACTGACCTTATTCTCGACCACTCTCGCTTCGTGCGCGAAGCCCTCCCACCTCCACCTTTATTTGCACTTAAATAATATGAATATGTATATGATCACACCAGGCGGTCATCCTGCTTTCCGACGCTACTGATGTGGTGACAGCGTTGTGTCACACAGCGACATTCGTGCTTCTCTTAAGCCGAGATGGTTATTCATCAACGCCTGACGTGAATGTCTTAAAAAGTGCCGAACCTCTATGACGCCCCTATGGCAGTCTGCACTGAACTTTGTTCGATGTTCCTTGTGTTGTATTGTATAGTTCAGTTGTACTATGTTGATGTACATCTCCCGAAGAGGAGCAAGTTGTAGCTGAATCTACTGTGAAGTTTCGTGCTCCTGAAGATTGTTGCAGAAGTTTGATAGATCATGATATAAGATAAAACAAAGTTGCAAGCAGTGCACGGCGAAGATTCCCCGGCATTTTTTACTGACGTCAAGAAGTCAGGATGGTGAAAAACTTGCTGCTCTAACCGTAGCATACGCCATGAGCTTCTATTGCCTTGTTATGATCCGGATAGTTTATATCACAGATGGAGAAGCAAATTATAAAGCATAGGCTTCGTTTATAGAAGGTAGAAGTGGTCGTATACTTTTTTTATAAGTTTTTAGTGGCGTTTGCAAAAAATTGGTTTGAAAACAAGTAGCTCCTTCCTATCTCAATGATTATGTATTCGGATGTCAATCTCAATATTTTGAATTCTATAATTTGTTTCAGAATTCAGATTCAGGTAGCCGCTTGCTTTTTTTTGTATCCTGGGGCTGCTAGAAGAGTGGCTTCAGTTTTTATCCAGTTCGCAAATCTTATAACGCTTTGACTCTAATGTGTACCTTACCGGCATGGGATTGTGGATCTTCCTGTTTGGTGGGATGCTACCTTTCTTGGGCCTCATCTTCATCCTGATGATCATGCTTCCTACTTCGATGGCCTGCTTCGGACTCTGCCCGTACTCCAGTGATTTACTCCTTGTATAATTGATGGGATGTAGTTCTTAGTCCCTATTCGCAATATAATTGATGGGATTACTCTCTACTTAGACTACTCTCTTGTTCTACAACAGGGCGACCGCTGCAGTGGTTGTGCCGACGATGACGAAGGTTGTTGTGAACGTTGTCGTTTTCCTGTGCGTGTCCATCTACCTCGTTTTCTATTTCTTATGGGGGAGACTTACGCAAACTTAATCTACTACATCACTACATACAACTTGAAATGCTACTACTTACATCATTTACCGGCTGCTCTTGATTTTCTTATAATCTATCGTGAGTAAAAATAGCTGTTTTTGTTGTTCGGTAAGTAGATGCAGGGAGTAGCAAGAATACAGAGTATATTCAGTTTTTGAGATATTTAATTGGAATAAGATGATTTATTAGGTTTACAACATAAGTATCTTCTAGTAGTGTTGGGCTTAATAGAGTAATGGTAATCTCCCCACTGAATCTATACTTCTAGTAGTACTAACTATTTAAATTCTCATTTATACTCATCCTCTGCATTTTCTTTCTCATACTAGCAGATGATTATCGGAGGCAAGCACAGGAGAAACCAGTTCTCGATTGACGACTACGCGTTGGCGGCTTCCTGTCTCTTCCTCGAAATCATCGAACTCTTTCTCCTCATGCTTAAGGAACAATGCTTCAAATGTAGTTTTTCTTTCGTCATGATCCTCTTCCTGAGGTAGTTGTTACTCACTGTGTACCTTAATGTTATTGAAACAATTTTATCAACATTTGATCAACATCTACTGTCTCCAAGAACATGACAAGAAATTGTAAACTAGCTGAGGGGATTTCACTTTTCAACCACAGAATCTTCACTTTTCATCAACCTGCTTTTACTAGAACAATGAAAAAATATATGATACACTACCTCGTCATCTAATCTATTGTGTTGATGTATTGTGAAGGATCCCTAACCTAACCTAACTTTGTATTGTACACTACCTCTAATCTGCTCAGAATTCTGGCGGCAGCGAAGCGACAGTAGCACGCGTCTTTCCAAGGAGGAGGGTGGACAGAGGACGAAATGGAAATTTGTAGTCTACGTACCATAAAAATCCAAGTAAATTAGAACTAAGTTGGAAATGGTAGGACTATGAACTCATACACAAAGAACGCATTAGAATGTATTCTAGTGTGAATTGATTTTGGTGATTGAGAAGTAATTACAAGGTACTTAAAAGTACGAAGTACTAGGAGGAGCATACTCATCTAATGCACAGCACTTAAGAATGTAAGAACAAGAAGAATAAAGGACTACAAGATAGTAGTTGCGCATTTATTATCATCACAGGAGGCGCAGACAAGTTCCTTCAACATCACACAAATAGGAAGAGCAAATGCACAAGATCTTCATACAACTAACACATCAAAACTCGAACATTCACGTGGACTCAATAAAGATACACGCGCATCAACATTATGGGAATTTTCTAGAAGAGGTTCTTAGTACAGTTTATTACGTAAAAATAACCATCACACTCATGTAGCAACATGTTCAAGTGACAAACACAAACATCACAGGTAACGTCACATACATGCATAATTCCCGTAACATTCACAAGCAATATTGACAAACACATGCACAACCATCCTTCTATCATCGATACGTAATTATTTGTTACTAAAGCATCTTCCATGGATGAGGATGATCTCCGCACAATAAATCATGTGCATCAACTGAATTTTCATGAGCACTCCCATTTTCCTTACCCTTATGGTTAGTTTCTCTTACGTGTGATGTTGCAGGCTAGGTGTATTAGAGATGTTCTATCGTTGCCTCAAGTTGAGCATGATGCTAGTATTTGTCACTAATGCTCCATATAATTGTAAAAATTTGTCATGTTGTCAATGGCTTGTGGTCGGGAAGAATCAATATTTGGGAAATTATCAATGTAAGTACTTATAAATGAGATGGAAGAGTACGAAGATTCAAATTGCATAAGAACCTCTTGGTTTTGAATGATGACCACAGATGAATCAACATGTATATAAAAAACGGACTCGCCTGATGATCCGCAGTGCCGAGCACTTCGATAAGTGGGAATAGGATCATCGGCATCTTCATCAGTGTATAGAACGCTCAGCCAATTCCTATCCTAGCCATAGAAGAAAATGTGGCGTTTAGATTGAGGGACTGAACTTGTAGTCATCTTGGTGACGTGTTGAGTACTTGGCGAGTCTAATTCAACGCGCGGAGGGAAACAATCAGAGTGAGGTGACACTACTGCTGAATTTAGGCTGAATCTAGTACTAAACGAACATCTATTTCCGAATCCGACTTAAATTGGAAGAGCGCGCGACTTTTGTTCGTTTTCTTTGCTGCGGGTTTCGACGTTGCTTGAGACTGGCTGCATCCGGGTTCGACGTTCGAGATCACGTTGTTTCGCCGGTTCGATCATATCTCCTCTTTGACTTTGACGAGAATAGAAATTTGGGCTTCTTCTTGAATACAAAAACAGCAAACGAGAAGATGATTTTTGAAAAAAAAAGGGTGATTATCTGACGCAACAGATAATTGGGAGGCTGTCTGCGCCCTGCTTCGGTCTTATTTTACACGAGCTTTTATCTATCTTTCTTCAGGTAAGAAAATTATGAGGCTGAAGACGACGACGAATACCTGAGAAACCATCCACTTATTTGATACTAAAAAGAAGATCCTCCACGACACTAAAAAATGAAAATGTTGCGAAATATAGTAAACACTTTCATCTCCTTTAATATCGTCGTTTTTCTACTACAGGTACAGTGCGACATTGCAAGTGAGTGATTGCAGCCTATTTTGCTTGTCCTGATTCTCTTCTATCATCGTTGGTATGTAATCTCACTCATTGACGCGAGTATTCTGGTGATCTCCGAATTTCAGGTAAAAGTTCTTTAGGTAGAGAGGTCCGTCTCCGTATCAATATGGTCGGGATCATTTATGCTAAAAAATCATGATACAGCTGTACTAGTTTCGATAAATTATAAAACTGCTTCTTCTAGTACTAAACGTGTTGTTCATCTTGTTCTTGACCAGGAAAATAAGGAGAACAACGATCATGGCGTTGAATTCCGCAGTAGGAGCTCGCCAGTTCAGCTCGCAATCGAGCCAGCGAGGTAGGCAGACGGCGTCGAAGCGTCCGCGATTTCGCGTAATCCCCATCCGAAGCTTGGACGATTTTGAAGAAAGCAAAAGTACTGCTGGCGCTGCTCAACAAACTGTAGTTGACGAGTCAGGAGCTCGTCCCTTGGTGTTGGAAACAGCAGAACGGGTAATTTCGTTTGGTCGTTCTGCAGCTTGTGACGTTTCTCTCGACAGCATCTTTTTGTCCTCGTGTCAATGCGAAATTTTTTTAGCCCTGCGTTGTCACGGACAGCAGACGATAACTTCTTCTAAACATAGTGGAGCAGCAGCAGAAGGTGGTGCGTCCCAGGGTAGTTCTTCGCAGAAAAATAGATCTTCGAATAAAAGCAAGAAAGTTTTGATGCCGGTAGTGCGGAACCTTGGACGCAACCCTGTACTCGTGTTTTTCGAAGGCAAAGCGGAGAGGCGAAAAAAAGTTCAGCGAAATGAAGAAGTGCAGGTAGCTGGCGGCGACGTGTTGGCTTTTAAATTGCAGCAGCCGGAATGCGTCTACTTCCGCATCGTCGAAGAAACAGGAAAGTCGAGCAGCCAGGTAGCCTTACATAGTTGCAGTGAAGCTTGTGCACCTGCGGCGCGAGCGTCCGCTGCGGGCCTCCAACCTGGAAGTGCGAATGACGTCTCCAAACTGCAAGAAAATATAGTACTGCAAGAGCAAGTCGTTGCTGGTCGTAACCCATCCACATCGCAGCAGGGACAAATCCAGCAAAAAGAGCACGAGCACCCTGGAGCTCTTCCTGCAGCTGCTCCTCCTTACCAGAAGAGCACGGACGCAGTTTTTGGCGACAGAAACATTGTTCCTGGAGAGGAGTTTCCAGGCCTCGGCGGGGACGCAGGAGAAGCTGGAAAAGGAGCGATAGTTCAGAACGACCAGAGCGAAGTCGAAGCACGACAAGAACGACAGGCAGAAAACAACTTGCGACGAGAACAACGAGAAGATCAAGGTCAACAAGAAGATGCGAGTTCTCGTCAAGGGGGAGAAGTCAGCGGCCGGCATAAAATGTCGGAACGTTTTCCGAGTATGGAAATCAGGTATGAAGACGAAGGAGAGCAGGAGCATAATGAGGATTATGGTCTTATTGATGATGCAGACGTCGACCAAGAAGAAGCAGCAGCAGAAGATGACGATCAGGAGCATGAAGTAGATGTAGAGATTCGAGATGAAGCCAACGAAGAAGGTGACGATAATCTTGAACAAGCTCACGTCGGACATGATCAACTTCCGCAGGTCCCCTCGGAGGCATCGAGACGCTCTATGCCGCGACTGGTTATTCATCATAAGGATACTAGTGGGCGAAAATCGCTACTCCACGGAGGAAAAGATGCAGATGAAAAACGAGAAGAGGAGGAAGGAGAAAAGCAGGAACGAGATGACTGTGCAGCTGGTGCAAAGAGGAGGAAGATAGAGTCTACTTCTTCATCCAGTGGCGCGAAGCTGTATGATGCAACTTCGAGTAAAGGCGCTAGTTCCGCGGCTCAACAAAGGAGTCGTCATCAAATAGGCGCGGTAAGCATATCATTAAGCGGAGGCGCACGAACTTTGGTTAGAAATCCTCCACTTTTCAGCGTTCAACATCAACTGCACGGCTCCACGTCGCATCTTTGCAAACCAAGTTGTATTAGAGCTGACGCGGCTGTGAATGTAATACAACAAGGCAGGAGTAGTTCAAGTAGTAGCTCTCATCTTGTTTTTCCGGCGAACGCAAAGATTAATGATAATAAAGCTGATGGTACCACCACGCACACGACCACGACCGCCGTGAACTCGGTATTTCTAGGGGGTCAACATCCAGTTGGCCCTGGTGCGCATACCAGTCGTTTGTCTTCTTCCAGATCTTCCCTTTCAACAAGCAGAACCGCATGCGGCCGCGGTGCAGCAGCATTGTTGAGAATGATGCAGCGAATGCGCGGGAAAGATGTCTGGTGCCAGCTGAATGCAGTCGGGCTGCGCGGTGCGCTGCACACCCTCTTTTAAGTTCAGCGAGCGTTTATCCATCTCTCTCGGCATCTTGGTACCCTTTTCCATTGTATTCCATTCTCATGAAATACAAGGCAAAAGCGGGCAAGATGAAGGGACCACCGAGATGCGTCCTAGCACACGCTAACTGTTTCGTGAGTTAGAAGAGGAAAGTGGACCACCACCACTGGGGATAATAAATGTTGATCAACAACAACAATTAGCATTACAGCAACTAGAGGGACAACGAGACTATAGTGTTGACAAAAATACCGGAAGCGTCGCGCTGCAAATGCTAGCACAGTATTGCCGATCCGCTGGTGAGGAAAAGGTGGCCAGCTTGCGACGGCTTGTTCAAGCGGACTTCGCGTCGACGCCAGACGTCGCTTGCGGTCTAGCACAGCGTCTAGCTGCGCGTCTGCTGCATCAACATCAACAACATACAGTTCTCCCAGCTTCGGAAGCTTCTAGAAGAAGTGACACTCTCTTGCTGCTAGTAGAATTGCTGTGGCCTTTGGGTGGTTCTCACTCGTGGAATTGGCACGTTCTGGCAAATGCACTTCGTGGCAGTTCTTCCACGACATCTCCTTCAACAGGACGACGGCATGAGGAGGACGAGTGCGCCAACATGATCGCGCGGCTGTTCGAGCGAGAGGATGCCTCTAGGGATCATTTGGAGGTCAGAAAAGCTGGTGGGATAAGAATCGCGGACACGGGGGACGAACAACAGCCACGACGCTTAGTCCAGGCGTGGTTGAATGGGTTCGCGTCTTGTAGTACTGTAGCTTCAAAATGCTTTTTACAATCCGACGTCGCATCCTGTGTTTTCTGGTATGCCAAACGATTGCACCTTGTGGAGGAACGAGAGGAGGAGAGGAAAAAAAGTGCGCCTCAACAAGAAATACAACAGGAGAATGAAATAGCCGGAGGACGACACTTAGGAGGTGGAGCAGAAGCAGGTGGAGTAAACCAAAATAGTGAGCACAACTCGTCAATGTCTAAGGAGAAGAACAGGGAATTGCGTGTGCAACTTACGAAGCACCTTGATGCATCCGGGCGATTGCAGAATTGGTGCCTCGACCTTCTGCGGTACTCTGCTCGAGACGATGGGCGAGGTGAAGACGTCGAAGACGAAATGGAGGAAGATAGAGATGCTTCTCGTTTTCTGTTACTTGCCTGGCTGTTCCAGAGTCCTGCGGAATTTGAGTCTTGGGATGCAGAAAACTTCTTTCATAACCTGCATTGCCAAATTTCATTGTCTAGAAGAACAAGTTGTGCGGCAGCGGGAAAGAGACCAGCACTGGAAGAAGATGGCCTAAATGAACAGGACAAAAACCGCATAAATCCAGAGGACCTGGCGTGGATCTTTGCTGACGATGTCGATGACGTTGATGGACAGAAAGAGAGGATCGTGGTACTTCTGGGAGCGCAGTTGATGAAGCGGGCTGCGGCTGCTGGGGCTGGATGGTTGCCGCTGCATCAGTGGTTTCCGGTACTACTTGCGCACGCAGATGGCTCTGACGTGGTGTTTCGGTCCGTGTGCACATCTCTTGATGCTGTCCCGCTCGACCGGCTTTCAGGCGTCGCGTCGGACATGCTGCGGAGCGTTGCGCCTGGTACTAACACGCCAGCTTTGTGGGAGATTTTTCGCAGTCTGCTGACACGTCTTGTGGATGGAAGTGCTTTATTAAAACAACAGCATCAGGAGCCTGTCGAGATGTGTGCTGGTGAGTCACAGTCCAATAACAACGAACATGGTCATCTTCATATTGATTCCCACTTGAAGATGCTCTCAGTAGCAGTATCAGACCAGCTTGAGGCAAGTACGCTGATCGTTGCAGGGACTCTGTTGCCATCGTGCTTGCGTGTGCTAGAGGAGCACACGAGAGAGCGCGCGATCTATCAGATGCACGATTCGCAGGAACCCGAAGACGAACCCGCGCCACGGGTCGAGCTGCACCCATCCCTCGTTGGTGTCCTTGAAATTCTTCTACTTATCCAGAGACGTGGGAATCTTTTCGTCGAGTCAGGAGTCGACGGTGGCGATCATGATGAACAGCTGCTACATCAACGAAATTCTAGTAGTATAACATCGAACTACTGTCCTGCTAATTCTAAAAAGGATGGAGGACAGCAATTGCAGATGCCAGTTGAACCAGTGCAGCTTGATCATAGAGGGCTGCTAGAAGAAGTACGAAAGGCGGTTGGTCAACCTGGTGGCCAAGAAGAGGCACGAGCAGACGACGGTCTCCATGAAGATGCTATTAACGCGAACAAGGGTAACGACAACGAGGACCACGTGGCCTCTAGTAACGAGAGCAATGCTTTTGCTAGAGCGAAAGTGAAGTTTTTCGTTGAGGAAGCATCATTGCGATTCTTTAAGCGTGCTGTAGTATTGCCTACCAGCACATTGACATCCAATGGTGTTGTCTTGAGCACCGGAAGTAGCCAAGGACCGAACGCCAGAACGCTGAATAGTCGGACGCCAATGTTAATATGGCTTAGAAGTACAACCTTGTATTAATTCAAAATTATCGTAAGAAGTCTGTTGAACTTGATCTTCTTTGACTTGTTTAGGATATTTATAATATTTTATTATTTTTTTACTATTAATATATAATACTATTATATAGAAGAAACTCTAACAATGCTGACGAAGACAATACCAGTATCAGCGTGTGGGCTACTCGCTGAATTCGCTGAAGCCTATCTTCAATCGCAAAAGGCCCTTGCCGATCCGGGTGTCGAAGCGCGTGTTGTGTATCTATGGAACAACCTGTGGGCGGAAGCCTGACGAGTCTCAAAATGATGGCGTGTTTCCTGTAGTTCTTTTTACTAACTTTTCTAGACACCGACAAAAAAAGATGTCGAAGATATCCGTGATTGTTTGATTCCTGTCAATTTACCAAAAAAAGTTATGCGTTTTCATACCACAGCAAAAAAACCGACGCGCGGCACGCACGATGAGAAGGCGAGCAAATAGGTCTTATACACCAGTGCTCGTATTAGGTGCAGCTATACCTCTGTCGCCTCGACGTCGTACTGATGTGCATGTCTGGCTGATTCGTGCTTCTTGTGATCTTTTCGAAATCGATGTTGCCTCGGTCTTGTCATGTACTCCTACAGTTGGGCAAACTACAAACGAGCAAACTACAAAACTAATGAAGAGGAACTCCTAGGAAAAGAAATATTGAAGACCAAACCAAACCTTCTTTTTCCTAGACTAGGAAAAAGAAGGTTTGGTTTGGTCGTAGCCAAGGCAGAGATCTGAAGATCGCTGGATAAATGTCGAGGAAAATGTAAATGAGGGAAATCTAGAACAACTAGAAGAGTCGGTGTCCTGAACCTGAAACCGGTGAGGAAGAAGCATATTTAAATATATAGATCTATGGAAAAAAAATGACAATGAAACAAGACTTACCCCCACCCATGCCTGTCGACCCCGGATTCCCGTCATCCTTCTTCTTCCTATTTTTAACAGGTTATTAAAAGTATCCAATCTTGCGAGAAGAAAATTTAAGCGACGTTGTCCTGCTGCAGCTTTAGCGTTTTCTATGGTGCGTTGTTGCTGTTGCATTCGTTAATGTAGAAGAATGATCAGGGTCAGTGTCTACCTTGTGTATCCCCTTTTTCTTGACTGAAGATTGAAAAATCAATGCCTCTCCTTGCTTACGCTTCTCATACTACTTGTGCTACAATCGATTTTATTTTGTTCTTTCTTTTGTTTGCAAAATGGCAGTAGTACGACTTAATATCTCGAGATTTCTGGTGGGAAGAAGTAGAAGAGATCGCTCCTTAGGGCGACTTTACGTCGTCGTCTCGATGTTCCTACTTGCAGGGGCATCGACGCCACAAGGTGGACTGCATTTCAAAAGTTCTGGTAAATTATCTGAAGCGGATGGCGGGTATAAGAAAACATGTGTGGATATCTTGCGTGAGCCACTCAAGAACGGACACCACGATGATCCGTGCTTGGCTGATGACGCGAAGGTAGGTGGAGTTCCTGAACAATGGCAGAAGCAGCACCAGGACACGACGGGAGCTCGCGATGATATCCGTGGAGGAAAAAGGCAGAAAGTTGACGGTGATGATGAAAGTGCGCCAGAGTGCCTCCAAGTCGAAGGTCAGGAGATGAAAGCGAAGACTGCAGAGCGTCCTCCGAGTGAAGCTAACGTTATGGAAACAACTCAAACGCTTCTTGTGCAACCACAACCTTTGCGTGCAGGTGTAGCCCCGCGTGTATTGCTCAATTGGGACGATGAAGAGCGATGTAACGCTCAATTTGATGCAGAGCGGTGGAGTACCATTGCTCATATAAAGAAGGGTGACGACGACGCTACAAGGACGAGCGCCAACGATGATTCAGAAAAATTTCTCCGTGAGCATGAGGAGGAGGCCAAGTATGGGGAAAGTCTTGAATTCGATCCAGAGGCTGAGCAAAGTTCTGAAGACCCGCTGTCCGTATTTGGCCAGGCGCATATCGGCAAAGGCTCTTTTCCTCTTCGTCGTCCGCTAAATCGTTCACCTACCCGCAGGATAGAAGAAGTTGGACTCGGTTTTTCGGCTCCAGCTTCATCACCATCACATCAGATGAGGCAAAAAATAGTGCCGCTCACTCGTGAAGCTCGTGGAAAGCAACGAGTTCAACATACTACATTACAACCGTCGGCGCAGGTTCACGAGTCCAACATGGCGTTTCTAAAAAAACTGGACGAGACCAAAATCAAACCCGCTTCTAAGAAGCAAGAGCACTCAACGAAAAGACTAAGCGAAGAAAAGAAGAGCGGTCCCGCATATTTCGTGTCTGCCTTTTCGATGGAGAATACTAATCCAAGGAAGAAGCAACATCGCAATCCTGTGCCTTCGAAGGATACGTTGTCGGAAGCTTTTTTAGAGGCGCTAAAGGACCTTGAGGAAGGTGGAGATGAAGTGGGAGAGAAGAAAGAGCGAAGCGTGAGACAAAGCATGCGATGAAAGATGATATTACGGTCGAAAATTTGGTGTCATCTTATGTGTACTGACGTGGTACACTTTTTTAACAGTGTACTTAGTCGCTCCATGAGAATTTATGTAGAAGTGTGTGGATGTAATCGGGACAAGAGCACAACGCACTAACATCACAGTAATTGATGAACGATCATGACCACGGCGGTGTGTTCAGGCGCAGCCAAGGTCTTGTGAGTAGTTGTGAGATTGAGGAGTAATGTGAGAGAAAACTTTATGCGTCATGCAGACTTGGGGTTGAGAGTGAGACGAACGAGAATGAACAACGTTATTCGGAGCAGTACTCTGAAGAGTTGAGGTTGACTTGATAAGTTGCTTCGCAATTTTACTAAAGATTCGCGATTTTCTATCTTCCCACACCAAGACCATGGATTCGTCTCTTCGTTCTCGTTCTCAGCACAATCTGCAGAACAAGGTGTTGTTCTTCCTGGTTTCTTACGACCCGCATTCGACGACCCCGTACGCAGAACAACTAGGCGCAGAACAACATTTTTCGGACACCTCCAGCGGGACGGTCGAAGACTCTCACGGCGATGGGCGTAGCCTGCTGAAGGAGGCACCCGACGACGCGCGGGTCGTGCGCATTCGATACAATCACACACGCGATGAGCAATGTCGTCGATTTGTCGAGAGCGTGGTCGGGCATGAGATGGAAAAACACCGCAAATACCTTCAGATTATGGCACCTGCTTGTGTGGAATTTCGTAGATTGGCTAGATTCAGTATGGGGATGAGCGAGGTGTGTGCGCAAAAACTTGTACGTTCATAATAAATTCCCTTCATAATCCTCGCCACATGCCCGTGCTGCTTGAGATGAACGTGACCAATTCGCTTTAATACACTAGGGGACGACAGCTCACGACACGATGCATCTTCATCCTTGGAAACAGCCGGAGTGCGGATTTGGGTGGGGACGATCTTGCTACCATTGACGGCGAATAGCGGACATCAAGGCGCTGGTTCAGATTTCTCTGGACTAGACAAAGCAGAGCTTGAGCATTTAGACGGCCTGGAACTCGAGAGTCGGGAATCATTTTGGCAGTTCATCGAGTTTCTCTCCACTGAACAGCATAGCGATCTGTATGATGCGGTCGACACCACAAGGAGTCGAAGAAGTGGTCTTCGGGACGAGGATGAGGATCATGCACCAGCAGAGACTCAAAAGCAACTCCTCCCCGACGACGTTCAGAACTCTTCGGCTAGCATCAAAGAACTCTCTGCTAGGAACAGAAATAAGAGGATGAACGCTCCGAGTCTGATACCTGAGGACGCAAAAGTCTGTCGCGGAGATGACCATTTGACTGCGGTATCGGCACTCGCAGCAGCAGAAGTGGCGTTCGTAGACGATCATGAGCGTAGAGAGCGGAATGCGCGGTCTGGGTTTTTAGTCTTTATGAATGAACATGATGAATTTGTCGCAGTTGAACTTCTAACTATTCTACAGTTGTTCAAGACTACTACTTTTTTTCATTTGATGTTGCTGTATGAAGATCTCCCTCAGAAGATTTCACTTTCATGCACGCTTCATCAAGTCTGCGGCGCAGCAAGTTGGGTTTGGCATCACCCGTGGAGAAGCGACAGATTTACTGGAGCGTCAGGGGCACAATTTGGCGAGGCACGAGGCGCAATTTCGGTTTGAAGCGGGCCGCCATCAAACAGAGGGTGTGCGCCAATACTCAGAGCTGGTGGAGACGGCTAGATGCATCGAGGAAAAAGCGTTACGAGCATACAGCTATGTTGAGGCCGTTGAAGATACAACTACCCAAGAAGAACATCTACGGTTCGAAGATATCGGCACCAAGCGGTCGCCGCCGTGCGTGACCGTTGCACTTCTACCGCTTTGCGTCAACGTCGACGCGATCCGTGCTCTGTCGAGTCTGCGAGTGATGGAGCAGATTGTCGGAACAGGTGGGCATGGCTGCAAGCGAAGGATCTCAAGCCAAAACCTCCAAGAACTGGAGGGCGATCATGCAGAAGAGCATGGCGCCAATGTCGCAGATGCTCGTATTGTGGGTGGACAGAGAGTCAGAGAAGATCCGGACGCGCCGTTTTTCTACGCACGACAAGACACCATTTTCCATCCCAAGCGGATCAACCTCGAACGCTCGCTGAAGCTCTGCACAGGCCCTCGTGTGGTGCGCAGTAATCGATGCTCCACGCAATTCAGCGACAGCACTGCGCTCGAGCGCACAGCGCTGCTCATAACGCCCGTCGGTTATCAGGCTTCGCGAATGGGCAAGGGCGCAACGCGCATACCTGGGACACTGGCGCCGGTCGACTTAGTGTCAGGTGCAGCAGTGGCAAAAGCACAATCTCAGAACAAAATTCATGATAATATGCACATGGAACAAGATTTCGTACCCGTAGACCCGATTGCGGAACTAGCCATGAACAAGCGCATACGGGAGAGGCCGCAGCCACCGGCAACGCATCACTGGGCTCAGAGGGAGTACCAACAGCGGAAAGCAGCAAAGTTCGGCAAGCAAAGTGCAAATGAACGTGATCGAGAAGACTCTCTACCTCCCGAGTGGGTTTATGAAATCACGAAATCTCAGAAGCCAGGCGCGTTTGCAGCGATCAGAGCGGATCCCATTCATCAAGCCGAAGCAGCGAAATTGGGTCACGGATTTTCTTCTGGACATGATATGGCTGAATTTTCTGATAGCTCGGCGACTACCTCCGCGACAGCTTCTGGGAAAAATGTAACTCCGTTTGTCGTCATCCGTGATTTTCCAACAGGCTACGGAGTTTCCCACAAACGAGAGCTTGTGCACGGTTATCAAGAACTAGCAAAATGGTGTTTTTCGGCAGCACCGGAATCTACAGCTCGTGGCATCGCTAGAGCCCAAAGACTCGAGAAGGAACGACTCTTGCAGGAACTTGGAATCAGTGAAGGTAGTGCGTTGGAGCATGCGTCGACATCAGATAACAAGAGGGTCGGAAGCGGACGTAGTGTTGTGAAAGCAAAGAATGTCGATCGCTTTCAAGTGGATAGTAGAAGTAGCATTAGTAGACCGCTTCCACCTGCTAGTGACCAGCAACAAGACCTGGTGGAAGCAGACCCTTATCTGGAAAATGCCGTCATAGTGCGGACTCCACGAGCTGGAAGTCCGATCGAAAAGCGTGAGCATCGGGACGGGAGTGAACATAATGCGAGTCCAGTTCTTATGACGTCGAACGTTTTTCCACCTTCATGTTCACTGGGAAGTCTGAAGCCTGCTGTGACGACAGCTGCGATACCAGAAGATAAGCAGCGTACGATGGACGACCGCGTTACCGAAATCATAGGATTTTTGGGGCAACGGGCTTTGCGAGGCACAAGGCGGGGATCCTGGCATCGCGAAACTGCGAAGATAGAGCAGCCTTCGCCAGTCTTGATTCCACAGAAAATACGTCGCTCGCAATCACCACGGCGATCGGCCTCACCGAAACGTCAAGATAACTTTGATGGTGCTGACGACTACAGGCTTAACTCCAAAGGGAAACGTGGAGTCAGCCCTGCTCACCATGATCGTTTAGCAGGGAATCATAAAGTGCAACCACAAGCAGGAGCGTCACCTACTCTTGTGCGAGCGCGAAGGGAAGCACACGAGGCCCGGCGACAACGGGGTTTGTCGAGTAACGCAATTGGCCTTTCCTCCACCGCGAGCATTCTCGGTTGTGGTGCTGCAGCGATCAGGAAGTCGACAAGAATTCAAGACTGCGCTTCATCTGGTGTCCTCGAAATGCAATTTTTGCCTCGCATATCGGAGGGTGTCGTTAGACTCGTGATGGTCGGGCAGCAGTGCGTCCGTGTGCAGCAGCAGCGCAGAAACCCTCTGGTTGGTGAAAAAGACTCTTCTCCGGACCATAAGAGTCGAAACAATATTAAGTCGAAGGAAGAATATAATCGAAAATGGGAAACTCTGATTGACGATTACGCTGATGGAAAGCTGGGGACGAGTGCGAATTCTGACAGGATTGGTGATTCGGCTTGGGGCAAGAAGCAAGCTGAAGCTGAAGAAAGCACAGCGGCGAGACAATCACGAGCGGCTAAGCGTGCTGAGTTGGATGCCCTGAAAAGATTTTTTCTAGAGCAACAGGATGATGATACAGACACCTCAAATGGCGAGGCCCTTCGTCCACAACGAGGTGCGACCACGTCCGCACCGCATCAGACGAAAGAGATAAGTAGCCGATCCTCCCTGTGTACGCCATGTCGAACGCAAACCGTGCCGCTGCACGGTGGTACTGACTCACAACACCAGGTAGAGCAAACTACAGTCGCCTCCTCCGCTTCTCGATGGCGTCTGCTTCGCGAATGTACGGATCTCCGCGACCGGTTTGCTGAGACACTGGGGAACTTGGCGCTCGCTTGCGAATTCGACGACCCATTTCCACTGCTGTGGACTGCAGACTTCATTAGGGAGTTTCCTGATGTAGTGGGAAATTCGGACACTTGCGAATGGGTCCTAGTGAAAGTCAACGCAGATTTTTTCACGTTACTTTCGTCTGCGAATGATAGCGATACAGCTCTTTTTTTGGAGGATCCAGGAACCAGGGAAATCTATCGCGATGCTATTGCGCAGGCAATGCAGGTTGCGCTGAAAAATATAGAAACAAAAACAATGGAACCCGATGCATATTACAACTAGATGAATTTCTTTACTAGACAGACGTGCACGTTCTGTTTCAAATGCTGTACTCCCGGATTTGGATAATCATACCAGCACGCGGAAGCTTCAGCGGAGCGTTCGCATCAAACACTAATGCCATCGTAGCTTGGCTGCCACCAACTAGCGTTACCAGTGCTGTGAGGTCTGTGATTTTTGTAGAGTACTTGAAAAAATCTTGATCAATTTCGACATGAAAGGTAGAGAGCGTTTCTGTCCCTCTATGAAGGACAAGATGTAACATCACCGAGAGGCAGGATGGGAACTCTTTGTAGCAATCTCAGCTGCAGCAAACGGCGAGGAAAAATGAAGATCAGACATTCTTCTGGTAAGCGACGTTAAATACTCGTTTTCTTGCACGTTTCTGAGAGGACCTTCTCACGTGGCCGCTATGAATCGACGATTACTCCAAGGTGGGTTGGCGCGGGAGGCATCTCCCGCGACGCTCCTCACGAACTTGCTGACGATTAATTGCGGGCTTACCTTGCTCCTGCTTGTTTCGTGCTTCGTGGTGCCATCACAGGGTAGGCGAGAGACGAACGAGGCGAGAGACTCGTGTCAAGGCGTCAGCGTTTTTGATACTGCGTGGGGTGGTGTGCCGCTGCCGACCACAGTTATGATGAAACAGAAGGAGAGGACCAAGATGCGTTTACTTTTTCCTATGCTGTTCGGTGTCGGTAAAAAATGAACGTAACATCCATGTGCATGTGCAAACGATGTGGTCAGCTGCCTAGAAGCTGCCACTTCCTCGTGATGTTCTAAAAAGCAAGGCGACGATGAAGGTAGTCCAGAGCACAGATTCAATTTGAGACTGACCATGCCCCTTCGAGAGTTTGTAAACTGGGACCAGACGCAGCTAACTCATTGGACTGACATGAGGCGATTTTTCGTGCAATGGCAGGGAAACTACGAGAATATAGCAAGGTGGAACAACGATGGCCGTGAAGTCGCAACCCTTTGGCGGCTGTGGACGGACATACGGATTGGGTCTTGCTTTTTTCAGAATGAAAATCACTTCTTGATGCAGGGTACGACGTAGTTTTACCGATATCGTTTGTAGCACTAGATAGAATTGTTCAAGAACTTCTGGTTCTGGGAACAAATTCAAATAGCTCGCGCGTTATTGCTCCAATCTATCAACTCCATGCATATTGTTTGAACATCGGAAATCAGATAGGCAGAGTCGCCGGGAGGCAAGTAGGGGTGAGCGCAGAAAAGACGGGACACATCACAATGATACTGTGTCCGTCAACGAAAGCGATCGAAGTTCTTCCTGCTATATCGGCGAACTACTGCTGCTGCTCTCTGGCTACGTGTTTTTGCCGCGGTCGGAGCTACGACATGTTGTCAATGTCACTGCGACTGAGTGGCGTGAAAACACCGGAATCATGGCGGGAAATACGTTGCCTGGTGCTGGACTAACTACTGTTTCTGATCCAGGTGCAGGCGGATCGGCAGCGACTGCGTTCTTCCGGTTTTCCGATCGTTTTTTCACGCGTGAGAAAGCCGGAAAGATTAGCCGAAATGCTAATATTTTTCTGGAGCTGATGTCGCACTTAATGTCGCTCGATTGGGCAGCACTGGCGCTTGGCTTACCGCTTGACGAAGAAGACTCCGGTTCCTCGAAGTCGGATCATGATCTGGAAAGAAGAGAAGATCGGAATGCGCAGTTTCGCTGCAGCGTAGCAATGGACAGAGGCTGCGAAGAAACAGTTTTGACGGCAGACCTGGTTGTATTAAGGCTACTTCAGTGTTAGTCCAATAAATAGACTTTGTTCTTGAATTCTAAGGCCAATGAGATAATTGCTCTAAAAAAGACGCATGTTAGTTGTGACCAAACAGAGGGTGACCACTGTGGTCTACCACCTCTCGCTGCGATGGCTCCTTTCAGAACAAGTGCGTCTTCATATCATCTCTTTCTAAGCATTTGGCCAATTTTTGCTGTTCTGTCCGGTCTTTTCGGACGCTTGTCCACGCCTCGTGCGACCCTGCAAGCCATAATCCATGACGTGTATGGTTTTCACCACCACGGGGGCGAACGAAAACGCCACTCGTACCAGACTCCTGTGGAAAATGGATATGGCTATGCGACGTACCGTCGCGGTGGAACTACAACCTCTACAAGAACGAGAGATGAGGAGGACGCTCCTGGTCCTGGTGGACCTGTTACACCACTTGCACTACGCGACGAGGAGCGCGAGGAAGATGATGGCAATCCAGCAATCTCAGCATGGATTTCATGGAAACAGCTCTACGATGAAATCATGACGGAAATTGCAGGAACATCAATTTTTGGTTCAGCAGGACGAGAAGGAGGAGGAATTAGAGAGGTCGACACAAGGCCAGGAGAGCGAGCAGCTGCAATCGAAACTCGAGCTTCTTCTCCTTCATCAATAATGCAAGGGAGCGCCAAAACTGTTAGCGGACGAGTACAAGAGAAAGAGGAACTTCTGGGAACCGAAACCACTAGTAGGATGGCTGATCTTGACGTCTCCTCCACAGTGCCGAGTGTGCGCGTCGCGTTCGAGAAAGCCGCTGCCTTTCATAGGACGGACAGTAAAGAAGCGACCGCAATCGCAGTAGAATTGCAGAACTTGTTTCAGCATGATTGGCATGGCTTTCAGTACCACCTAGACTCGTCATACTTGGGAGGCGGAACAGGCACTTACCTGAACAAATGTGACGCCAAATATCGGACACGAGAACTAGACTTGACCATGTCCCGCGTGACCTCAGAAGGCTTGCTCTTTGGGGAATTTTTCACTCACGCAGACGTGAAGAACTGTCTTGTCTACACTCTTTCGCACATTGTGAACATCGCTCTGCGAATGAAGCAATCGAACGAGTTCGACATGCTAGTATCACGTGGCGGGAGTGGCACAGCATCGACTTCTCGTTCTCCTGGAGATGGAGCAGGTGGCGCATTACTGGATGTTTTGGAATTATTGCGATTCGTGCAGATGCGCAGCTTACAGTTTCCAGCGTTTGTTCTAGACCGATGGTTTTTTTGGGAGTTATGGAGTCTTGTGGGCTTACATCAAGTGATAAAGACGCAGGCAACGCCCGCATATTTACCGATTCAACAGGAGCGGGTACGAATGCCATTTGTCGAGGAGCTGGAAGCTGATGCTGAGAGAATAGATCAAGATTCTAGTTCTGAAGAAATTTTTGAAAAAAGCCCTAGTCGTGGGTCAATAAGCACTCCGGGAATTTCAAACGAAGTTCTGGATTCACATCGTCCACTTGCGATCGAGGTTCTGCGCACGATACAATCGAAAGACAGTGTTTATTCGATTCAGCCGCTGCCAGACCACATGATGCTCGGGTCTGAAGAAAATGACGAAGAGGGTTCGCCTTATGGCAAGAACATTCCAGCACCACAAAGAAATGAAATCCTTCGCTTGGGACGGCAGTTTACTGGTCGACACCACTGGTCACAGCGCCTGGAGACGTGGCAACGATTTATGCACTTTACTGATAGAAGAGGTGGCGCTGGATTGAATTCGATGGTGAGGACGCCGGAAACACTTGAGGCCCATGTCTTTGTGGAGCAGCAGTTCTATTACACCGTAATTTATCCTCGATACCTGACGTTTCATGGCATTGTCGCCTCTGCACTGCGTGCAAAACAATCGCCTTACTGCCCGCGTGAGCACATGGACATACTACAAAGACTAACAATGCTCGGCGTCGGTGCTCATTCTAGGGGCAGAGCTAATGTGCGTCATGTTGGCGGTGCTTCTTCCACGAAACTGAACCTTATCGAAGTAGGACCTCACTTCGGAGATTGCATGCTGTGGTCCACTGCGCTCTTTGGCGGTTGTTCGACGAAGAAGGTTCGGGTTCTTGGTCTGGACATCGATCAGATGATCGTAGACCGAATTCGGCGTGCGATTCGCTTAAACGGCTTCGAAAACTGCGCAACAGTTGAACTTGGTGCCGTAATGGATTCAGATTATCGGTCTTTCACTACTGCATCAGCAGGAAGTGAAAGTCTTGAAGATCACGAGGTCAAAGCAAGTAGTACGGAACCTCCACCTGTGGATTCTACAACTTCTTCTCACAAAGATCAACATGATGTGTACAAGAGGCACTTGCGTGGATTTGTAAAGACGCTAGATCAGATCCTCGGAATGTCGGGGGCACAAAAGATGATGCTAAATACGGCTGAAAATGGAGTAGACATAGAACGACCACGACAAAGGAGTAGAAGCGTATGGGATCGCAGTCAACATATTAAAAACTTCTTCTTTCCGATAACTTCAACGGCACATACAATTCCGGAAACAGATGAAACCACCAATGGCAGTGAACGAGAAGCTGACAGCACTGCGATTACCGTGATGAAAATTCATGTCGTGGGTCACGCTGAGCATCGCATTCTTTACGGTGCAAGAAGCTTACTGAGAAGCTGTAGCTATGTCCTTTTGCATGTGGACTACCCTGAAGTACTCTTAGGCGCTGCAGAATTCCTTAGTGGTGGGGGGAGACAACCCACTGCACCTTCAGATGATCACGAAAAAGAGCGGGAAGGAAGTGGCTTCACAACATCAGCGAAGATAGACTCGAACTCCGACGTTCAGCAAGTAGTACGACAAGCAGCCGAAGGCGCCCCAGGCAAACAACATCAAGTGCCTTGGCTGGGCTTTTCGTTTTTGGTTTTCCAAGTCCTTCTCAAAGGACTTAGCTTTTACGAGTTCAACGAGCTCCGTAGGCTCTACTGGACAAGCCTGGTGGAGACGAAGAGGCGGGAACAACAGGGGAACGTGGTGGAAATGATATGGCTTTTGTGGACTATTTTCCATGATGATCTTGATCATGTATTTTTCGGGCCCGATTGACTATGTCTATGTATATTTTATTAATAATCAATCTTTCTATCAAATCATCTGTTAAGGATGCTTGTACAACATTCACACCCAGTGTTTCTAATACCAGACGCAAGAATGCTGGCTTTTTTGCTGACAGAGCGACGTGCAGAGGCGCGATATCGTGCCAGCGCTACAGACCGGAGTCAGATCTTCGTTGCAACTGCAGAGAGCAGCCCTTTAAGGCTACCGCTGAAGCATCCTCAGCACCGTCCCGGGCTCTTTTTCTATTTGAAAAAGAAGCCACGGATGCTCACAAGGATGCGAACGCGGTAAGTCTAAGTCGTGAAGCAGCAGAAGCCTTTTTTGGTCAAAGGGCTACGCGGTTAGAGCTAGCGCCAGAAGAGCAACGTTTTCTTGCTGGCATAGAATTCACGAAATTCACGGAGTTCTATTTCAACTTGCATCCAAAATTCATACCCAGGCGGCTCTTGAGCTACTTCTTTAACAATTTGCAAGCACGACAATTCTTGGCGGTTGCGCGGATTGAAGATGCATTGGTGTAATTCTGAGATAATGCTGATATATAAAAAAGAAAGGTGGAGCTGGACTGCTGGAGGAGACAGAAATGATCCATAAATACATCAAGGGAAGTGACTGCTAATTTTTGTGTTCTACTTGCTGCCTGATTCGGCAAAAAAGCTGTACACGAGCACGAAGAGCTCCAGAGTGCATTGAGAATGACTTTGCCAAAGAGCAGCTACTTAAGTTGAGAAAACAACATTGGGATCCTTGATTTTCCCTGACCTCGAGAGTGTGACGAGAGTATGTCGTCCCGGAGTTCTACTAGATACTCTCATGGCGCTCCAAAGAAGGAGAAGGCCGGGGAAGTAGTTCTTCAAGGATGAAGCGAAGAGGAGTCGGCTTTGCCCCGTGTAGCTCCGTGCCGCATAATGACAGGACGACGAGCTGTCTTTCTCCCCGAGCTGCGTGGGTCCATACTGCGCCTACTAAAATGGGTTTTCCTGCGACTTCATCTGCTGATACTGTCGCTCTCAGTCGGTTAAGATGTCCTTCTAATTCCTCGCATTGGGCTACCTCATAATTTGTTTTCGTGGCACTCGGGAAGCGGTGTCGTGCTGGCCACATGGATGACCTACCCTAGTACCAATGAATGTCAATAGTTACGAGATTTAATCCTAATGCAGCTACCTGCCACATCTGCCTCTAAATCTAATGCGGCTACCACGACGGAAGCTTCATCGTCCGAGGACATCAAGATCCTCGAGACGTCCACAAAGCCACTACCACAAGCGACGAAAACCGCCGACTTCGAGCAGTGTTCCAGTCGCCGCCATTGCGCGTAATCCTGATTCATGTGCCCAAGACTGGAGGACTAGGAGTGGAGAAAGCGTTACGAACTACGGGAACGCTTGCGGTGTTCGGGACAGACCATCGAATTCAAGCTCATCGGCAAGCTATTGGAGGACATTTGCTCAGTCGGGATCTCAAGAATGGGATTGTCTTGCTGACAAAGAATGCAGGAGGTACAACTTGATAACTGTGGCTTTCTATGTGAATATTTATCTTTCTACTATTTATTCTCGCTTAAATTGCACCTGGGTAGACGTAGTCGTAGGTGCTCTTGACAATATATTTCTCTTTATTAAATAATGATCTGCAACTGCATAAGCATTCATCACATCATAGATCTGATGTGGCTTACCTCTACTTGACACAGCAGGACAAGACGAAGACGATATCCCCAATTTCGAGCAGACCTCCGGTTCATCCCGTACATCAGATTCAGAAGGTGGACAGAACAAGGAGAAATCGAAGGTGCTGCAGGAAAAGATTGCGCGGTTTCCGCTCTTGGACGCAGAGGTTTTGCGAAATTCGCATAAGTGGCCGATATTGAGCATTGTGCGGAATCCCTACGATCGCATGTGGTCGGTCTATAACTTCCCCTTCACGCAGGAGCCGGGTGAGGCATTCTGGCGACCGCCACGCATGAGTTTCGAAGACTTCATCCTGAATTTCGACAAGGATTTTGCTCACCTAAAAGTCGGAGGAACTGCGCCATTAGCTGGCATGGTCGAATTTCTAGCTCGCCCGGAGCATGTGGTGCGTTCTATGCTGGAGGATCATGATCGGCATGCTGGTGAACCAATGACAGTCGCAGGTTCAAAAAAGAATTTTGAAATGATACAGTCGCACCAGTCCTCAGCTGTTTCGGAAGACGAGAGGCGTAAGGCGGATGCCAGATGGTTGGAAGCGAGGACTTACGAAGCTGTGGATCCAGGTTTATTGCATCGCGGGACGCTGAGCAGAGAGCACTTGTTGCCTACAGATTACCTGCGCTTTGAGCATCTAGAGCCCGATTTCGATCATTTCTGCAAGAAATACGGTCTCGTGAATGCTTTAGCCCTACAACTCGTGAATACGAATCCGATCTTGATGACGACAGACAAACAAGATTCTCAAGAAAAAGAAGAACGTCAATATCAGCATACCCATCATGGTGGTCTTGAAGAAGGTAACTCGACAAAGGATTCATTCGCAACCGCTGCGAGTGGTAGAGGACCATCAGGATCAGGCGTAGGCAGGTCTGTGGAGCAGGAATACGATCAAAGCCAAGCCGTGGAGGAGCTGAGAGATCCTGTAAAATTTATCGACAACCTAGAAGCCGCTTTGTCGGGATGGGTCGCGGATTCGAAAACCATAAGATCTGACGCCGATGCGCAACTGTGTAGCAGTTGGGAAGTTGCGGAGGATTATTTTCGAGATATAGCGGAGCAATCGATGAGTACCCTGCTTGATAATTCATCTTTCCCAAGTGGGTTGTTTAACAGCTTGATGAAACATCAGAGCCCAAGTGCGATACAACCGGTTGATGTAGCAGAGCATGATGCTGGTGGAGATATTAACCGTCGTAGCTCTACTCACGAAGGAGAGGACCTGTTTCACGATCGTGATCTCGAAATAAACGGTTCTTCGTCTCCAGTAGGTTCAAAGCCTTTGGTTACAGCTCAGGCTTGGACCTCTAAGCTCCTTGGAAAATCCGGATCCCTTTCCTCGAAAACGCAGTTCATAGTGAATCGATTGGTGCGCTTCGTCACCACGGTCGGAGCGGATGTGGGCAAGCAGTTGGCATCGGCAGAAGGACGCGCTCGGCGAACAGTGCGGAAAGTGGAGAATCGCTACTCGTTTCGTGCCCGACGCACGATGGAAATGTTATTCGCAGACGAACTGAGAATATTATGAATGGAAAAAGTGCACTCACACTCGAAAAATTGGCTAGGATTCAAGTAGGGAAGTACAAGTACTTAGCTACTTTCTTGAGTGTCGTGAGTGCACTTTATTTTCCTTTCATGAATGTTTGGGTACTCTTACGAAGGCTGGCTCGAACGGGAGGCTCGCAGAGCACGTATGAAGCTAGAAGTCGCACGGAACGGCTTGCGTGAAGACCTGGTCGTGGCCAGGGATTGGGGAGCGTTTCATGCAACAAAGGCATTCGGAATGCACGTTTGTCCTGACACGATGAAGGCTGCATTAGTGAGTGATATTAAAAAAGGAACAAATGTTGTTGTTGACTTGCACCAAGATCTTCTAGCAACTACTCAAACAGCTGGCTCACGTGTGCTGAATCCACCGATGGCAGCGGTGCAACGCTACAAACGTCGCGCTCGCAGGAAGGAAAGTGGATATACGCTAAAGCACGTTGACGTGGAGGCCCTGGCAGGCTATTCCCAATGGCTTCGGAATAGCAGGGTGCAAAATTTGACGCTTTATACTGCGGAAACACGAGACTGGATCACCGCTGTATGAAATGAAACCCATAGAAGGACTGGTAGCAGCTTTCATGATTTATACAACTGAATCAAGTAATCACTAGAATCATGCACTCGCTTAATAATAATGTCTTAGTACATCCACGCGAGTATGAGTACTTAGCTACTCCTACTGTTTTTCACCTTCATTCGCCGATTTGGTTACGCATCCTCGACTGGAAAAGTACGTCGGAGCGGAAAGTGTGGTGGAGGTGCATGGCAGGGAAAGCCAATTGTGGGCCTATGACACGGACCGTGGGAGGTATGCGCGAACTAGTGGAGGTCCTAGTGCTAGCGAGTAAGTAATTTTTCCTAGATGATTAAATTAGACCAGGATTTTTCTCGTTGCACCACGTAGTTTTTTTTTGAAAAATGCAGCCAGGTGCAAGGCCTGGCGCACAGCCATACACCCCGGCCATCGCGTGGCTGGGAGCGTCCGGCGTCGTCGACATTCGCAGAGAGGCAACCGCCAAGGATACCTGGCTCGCCGTCCATGGTGCCAACCTCCGACGCGGAGGTCTGAGCCAGGCAAAGGGTGGCCGAAAGCGGCACTTTTTGGCTAAAAATGTACCGGGTCACTTTGGGTGCATTTTGCGCCCCATTTTTGAAAAAAAGCTGCCGGGTCATTTTGCGAGGACTGAAGCGGCCCCATCTAGTGGGGGCTAGGGGGTGCCTTAAGGCGACCCTTTTTGGTCCAAAATGGTCGCCAAATGACCCGGGTCGTCTGGGGTGTCAAAGTGGGGCCTTTTTGCCCCCTTTTTTGACACCCCTCCAAAGAACCTCCGAGCCGAGCCTCCCAAGGGTTGGGGCTCCCCTGGAGGCGCTTTCAGGGTCCACACTTCGCGATCCTTAGAAGCGGAGTCCCGCTCCGAGGGTTCACTGCCAAGCTATCGGGATGGCCCCAGCGGTCCCGAAGAGGTTGGGCCTTGTCAGGCTAGCAAAATTTGAAAAAAAATTCACGTGGTGCAACGAGAAAAGTCCTGGTCTAATTAAAACGCTCGTCTCTAATTGAATTGATTTGTGGCGAGGACTTCAAAACTGCTATTAGTTCTTGTCCAGTCTCGTTCGATGTTGTTCGATGCCAACATGTGGAATCTCTTACAGTAAACGATGAATTCGAGACTCTTTCACTCATTAAAATACTCAATGTAATGGTTCACCGCGATCCGTGATAGAGATGTTGATCAAAGAACAGAAATTGTTGAAGACGAGCAGTACCAAAATCAATGAAGACACAAAAACGTTACCGTATATTTTCTGAAACGCAAAGCATGGATTTCTGGGTCACTGAAAACGATCAACTTAGTGTGGTTCTCACAGGTGGTATAATCACCTAGAAAAAAACAGATCATGCTACGGTGATGAACCAAAACGAGATCTTGGACACTATTGAAACAGATCATCCCTGCCTCGTCATGATTTGCCCAACATGATCCCTACGCACCTCAACTATTTGCATCCTCGTCTCACTTTCTCATTCTTCATTTTGTGCAGCCGCATGGAGTGCTAGTGAAAATTTTTATTTGGTGTTGGCCTTATTAAAAGTAGTTGTAGTTTCTGGATCTGGTACTAACTCATTCACTTCATGTGTGACTGCATTTCAAGACCGTAACGTCAGAGTCGGTAAAAAAATCAGATAAGAAAGTATGCTAAAAAACATCATGCGTTTAAACATCATACGTTTTCTACGTACGCTGAATTTCTACTCATCTGACTTCGTTCAAGAACACTAAATTTTTAGTGACCTATTCACACTACAACTTCCTACCCTGTTATTTTCTTTCTTTTAATTGCAAACGAAAATAGAAAATGGTTGTAGAAGTTCGGAAGTCTGCCTCGGCTGCTGGTCTCGGCATCTTCTGCAGTTCGTCGAACACGATCGAAGAGGGCGACACGGTTTTCGAAGATGTTCCGTTGTTTTCCCTGCAGCATACCGCCAATCGGCGAATGTGCACTAACTGTGCGCACTGTGCGCGATTTGTCGGCGGCCTACCAGCGCAGCTGGAAACCATGTTCGCGCAGGAAGAACACTTCCAGCCGTTATTAGAGAAATTGATGCCTTTTGTACCAAAGTGGCAACAAGGGATTGAAGAGGTACTTCTAGAATTCTCTAAAGAACTTTGTTGCTATTTTTTTCCCCTGGTTCATTCTAGTTTTCATACCAAAAAGCTTTTATTATGCCGTTAACTTGAACAAGTTCATCACTGTAGTATTTTTCACGGATCATGCACCTTGAAACTAAATCCCTCTTCACATCAAGAAGTCGAACCAATTCTACCAGATGCAGCAGCGTGAACAAGGGTTGAGTTCACACTGTAGGACTATGAAAATGTCTTCGTCGATGGTCCGTTGCGCCTGTGGCGAAGTGTACTGCAGCGAGGCTTGCCGTTTAGCCCACTGGCAACATAGCCACGAGCTCCTCTGTGTGGCTAGCAATGCGTCCTCCTCATTAGTCGACTTCAAAATGCATGCAATCGAGCACATCGACACCATGCTTCTCGTCGCTACGGTCTTCTCCCATCTGATACAGAGGGTCAAGCAATCGATATTTGGTGCCGGAGCAGGAGGATACCCTTCGTCGTCGTCTTCCTGTGCAAGTGCTAGAGGAGGAGGACATGCAGATGCAGTAGGAGGTGGTGGTGGAAATGCGGAGAGCATGCGCTCACTGATGGAGGAACTCCTTGGCTACTGTGGCGACGAGTTTTTGAAAGTGTGCCGACCACCCCCAGGTCGGCCAAAGGATGAAGAGTTCATGGAGGAAACGAAGGCAATCCTTTCAACCGGTTTCCAGATGTTGAGGACCCATTTCGCCGAGACATTTAGCGCCAATAATGCGACATCTTCAGGGTCAAGTAAAGAGGTCTTGTTGCTACAGCACGAACTAGAGGTTCTGTTTGCAAGCGAGGAGTTTTTTCTGCGAGTACTAGGGATGTTCGAAGTGAATAACCTGGATTTGGAGGTGGAAAGTGATATCGGAAACTTCTTTGGAGCCTATTTCGCAGCAAATCCGGCTGTGAGCGCGGAAGAAAAAGAGGCCTACGAGATGCTTCTCCGAGAACGCGAGCTGCTGATGCGATGCTTGTACGACGATGAAATGACCGGGAACTTCGATGTTGAGGACGATGACGAAGAAGAGGAGGACGAGGACGAGGAGGATGTCGATGTTGCAAGTGGTAAAAATGGTGATGACGTCGACGTCGAAGGAGGTGGCGCGACCATGGAGGATGTTGGGGTAAGAAAACTAGGAGCTTTCTGCTCTCAAAATGCTGATGAAGATCTTAGTGTGAAGATGAATAAAGTATCTTCGATGTTTACGACTGCATCGAAGAACTCTACTTCATCTACTAAAGGAGGTGGTATGACCAACATGATGAATGATGATGGTTCAAGTAGTACTTCTATCGATGGAACTAGAAGTACAATGATGGATGATGAACAAGAAGGAGGTGGTGATAAAGAGCAGTCATCTATTAACGGTGTAGATGTTAAAGGTTCCTCGGATCTTTTCGATGAACAAGGTGCAGCGAAGAACAATCTGAAAATGACGCGCCGGGATCCTATCGAGATTCGCCGTAGAAATATTGACGATAACTTGTATTTTACGGCTGGAGGTGCTAAGTAGTAGTAGTGCTCAAGATGAGCAAGTACTTGTACTTAGAAGATTCATTGCGATTGATCGTTCACGAAGTTTATCTCTATCTACTTTACAGTAGTTTTTCTGTTTTTCATTCGTTTCTATTTAGTGCTACTACTATAAACAAAGGGGGACTAAGAACTCTGTATCATCTGTTGAAAGGGAGGTATCCTTCTACTAAAGGAATCACCGTGAAAAGTTGAAGTTCTTCAGCTTCTAAGAATTGTTGCGAGGTACCTTCCGACGAAAATCCGATCGCGGCGATGAACGTTATGGAGGAGCTGAACGGCGGTGCGGCGGCCGCTGCCGAGGCCTCGCGGACGGTTTTACGCGAAATGCGAGCCGAAATTGAACAAATCCCAGTCGACTTGTTGCACGCAATTTCGTCTTCCTCCTCGGCGGACGAAGTCACAAGACGGAAACTCGCAGAAGAGCAGGAGAAGCACAACGTGTGTGGAGCAGGGTGGCCGAGCTATCACGGAACCGCCTTCTCAGCGAAGATCGCCAGGTGTAACCACAATTGCACGCCGAACATGAAATTTTTCTTCAACGGCGGGGACCATCGCATGCGCGCAAAGGCTCTCCGTCGCTTGGTGCCAGGCGAGGAGATTTTTGTGTGCTACTGTGAAGACAGTGATCCAGTTGAACGGAGGCAAAAAGCGCTCAGAGAATACGGCTTCGAGTGTCGCTGTGACCGCTGTCTGCGCGAGATGGCCACCATGAACACGACGTCAAAAGCGACTAAGGCTCAGGCGCAGAATGGGGGAGCATGACGAGAAAAACAGGAGTTTTATGCAAGATTTCAAGTGGGTGCACATGCGTGATGTGTGCAATTGCACCGGGACTCAATGTGTAGGATCCCTGAACCGAGTAACTTCGGCTAACTGCATTAACCGAAAAGCATTATTGTAGCGCCTTCCGTGTGCCTTATAATTTTCGTTTAGTATCCAAGTTTCAAGCATAAGCCACCAGCTTCTTCATGTGAGAACTCACATTCTCTTCATCTTGCAACGTTGAGGCAGACCGTTGACCGACTTACCCCACGACCTGCATAGGTCATCTATGATAGACGCCTTCAGATGTTTTTCATGATCTGGCGCTCATGGCGCCAATGGAAGAAAACATGTGAGAAAAAGTTCCCTCGCCCTCCTCTTGCTGAACCGAGAGGATCTTTTGTTTAGGTTCCAGCTCCTGCCATGTGTTTGTATGAACCTAATACAGATTGATAAGGTAGAGAATATCGGCGGCGAAGTCGAGGCATCCTCTCCTATGTTGTGATGTCAAACAGTTAAAGATAAGTAAAACCCAAACCGGTGAATAAAGATGGTAGTCGTGCCAGGAAGGTAATTGTTGTAGGATTACGAAAATCGGTGAAAAGCTGGAGTGGTTCTAGTCGAGCTAGCAGTAGTGGTTCTCAAGCTGAATGTTCTTTCGGCCTAAGTTGGCCGAATCTCTCAACTTCATCGGTGTACTTTCAAAATTATTACCATCAACTCTATAAAACCCTCGCCTCCACCCCTTGCCTCCTCTCGTCTGCCTTTAATTATCACACTGACTTTCGGAGAGAAAGTTGCATAGAGTTCATTATAGTTGACTCAAGAAATTAAATTAGCTCACGTACTTGCCCTACAATCTAACAAATCGATCATTCTTCTTAATACATTTACATATCACCAAACCTCCTCTTCTTGTATAGATCATCGCTACTTCACTAGAAGAACAAGGTGTAGGACAGCCAAGAAAACTAACAAAAGAACCAAGTAGAGGATAATCGATGCCCGTTGGTTCCTTCTTCATCTCACTGAATATTCACTACGCTTGTAGCACTTCGTTACGAGATACTAAAGAAGCTACAGATTCTGCGGCAAGCAAGCCTCCGTCCCTCACTAAAAGATCTTGATAGTCTGATTTTTCCAGAAGTCAGAAGTTGTTCAGAGAAGTAGACCCAGCTTCCATCGATCTCACCCCTCCTCAAGTGACAAGAGCACAGAAAAGCAAGAATGGAATCCTCATCTCTGTCGAAGGATTGACTAAATATAAGCTGACATTGACAGGTAGATGAAGATCAAGAACTACAACTAAAAAAACAATGTCGTCATCTTCGGGAGCTCCAGCCGGAACGGGAGAACTTGACTTCGTTTCGCCTGACGATGTGGGGTTTACCTCTCCCGCCCACGTGGAGGAGGCTGTAGACTTGTTGGCGCAAACACCATCGAGTGCCTATCTCTATCCACTACCGAAAGTAGATTGCCTCAATCACGCTGATGGCAATAACTGTTAAGGTTTGTGAGCATCAACTCTGTATCTGTTGTAGGTACTTGTATTGTTATAGAGGAAATCTAAATCATGAAAAATACTTAATAATAAATGATGTCTTTGTCTTCCTGACGTTCCCGCCACAGAAATCAATCTACTTAGACGTATAAATTTAGAGCGGGTGTTGCTGTGAACAACTGTTATAAGTACGTACTTATATCCATCGTACTAGATGAAGATTCATGAATTTACATCTATCTATTAACTGAATATGAGTCCTCTACTGCATTCCTCCTCCAGTGTAGTCGCGAGGTCGGCGAGGCATTCTGTGCCATATCCTATGTATCCACAAAAGAAAATTGCCACCGACAAACAAACTACTGTTTCTAAGTACTTAGTGCTTTCTTATCTGTTCGCATTGTAGCTGTGCTTAAACTGCTTGCAATTTTTTTTTTGTCATCCTTTCCACCTAGCTACCCCTTTTATGATTCTTCTTCACATCTGCTTGAGTACTAGCTTGCGCTTCAAATTTATTGCTTCGTTTAACTCGCTCTTCGATCCACCCACGAGACGAAAAGGCTCACTGATGCTCTTTGACATAGGACTGACCGCAACCGCACTTCTTCTTTGTCCCTGCTTGTAGAGCTGATTAACTCTAACTGCTACCACTACTACTAGTTTTTGTAGCTTCATCGGAGCAGTTCTTTGTTGACGTGATTCCTCTTACTTCAGTACGTAGCTTCGTCCTCGGTCTCTATGAGTAACTACTCAATCACTTTTTAGTATTAATTTATATAAGTAAATTGAAATTGATCTTCTTCAATGAATCTTCTGTGAAGCATCCAGCAGTTGTAGTTATTGTTTGCGTCCTCTAAAGACGGGAGAGGAACTGGCAGAGGCACCAGCAAACAGCCCGCTTCGTGTTTTACGGAGACGATGGGTCCTCTGAAGAGGACATAATGGATCTGGAGGACGCCCTACCCCTTATGATGAACGGTGATTTGGATAAGTAGAACTACGAGACCACTAGTTCTTGTTTACTAACTTTGATTTTATTTTTTTCGTTTGATTGAGGCCTGCAGCTTTTTAATAGTTATTTTTGCATCTACTTATAATGGCTTCATCAACATCATAAGGAACGAAGTCAATAGAACCAATTGGAAGATGTTGTATGATCTCTTGATGTACTCTTATTCTATTCTTGGAAGTTTCTTATAGGTACTTCTCTTACCGTAATGATTAACATTTAAGTATAAGAGAGGACGTTTCTAAGGTTCTTCTAAGGCCAACAAGATTACCGTAACTGACAACTAAACCTCTATGTAGACTAGATTGCCGTAACTAACAACTAAACCGCTATGTATTCATATCTATGATGAAGATAGGGGGGTCGCTCCTCCCTATCGTATCTGAGATGCTTTGGCCAAACTCACTCCTCCGCGCAATATACTACGAAATGAGTGCTCTCCGAAATGAGTGCTCTCGGTCTTTTAAAACGCAATAACAACGATACTGCCATCACCAAGTCGGTTCCTTCTACCTCATGAAGAGTTTCCTGCCCCACCTTACTTTTCTAAAAAAATACTTCAGCGCTTTCCTTTCTAAAAAGTTAAATAAGTAGACTACAGTCTTCAAAATGCCGATTCCTCTTTCGCAGACTTAGCAGTCGCTCTGTCGTTGCGTGGACATGAAGTGGCCCGAGGACAAGAGTAAAAGGGACAATTAGAACATCCACAGCAAACTTATATATATCTATGATGAAGATGAATTGTTCTAAGAACAACGCGCGATCTTCCCGTCGGAGCAAGCGTGGTGGAAGCATTCGTGGCAGTAAGCGTGGAAGTATTCGTGGCAGTAAGCGTGGAAGTATTCGTGGCAGTAAGCGTGGAAGTACTCGTGGCGACGACGAGTGGGTAGCTGAGGACATGGACGAGGACTTACGTCATCACTTTGCACGGAAAACCATGCTATACACGGCGATCATGCTATGCGGCGTTGCTGCGATAATGACTACGGTCAAAATGATCGCTTTCCGATACATTATGACAGGACCAGAATCTCGCTTATTGATTTCGCTAAATGATCAGGCTCAGGGGTCTCTTAAGGGGTAGCTTGGTCTCATAATTGGTCCCGTCTAGTCCACACATCAGCGACATACTTGAGTACTAGTTCTAAGCGCTGGTTTCTGTTCTTGGATGATCTTAGTTACTAGGCCTCGCCATACCTCACGTGGACAACTGAACTAATATATCCACATGTTCACAACTGAACTAAGTAATATATCCGCATGTCAGTAAGATATCCACATGTTCTTCACTGAGTTGTTAATGTTTCTAGCTAAAAGATGAATGATAGTACTACTAGAAGATACCAACTACAACTACACCTACAAATACTTCTGGAACGAAGATTTCAATTTGATCATTTTGCAGAAATTGTAGATGAGCTAGAGAAGCAGAAGTAGGACTGACGACGACGAATATTGCTCGTTCCTACTTCCACTCTTCCTCTTCTTTCATATCCTTCGATGCCGTGGCCTTCACTCCACAGAATAGAGACCAACCACTATCAAAAGACATGCAGGAAATGTACGAAGGGATGAATCGCGTTTTCGTCGCCAACCTTGGCTATGAAGAAATGGGAGATGCGAAGTGGGTCAAGTATTTTAAAATTTGTGTTTATTTGTTCGGGTTCATCATTCATCCTATGTACGTTCAATCAATCATCATTCATCCTATCTAAGTAGCGTGTAGGTTGTTCCATCATGTGCCGACCGTCTAGCTCTCACCGATTTATTTTTTTACGTTTTATTCTTTTGCTTGTTAGTTCATGAAACAAGACGTGCCTCTGCATGGTGGCCCGACGTATCATCTGAAATCTGCTCGTAGCTCGGGGCTTTTCTCCCGATCCCCACCTCCAAATGTTGCTCCTAGATTTAATTATTGATAGTCGTCTATTAACATCTCAATGTCCTCCAAGTCCAAAAACTTTATGTTCGCATTGTTCGTAATTATTATGAATCCTAGGTTAGTCCCTTCATTCAATGAAATTATGAATCAATGGCTGCTCTTGAATGGCCTCGAACGCTCACCCCTCCATAGGTGAGCCAACTCCTATCCTATACTATGAATGAAAAACTACCAACTCAGGCAAATGAGCATGGTGTTTGGGTCGTGGCAGGCCTTGTCAATGATGATCGCAACGTTCAGCAGCATGTTGCTGCTGCCTCTCTACTTTAAGGCGAAGAGCAAGAGAACGAGAAGGGAAGATATTAGAAAATAGACTAGATGTAGACTAGAACCACTAGTACGTAGACTTCTACTAGCAACTACAACTGCTACGACACTTCTACGCGGAAGTACTAAAGTACACTAGGAGTAGTTCGACAACACTTCTACTAGTAACTATTACTACTACACTACGACTTTGAGGAGTAATAAGCAGTTCGACGACAATACGCCACATCAACATACGACTTGCAAAAATCAGTTTGAGAAAAACCAAAGTCTCCTTTCTAAGTACAGCGTTATCACGTGCAAATGCCTGGGCCCGCTCGTAAGGGCCGTTCCATTCTGCTGGATTCTGCCTGCTGGCATGGCTGTAGCATGGGGAGGCGTGTTGCAGTTTGTCTGCTACACGGAGCACGGAGGAAGCCTCTACATCGCTTTCTCCATGACAGCTCTTACCATTTAAGATGACCATTTCTTCATGACAGCTCTGAGGACCATTTACGGTCAATGGTTCTTCATAAGTCAAATCTAAACCTTGTTCACCTTTTGCAGAGCTTGACTTTGGTAGTCTTAGCCTACTGAAGAAACTCAAACTTCTGTATGTAAAAAGTTTTGAGCCGTACTAGTATATCATATTTATAAGTTCTTATAAACTAATTAATAATGTAGTTTCGATAAGAGAATAAGAAGTGCAACTCCCAAGAAGAACTAAGGACCTCCTCTACTTAATCAGAATTACTCGTTTGTAGTACTTGCCTTAGACTCTATCTTCTTGTTGAGACTCTGTCTAAAGGTCGCTGGCGCTGTGGATATGGTCGGTGAGCATGCGCTTCGATCTCGTCTACGGATTCCGTGTTTGGATTTTTTTGCTGGTTGTGATCGCACTGTTCGGTGGAAGTCTTTGCTTAATTGCGGGCGGTGCGTGCTTACAAGGGTACTGACCTTCTAATTATATAAGTAGTACTTAATATTAAATAGTTGTAGATCAAACCCGAATCGACTAAAATTATCAAGAAGAGTAACAAACTGCAGGAACTACAACTGCCCTTGGAGACCACGTATTGATGAGGATACTTAGACAATTATCGTGAATGATTATTATATCGAAGAAGAATTAAACATCTTCTTCTTCACTGATCGAAATCCGATTTCGGAAATCGCCTTTGCGGATGGCGAATTTTCCAAAAGTTTCTCTTTTTCCCCACCGATAGTGTCTCCTGTTTGACTCGAGTTTTGGTAGTATGATGCTGAAGCAGGCCTCATCAATGATTGTTTATTATAGACTTTGTCTTTCAATGAAATTATGTCAAGTTTTTCTTAATAGTAATATGACCTCCCCTGTCAACAACCCACTTCCATGCGATCATACACATGATACAGGAAATTACCGTTTTCGTGGATGATGGTGTATGCAAACGTCGCGACGTTTTCCGTGACTTCGTGGTACGTTCTTTAAGGCAGCGTCTACTACTTCATGTAATTAATTCATTGATTCTAGCACTAGCACGACTTGCGCATGAAGCAGTAACTATAAGGTACAGACGACTTTCAACAAAGTTAAACGAACATGTTGGATGGTCATGGGCATACAGTCCTTTTGAGACCACTGGCCAAGGAAGAAGATAATGTTTTTTGATACACTGACTTGTAAAACTTCAAAAGCTGAAATAACAGGTATTTTTGATATCTACATGTGGAGAAGAATTTTGGTTAGTAGATTCAAGTGGGTACATTTGCTTATTGCAGCTTCTACAGCCTATGTCTATCGAGTTGTTGTTATCTTCAAGGACTATGTCTGTCTTCCTCTTCTAAGCTTGATACATCTTCCGCGGCATTGCAAGTGGCACTCGGCGCCGAAAGACGTTCACACCTGATGACTGCGCATTGGCTTCCATCTACGTTTTTATTGTTAAGGCAGCGTCCCCTAATCCTACTCCTACTCTCCCATTGATTTTTCGAGAAGCATCTAAATCTAATGGTCCGTCTTCAGAGAAGTCATCTTCATCTTGTTAGGAGAGACGTTTCCACTACAGCATCCTAGGAAAGACGTTTCCAAGGGCCAGGAAACAAAAGTTCATTTTAGGAGGACTGATCCTCCTTAAGATGAACTAAGTAAGACCAAGTACAAGTAGGTTCTTATCTTAAATAGGTTTTTGTTATCTTAGGATGATCGATCCGTTTTAAGATGGACTACCTATACCATAGGTTTTGATCTTACGGCTCTTACACTTATCTTGTTAGGATCATCATCATGCTAGGTAAGTGAATGAATGACTGCATGGTCTTCAAGATGGACTACCTATAGGTTCTGGAGCTCTAACATGGAGATCATCCACTTGGCACTGAGCGTTCTTGACTGCTGTGCGCCTGATCCTGAGAACCGCGATAGCGATAGCGATAGCGATAGCGGCAGTGAGCGCGATATCGATTAAAACATTTCTTCGTGTTGACTTACGAGGATTATTGAAGCACGAATTGATAAAGCACATAGTCATAATAGGTCTCGATTAAAGCACGACATTCAAAGAATTTATAGATACTGGACTGTGACGCCGAAGAACAGATCTACACCATAAATCTCGTGATGTCGGTGCACGTGGCGGCCTGACCTGATCGAGGCCAGTGAACCACGAACCATGTCTCTTAGGTCTGGAGGTCTCATGGACCTACGACAGGGACACAAACATGGCAAGATGCTACTTCATACTACAAGCAGTCACGTTGATGTCTGTGTATGAAACCTCTCCCGCGCTGGTGGGTATACCATTAGCATCTTCAGAGGAAAAGGAGACCATGATGATCATGTAGTAGAAGAGGAGGATGACCTGATTATTCTGGGCAAAATAGGCCTCCGAGTACAACTTCTACTACAAGATCGTGATAGATAGTACTAAGAACATGATGAACAAGAGTCGTCGTTACGGGTGAACCTTCTCTATGAATTCGTAGAAATAATGTGCACTATTTGAACCTATGAACCACAAGACATCGTAAAAATTAAAATTGATGTAAAAATGAAGTGCATGTTGATGTGCTGATGATAATCAAAAATCCAAAAAAATGTACATCTACACGGCATAATGCAATCATATCAATAGCAGCACGAGGACGAGAACATAGACATCGAATACATAGAACAAAAAATCATGTAACGAAGAACAGATAAACTTCATAAACACAGGTCTTCTCGTCTACTAGAAACATATCTAATATGTCTACTTTGATATTAAACCTAGAAAATCCCTTTCTCGTATACCATTTTGCATAGTCTTCTTGACTACTTACACCCTCTCTGCCGTGCCAGATCTATTCTCGTAACTACAGCATGTACAACTCCTAACAAAAAAAAACTACAATCATAATATCTATATTGACAATTTCTATTACATTCTCCATCAGTAAGCCTAAGCGTGAAATGTTGATGAAAATGAATATCATGTATTCCATTCTCTTGATTTGGTCCTTTATGTGAACATGTAGCAAGAATGAGTCTCGATTATTGCTGTACTACAGCAGTTCGTTACTCTTATAAAGCTGTCTGCTTAGCACGCACTTCGGGTTTCTGTGACTGGGAGCACTGGTGCGTACTTAACCTAAGGTCATCTTGTGGTGTCCTTGACCTCGTGTTCACCCTTCTGATTCCTGAGACCGGATGATGCCATGTAATTGTAATAGCCGTGGCACTTCTAGTAGTAGAGTGTGGCGAAACGAGTGACTGAGAGATGGGGAATAGAAGAGCTCAGAAATTATATGGGAATTGAGGCTTATGTGCCACATAACAAGAGTCAATCTGTTGTGTCTGCTTGAACAAGCCTAAGTCTGTGATATTGACGGGTGTTACGTCCGACGCGAGTCTGAGTCCTTTTTTTTGAATCCTTCTCAGAGTTTGTCTAGAAGAGAGTGGAGGTGAAAAGCTGGCCCTAGGTACTATCATGTTTGACGAGAGTAGAGAGCTCCTCTGGTTCTGCACCAAACGCAAGATAACAGAGATATCATGACGCAAACACAGTTCTGCCCTATCTTTTGTTTGAGAACCGAGAGACGTTGAGTGCACTATAGTGCGTAGCTGAAGTTTATTTTGAACCGGATAGAGAATATGAGGCGGGAAAGAATTTTTTTTATGGGCCTCTGTTCCTCTATCTATCCTCTTGTGACTCACAGGGAAACGACAACAGCTCACCCACGACGGATTTTTGGGTGTCTTTTCTAGTTCGTTGTAGGTTGTTTATTTTTTTCGAGGCATAACTCATTTGTCATCGTTGTCTGGTCATAGAAGTTGTTGACTGTTTTTACCTTCATAGTAGACAATGACGAATTGCAAATTTTTATAATTGGTGTTGGTGATTCTGATTTTAACTGATAAAGATAAATATTATCGTTGTAAGAAAAAGTAAACAGGAGACTTGTGATCGACGCAATTATATTTGTTCTCTCCAGTACATCAATCTCATTTAAGTTCTTATCCAACATTTTTAGTAAAGTCATTTTTTTTTTTAGTTTCAACGAGGAACAAACACAGAAGAAAATATGGCGTTCTCTAAGCTGAGACATTTTTCTAGACCTGCCTTTGCGCAGCGGACCCTTGCTGGCTCTGGTCCGGCCAAGCAGCAACGAAGATTTCTCAACCTTCACGAGTACCAGTCCATGGAAGTCTTCGATAAATTCGGTGTCGCAGTGCCACGATTCGCGGTAGTCAAGAAAAAGGATGATATGGGAGGTATTAGGTCTTGTACTCCTTTTTACGTCGTCGATGTCATCAATGAAATTGGATTATTGATGTTGCCATCTATCCTGTGAATAACAAGAACAACATGTTGTGCTCGTATCGACGTTGATTCAACTCTTGCTTTCAATTTATAACTACTAGCTCTCTAGGTCTAGCCGAAAATGAATTGGAAGATGAATTGCACTTCGTAGATACACCACCAATCACCACCTACTCCTTCAGCCGTGTACGATTCGCTCGGAACGGATGTTGTGGTAAAGACACAAGTGCTTGCGGGTGGGCGTTATGAAAGGAAAAAGTGCACTCACACTCAAAAAAGAAGCGACTTTCTTACTTCAATCCTAGCCAACTTCCTGGCTGTGAGTGCGCTTTCTCCTTCCATAGTCGTGGATTGGGTCACATTAAAGAAAACAACTTTCAAGGTGGCGTGCACGTGGCAAAAGATCGTGCACACGCGCTGGAACTCTGCGAAAACATGTTCGGAAAGACTCTAGTACTCCTTCGCTACTTAGAACTTGAATTATTTGTTTTTTATTGTAGAGGAAGAAAGTTTGCCTCTTCTACTAGACAATTCCAGTTTGTATTTCTTGATCTTTCTAGGTGAATAAGATGAGTTAATTTCATTGCGTTCTTTGTTATAAGGATTCCCGTGCTACTAGTTGTAGTTTCTAGCTACTAGCAGACAAGTCCTGCATCTTCAAATTTGAAGAAATGACAATGACCCTACCACGACTCACGACCAGGTTACAAAGCAAACTGGGGAACTCGGAAAACCAGTGAACTCGCTTCTTTGCGTTGAGAAATTTCAGATCAAGAGTGAGCGATATTTCGCGATCCTCATGGACAGAAGTGCAGGTGGCCCGCTCGTTATTGGAAGCAAAACAGGAGGAACCAGCATTGAAGACATCGCGGCTGCGTATTTTTAAGCTTTTTTCATTTCCATCGCTGACTGTCATGGCCGGAAGGTTTTGCTGTTGCTGAAGCATGATGCAGACAAGAAACCGTCAGAAAATTGTTGAAGGTCTTTTGGTTTTTCTTCCTTCTCTAGCTGAAAATACATAGGTAAGCTTCTCGTTCTCCGTAGACTAGGCATACGATCTCACACAAAGAAATACAATCTTCTGTAATCAACCACGAATACAGGGACCCAACGGCGATCATTAAGATGCCAATCGATATCATGCAAGGAATGAGCGCTTCTCAGGCCAAGGAAATGGCAGAGAAGATGGGCTTCACCGGAGCACAGGCTGACGATGCAGCCAAGAGCATCTTGGGCCTTTACAAGGTAACCACTATGACTATTTTTGCAGCTCTCCCTTTACGTCTCTAACTATGAAGAATCCTATCTTGACGAACAGAGTAGAGAAAGACCCGGAGTACACCTACAACTAGTTCGAATTTTCAAAAACAACTACAGAAGTTGAAACATGATAGAGAGACGCCATTTATTCACGAAAAATCTCAGGTCTTTGTCGAGTGTGATTGCACCATGGTTGAAACATGATAGAGAGACGGCATTTATTCACGAAAAATCTCAGGTCTTTGTCGAGTGTGATTGCACCATGGTTGAAATCAACCCTTTCGCGGAGTTGTCCGATGGTCGCGTCATTGTCTGCGACGCCAAGGTTGGATTTGACGACAACGCAGAATTCCGTCATAAGGAACTCCATGCCAAGCGTGACGTGACCCAGGAGGACTCTCGGGAAGTTGCTGCTAAAGAGTTCGATCTTAACTACATCGGCTTAGACGGCTCTGTGGCATGCATGGTCAACGGTGCCGGTCTCGCCATGGCAACAATGGACTTGCTCAAGCTCTTTGGCGGTGAGCCCGCCAACTTCTTGGACGTCGGTGGTGCAGCGAATGAGGAGAGCATAACCGCAGCATTTAAGATCCTGCAGGTATTTACTCTAAGTATCTTTTTGCATAATCTCCTGTTTCTGTTTTGCACCTTTCTCCGTACTTCTTATTCCACAAGTAGAATTTGTACCTACATGCTGCATATTCATATACATACTACATCTATTGTCGTATGCCTTTTTTGGATTTTCTTGTAGTACCTACTTCTGCTACAACGAATAGCATCCACATCATCGATCTCATCAATCAGAATCAATCTGTATATCCACCACCCTTCACTTTTAGGCTGACCCGAACGTGAAGAGCATTTTTATCAATATCTTTGGTGGTATCATGCGCTGTGACGTGATTGCCAACGGTGTCGTCGCGGCTATCAACAATGTGGGTCTTACGAAGCCTCTGATCGTTCGCCTGGTTGGTACGAACGTCGAGCAGGGCAAGAAAATCATCGCCGATTCGGGCCTCGATGTCCAGGCATTCGATGACTTCACCGAGGCAGCCCAGAAAGCCGTGGCAATGGCCAAGTAAGGCAGTCAAGGTCCACTATTCAGTACAACACATGCAGTATAGCTACAGATAGTTCTTCCGTCAACGAAACATTTGATTTTTTTACTGTTCATAGCGTGCGACACTTGGGAATAAATCGAATACTTAAAGGTAAGTATTACTGTGTGAAATTGAAAACATGCTTGTTTTACTCTTAGTTTTTAGTCTAGTGCGATTGAAGCATCATTTCGGCGAGAAGAAGATTAAAAAGGGACGCCAGGATGACAGACAAGGACATTCAGTCATCGCATAGTTGCCGACTCTTATGAGGCCGCCCGCCTGCGAAAATTATGGATAGATATTGGTTACAACAACAGGTCAACAACTTTGAGTTGTATGATATTGCACTAAGATGTAGTTCATTTTTTTTTTCGTCAGACATGAAGTCGATGCCGTCAAAATGTAGAGAACGAGTGCACTTCGTTCCTTCTGGCGCAGCTGAAGAAGACATACTGCTACATCTATAGTCCGAGTCAATTAGAAGTACAACTAGGAACTTTGAACATCTAGCTGATACGATACTAATACTAGCAGAGTCAATGTTTATTGCGATTATGGTCAACAACAACACCAACAGGCTTTTTGTCCTATTTTCGGTTATTGGCAGAAAAAGCTACAGAGTCTGTAAGTATACAACTATAAGAATGAAGGAGGTACTAGCATGCCTGAGACTTGTTGGATATGAACTTACCTGTTATAGGAGAAAAAAACGCAGCATGGACATGGTAGTGGTGCAACATATTTATATTAGTTGATGAAAATATAATATTCGTTGAAAACGCAAGTGCCGTAGAGCCACGTAAATAAGTGAACGGTCAACAACATCCTCAATTGTGTTTGTGAGTAAGTACTTAGTTTGACGCGGCGCGTTCGGCAAGAAAATGTCAGATTTGCACCAGTTATTCCATTGTGTTCAGCTTCAGCAACCGAAAAAAATGAAAAACAACGGAACTTCTACTGCTCAATGCAATATCAACACTGCCTTGATTTCAAATGTAGAACGAACGATGCAGCAAATCATACTTAAGGGCAATGAATCCTTCCATCGGTCAGATCACTTCGCTTAGCATCAAGCTGGAATTCGTATGTGTTAGTAAAAGTTATCTTGGTTCGTCCTGCTCGTACGCGCACTACGGAGTTCAGTTGTCCTCGGTAAACATTCCACGCAGCACCAGTGATCTGTTGACGTACTACTTCACTACTGTGACAGGAAGTGGGAATCACAAGTGGGGATCGGTCGGCACAAACGTGTGGTCTATGCATCTCTTAGTTCCTTCCATAGAAGTAGAAGTTAGATATCCATGCTGGTTTGTTATCGTTCATTACGGATTTTTTTAAGCGTCAGTTACTCTTACGTTGTCAATAGCCAGTCGCTCTCATCAATAGCAAAAAATTAAGAATTCGAGATAAGTTTATAAGTCTATAAAAAGTTTACGAAGCTTCTTGGTTCTTGTTCATCTTCAAAATGTACCCATTGGAATCGCTAAAAAAAGTTGGTATCGAGTTTCCGTGCGATTAGATTTTGCGTATGATTGATGTACATGTACTTGATCACCTTTTCCTTTCCACCTCAAGTCCCACCCTCCCATCGTCTCAACAGTTTCGAGCTCGCGCATATCATCTCCTCCACCCACATCTCCAGCGTTTCTCACAGGGCTTAGTGTTTGGAAACATTTTTGATGAAGGAAGGAAGTAGACCTGACTAGAGGTGCTCCTGTTCTAGGAAACGTTGATCGCTTACCTCCCACGCTTCTGAATGGTATCAACATACTCCTCGTCGTCAACACATCAACATACCCGTTGCTATCTACATAGTCATGTCGTAGTACCTTTGCCCTTTTTTGTTTTTACACATCACAACTCCATAACTGAAGATTGGAATTGATAAACAAGTAGAAGCTTTACCTACAGCATCATCAAAGTCGCACAATCAAACTAACCAACAAGAAGATAGGCATGGGCAAGGTCTTGTAAAAGAGCTCAAGAAGGACAATAGTACTAGTTCTAGTTCAGCTATTGTTGTGAGAATTCAGGTGAAGTTCCAGCATATTCACAACTTTTGTAAACAAGATTTGAGTGCTAGTATTAAAGAACAAGGCGACGAAAGATAGTCAACAACTAGAAAGATAACGATTGATAAGTGGGAGAGAAATTGATAGATAAGTAGATTGAGTAAGACTTTCGGTAAGTGAAGAGAACAGCGAAAGAATAAATAACTATGACAGACCGAGACAAGTCGGGCGGCGGCAAAACGACGCCGATGGCGTCGCCGCGAGTCCCGAAGCCCCTATTAGCGACTCCCGCACAGGACAAACGATCCTCGGTTTTGGATAGTTCTAGTTCTTCCCGTGAGTGCAGCAGCGTCTCGAAAAAGCGGAAGCTCAGCAGTATGAAGAAGGATCTGGCGGAGCACTTTGGTACTAAAACCACAGGCCCGGCTCCTTCTGGAAAGAACATTCTGTCAAATACGAATACTACAACCTTTTCCCAAGCTTCAACCAGAGCAGGGACTATGAGCAGCAGCGGCAATATTCCAAGTAGCAGTCGTGTCGGAGGTCCCTCGTCTTCATCATCATCGAAGGCACCTAGCTATGCGCCGCGGAGTCAACTGGAATTTATCCCGTCTTCTTCCGTGTCGACAGATGGGGCTAGAATCTCGTTCCCTGCCCTCTCACCGCCAACAATCGAGCCAAAGGCAGCTAGCACGTCTCGCAAGCGCAAACTTTCCAGTCCTAGGGTACTAAGAATTTTTAAAACTGTTTTCATTTCATTCTGGTCAGTCGTGGATACACAGGGTGCAACTCAATCAGGGTTTATCTATAGTGTGGAGTAATAATTCTTTTACAACGTATACTTTCAGTTCTTCATCCAGTCCTAGTACTAAGGACGACACCAGGAGCAGGACAACAACTATCATGAAGATCCACTTGGTCTCCACTTCAACATCTCGCACTCGCAGCTCTTCAAAAAACCTCGACCACAGGTTGATGACATCGCTTCTTCGCCATTATCTGCTGATAGCGACCGCAAAAGGTTCGCTGCTTCCTCAATGACCCCTGGTGGGGGTGTCATTGACTTGACAACGCCAGAAACGAATAAGGCGGTTGGGAACAAGTTCGCAAAGGACTACCCAAGTCCTCAGCGTCTAGACCTCGCAGATGTGGACCACGTAACAACACCCAACAAAGACAAGCAAGCGCCCTCTTCATCGAGCAGTCGTGGTGTTGAAAGCGCGCAGCTACAGCAGAGTCCTCTTCAGCTACAAAAAAGTCCTCGAGTGTTTAATACACCAAATGACCGACGTGGAGGAAGTACGACGGAGGCTACAGAAGTACTGCATCTAACGAAAGAGATCTCAGTTTCTCAGCGGAAAAGAAGTGAAGTAGATGAAGAAGAAATCGATGCGCCCAGTACTCCACGCGGCGCAGGAGAGCTCAGTCTCGAGAAGCAAGAGCGACTCTTGCGTGCGCCCATGAAGAAACCACTGAAAACTTCGAGCAAATCCCAAAATCAAGACGACGATTTTGAAATCCTCGAGGAAAGGTTTCTAGGTCCTGCTCGTGGGAGTGCGGTTTCGTCCTCTTCTAGTGCCGCTTCCAACTACTCGTCTTCGAGTGTAGTGGATACAACTGGAATGCAACGACGTAACGGCAACTACAGGCGTAGCGGTGCTGCAGGGGTTCTTGAAGGAAGAGGTCTAAGACGCGGTACTAAGAACGAGACCAAGTCTACTTCTAAGAAGAGGACGCCACCTTTTGTGGCCGCACTTGAGAGCGAGAATCGTTTTGCGCCACGCCGTCTCGTGTTTGAAGACGATATTAGCGACGATCTGCTGGATGACGAGGATGCAGGTGGAGCGACCGGCGACTCGGTGGAGCGCAATCGCGTCGTTGCGTTCTACCAGCAGCGAGGAAGTCGTCGCGCGTCCGCTTTCTCCTCCTCGTCCGCAAGTGGTGCGGGTTCGGACACGAGTCGTGGTGGCGCAAACCGTGGCGTTCAGAGAGCGGTCGTAGACCACATAGACGAAGAGTATCTTCGGGAAGTGGACCACCATCGCGCTGGTGCACAGGTGAATCCAGCCACACTTGCTACTGAAGATGGCGAAGAAGCGAATGACAACAACGGAGGTGGCGTGCCGCCACGAGTAGATGCAGATGGAATGATACGTGGAGGTCGTGGACTAGAGGATCATGCTCCTGCTGTTCCCGCAAATCCTAGTACTGGCCCAGCAGCTGGAACTAGTACATCTTCTTCAACAACGGGTCTGAGAACGAGAAGCCGAGATGATGAGGCAGATTCGGGCGAGCTAGTCCTGGACGACGCATTGAGTAGTGCTGTGACAAGTAACCACGCGAGCGCTGGTGGCGGTTCCGGAGCTTCAATGGACACGATGGTGGCACAAACCTTGACGTCGGTCTTTTCGTCCGGCCGCTTACCGCATCAGGGGGGGACTCTGCAAGGGCGCAGTCCGCACCACGGCGTCCGCGGTGGTTCCACCTCCGTTCTTCACCAAACGCGTACATCAACGGTGAACGGCCTAAAATCCTCCCTGGGAGGAGGTGCGGATGTGGTGCGGCAAGTGAGTGTGGTGCAACGTCCAGAGAATGTGCTCAACGACGATCTTGCGCAACGACTCCAGCTGGCAGCGGCGATCATGATCGACGCACGTCCGCAGGCAGAACTTAACGACCTCATGCTCCGCAGTGCCTTGAATGCTGGCGTTTTCTATGTATCGGACCGTCTATCAAGAGAATCCTCGCAGCAAGAGAAGGTAACTACTTATCTGTGTGGTGTATTTTTTCGTTCCTGGTGCGCCCGCGGCTAAACCAAAAAGCTTACATAGGTAATTCATATGCTTATGCATCTTAGCTGCTGATGCAAGAAACAGAACAAATTCGACAGCTACTTGGTTACAGTTACACCACTACCAAATTATCTACTAGACCACTCTCGTCCTATATGCAACAAGCACACCACTATCAAACAACTCAGACTGCTTTCCTACATGCGTTTGATACGGCCGCAGTGTTCGGACCTAGTATGGGCATCCCACGACTGACTCGCTGGTGGCGAGCGAAGCGACTCGGACTTCTACCTCCGATCGATATCTACTGCATTGTTGGCGAAGCGCCTCTCGTCTGGGAGACCGTGCGAGCAGCCGCATAGACGCAAGGAGAAGGAGAACATGAGATGGAGATATTTTCGATCATACAACAAGTGGGTTTTCTTTAGATGCTGGATCTGGAAAAGAGATTGGCGCTCCGGGAAGAAGGTACTCGCACTAGAAGGTCTACTTCTTAGATTGATAGCTGCATTCTTGTTTTGGCACTGGTGACTCTATGTATAATGTTGTGTAGCTACTCTACGACCCCAGTCATTTGTCTGAATGAAGCGAGCAATGCTGTGCTCCACCTTTTTTTACAACAGGTTCGTACTCCTGTTCTCGAGTCCGGCTGATAAGACCGAAGCTACGAAGTATGCAGTACGGCGGTGCGCGTCCGCCCACTAATTTCTGCAATAGAAATACTTCCAGCTCACACAGAGTATAAGTACTTAAAATAAATGCCTCTTTCAATTTCTATTTCAATCATTCGGGTTGTCTACCTCTGACTTCTGAGCTAAATGAAAAAGGCTATTATGAAAAACCTTCTACGACAACTAAGACTCTAACACTAAGACCATGTATCCACTACCACTAACAAGATGAAGATTAATGCTGCTGGTCATATGAACCACAACTACTACAAATTTTTGGACTACTTTCGTGGCTGAGACCACAGGGAACATACAACAATGTATAATTTCAGTTTCGGGTCAATCTTCCACCATGTAATTCAATTTTTTGGTACTATGAGATTAATGTCGTCCTTGGAAATTCCTAGGCGAAAACAGAATGTCATACTTTTACTTGTTACAACATGGACAATGAATCAGTTGCTAGATTATATTTATATGACAATCATCAACATCATTGATTCGAGGTAAACATTGCTTAAATAACGACACAATCAATCAATAAATGAACATCAATAAAGTATCGGGACATGATCAATTTTCACATATTTTTACACTAGCACAACGAGTAGAATTTTAAGATGGTGAGTCATGATCGACGATCATGTGGCTCTACACCTAGGTGAAACAAAATTTGACTCTTTAAAAAGAGGAGCATCGGCATCTTGCGGGTCGGCCTAGGCGTAGGAGATGACAACGTGCTCAAAAAAATAGTGACTGAAGTAGATCAAAGAGGTTATTGTCATAAAGACGTCAAGAACAGGGGAATAATTATTACATGAAAAACAACAACAACATGTTGAACATTGAAATTGATTTTTTCGGGAAAGTAACTTGAACGAACTTGTACACCTGATGCGCATGGAGAGGTCCTCTTCCGACAGGTGTGGTTGTAGGAATCAATTATGTGCTTGAGCTTGGAGGTATTGGAGGTTTGTCATGCCTATTGGAGCTTATATTCTCTTCTTCAAGTGGGTTTAAAGACTTGTATTGCTGTGATTGAAAATAGCATCCTTTCATCAATCATGTTCAACCTACTTACGTCAGGGGTGGAGGCTTTTCAGCCCCACCTTTAGAAAGTGGTAGTGGTACAACGGGAGGAAATGGCGTTGTATGGTCAACAATTTTGTTCATAATTGCTCGGACGAGTCAAGTGAGATGCTTCAAGCTTCATTCATTCATTTTGTTGAATGATGGATGTTGCTATGTGACAAAAACGCGAGAGGAGCAGTAACAGTTTCAAAAGAAGTTGTCATGAGCTCCACGGCGCGCAAAAGGATAGAGGTGGAGAAGGCATCCGTATAAGTTACAAACGTGATGAGAGACGAAATTTTTTGGTATAGATACGTACTGGCACTCGTAGTAAAGGAAAGGAGCGCCGCTGACTTGTTGACTCGTCGTTCTTCAACAGAAGAAGTGTTTCTTATTCTTAAAAGTATTCACCTTCTACTATTCCTAGAATGAACTTGAACTTTAGACCTCGCTCTTCTGAAAGTGAGAAGTTGTTTCTACTGGAGGTATTTGTTAATACATAGAAGGAGGTTTGGCGCCGGCACAGAATAAGGATGTTTCAACCGGGGAAACGGACGTTCGGGTTGGAGTTTTCTCCACAGCCCCTCGGGTCCGGGCTCCAGCTCGGTCGAGGGACACGACACACGACGCATGGTGGCACAGGACCGCTTTTTGGTGGTGCACAAGCTCCGCAGATAGGACAGGCACAGAACAATACAGGTGGAGCTCCTTCTGATATGGCCGAAGGGTTTTAAGGTTCCTCTTTCTTTATCATGTTTGTTGTACTAGTACTACTAGTGGCCGTGTTATGGTTTTTTTTAGATCCTTCAGGATCAGGAGTGCGTGTCAACAACTACTAGAAGGTCGTGAACAAGGATTTCTTATGACGAAATCCTACATCTGTTGAAACAGCGTTAATACTGCACCAAGCGGGGGACCAATGCAGCAGGTGCACACACCAGTTTCCGGCGGACACTCAAAGCAGGGTCATTCGTCTTCAAGTCACAAAATGAAGAACGCGACACGGGGAGGCGGCCTCAATTCCAATTTACTTATGGAAACAGTTCTTGAGATTTTGATGCGTTGATTACTTGAGCACTAGGTGGGACAGTTGTCATTTTTTCTAGTTAGGTCGGCTCCACCACAATTATAAGAACAATAAGGGTCTCACTGTTAAATGAGCAGGAGTCGCCTACTTTCCCTTTGTATTAGATTTCTAAGGCACTAGGCGGTGGAAGCTTGCAGTCAGGTGGTGCGACGTCATCAACATTCGGCCAAAGTCCTGACGTGCGAGCCCAGAGGCAACAACAGGTCCTCCCGAGTCCGACGTACGCACTGCAGCATAAGGCTGTATTATTCATTGTATGGTGAAGATTTGTTGAATATTTTTTGCCATTTATTTGGTTTGATAGTTTCGACGTTGTAACTCAGCCTCCATGTGTATTTGTTGTCGTCAACATTGTGTCCAGCTGTAACATGATGGGGTCACGATATGATCAAAGTGAGGTGCACATCACACGCATACGTAATCAATGAATTCGATGATAACTACAGGACCTTGCTCGGCAACTTTCGCAATCAGAAGCTGCCAATGCTGAACTGAGTAGAGAGCTGGAGGCAGTCCGAGAGGAGCAGAAGCAGGCGAATGAAAAGAACGCAGAAATAACAAATATCCTTGAGTTATGAGGAAGAGAGTAGATGGCTGGTTGAGCTAGAGTAGACATTCTGTAACAGAATGTGAACATCACTAGTAGGATTGCACAATACGAAAAATACCGTAGATATAATGCATACCACGGCGCTTATGCACGACTCACACACTCAAGATAATTATAGCCAATCATGATCAAGAACCCGCATGTACTTCTTGAAAATACCTGTACCCGTCTTCGACTTCTCTTTCTTCAGTCTAATGCTTGGCCTGGAGCAGCAGTTTAGCCAGGTGCTCGGCGACAAAGAGAAAGCAGAGGATGAAGCGAAGCGCATGGCAGTCGAAGTCGAGAAGTATCGGGAAGAAAAGAAAGGTATTGATTCCCGACAGTTTCGTATTTGCTGTTTTACAGCAAAAGTTGTTGTAGGCGACGCACATGAGTGACAGAAACACAGGACGAGTCAGTTAGAGATTCTTTGTTACTTGTTAAAAATCCCTAATATTTAAACGACCATTTATCCAGAGCGGTGTCGGCAAGTGCAGGAGCAGCAGCGCGAGACCAGGAGACATATGTGCAACGTGGAAGAGAACTTAAGTAAGCATCAAGCGCAACTACTTCTGCTGGAGCAGAGAAATGCTGAGTTGACGGATGATCTCCACGAGGCTCGCGAGCAACTAGCCAATACGCAGGACGAAGATCACGTCTCACGTTTAGCCTCCGACCTAGAAACGGCGCTTAACAAAATCGGTACCCGAAGAATAGTCGTAATCCTCCTAGTACGAAGATGAAGAGCACAAGTAGATCGATAAGATTTCTGAGTATAAGGTGGAAGCTGTTAACATTAGTAATATGCAAATCAATCCATATAGATACAAGAAAGTCGAAGTCGACACACTGTAGCATCAAAAAGTCGAGATCATGAACGACAATCTTCACCACGAGGACCGTGTTCTCAGTGATCTGTAGTAACTACATTGCACCAAAACCAATCAGACTTCCTGCAGAAGAAGCTGGATACGCAGGACGCTCAATTTGCTTCTCCGCGTGGTGGGGCGTCGAATAAAAGCGAGATGAACGAGATAACAGCGTTAGAATACTGGAGGTTACGGGAGAAAGTCCAAAAGGAGGAGGCCCAATCGCAAGCGAGAGCAGAGCAGAAGGAGCAAGCTGCAAGGCAAATGCGCACTGAGGCGGAAAAAGCGCTCAAACAAGCCAATGCGGAGTTATGACATTTCCTTTCTTCTTAGAAATGCTCTACTGCTGTTCTAGTTGTAAGAGAGGGAGAGCAAATCTACCACGTACATCTTCAAACCTTAACCTCTATTTGAAAGTACACCACGACTAGAATTAGAAAATACACAAGCTTCAGTTCATCTTCTTGTAGGTATTTTTTAGTGTTGTTAGGAACTACCGACTGGTCTAAAGGTGTCCAAAGAAGCCGGCCGAAGAGTGCGAGAGGCGGAACGTAGCGCAGAAGAGGCGGTATTTTGGGACTAGCTATTTTGCGTGTGAGGAGTTACTGACCTGATGATCAATTTCATATGGCCAGAATTACTTTATTTTTTCTCATCTGCTACAGAATCGGCTTCTGCAGACACGGAATCATCGAATTGAGGAGCTCACCGACAAATTGAACGAAGTGGAAGCTGAGGGCAGTCAAAAGGAGGTGAAGATCGAAGAGCTCGAGGATTTGCTTGACAGGCGCGAAGCAGAGCATGGCCGAGAACTCAAACGCATGACTGAAAGTGCAACTAGCCAGCTGAAGCAAATCGATGCGTATCTACTAAAATCGTTTTGCTTCTGACCTTCAAGAACGGATGAGATGAGGTTATCGTTCCTGCTAAAAAATATGTACTGCAGCAATGGCAAAAATTTCAATCCGCGTTTGTAGTATGCATGCAATTGATGGTAGTTGACAGTTAGCTCCCTGCTGTCTCCCTCCATAGATAATGTGAATGATGTTGCTTGTCTTCACCTTGTCCGTCAGCTTAGAGATGGAGTTAGACTCCGTGCAGCAGGAATGGCAAGAAAGGCACCAGAAGGAATGTGATATGCTAGAGGAGGAGAAGCAAGGCATTGCGAAAGATCTAGCAATTAAGGCGTGAATATTTTTGAAGACTGAGTTTTTCCAGGAGGATCTTGTTTCTTTGTTTGTTTCTTTGTTTCTTTGTTTGTATTGATGCGCTCCGGGCAACGCGTACGATCCCGCCGGATTTCTTTGAGCTTCGTGCTTTTTGTGCTACGGTCCCAGGAGCATCTTCTTCGAGATGTTTTCTCTTCTTGTTTATTAACCTGTAAGATGAACAGTTTTGATGATGATGATGATGATGATGATATTTTATGTTGATACTAGGTTCTCTACCAGGATGGTATTTTTCACTAGGCCTCGCTCTAACGCAAATTTGCAGCATGAAAAGGCGTCACTTCTGGGCAAGTTGCAGGACGAAAAATCCCGTGTCTCTGAGGAACGAGACCGCGCACGCGCAGAGGCTGAACGGCTCCAGACCGACTGTGAAAACCGTATCTCACGAGCAGAAGCGGATAGGGAGAATCGCCTGAAAAAACAAGAATTATGCACAGTGGTCTTAGTTATGCCTATCTGTCACTGGTTGAAGCTAGAGTTACACTTCGACCCGTTATTTTATCCAGAGTACTTGAGGCAACTAGAAGGCCACCAAGGTAAAGAGATTGAGATGATCGGAGTAAGAAACTGCGTACAACTTCTAAAACCAGCTGAATTTGAAAAGGAGAGGGAGCAATTGAATGCTGATTGGAACCGTGAACGGCAACAACTAGAAGGCGAATGGAGTAGAGAGCGGGCAGACAACGATCGCCAAACCGCGGAGCTCAACAAAAAACTCGCAGAGCAGAAGCGCGATATAGATCTTGAAAGGAAAGAGCGGGAGGCCGATCGAAGACAGCATTTATGACTGCTTAGTTTCTATAATACTCGTCATAGTTGTATGTCCCCTAATCAGTGTCTTTTCATCTTCTTCATCTAGTCCTTGTCCGTCTTCCATGTGTCCTTGTCCCTCTTCCCCTGTTCATGCTTCGAGAAGGATTTCCGTGCCATCGAAGAGCGTATGACAGGTGCACACCAAAAGCATGTAGACCAGATCATGCGAGAGCGAAAAGAGGAGGTTGACAAACTTGTAAAAGAACGGAAGCAGGACAAAGAATCTTGGTCGCGAGAAAAGCGTGATTTGGAAAGTGATGCGGTACTAGATGTCCCACTAACTCTCTAGTACGTTTGGTGTCTAATCAGGACATCTTCCCAAAAATCCTTTCTAGTTGTACTACTGCGACATGAAAACTACTACATTGAAATTGATTTATATTCTTGTGTGCGTACTACTAGGTACTACTAGATCATGGTCAAGATACATCATACATGAATGATGTACAACACGACGTACAACACGACGAGGACAAACCATTATTTAAAATAGACTTACTTCTTTTTCGAAAATTCCCGCACCCGTAGGCCGCTCGCGAGAAGGAGTTAGCCGTTCTTCGGAGGGACACGGAGAGTCTCCAGAAAGACCTTGCGGAAGGGAGTAGAGAACGAAGTACCCTATCAAGGGATCTGCAAGCTCGGGAATTGGAGCTCGAATCTACCCAACAACGTCTCAAGGACGAGCAAAAGGCGAGAAACGACGCTGAGAGAGACCGAGAGGATGCGGGGAAAGAAGTATTTCAATTTGTATTGGTATTCCTCAATCCTATCGTTGCCCTGCTGGTGCTGCCACCAGGCGTAAGCTGATATTCGTGAAAATTTTGTTTGCGTGTTGGAATTTAAAAACAAGCATCAAGAAGAGGTAGAGGATAAGTCTGATAACAAACGGTATTATAACAAATAGGACTTCTTCTAGTCTCGGAACAACTTTTTCAGGTCAGCGAATTTGCGGAGCAGTTGCAAGAAGCTAGTGAACGAATAGTTGAGCTAGAAAAACAGCAGCGAGAGCTGGAGTACTCGCAAGAAAAAGTTATGGAGCGAATAAAATGGATGAATAGAGTCTGTTGAGAAGACGAAATATCTTCCTTTATCTGAATTTGATCGCTAGTAGAGTTGGTCCTCTATTCTTACTTCACATGCATACCATCCTCATCTCATGGCCAGTCGTGTCCTACCTCCTCTTAACAAATTCAATGTTGTCATTTCCTCCCTTCTAATAAGTAGAGGAAGAAGATCGAGCAGGAGCGGGACGCGGCACTGAAAAAAGTAGAGGATGAATGCGGTGCAAAGAGGGAAGAGGAGAGACAACGCGCAGAGGCAGACCTTCAACAAGCCAAAAAGAGTTTATCAGACGCAGAGGCAGCTTGGGCAAGGGAAAAAACAGAACTCATGGTAGTACTGTTGTTCGGCTAATTTCTTACTAATATTTTCAACATCAGAGAAATCCGAAGAACACAGAAGAGATTCGGGGAAGTCGTAGGTCCAGTCCGAACCGACTAACACCATCAGAAGTTACTAACATTTTATTACGTGGTTACAGGTGTTGGTCTACGTCTACTTGGTACTATTCGTATTGATTCAAAGTCAAATAGTTAAGTAGTAGAAAAATCGTTTCTATTAACAACAACTTGGTCGCAACGAGAACGAATTTGTACTTCCTTCTTGGCAACAAAAACCACAGCAAGAAATCGAAGTATTGGAGTTGAACCAGGACGGTTGCTTGAAGGCAGAGTACGAACCAGACACCAGCGTCGCATTTGCTCCACAGGACGCGCTAAAGTGGCAGAGCGAGCGTGAACTGGAGTTGTGCCGAGAAAACGCGAAATTGATGGGAGAAGTGCGTATGTTCGAGCGCAAATTCAAGTGGTCGTATTCGGTGAAGGGCTGATGTTCACTAGTAAGCTGAACACAGATTCACGTTGTCGTGAAGATGCAACAACTAGCCATTGTGATGCAGTATCCTGAGACGAAACGGAAGGGAGCGGGATGCTGCTCTTCATTCCTTCCTACAACTAGAAGCAAAAAGAGTCAACATTTTTTATTTCATCACTGTCATGTACTTAATCTTCAGAAAGAGAAAGAGTAATTCTACTCATTGTAGTTTGTGGACGATCTCTGTAACGAGGACAAACGCGTGTCATGAAGACAGGGGTTACATGCCTTCAGCAAATAGAATTTTACAGTTAGTGATGTTCCAGCAAGAACCCGCACCAGGCATAAAGCAGAAAGGCATTTTTACACAGAAACGCACACTGTAAACTATGTAATCATGATTAGCCAGCATGAATGATACAACAAATAGAAAGAATAAGATGGTAAACTAACTACGCACCATGAGGCGATCATTATTCATCGTAATCTTTCGTTTTCTAGTAATTTCAGTCCGTTGGAGATCCATCCGCTCTACATTGACTCACATTTATTCATTTTTTTGGCAATATCAGGATCGTATAGAAAATTTGGGACATTCCTATCTGGCAATCCGATAATTTATCTAGTCTAGCAATCTGAAGATACTGGAGCACCAGAGTACGCAACATTTTTAAATTTCAATGAAGCAAAATTAGACGCTTGGGGTTCCGGTTCGTTGGTGTAATGTTTTGTTCCTTATGTATGTTTGTTTAATATTTCATTGGTGATCTAGATCGTATCTCGTTTCTATCTTCGCCCTATACTTCCCATGGCATTGTGGATCACTGTCATTAGAGCAGTGACTTTTCAGATAGTCAGTCTCTTGATTAATATATATAGATACAACGAGGGCATTATCTCGCAGTTTTTTCTCAAGAAAATGGAAGGAAAAAAATTGACCTCATCGTCATGACTTTCAGTCGAAAGTGTCTATTTATGTCATGGGATTATTCAAAATTGTTCTTATAAATTGATCTAGTTGTCACTGTTGTAGAGACGCAGACCCTGCGCCACAGGGTCTCGTCTCAACGCGATGTGGTCCTCAATGCTTCATGTTTGTAGTTGTCAGTTCTCTTCCACCGTTCGGATCAACAACTACAGCACAGATATCTCATTCACGAGCATCTTATTCACGAGCAGTTTGTTGTAATACTATCTTCGAGTAGATGATGGAGCAGGATCGCCGCGCACCAAAATGGAATTTCGATTATCATCCTTTTGTAACAAGCCCCCTATGGGTGCCGCAACTTTTTCGGGCAGATGTCCGTCTGAAATCTGACAACATCTATCGGGATTTTACCAAACATTATAAGCGCAACTTAAGGCTCCACATACTTACGCTGTTTGATCCACATCGATGAGACGAAGGAAAACAAGCGCTCTAAGTTTGCATACCATGACGGGGAAGCCGACAAGGACGGAAGCCAGGTGGCCATGGGCGATAGGTTACAATTATAGGCCCTCCACCATGTTAATCTTCAGTGTTATCCTAGCCTGAAGTCGGGTCTTTGTTCTTCGAGAGGGCAAGAACGTGGACTTGTAATTATACCTGTCTCGCACCACGACGTGCATCTTTGACAATAACCCCCATATAATTATAATCTATAACAGCATAAAAATTGAAAATATGGAGAACGACGCGGATTAAAAAGAGCAAGTTTGGAATTGGAAACAGTCCCCACCCGAAATACTGAGTACCAAAAGCAAAAGATGGAAAAAAAAATGGACCGCCCTCAGAGTCCTTACAAGAAGTGGTTACTTAGAGATAGTGGAAAGTCTATGGAAGATAATATCGAGAGATAAACCTGGAGATCGACGACGCATTCTACGTATATATTTGTAAAGCCCACCCCCGAGGCGTTGTAAACTCACTCCGTGACTCTATATCCGTCCCCAAGTAGCAGTACAATTTTGATTTTAATAGTCTTATCATGGCCGGGTCCATCGCTTTGGTGTGAGCTGGAGGTCTCTGCTACACTGGCAGCATACTGATGACTTCATCAAAAGAGATTTTTTCTGGCTTCTTGTACTGTAAATTTACGACAACAAGTGAGATATAATCAAATGGAAATCTAAAAACGCGCTCCACGAAACAACAAACATGGAGCAACTGATGAACGACTGAGGACCACGCGTTCGAGGCAGACTACCCCCGCATGGTCAAGAAGTAGGCCTGAAGATATCCTCGTGGAACGCACAAGGAACGAGCCGTCGAGATGGCTCCGACGAGAGGCGATGGTGGGGCGGTGCCCAGCACAAAGCAGCTTTCCAACGTCAATTGGTTTCAGTTATGGTCGTTGTTCTGTAACTATGCGTGCTGGAGAGAAAGATACCACCAAGGATTACCTTGTTCTAAATCAGGCGGCCAACAACTATATTTCGGCTCGCCAGAGTGCTATGAGGCGGTTTCAGCTTCTGCGAGACCGAATACCACCTGGAGCAAAGTGGCTGAATGACCGCACAATCGAGGTATTTTTATTTTCACTTCTAGTTCCACGACCTAAGTACAACATTTCCTCAACATTATCGTCCTCGAAAAATGCCCTGCTCCTGGATGATACGTAATGCCATCATGATAACACGCTTCTAGTTGGAAGACGCAGAGGCGAACACTGCCGATATGGAGGATGGAGCAGAGCGACATGTCATCATGGAGTTTCCTCCCTTGGACAACCGATCTTTTTATTGTATAAATGCCTTTGATCCCGATAGTCAAGTTCCAGAAGCGGGAAGACCCGCGTATCGCACCGGTGGTTCTTCGAGCTCGTCGTCAAAGAGGAGAGGAGTTATGTGAGAGAGGAAAGTTTAAGTTGTACTGATTGTAATTTAATAGTGTCAACAGCTCATCCTCGCTTTTTTACGTTGTACCAATAAGAGTTTGAGTTAGCACATACTTACATTCATCATTGGACATAGTCGCCGTCTTTGACGGGTACTAGTTGTGTGCCATCCTCCTCCTACGGTGGTAATCAATTGTGATGGTCAAATCAGAACTAAGTAGTCGTAGATTTTTGATCACATCCTCCCAACGGGGGATAGATCACCTGCCAAGGCTGAGTGTTCCCTATTCAATATGGCGCCGACCACAGGAGGAGACGCGGCTTCGTTTTCGAAGGGCGGTCAGTTCTCAGAGTGGCGAAGGGTATCCGAAATTCACGTGAAAGCACGCCTTTTTCCCATTGACGACAAGGGCCACTACGGTCGCGTATTTCAGGGAGGCTTGCAGAATGCCTATCTGATTTTAAGGCTGCTCAGAGAAGGGATTCTGACTCCATTGATTGATTTCTTCTCTTTCATGATCAAACGGGATTGCACCTTCCTATTTAGATAGGAATAACACCCGAAAGCCACCTCTCAGGTCAGGTTCTACTTAGCAGCTACTTGTTATACTAGCTCAACCTCTAATACGTGGCGCTCTTCAGGCTCTCTCTCTTAGACCAAAGCTATTGCAAGATCTCTTCGCATATACAGACGTGGACAAAGCCGTTTATTCCCTACTATTGTACAAGAACGGGCAATACTGCTGCGTTGAAGTCGACGACTTGATCCCCTGTGACGCTCAAGGTCTTTTACTTTGATGGTAGTTTTCTAGGTCCGTCTTCTCCTTCCTTTGTCACATCAACGAAATAATGAACTTGTGGTCGGGCAAGAAGATGCCTTTGATGTAGTCGCTGTATCAATAGAAGTGAAAATGGTCGTCTAGTTCACCCCCCCGCCCCCACAATGATCCCTTTCAGGTCTCCCAGTAACTTGTGTATCGGAGGAGTATCCGTATATTTTGTGGCCGACAATAGCCGAAAAAGCATACGCGAAACTTCATACTAGTGCAAGGGGACTAGACTCGGTTGGCTGGGAAATCATTGGCGAAGGCGGCTCTGTCGAGGAAGCACTAGTGGATCTCACTGGTAGTGAAGTCCAAGCAGCTTGAAATCTGTGTCTACAATGCTTAATATCTCGGTCTACCATGATTGGACCAAGCTTAATAATACCTGTGTCTACAATGACATTGACAGCATCTGCATCGATATCAACCATCTTACTTTTTGAACTTCAAATCAGTGGACCTGCACAATTGATATGAACCTCCAATCAGTATAGATGCGAACAATAGAAGTAGAAAAGCTCCATGATTTTATTGATCTATCGAAGAGGATCTCCTGCAAGATTTCTCTACAACATGATCAGGTGGAGTTGGAGGACGTTGGTATTGCTGCGACGTTTCTCCGGATAGACTATTTGTGTATTTGCATGCGTTACAGAGAGAGTGCATATTCACTTGTAGCATCAACCACCAAGCGTGTTCAACGCGTGGTGTCCGACTGACGCCTCATTTTTCCTACACTATCAACCGCGCGTGTGAATTCGAGGTTATGGCTCCTGGAGAACATCCCGATAGTTAGTGGGTAGTGATGCATAGATACTTTTGTCTTTGAGGACAGCTTTGTCGTCCTTGAGAACTATGCTGTACTCCCGCTGGAGAGAATCGCTTTTTACTGCGTACTCACTACTTAACGCAGTATATCATCTAAAAAAGGGCAATGCTTTGTGCAGTTGCACTGTGGCGCCGCGTGGCTGGCGGACGGCGGATTAAGCGACCACACGCCTTATGGTCTCACGCATGATCCTAGATTCCCAGAACTAGAATCGGACGGCTTTTTTTGGATATCGATTTTCGATTTCGCAAGGTATTGATTGCTGGTAGATGGCTTGTTGGGGTGCATAGATTTAGATAGGTAGATCTAGATAGACAGTGACAGATACAGGTAGATCAGAAAGGAGTTATTTGGTATGTGCATGTTTGTCACTGGTAAATTAAGTATATCTTTTGTTTCTTAATAATTTTCATCTTCTACATTCAGCTACTTCGAAACCGTTCACGAATGCCGGCTAGTCAACAGTGGGGATCGCGGAGGAATCGTGAATATGCCTCCACCGCGCTTGGCGTTTCAAGTGACCCCCTGTTACGTGCGGGAGCCAATGTACGAAAATGTTCATGCCTGTGCAGATCTAATATTAGGGCTTGATGCAATTCATTTCCAACTACCGTCATTTTCTTCTGTTTTCCTTTTGGAATCCGGAAGAAATGAGGTGAAGAAATGAATTGTTTTGGGCTTTAATAATAACCTCCGATACGCGGCCTGAGTTCCTCATCAGCTTCGCCGAACGGAACCGTCACAACGAAATATACTGCTCATTGTCATTATGAAAGATCGTCAAAGTCAATCATGGCTCCTTTTGTATTTAAGGTGAATTTAGTGATTACTGTCTGTCGAGAGATACTTCACAGTAGAGCTTACTATTTCTAAGGATAAGGTTTCTGCTGGAAAACCGTAGTCGTAGAGCATGACTCCAGCACAAGTTTCCTAAGCACACTGAGGTAGGTTTAGGTACAAGAACGGCTTTTTGTTTCATATCGCCAGACAGACGAGCGGCTGAACCAGCTTGGTGCAGGGAGCAGATTTCAGCACATCCCGATGTTGCTAAAAGTCTATGAGCAGGTGGAGGTGGAAGGGGAGAAGTGTTACGCCTTATGAGCAACAAAATAATTGATAATACATTTGAGAACCTGAACCTATGATAATAACCGGGTGAGGAAAAAGGTCGCTGAAGATGAAATGAAAATTGGCTTCTGAACTCAACAAGAACATCAATACTCTTCTACAACTGCATGACCATACTAGATGAATGCTACTCGTACAACTTTCTCTGCTTTTGTTGTTGTCGTTCTTCATCTTTCTTCGTCTACCATTTTCATCCTTCCCTGCCCTTGCTCTTCATACTGCTTCGTTTCCAAATCAGGGTGGATGGATAACGCTAGGGATAGCGTTGTATCCTTCAAGACTCCAGGAAGCGGGATATTTCTGGTCACCGTTGAGCTACCGCCAAAAATTCCAGAAAAGAACAAGTTCTTACGGCAAACAGTTGAGTTTTCTAGGTCTTCCTTCTTGTCCTCAAGGGGTCACCTCCATGCTGAGCACTCTGACGACTCTTGTAAACAACCTTACCAAATCATTTTTATCACGACTATCAATCATACTACTAGGGCTACTCGTTGGCAAAGTACTATTTCTATTTGCTTCAGAAGTATAGAAAAAATGAAACCTCTAATGTTGTTGGCAGCAATAAAAGAAGTCAGCGCAGGAGAAGGCTCGCCGCAAGAAGTTCAGATGGGCGACGAGGTGGTCGTAAACCGGATGATCTTTCGGTACTTACCACGACTAGTGCAATATCACCGAAATCGTGTTGTATTCATTTGGCTTTTCTAGATCTTGCAATCCCGACGACGCACGTTGTTGAATTTTTACACTCCAATTGAGAACAAGTAGATCAGATGCTTCACTGTTCTTTTTTTGCGTGCCTAAAAACCAGGGTTTATTCTACGCGTCCTGTCTACGTTGCCGTGAACCGTGGCGCGCACTCGTCATTTTCCGGCAAGCAGCATACTTTTGTTGAACCTCGCGCAGATTTTCCGAAGGCCATTAGGTGGAGCTTCGTAGGCTCCAGAAATCCACAGCATCATTACGACCAGCTGGTAGTTGTTCATGGAAGATTAGCTATTTGCTCCCGCACAATGTCGAATAACTTCTACAATTATGAGGCAACTTAATAATAAGGAAAAGGAAAAGTGTTACAACTACAAGCCTCATCATATATTAAGCTACTATATATAAGTATCGATATCGTCGCTAGCATGTAACAGTGTCGTTGGTCGATACAACATTCATTCACCTTTCTTAATATCTTCTTACTTTCCTCTAACGGTTATTACGACCCGATATAGCGGAGACCTGGGACGACACTGAGGGATGCTCAGTGCCCTTCGCCAGTCGGGTGGATAAGATCCAGCTTGACCGCGTCGGCATCGGCCTTGGTTCTGCAGCTGATGATGACACAGGCTGTGTCGCAATGTGAAAGGAGGGGTTCGTTGAGCTTGAGAGAAGGCCAGGAGGCGGCGATCGCAAGCATTGCGTAAGTTGAGATTGAAACCGAGACACCGTGTCACGTAGTACTAGTAGTACTATGTATATTACTTCGATGTTATGTTTATAATAGGATTGAAGCAATCATAGTTCGATTTTTTGTTGCTCCAAAATGAATACTTCATTTACTCAGACAATCGTAATTCCTCAAAGAAAACGAACACTGATTCCTTTCCATAACTACTGCTAGAAGTTGTTGTTGCGCGTAGACTGTAGTTGTACCGTCCATGTATGTATACCTACTTCTAGTTTTTTCCGATATGATTTTTCGATCCTGTAGGTAGATAGATTCCCTGCAGACAATCCTCGAAACGTCTTTGAAAGACGGGGAGCGCACATAGCTAGGTTACACGTAAGAAGATAATTATGGGCGAAGCCGTAGCCGGTGGGCATGTTTTGAGATTGAGCGTCGTGATGGGATAGATTCAAGTGAGCACGTGTGTGACAGATAAACTAGTTGTACATCGTCCAAGAAGATTTTGCAGACTATATACCATGAGATAGCTTGCTGGAAAGGACAGCTATCGAGGATGCTTGAGCTTGGTTGGGATTAGAATCAGTGCCTGTGTACGTGTAGGTGTTGTAGTCGTTGTGACACACGGTGTCGAGATTCAAAACGTTGAGCAAGAAAGACTTCAAATGAACAAATCCTCCTCGAAAGGGGAAGAAGCAGAGGTCCCGTCCTTCATGAACTGGCGTGGTCTTTCTGAGGCGTTCGCAGATAATTATGGATCCTGCAGGTGACAAAAGCAAAATGAGTATGATGATCCGACGAAGTGATGTAGTTGGAGAGAAATGAGGGAAGTAGGACTAGAAGGCACTAGCACTACGTAGCAGATATTGATGACTGTGGCCGGCAGATGAAATTGGTCAGGGCGACTCATAAAGACATGCAGCTTGTTGGAGGAGGATGGTCTGCGTAGTGAAGTTAGCATGGCAAGTTGGAAAAGAGCTGCAGTACTCTTACATGTTTGACCGAACGAGACATTGAGTACTGTCTTCATTATCGAACGAGGTGTGCGCCTTCATCATTCAATCAACTTCTCAAATCCCAATCACAAACTGAAACTCAATGTAGGAAGATGCATAGCATCTGAGGAGACCGTCAGGTAAAGAGTTGTAGTGTCTTATTATGGCACTGCTAGCGTTGTCTGCAAAACGTAAATCTAAATTTTAGTATCGCTATCTTATAATCAGTTTTCACACGTTTTCATAATCATAAACTGCATAGCCAACATAAGTATCTAAGAACTACATCGGCATAACATATGTATAAGTACTTGAACTAACCTATCGATTATGATCTGGTGGATCTAGATTTAGTCGAATTTTTGTCCTTGCAATTCTTTCATTGGAATGATTTTTTGTATTTATTTATTCTTGAAGATTTTCACTTGAATGAATATTTATATTAATTTTTCTGTTCTTCTTGCTTGCTAGTGCATCTTCCACCTAGAAGTAAGTTGGTTCTAGGTGCGTTTCAATCTCGTTCAACTATTAATAAAAAATTACTTTGTGCCATGAAAATATATATGCCCCCGCGATCTACTTCTATCTAGCAAAAGTAAAATTAACATGTAGTGGGTCGTCTTCGTCTAGTGCTGGCTTTTCTTTCGTAAGCAGGTGGGTTTCTTCTGGCAGCAGTGGCGAGAGTCTATCAAACGCGAGGAACGAGAGAAAGACAAGAACCGAAAGGACAACGGAGACGGGCAAGCGAGCAAGAGCGACAACTTCTACCAAAAAGACAAGGAGTGCGTACTACCCCAAGTACGTCGTCAGCAGCGATGTCACGGGTGCAGATAGCTTCTGGTCGTTTCCCGATAGGACGGCAGACGCAGGCTAGTGTAGCGAAGATGAGCATCTTCACGCACCTGCGGAGCACGACGTTCGCGTCGTTGCTGAAAAAAAATGCATGGTTTGTCTTTTTCCTACATCTACCGTGGAGTTCGCTGGCACGAAACGAAATTGGACTAGACCTACTTGATAACGGGCAACACGAGGACCTACATCAATTACATCTTCAATCAAAGATCGATCGCGACCGACATCTACTTCTCTTCGGAAAAGAAGATCCCTACCCTATCGGGACGAGGGCATCTAGTAATGCAGGAAGTTCTTTAGTGCCACGACATCAAGAACGGCGTGCTCGTCAAGAAGAAGCGAGGCGTGGAAGGAAACGATTGACGGTTCCGCAAGAAAGTCTAGTTGAAGCGAGTCCTCGTGGAAACACACGACTCAAAGTCGATGGAGGAAGAAGCAGTCCAACCTCACCGAGAACAGGGAAAGAAACAAGAACCATATGGAGGAGAAATCATCAAAGAGGAGTCTCTAGGGCATCATCAGCAAACAAAGAAAGGCCAAGGCAAAGCGATCTTCAGGCTATGCCGCATACTAGAGAACAAAATGATCTCGAGGATGTGTTCGACGAGGACCCATTGTTTCCCCAAGCTGGCACTGAGCTACCCCACTTGTTGCGGTCTGGGCGCTCAGCAACAGTCTACACCCCACCACTGGCAGGTGGCTATACCAAGCATTTACAAGTTCCGAATCAACCTATGGGAACAACTCGTTTACACCCGCCATTGGGTCTCACCGGTCTGGTTTCTTCCCCTCGGACAAGTAGTCAAGTATCGGCACAGCATGAGTTGCAAGATGGTCTAAGTCGGAATGGCGTGGACTTGCACTTGCAGCAACTGTCCTCTCAAGGACTGAGTTTAAGGCTTCACATCATATCATAATAATCCATCTTCAACAGAAGCATCCCTCCCCCTCTTCCCCGTCAGAAGCCTCTTCAGGATGCTTCTGAACCTGGACTTCGGTGAGCTCTTCTAATGAATCCCTTGCGGCCAAACCAGAGCATCGCCAACTTCTATCGGGACTTGCCTCCTCACAGTAAGCAGCAGCTCCAAGCGGGATCCTTTCCCGGTCTTCTGAAGGACATGAGGGCAGTCTCGAATACTCCAGCGCCGCCACCTCCGCATATCAATTCACACGCTCATGCTGCGCGACCAGTACCAGTGGCACCATTTCCAGTGGAAGTGGGAGGTGGCATGAATGCCCTACCAGTTGTAGAGGAGCAGAAGCTTCAGCTTCAGGGACGAGTAGGAGCGGTTTCTACATCCCCACCAGGAGCAGTTCTCGCTACACCAAGGACGCCAGCATTGGTGACAGTCTCAAACGCTCCACAAGTTGTACCTTCACCAATGGTCTCAAATACGCGAGTCGAGCAGGATTACATTAAGGTTTATTTGTGATGTTGAATCCTGTTCCCGATTTCAGCGTGGGTAGGTAGTTACTGTATGGGGCACAGTCTTATTTGGTCACCCAGATTTGAAAGATATGAATTATGGAGTTAAAATCTACTTGTCTCTACGGCTATCAGGAGAGATGGCAACAGAAAAGGGACGCATGCTCATGCAATGTAGTTTGCTACCTATCTGGATCGGGTGATGACTGTGATATTTTTTACAGCGATCTACTTCTACAATCTACATCTTCAAGCGCTTCTAACTCTGGTTCAACAATCCTTTGTCTTGGTGACAGTCTCACGGAGGGTTTCAATTTGCCAGGATGGAACCAATCGCCAGATCTCTGGGTCAACAAATTGGCCTCCAAGCTCCTCCACAACCTCCGCAGCATTCATCTTAAGATCAACATGTTTGTATGATTATATTTATACAAGTTACTATATCCGGTACCCTGGGGCGAACTAGTGGGTGCACATAGCGCGAGAACCGAGCACTTCTCTGAGGCAAGCACAGGCCTCGGCCGCCTCTGATGAGAAGACCTCCAGAGCTGTTGGACGACACGCGGCGCCTAGAATAGACGGATCCTACTTAGCTTGGCCATTACTATAATTCTGTACTTATATACTTTTTACCTATCCTTACTTTTTCTTCCTAGTTAGCTTGGCTTCACCCGTATTTTATAGTATATACAAGTTACTATATCTATATCAGACTTCAAGAATAAGGGGGTAGTTAGTAGTTTCTCTAATAGCAATGCTAGATGCGTATTAGACTTGATCACGAGTTTCCAACTAATATAGCTTTAGTTGAGAGGGAGTGAGGAAATCAATATGAAAGTCGCGTGAAAAAAGGGATTGATATCGAGGATGTCACAGTCTAGGTGTTCGTAGAAGTAAGAGCATGTGACGCGCTGTTAGTAGCTATGTACTGGGTACACCTACACTTTAGTAGCACTAGTGCTATAGCTATTGACCTATTGATTCTAATTCTGCGATCGACATAATCAATGCGGGGAACTCAGGAGCGATCTCGACTATAGTAACTGGACGGAAACCACACAGTCTTGTAGGGCCCGGACGGGTAGTCAAGCTGCGCATGGCAGATGATGCCAGATTATCTCAGTTAAGACCGGCTCTTCATGCTAAGTATTTAGAATTTTAGCTACTCAGATCTATTTTGCCAACTATCATGCAAATGCAAAGAAATGCATCATTGAAAGAAGCAAACGAAAGAACAATGGCTGTCTCGCGTTGGTGAGGGTTCTCCTTCGTGACTTGTTTCCTGTTTTCAACACAATTTTTTTGGAATTTTTATTTTTCTAATCGTCACAGATCGCCTTTCTGCTCAGAGTAGTGACGCCGATCTCGTTGGGCTTCTCCGCGAGAAAGGATGGATTCCACGACTGTCGAGTAGGGAAAAAGTGCTCTTGACTACCATCTTTTTCGGGACAAACGAAGTTGGAATGGGTTCTTTTGCTTAAGGCTGTTGCAGTGTAGAGTAGAAAAAGGCTGTGTGAGTAAGTCCGTATTTCTGCTCTCGATCTCGAATGCTGATAATTCCTGAAGACAGTTCACGAAGGACCAATTATAGAAGAAGTACTCGCATTCGATTAATGCTTGATTTTTTCCACCTCACAGCGGCAGCACGCATGATTCTAATTTAGAGATGAGCGGAAAATTCGGGAAATGGCGACAAACCTTAACGACATCGTTGACAGTGCGGCTGATTTTTCCGACCACGTCTTATGGTTGCCGCGCGCGCATCCTTCGACAGCATCGTTGGCTCTTGTTCTTCGGGCACAAGAGGGCGGCGATGCTCTAGCTTATAAGGATGCGAGAAAGGCAAGAGTAAACCTTCTAAGCGTCATTGTGATCTTACCTTTCGTAGAACGGCACGAAACCCTCGGCGCCTTCTACCCTTCAGGTTGGGCACAATACAAGCAACTCGTTTTGGACCACGTTGCCACAATACAAGAACGGCAGTTGAATGGGAAACGCGTCGTGGATCTGGTAACACAGCTTCTTGAGAGTGCCTACGGTTCTGTTCTTGCTATTTTCTTTGTCGGTACAACTTATAGCTTAACGTAGCTGCAGTGCCACGTATACTTCTAGCCTAATTAACGTACTAGGAGATGCAGCACGAATTGCAAAGTAAATTATAGCGTAGGACGATCGGCAGTTGGAAAAGCAATATGGATGCCGTTTCTGATGTAGATTTTCTCCTTCTTAAACACACCTACTAGGTCGATTTGAACGATCCACGAGTATCCGCATTCGCGGCTGGTGGCAAGTTTTACACCCTGAAATTAAGGCTTGAGCTTTGTTCGAATTAAGTTGATAATAAGAAATTGATCGGCTCACGACCTCGACCACGCATCATGTATTGGATTATTATGCATATTAACCAACGTTAAGGATCATGTTGTAGTTGCAGATGTAGTAGACCATGATTCAGATTGTTCTGTGAGTAGTTCTAACGAAGGATCCAAGCGGTGCCCACGCCCACGATCGACTGCATCCAAGCGGAGAGGGGCACGCGGTTATATCCGATTTAGTGTGGAACGTCTTCGAAATTATGCCAGGGGTGTGTCGTGTTAGAGGAGTCTGGGGTGTGTAGTAGAACTAGAAGACTCATCTCGTCTCGTCTGATACTACATGATGGATGTTGCGAGAGGCGAGCGGATTTGATAGCTGTAAAAAATTTATATATAACATATTCAAGCACTGAGTTCCTACTTCTCCGCTTCAAAGCTTACGTCAGGGGTGCGTAGTAGAAGACTCCTCGTCTCGTCTGGCAAGCTCTCGAACAGGAACTACAATGAAAACAGAAGATTTTCATGGGAAGTAGAAGCTCTAATTTTGAGGGGATGCGAAATCCTAAGCCTCAGAAGGTGTTGAAGCAAGACTGGAGTGACGTCGAAATAACGTCCGGTGATGCGCAGCTGTACAGCATTTGAAACAGAGAAGACTACGTGCGAAGATTAGATGAGTAGACGCAGGAGGACTACTTGCGACGTAGTCGTCGATCAATGCCCTTACTAGATTTTACGATCGCAGATAATATGATTATAGAGGAGTAAGAGTATCACTGGAGACGCCATCTTGATGATCATGGTTCGGAGAGAAGCGAAAAAGAGAAGTGATCAAGGCTTTGCATAAGTATAAGAGAGAGTTGAATTACCTTTCAGAAAATGAGAACGGCACCCGCCGAAAGATATTGACTTGTACTTAGTTATAACAGCGACTGTGTCCGTCTTCGTTAATAAGTAGATGATTGCATGTACGAGCACGATTACAAGGGATCCTCACTCATCAAATACTCGCCAATAGCGTACATTACGATAATGAGATAGCTGCACTCCATGTAGCAATCGTGCACGTGCACGTAGCAGTCCGCGTCTTGTGGGCAGCACACCGTCATTCATTACTCATCATGAAAAAACACTGCGCGAGCCTCCTGAGTGAGATAATAAGAGGACCGAATGACTATGACGTGTGCGTACTTAGTTGATTAGTGGGCACAGTGGCGGACGCGGATGAGGCGCAGTGTAAATGAGAAGCATGGATGCACTCTTGTCATATTTTATGCTTGGCAGCTCCTTCCACCAGTACTAGGAAAGTATCTATGACCTTATATTTTTTGGAATTTGCATTGGCGTGGCAAGATTAAATGTTTAAATGCGAGGCAGCATATAGTACTAGCGCAAAAAAAATCATCCTGTAGGTGGTTCATCAGTAAATTCATCAGCAGCATTGCGGCGTGTCATACCCTGCAGGTGTGCTGACTTGCTCACGGGGCCCCGCCGCGTCGGGTTGCGCCTTAGTTGTTCTACAAGGGCCGAGTGGACGGCTCTTCCGATAGTTGTAGAGTTGTCGGCCGAATGTGCAGCCCTTTGCTCCCCCAGTATGTAGCTGTTTCGTCGGTTTGATTAAGTGTTTAAAAGGGCGGCAGCATATAGTCCTATGGAAAAAAAGACACGCTCGCACGACTCGGGCTACCGCGCTTCGCCCCCTCATTGATTGACCCTTGACCATTTGTCGGAACTTCTGGCTGATGTTTGCAAAGATTTACTCTGAAAACCGAAGACGAGTGAAAGCAAGTGCAACAACCTAAACGTGAGCGAAAATGTCGTGACGCCTTAATAGAGAAACTCAGCAGACGAGAGAAAGAGTGAGTGAGTGCGACTCGAAGTATAGGAGAGTAGACTCCCGCTGAGCATTGTTTTATGCTAGAGGAAAAAAGTGATCGTGTTGGAGTTCGACCTTCGCGTATTCGAGTTTGACCTCGTGATGTCGCATGAGTGAAGAAAGGTTCTAACTGGCTCATCGTCGCTTCTGTGATCTCCAACGCACAATCGGACCATCATGCCCCTTTGCCGCCCCCCAATTTCACTCCTCTCTCCTCTCGCGATATTTTCCTTTAAGTCAGTGTTTATATGCATGATGAAATTTTTCATCACTCTCTAGCTAAGTACTTCGCTTCCTATGTGTCAATCCCTTCGATAATCTTCCTCCTCGTCATTATCGCCATCAACCCTGCCAGCTGCTATGTGAGTAACTCCTTTACATGCTTCGTTGAATGTTGATTTGTGTAGTTGCAGTACTATCTCCACCTCGATGAATTGAAAATCAAAAATTCTTTTCCTGCCAAAATCCAAAACATCTCGTAGTTGCAGCTCCTTGGGAGTGGGGGTGTATAAGTTGATGACAATTCTTCATGAGTTGTTCTTTACGACACGTGACGTCTACTCTTGAAGTTGAACAAACGTCGTGGTCTACTCTTGAACTCTTTGATCTTTGGTGTGTGTAATCGTCATACTTATCTGTTTGTACTTGTACCTGTAGTACGTAGTATTATCTATACAAGAGAACAAGTAGGTGCAGGCGCTACAACTGCTGATTCTATCAACATCAACCATGAGCACGACGACGACAACATAGAAGAGCACTACTACTACAACATTCATATTGAAGACCACCGCTACATCAAGAACACACCGATTCCAAGAATAAGTGAGATTGACTCCTCTAATACTTCCGAGAACACTGACGACCAACTTTGTTCTGCATAGTGCCAGCCAGTAGATATTGGCCCTGTATATAGTTAGAATAGACACAGCTAGATATATATAATTGGCCCTGTATATAAGTAGACATAGTTGTAGAAGATCTAGACAACATCTAAGAGTGGCTTAATCTTCAAGAACTACAAGAGGAAAAAGATGAGGGAGATTCACCCCTACGCGCGATCACCGCCTGAGGGCGTGTTGTCAGGCGTCGAGGATAACGTGGATTACAAGGAAGGTCTCGCAGAACTACCAAATCAAGAATCGTACCTCGACATCCAGCCGGTCCCGGGGGAAGAAGCTGCCGAGGATGTTTCCCCGGGAGGCTCGGATCCTCGTGGCAACACTGGAAAGTCCTCTGGTTCATCGGGAGAAAGCGGTGGTGGTGCTGGAGATGAAAATTATGAACAAGTTGGAAATTCAGACTGAGTCTGAGACTGACTACCTTGTTGATAGATAATAATGACTTCTACTAACTAACAAAGATGAAAGAAGATACTTGTACTTCCCCTGCCTTAATATTATTTGGCACAATCATGTCCCTAACCTCATGCTTTTCATCGGATTCCAAGAACTTGGCACTATGTACAGATCCAGCAGGTCAACAAGCAAGGAAATACGAAAACGAAGTTCTTGTAGAATACTTAAGTAATTCTAATTTCATATCCACCTCATACATTCATTCATACTCATAGCCATGATAGGGGTCTCCACGTCGGACAAGAGTTTTTTTTCATCCTGCTGTCGTCTAGACGCTGATGAAGTAGAGAGGGTCTTCTAGGTCTAGATTCTTAGAAGATCTTCATGATCTTTTTACTTTTAGGCAAAGATCATAATGGATGAAACCTAATCGTGCTGCCCCCCGCTGTGAATTCTTCTAATGACATGGCCTTCCTCCTCGGCCGCCGGTGACGAAGCTTTCGGCGCAGTTGCCTCGAAGAATTGAGCACTAAGAGACTAATCTATCAGAAAGAGTAGTGTAAGCACAATCGAAGTGGTCAGAGGCAAGGACATTATATATAAGATAATGCAGAAATGATAAGTGAACAGCCCAACGCCGCCTGAACCATCGAACCTACCTTAGCGAAATGGGTTCAGTGGGACAACTACACAAGTCTCAACTATTTAAACTTTCTAGACATGTGGACTAATAGAATAGTTCAGAACTTCTATTACATTAGTCCACATCCACATGTCTAGAAGAAAAAGGAAGAGTCCACATGTCTAGAACTTCTTTCCCAAGAAGAATCCATATATTTCCCACATGTCTAGAATCCATATTACATACTTACATACTTTCTAAGAAAAAGGAATGATGAAAATGATCCGTGGGACACTGTATAAAGATTTCAAGGCGACGAATACGCAGAAGTTCGGCGAATGGCTTCGGGATTTGGACAACTTGCGTCCGTTAGAGGAAATGACGATTTATGACAGGAAAATGATGAAGATGATAGTGATACTGATGAAATAAATTGGAATTTTTCGATTTCGACATTAATTATTTTCCACCAGCAGTTCTTGAGCAAGAAGAAGAGTGTTTTTGCACGATTATGAGGTTTATAATAAAGGCATGCTGTATGTACGGTTTGGGAGATTCTTTAGGGCGGCTTTGGCCGTCCTCTGCAAGAATTTGAGCGGCAGAGTAAGAATATTTGAAACATATTTATTATTTATTCCAAACTTTGTTGTTGTGGAAGCAAGTAGATCCCCTTTCCCCAGGCGATCAGGAGCAGAAGGGCCCTGCTAGTTGTTCTATCACCGTACGACTAGAAGGCAACTCCGACTACTACCACTCATTTGTCTACGACGTATGTAATCCGGAACTACTGCTCTAAAAGAATGGGAAAATGCGTGGCGATCTTGCGCCCGCGGTCGATATTTTTTTCGGCAGCTCGATTTTTCAACCTTATGAAAACGCTGTGCCGAATCTCTAGTACTTGACCCAAGATCTGTCGCTTAGACCTGGTGCGTTTCCAAAACTACTCATCCATCTCTTATTATTTACATTTGCATTACACATCTCTATATTAACAACATAATGATTCTCTTTCTCTGTATCTACTTATGTTTAGTGCCCTATGGATCATCGCCCTTTAGGCCTTACTGCGAAGTAGGGCAGTAGTGAAGTGGTCGTGCTCTTGAGCAGTATCAACTTAATAAGAGAGAATTCTTTGGTCATCTTCTTCAACTCCATTTATAGCAGTGGAACGCTAAAGCCAACTTCAACTTCATGTTTATGTACTTACTTAACCTTAAGTACCCAATTAAGTACCCAAATGCAATTTGCTTAGTCGATGTCGATAAAGCTATTAAGTAATTTATGCCAAAGGTCAGCTCTAGTCGATGTCGATAATCCTATTTATGCTAAAGGTCAACGCCTCCTATCTTATCCTATTTTATCCTATCTTATCCTATCTTATCATATCTTATCCTATCTTATCCTATCTTATCCTATCTTTTCCTATCTTATCCTATCTTATCCTATCTTATCCTATCTTATCCTATCTTATCCTATCTTATCCTATCTTATCCTATCTTATCCTATCTTATCCTATCTTATCCTATCTTTTCCTATCTTTTCCTATCTTATCCTATCTTATCTTATCTTATCCTACCGTCAACCAACAAATCCGAGATTGAGAAACGTTGAGATGAGGCAAAGCGCATTACTCTAAAACTAGAGGAGCCAAGTCGTGGGAACCAGCGATGTCGCTGGCCCGAAGAAGACTTCTTATTTCTCGGTCTTTTCGAGTGCGCAAAAGCACTCGGCTTTCGACGGCGAGCCGCTTGTGCTCGATATGCTTGGAGAGCGAGTGGGTGCTGCAGTGCTACAAGTGATCGGCGCCGAATTCAACGATTAGGGCTATTTTATCTTTATCATGATCGTCGTGATATTAATTTATATGGCGTTAAGTCAACTAAGAACTGCACAAAAACGGTCATTATTGTCGCCTCCTCGTCCTGGAAGTGCTCCGCTTAGCGGCTTTTGCAACTTGCTTCCTCTTGGTTTTTCTGTCTTTTGGTTTCGTTTCATGTGATTCCCCGCGACCCTCCAGAGTCCACCGCACCAGCCTGCAAATGTATGCAAGGGGATTCTGGAGGGGCGCGGGGATTTGGAGGGCGCCCGAGGTTCTTGGCTCGCAATTGGGTGAAGGTTTTCCAGAAGGGAGCGCAGTAGGCGGCGAGTGTTCTGCGGATTCGTATCATGCCCGAGAAGATTGAATTTTGTCCGGATTTTTGCAGTCCTTAGTTGAATTTTCTCCTATATAATATACATGTTCCAGGGCTCAGCCTCAGGGCTGAAAGCCCTTCCCATTTCAACTTTTTATTTTCGAGGGGCTACCGGGCGAAGGGGCCTCGAAGCGCCCACCTCTGACCCCTTCCTGCTTCTTGCCTGGACCCTACAGCGCCACCATGCCGGAGGCCGTTGAAGCATTGAAGGGCGGGCGTGGGAGGCTTCCGAATGTGGCAAAGATGGCAAGGCTGGACCCTCTTGGCGTGTTGCCTGTGCCCTCAAGGCTGGACCCCTTTGGCGTGTTGCGTGTACCCTACAGACCTGCCGAAGGTCGCAAGGCTGGACCCTCTTGGGGTGTAGCGTGTATCCCCCAGACCTTGCGAAGGCGGCAAGGCTGGACCCCCTTGGCGTGTTGCGTGTACCCTACAGACCTGGCGAAGGTGGCAAGGCTGGACCCCCTTGGCGTGCTGCATGTGCCCGCCAGGTCTTGGGGCGCCGCCTTTCTTTCGGCTCTTCTTGCCGTTCTCTTCCCCCACTGTGATAGGGCGCGGAGCCCCAAACCTTGGTAGTTTGTTGCGTCTCTGACGTGGCAGCGTCGTGAGGGGGGCCTCGGGCTTGTTGTTTTCGGTTCTCAGCATAGTGGGCGAGGCACTGCGCTCGCCTCCCCCCTCTGTGATACGCCAGAGGCCACCACGCCACGGGTGAGCGCTTCTCGTCCCTCGTTGTGCTCCCGTTCCTCGTTCTTCTCTCGTTCTTTGTTCTGCTCTCGTCCCTCGTTCTTCTCTCCTCGCTCGTTGTTCTGCTCTCGTCGCTCTTCCACCACTGTGCTGCACCACAGACCATACCACAGGGGGGGGCCTCCCTCCCTGGTGCATATATATGGCGTTCTACGCTCTCCTCTGTTTTTCTGTTGAAGTTCACGATGTTACCTCAACCTCAAGTAGTGCATACTGCTATAATGTTCATGTTGTACTATCTATCACTATCAGCAAAATTTTGGCGATCGTTGTCTCTGTTTAGGACGGAAATGAGTCGATACCACATGAGGAGAATAGTTGTAGTCAACACGAGTCTCGATGAAGTTTATTGATGATCCATCATTTTTTTCTTTCTGTTTGTTAATATCATTATGATAGAACAATCAGGAATATTGATTATGATTTTGTTCCTGAGTCGTGGATATGGAGGAAAGGCCCCGCTAATAGAAGCGAAAGGATGGCGAAACACTCATGGAAAAAGCTAGCAATTGGGCGCACGACAAGGTGGACACGATCAAGGGAGTACTCGGCTACAATAATAAACTGAAGGTCGTCAGATTTCTCAAAGATTATGGCTGATGAACAAGAAGTCTTCATTGATATAATCAATGGCCTAACGGAAGCTTTTCAATATATTCTATTTATTGATTTGTAGTATTAAGTACAAGTTCATCAACAAATTGTGGTCCTCTAGTGTGACTTTCCCGACCAGCCCGGAGCTTACCTTTTATTCTCGAGTTCATGACCACAATTAAAAACAAGAATAGACCAACATAGACAGAGCAGACATCTGATCTCTAGATTACATGTTCTGGTGCTCTTCTAATCTAGATCTACATCGCCACCCCCCTGGAGCATGGTTCTACGTGATATCGGCAGTCCGCTAGCGCTGCTGAGCACCGATCGAGCGATGTTTAACCGTGACGTGCTTACTGTCAAATTCGATGACACGGATGCGAATGAGCTATTCTTAAGGCTACTGGTTTGTTACTCAATTACTATCGATCCCGTCAACATGTGGACAAGGAGTAAATGCATGCTGAGTGGAGTCCCTGTCGAAGTCAAGAAGATTTTGAGGAAAGGAAAGGGTTCAACTGAAGAACCACTAAGGAGTCAACTGAAGAACTACCTTTAATACACGCGGCCTTCCAAAAATGGACAAAGTTGCCCTCAATGAAGGACAGAACTAGGATCGAAAAGGGGAAAACAATGGAAAAACCGGAAGACAAAGACTTGACTGAATTTCCGCTTTGGAACGAGGACTCCGACAGGGCATCTGTGGTACGTATAATTGATATAATATTTATAAGTTAGTAAAATTAGATATACTTCTTTGTAAGAAGCTAAGTAAGTAGTCAATAGCATAAGAATTAGCAGCGTTGCATTGTAAGATATTTATAGATGACGAATGATGCCACTGCCACTGATTGAGAAAGTCAAAAAGAACGAAACGGCGTTTCATAAACATCAACAAATCAGAAAAATGTGGTGGTTATGCTCGGTCACGAGACGAGTCCTCAGCAGACTGTGTTGCTCCGTTTAATGGTCGCACCGAACAAGATGTCGATAGCTTATTTGAGCGAAGGGGCAGAGGGATCGTGTCTCATTACGAGGGGCTTTTATTTGTCAGTTGGACGATGATCCGTGAAGGTATTAAGCAATTACAACTCGTACTCGTGTCTCGTACTCGTTCAAATGTTAAATAAAAGTATCAACTGCTACACCAGAAGAAGAGCTCCTTTAGCTGTAGACATATTGAACATAATCGAGGTCTTTTCTCTGATTCAAGCAAGCGTAAGTAACCATAAGCAAGGCCTTCAACATCTAGTATAAAAATTGATTTTTATTGTTTTGCATCAGTATCTAATGAAAAGCCGAACGTGGACGTGGCTGAACTCTGGAAGAATTGGAAAGCTAAAAAACCGTGGGCTTACAATGAATCCCCGACGTCCAAGACTCATTCAGAAGACCGATGCGATATTCGCACTTCCACTGTTTCGCAAAACAAAGCAGGAACATGTTAAGGATAAGATCAAGAACTCGTGACGACGTCCTGAACCTGGTACATTAATACTTGTAGTACGTTGTCGATTACCGTGTTTCGTTTCCACCATAGAAGGTTCACACATTAGTGATAGTCGATTTGTACAAATACAATTGCTTATGGCATAAATCAACGCATTACTGGAGTACTTCTTACCGTAGATTCACGCATTACTGGAGATACATATTTGAGCAGCTGCTCTCAATGAGTCGAAATCTTCGAGAACTTCGTCATCCTTGTCAGTCTCCAGTGCAGAACTGCGTAGGTGATAACTGCGTCTGGTTCTTTCTGAAGAGTGTGACTTTAAATGGTTTCCACTCATTAGGGGAATGTCGTTCCCCCTTTCCCTTCTTACTTAGGAGCGACATTCTCGTATCTTTGTTCTCAATGCGTAGCATCATGCATACTTTTCGTCTGGTGTTGACTAAAGTGCTGGTGATTTTTTTTTTAGTTTTACACGCACGGACGCTGCTCTTCCTCTACTAGAAACTACTACAGCCTCATGCCTACACCAATAAGACACTATGCCTCTATCACAAACTCTACCTATGCCTACACCAATAAGACAGTTTGTATTTGTTACCGTTTCTTATTCTTAGATAATCTTGACATTTAAGTGCACTTATGGATGCATCGTTTTTCGCATTTCTCCAGCACTTATCTTTACTCCTGAACGAGGAGCCTCTCTTCTAGGCTCTTGCTATATGTAAACCCGCTTCTAAGCATGGCTGAAAAACGAGGAGGCCCGCTATCTGGATGACGAGGTGATGAAGGAGATCGGACCTAACCCGACGGAGTTGGACGCGAACCCGCCTCAAGATGTCGACCCAAAGAAGGACAAGCAGGAGAAACACGAACCAGCCAGCACCACACCGTCTGCGGCGCAGCCGGGGCCCGAGACGAGCGCGAGGAGTTTTCTGGAACGTGGATCTGGCAACTCGCCAGAGCCAAACGGCGGTACTTTGTTTGAGATTGCTTCGTTCTAGTTCTTTACTCATGTTTCCTTCGTTTCTGATGATTTCGACAAGCATGATGCATCTTTCATCACAGTTTCTAGTCCTCGTTTTCGTGGTGCCTCGCACAGAAATGCTTTTATTAGAATTTACGTAGAAAGTGGGAGTGCAAGTGGGCGACTACCTACTTCACTCCTTTGTCCCGTCAAATCTCAGAATTCAAATTGGTAAAATAACAGGAGCCGTGCTAAATTTTGGAACGGAGGGCTTTCTAGCACAGCAGAATGAGACGAGTTTCATATCTATGAAAATGGGCGCGAAGCCATTTGATGCCGATTTTGCTAGTGACCTTCATTTCATGAACGCCACGCAAACGACCGGAAGCGAAATGGTCTTTCTGGAGCTTGAGCTCGATCAACATCAGGCCAATTTCATCAAGGAAGTCGGCACGGGACTCGGTGCAGCGGCAAGCAATACTTACCACGCGGCAAAGAATGCTCTCGGTGCTGTAAAAGACTACATCTTGGGAAACGAGAAGCCAATCGACGAATCTGTGCTGATGAGTGATGTAGCGGAAGACTTATCGCAAAATCTTGTCGACAACCTGCACTTCCTGTTGAACGGGGGCCTGAACAACAAGCCGGAGGATGTGGAAATTATGGTGGACAAACCACCATGTAGATGTATATTATACGAAACGAGAAAAGTTTATTCAACTTCATCAAATAATCTGTGAGAAGACGCCATCATCTTTGAGACCGACGAGCGCATAGAGATTAGAAATAATAGTCGGATAAATTTTTAAAAAAATACTGTTACGCATGAAGATCAAGGTCCAACCAAGTCGTTCGGTGTTCCGCATTCCCTGAATTGAATCGTTTGGTTCTTCTCTCTTGGTCTGTTGGTTCTCCGCTTGCGTTCGTCTTTCTCCTTCTGAATGTTCTCGTTGAATGATATGATTGCAACAGGCTCAAGGCTATGAATCTAATCGTGTGAAGATCATAGCGACCGGGATCCTTATGCACTGAAACCCCTCAGGATGATGATGATGGATGGCCTTTGATTAACGTACCACCATCAGCATACGAACAACATGAAAATGCATGCTATTTAGGTTGTGGATGTTACTCGGTAACACCACCACCACAACAACAGGGACAAGCCTGCCAGGGGCGTAATATCTGGAAGGCTGTAGGCCCTTACATTCATCCACACCCTTAAAACTTTCCAAAATGGCCAACCTCGAACACGATGGCGCAGGGGAATACCCCGGCCAAAACGCTGCCCAACACGTCCAACAAGGTCAACCCGGCCAGAACTCTGCCCAACATGTCCAACAAGCTCAACCCGGCAACGCTTACGGAATTGGACAAGACCAGCCCGGCGCCATTGGTGGCGGCGTCGGGGCCGACGTTTCAGGAATGGACCCCGGAAATTCAGGAACTTGGAACCCATGGCTTTGGAACAACATGGACGCAGCGGTGAACACGTTGGCAACGGCAAGCCAAGAGCAACGACAGGCAACGGCGGCCACCATGGCCATGGTTCAGGAACTTAGACGGGAAAGCATTCAGGAAACAACCGCGAAAGCAACCCAACGGGAAGAGGAAAGGGCGGAGCGAGCCGCAGAGCGTGCGCGGAGGAAGGACGAAGAGGACACCAAGCGAGCGGCGGACGCGCTCAGGGCTGTCCGAAAGTTCGAAGGCCGAGACCAGGAGGCTTACCACAGAGAATACGAAACATGGCGGGTCGGTACGCTGAAGGCGTTAGACTTGGCAGGGCTTTCGGAGTTTCTCAGCGGTGGCGCGGACTGGCTGGCAGAACTTGCACCAGAAAAGGCCGAGAGAGTTCGCACCAAGGCGCGAACCCTCGGGGGGGTCCTTCTAAACACGTTAGAAGGCGAGGCACACCGGTTAGCCCGACAGGGTGACACCAACGACCACGAAACGATCCGGAAGATTTTCTCGAAACTCGAGCTGGAAAAGGCCTGCCCAGGTCTAGCAGGCACGATCACGAGAATTCAGAGGGTCATGAACGTGGCAAACAACAGCAGCGGGGCTAAGACGGTCACTCAATTGATGAATTCGGTTCGCGAGGAAATTCGTGATATGAAAGATGTCAAGCCAGAGGCGTTAGCGATCGCTAGCATCCTGATCAACCTAGGTCAGTCGTGCAAAGATCTTGCTCCTTTTCTCCTGGACAAAGCTGAAGTGGATTTGGCTGCTGTGGAAGCCTGCTTGAAGCAGCGCGAGCAGAGTCTTCTTGCGGCAGCAGGAAACGGAGGAAAAAGGAACGACAAGACGCACAGCATTCTTTCTATCTCGAAAGGACCACGTGCAGGGGATCCGGGAAAGAGAAGTTGGAAGTGCAGAAAGTGCCAGACAAACGACCACGGTTGGTTTAGGTGCCCACACAACCCCGACGCAAAGGCAAACAAGCGCAAGAACAACGACAGGGACCTGCGGGGACGCAGTCCGAGTCGTGAGCGCCAAGACAACAGAAGCCGCAGCCGAGGACGCCCTTCTGGAGGTCGAGAAGACCGGCACAGAAGCAGGTCCGGAAGCAACAACAACAGGCACACGAGGGACAGAAGCGCCACGCCGGCCCGAGGGAGGTCGAGTAGCGTGAGAAGCGTGAGAGCCCGGAGTGCCAGCGGCAGCAAAAGAAGCGCAAGCGCAACCAGCCAGGACACCCTAAGCAGCAGCGAAGAAAGCCAGAGGAGCAAGTCGGTAAAGGTACAATCTAGATTAAGTGACAAGAAGTCTTCGCTAAGTTTGGTTAACAGTAGTAGTTTAAGTAAAAACGAAGAGACACAAAACAACAAGAGAAACAAACGCACAAGTAAAAGCGTTTGGTCAGATGCTAGTAGTGTTAGCGATGCTGCATCCGAGTCGGATGTAGGGACAGGTAAAGGGCTAAAGAGGACCAAAGTTAGTCAGTATATGGTGAGGGCCATAAGGACAATCAGCGGGATCGCGCGACGGAGTCGCAACGCGCCGACACAGGCAGACCAGGATCTGTGTGTCGATGCGATAGTCGATAGTGGGGCTGAGTCGTGTTGCTCACCATATCTGAACCACTTTGAGAAACTCGGGGCCAGATGCGTCCTAGTAGCAGCATCGGGGGAGAAAATTCCTGGAACTGCACGGGAAGGAATTTTCAGAAGTAGCTCGTTGAGAGAACTTCGCCACGGGGTCTACCATCCAAGGCTATCAGATTTCTATATCTCCGTGCCGCAGATGCAGCAGGCAGGGGACATGGTATCATTCCCACCGGGCGGAGGGGTGATACTGAAGGGACCAACGGGGGAACACGTGGGGACCGGGGGAGGAGGACTCCTCCCACGCGTGGCCATCTCCTTTGAAGCTGGCCTGCCCACGGAGTTAAGGATCGTAGCAGGGATTAGAACCACGCAGGACATGTGCCCCGAAGTCTTGGAACACGAGAGATCAGGGCACTTCCTACCCCTACCAAAAGGCATGCTTTGTGCCGCCTGTATGGCGACACAAGACCACGGCAAAAAGGCGGCCAAGAAGGTCAGGCCTTCTATGTGGGAACCTACACGCTCAAACCAGAGGTGGCAGGTTGACTTCAAAGATCTAGCAAGCGACCGGCAGGAGAGCATGTTTGGCAATACGGTCATCTTTGGGGCCATCGATGACCATGATCGGTGCCCGATGGTGTTGCCAATAAAGTCCTCCAAGTATGCCGATGAAGCTATGCGAAAGATCACGAGGTACACAAGGCCGCCGGAGGAAATTCGGTCGGACAACGGTCCGGAATTTCAGACAGAAAAGTGGGCTAAGATGCTCGCTGACTTGTACATCCTAGCAAATTCGTACGCGCCACCATACTCGCCTACGAGGAACTCTCGGATCGAGCGTTTCTGGAGAACAGGCGGCAACAAAGTCAGGGCACTAATGTGGGGAGTCGACGGTAGGTTGGCGGACCTGTGCTGGATGCTGGTAGCCTTTCTCTATTCGATTCGCGAGAGAGAGTTCAGGGAGCAGGATGGAACAAGAACAAAGACCACGCCGTACGAACGACGTCACAAGAGAAAGCCAAACTTCGGAAAGTTGAGAAGATTTGGGTCTTTGTGCTTCGTTCTAGACGAACACCCAGCCAGCAAGAGCGCACCCAAGTGGCTGCCGGCTGTGTTCGTAGGTTACAGTCCAAAGGGGTCAGCGTATCTCTACTGTAGCTACAACAAGGCGGGGGAGTTTGTCCTGGCCGAGACCGGCCAGCTCAAATTCTGCGAAGCCTATAAAGTAAGCAAAGTTGAACACCTAAAGGACCCACTTCTATTCGAATTGCTAAGCACGGCGGAGCCTGATGCCCTTGCGTCAGCATACATGGAGCCGACTTTCGGAACAAGTCAGGTGCTCGAGATGTTATCTGATGGAAAGCAAGAGGGAGGGCGGGTCGCTGTGGCGCAAGAGTCGAAGGCGGGGGGCCTTGGTGAAGAATCAACAGCAAAAGACGGAGCTGAGGGGGTATCCTCAGCGGACCCAGAACAAGTTGTAGCGCAGCCTGCACAAGTAGAGGCAGTTGCTATAAGTCCGGGGGAGCAAAAGCTGCAAGAGCAAAAACAGGGCCCAGGGCCGTCGGAACAAAATCCCCTGGCCAGGGAAGACGCGCCTGGTGCAGTTTCTTCCGGTGGGCTTGGCACTGACGACAAAGTCAAAAGGCACTCTAGCAGTGGCGTGGAACAACCACAAGCAGAACAACTGCGGGGTAGGTCCCCGACAGTGAAGGACAGAACGAAGGGTAAAGGAAACCATGTCGGAACAGCCACAAGTGAAGCGCGGACGGGGTAGACCTAAGGGGTCGAAGGACACGAAGAAGCGTAAGACGCGCATGAGTAGGGACGCTTCGAGGATCATCGGCCGGATCGCGTATAGGCTCTGCAGTGAGCAGACGCGTGGTAGGTCGAAGCCTAAGAAGAAGCTCAACTACGTTGACGCAAACGCACGTGATTCAGTCCCAGCTTCAGAGAGAAGATCTGGACCCATATCGAGAAAGGAAGCTACCAGGGGACCTGAGGCAAACCTTTGGAAGGAAGCTGATCGGAAGGAGGTTAGGGGGCTTGTAGATGCTAAGTGTTGGCGTGAGAAAGATGCACTGAAGGATCAGTCGCTTCTTCGGAGGAAGCGCCCGGTGCGTGCGCACATGGTTCGTGTGCGGAAGCGCTGTGGGCGCCGGAAGTCGCGGCTGGTGGCAGATGGTTCCACGCAAAACCTCACGAAAGGCGAAATCTTTTCACCAACGCCGAGCACGGTGAGCATGAGGTGTCAGATTGTTCACGCGGCTCAGCACGATTGGGAAATTGATGGTGCTGACGTGACGCAGGCACTCATCAAGGCGGACCTTCCTGAGCCGGAACTGATCAGACTTCCAGAGGAAGTCCTAGAAGGTGACGAAGACCCTGTGAAAGTAGCTACAAAAGCTCTTTATGGTTTTAAGCAATCACCGCGCGCTTGGAACAAGCTAGCCGATAAGAAATTTCGTGAATGGGGGTGGACGCCATTACCTAGAGAAGGCGGCGTTTACTATCGCACGGACTCGGAAGGCAAGCTAAGCGCGATGTTGGTGTGCTATGTGGATGACATCATAGCCACGGCAAAGAAGCCGAGCAAGGCTGGCGACAAAACTGCCAAGGACTATGTGAGTCAGGTTAACAAGGAGTTTGGTTCGACGCCTATGGCGGTATCAATCGAACGTCTCAGCGAGACACGCGAAAAGCATAAGTTTGACTTTGTAGGGATCGACGTGGACATCCACTATGAAATTACCAAAAGCGGCGGTAGACGCTTTGAGAAGGTAATCTTTCAGGGTGAGAGCAGAGCCACAAAGATTATGAAAAAGTGGAATATGTTCGACTGCGCTGAGAAGTCCACTCCATCGTGCCCGAGGCATAGGGACCAATGGCGTCAATTGGCTAAGGAAGCCAAGGAGAAGCCAGAGTCCAAGGATGAGAGTGAGCATTCGAGCTTGTCGGATATTCACACAGATAAGAGTGACAGTGAAGCAACTGCAGGTTCAGAGTCTGACAAGACTAAACCGCAGAAAACGGGGAAAAGGGTGAAGAAGAAAAGGGTAGACTCTGAATGGAGCAACAAGGCAGTAGCCGGCGAGTTAATGTATCTAAGTTTGTCGTCTAGGCCGGACATCACCGAGGCGGTGAATTCGGCGGCTAGATGTCCTTTCGAAGACCACCAGAAGCTAATGCTGAAGAGGGTAATGAGGTACCTTCGGGGCACGTTGGCTGTGGGTGTCGAGTGGACGCCGACGAGCTGGAAAACATACAAGACGAACTACGAGCCGTTGTGGATTCAGGGCGCCCCCCTTACCGTGAGCGGTGAACCAGAACCAGTAAGCGAAATGTCTCCTATCGGAACTTTTTCTGACGCGGACTTTCAAGGCTGTCCGTCTACAAGTAAGTCAACTACAGGCACGATGATGACGTACTACGGAGTTTGCGTGGCTTGGAGGTCCAAGCGGCAAACGATCGTAACACTGTCTACGCCTCATGCCGAGACGGTAGCTAAGTGTGAGTCGATTCAGTATGCGCAATCCATCGCTTTCGTTGATATTGTACCCGGCACAGAGTGCAAGAACCAGGGCTATGCCAATACTCCTCCCGCATGGGTTGACAATAAACCAGCACTAGACCAAGCGACGCAAGAGTTCAAATGTGCAGGAAGTAAACACTACCAAAGCAGGCGACACTTCGTGTGCGATCTAGTTGATCGATGTCGCCACTGCCCCACCGGGTTGGTGAGGGCTGATGGCCTCACGAAGCCAGTATCTGCGGAAACTCTATGGCTAATGTTATATGGTGTAGAGAAAACTACTAGTATAAGGTCCATTCTACAAATCCCAAATTCACACTTTTCAGGTTCGTGGCGACAAGCGGGGACGCCGGTGAGGAGCAGCACAACAAAACGAGTCCAGTTCAATCCCGTGGTGACATGGATTACCTGGACAAAGGAGAAACGAGAAGAGAAGAGGAGGAAACTAGTAGAAAAGTCTACTAGAAGAAGAAAAAGAAGAACTAGCTTAGACTAGTCGTAGTTTTTTTTGCATTCGTATCCTGCATATATATATAAAATCTTGCATTGGGTTGGCTTAGTTTCGCTTCCCAACCCCAAAATAACGAATTCCGGTCGCTTAGTCCCCCTAGTGGTACTAAAATTTTTTTCTTGCAACTAAATAAATAAGTCCGTCAACCAGCGGAGACATTTCGGGGGGAGAATGTTACGCATGAAGATCAAGGTCCAACCAAATCGCTCGGTGTTCCGCATTCCCTGAGTTGAATCGTTTGGTTCTTCTCTCTTGGTCTGTTGGTTCTCCGCTTGCGTTCGTCTTTCTCCTTCTGAGTGTTCTCGTTGAATGATATGATTGCAACAGGCTCAAGGCTATGAGTCTAATCGTGTGAAGATCATAGCGACCGGGATCCTTATGCACTGAAACCCCTCAGGATGATGATGATGGATGGCCTTTGATTAACATACCACCATCAGCATACGAACAACATGAAAATGCATGCTATTTAGGTTGTGGATGTTACTCGGTAACGCCACCACCATAACAACAGGGACAAGCCTGCCAGGGGCGTAATATCTGGAAGGCTGTAGGCCCTTACAAATACGCCTTCATAAGTCTGTAATTATACATGTACTAAAAATTCTATATATAATACTATCGATATCTAGGGACGTATGTACAACTGTAGAGAATGTTTTTATTCCGACGAGCTCTAAAAGTTACTGGTTTCTTAACGACGCGAAAGGGACAGATGCGGCATTCGAGAAGATGCTAGGGCAGTTGCTCATTGACGACCCAGCGAAAATCCAAATCCTTATGAAGATGAAGAACCTTGGTTGTATCTGAATCTAGTATAAGTAGATGAAAAAGAATATGAATCTGAATGTATTAAATACGTACTGCGGGCGTCGCGCTGCGCGCGCCGCTGGGGGCTATTTTTGGACGGAGAGGAGGAGGCAAGGGCGAACGAGCATGGGAAGAGAAGACGAGAGCGGAGAACGAGACAAGGGAAGAGGCGCGGGAAGTGCCGAAGGGAGCAGCAGAGGCGGGAGACAGGACAGCGGAGAGCAAAGAGGCGCCGGCCGGAGTAGAACCCAAGGCGAAAACGGCGGGGTGCAGCCAGCCAGCTGGACCCTTAGCGCCACGAAACAGAACCAGGCGGCCCATTTGGTGGCGCTAAGGTCCCAGAAAGGGGCAAGGGGAACAAGGTGCCGCGCCGCGCTGCCGCCGCCACCCAGGGCACCTATGTAAGTATAGTGATAGAGGCTCGACGCAGTTGCTACAAGGGTAGAGAGACGCGCGCCGCTGAACTTTCTCTCCGCGAAACAGCTGCGGAGGAGCCGCGGAGCAGCTGCGGAACACTCTGCGGAACACTCCGCGGAACACTCCGCGGAAAACTCTGCGGAACACTCTGCGGAACACTCTGCGGAACACTCTGCGGAACACTCTGCGGAACAGGCTACAGAACACGCCACGGAACAACCAGGAGCACCCAGGAGCAGCGCAGTAGGCCCCTCAAACTGAGACACGCAGGAGGCAGCTGCGGAACAGCTATGGAACACCCCAGGAGCGTCTTGCGCTGAACTTTGCCTGCGCTCATGCGAGCCCCTCAGGAGCACCCTGCGGAGCCCGCGCGGAACAGCTGCGGAACAGATACGGAATAGCTACGGAAAAGCTACGGAACAGCCGCGGAACAGCTAAGAGGCGCCCAGGAGGCTGCAGGGGGCACCCGCTTAACATGGCCCCGCCTCCTCCACCAGAAAAATGCGCGGGAATGAATCGATTAGTATACTAAAATAGCTACACAAGTACAAGCTAGTAGTAGTCTGTCCTCCATTGGCGGTCGTCTTTGATCGAATGTGAGTCAAATAATCTTCGAGTTCGATGAAAAGATCAAAGTCAAAAATCAGTACAATCATAATCGTTGGTTTATTGGAATTAGATCGAGATTCTTCTAATCTCTGCTTCGAACCCCCAAAGCTTGGCGACGACATCCTTGGAAGCAGTCTGGTTTATCCTTTACCTTTAAGGCTACCAACAACATAAAGTCATTGATCTATCTTCTTCTAGTACGTTATCCTAGAACTTCTAGTGCGCATCCTTCTAAAGCAGCAGTATATCTAGGAAAAGTCATAATCAATTTGAATTTTCAAGAATACGCTTAACAAGAAGGGATGAGCAGCTTGGGTGACTAACTACTGCCCTCACCGTGCTTAGCTCTAAGTCTGTCGGAAGCAGCAAAAAAAGTTAGCGACAAAGTGTCAGGATTTTTCAGGTTCGACAAGATTGTTTCAAACCGCTTGGCGGTGCTTGTGTTAAACGAGGTCGTATCGCCCGCATGGAATCATGTCGACGGCAAGAGGAAGGGGGAGGGAGGACTCTTTTTAAGGCTTTTTATAGTAGTTGATTCTTCTAAATCTGTACTCGATAGATGAAAAGTTCAAGTTATTTATAAATGTTATATATGACCAAAACAATTTTAGGATGAGATAAAAGAAAGGAAGTCTTTGAACTCCTACTCAAGAAATATATTTATAATTAACGTAGCCATTTTGGCTCAAGGGTCTTCCAACACAAACAACACCAAACAGGCAAAAAGTGAAAATGTCCTCTCGCTGCACTCGTCTCAGTCCTGTATGAGGATTCTTTTCATCTCATGCAAATAAGATTCTTGACCACTATCTAAAGTTCCTCTCAACAACTTATTTGTAACTAACCAATGAAAGCGCCTACAATCTAAACAAATTCATCACCCTTCCTATAAATGTATATATGATCATATGTATATTTTATAGGAAGTTCAGCAAGATGCTCGTCGTCGTCCTCTTGACATCGATCATAGTACATTCTTGATTGAATGCCTGCAACTATATATAAGCACAACTACAAGTGGAGTACGGAAAGGCACCCTATGCGGGTTGTGTCGGGTTATTCAATGATTTTGGATTTGGGCCGTCACAGCGCTAATTTCTCCTGTACCCTTCGGCCACCCGGACCAGGATCACAAAGTTCTGCAAAAAATCCTGAAGAACAATTACGGCGATTTGCATAAGTACCAAACACTCAATAATATTGGCTCCACAAAAATCTTCTAGATGAAGTAACGATACTCAGTTGGCTTTTTTACTGCAGTTAGTAGAGTTGTTATGAAGACTAGAGAGCAGAAGGCGAAATCGAATTTGTTGTAATTGACTAAGTAGAACAGACAGTTGTGACAGACTGAGGAGGAGAAGGGCCAGTTCTGCTTCTGTCCTCTACTTCACAGACTTGTTGTGATATTTAGAATCATAGACTTTGAGTTGTCATCAATGTCTACCACAGGATGGAGATTGATGAGTACGGTGTGGCAAGAGGAATACATGGGATCGACGTAGGGTTTGACTTTGATACAATGCAATACGATACAATCCAATAAATCTCGCGCAAGAATCTGTGCCTAGGAACAAAATGGCCGCGATCCTCGAGGAAGATATTATATTACTCGATGATATTTAATATTAGTAGTAAAAAGTAGTATTCCTGAGGCTGAGCTCTTCCGCTTCTAAGTTCTGGAAGATGCCGAGATGAAGAACAAGAAGAAGGACATCGAGCAGCCAGCGGAAAATGCCGAGAAGAACAACAACATGGAGGCAGCACGTAAGATGGACGAGGGGGATAACGCGGCCTCACTCGACACGAAGGAGGAGGTCGGAAGGGTAACGATCAAAGAGCTTGCCCGTCCGATGTCGGACGTGGAAGCTGCGTGGCAGAAAAGAACCGATAATTACGGTTAGCGCCTTGATTTTATTCAAAACCTTAAAAATGTGAATAACAAATATTACAATAACGACCGAGTATCTGAGATTGGTATCCAGATCATGCGCTTAAGCTTAATTCAGTTTATCGAATAAATTGCCATCTCCTCTCAAAGCTTCTCCCTAACTGAGGTAGCTTTCTCATTCTCTCGAAGGTAGAGTGTGTAATAAGTGACAAATTGTGTCCATGTAGTTGTTCGCGTTGATGAAAAAGTGTGTACATGTAGAGCACTGAAAGCGTATCATGTAATGTTCATCCGCTAAAAGAAGTAGTGCAACTCCAAATGAAGCAGAGCCAGTAAGCACCTAAGTGCAAGATCCCCATACTTTTACCCTGTTGCTGTTGCTCATATACGTATTATATATACTGATAAACATATAAATATAGATCAGTACGCAGATGCAATGTCGACGAAGAACACTCTAAGAGAAGACAAAGTCGGCGACTGGGTTACGCCGGTTCACAACGCAGAACTACAGGATCGCGTTCGAACTATGAATGGACTTCTTTATTGTCTCTTTCTTGCCCGCAAGTCGTGGTATCTTCCCAACGTAACTAAGTAGGAGGTGCTTAAAGATCTTCTTTCTCGTTTTCATCCTGGCCTAAGGATGAAGGTCATAAACACTATTTGGTGTATTCTACTAACAGTAACACATGCTGCATCTCATATTATTTTTTTACATCAACATCTTCGCATACAACATACATATTTATTATAGCCCTCTTTTTTACCTCCTTCAGTTTCGATTCCATGGCGATGCTACTTGTGTTTTGAGTACTCTGCTGAGATCCTACTACTGAAATACATGAAGCCTCTAAATTTCATGGCAACCGGATTATCGGACAAGGAAATAGATGACGTTTTGGAATTTACGAAATTTGAAACGAGCAGCGCCGATGCACAGAACGCAGATGGCGTCGTTCATGCTCAACCCGTCTGGAACTATGTTACGACAGGACAATGGATGAACTACTTTAGAAGTACGATTTTTTAGTAGGACTAGGAGTTTTTTTGTAATCCGTAGGGAAGTTGGACTTTCATTGTTGCAACGGGATCACTCATTCAGACTTCTTGTGGTCGAGGACTTATGTATGCGCGCGTAATTCGCCTAATCACTTTTACTTGAATATAAATATGTCTACTATGCTATACGGGGACATCAGCTACAAGTAGTTTATTTGAACGCTACATCTAGTAGTACTAGGACTAGCTTCGTTCATGTAGGAGAAGATCGGCGATGGCAGTGATCTTCAGTCAGAGCTAAAGCGAGCGGTGGTTTTCAAGGTCTATCTCGAATCCGACGACGCAGCACTACCGCGTGTTGAGGTTCTTTACGGTCCTCATGAAGTTTGCAGCTCTATTCTAAGTAGTAGTTTATTTTTTTACAGAGGATTCATCGTGGTGATGTGAATACTTAGTGATGGGACCGCGGCGAATGAGGTTGCTATAAAAGATAGACATATTCATTGCAGTTCTTCTAACAGTCCGTTGTATCTATTTTATGTACTTATAATGCAGCTCATAAAAAATGTTTAATATGTTAGCAAAACCAAAAGATTCACCGTATGTAGACTATTTCAGTAAGATGATGAACAAGAAATACCACGAGTGAATCCGCTCCATCAGGTTCAGGACTCCTGATTAAGCTGATTCACTTCTTAATAAATGATCAGACTGAGGCACTTAGTTTGGCGAGAAGAAGGCTTAGCTTCTATTTCAAATCATCAATAAATATTACACTTAGTCTTTGGTCTTCTATTCTATTTTATTTCAGGTCGGTGCATCAATAATCAAAAATTAGATTTAGTTGTGAAGAGAGTCTCCTTCTATTTTTCAAGTCACTGCCGGCAACAGACAAATGTAAGCTCGATGCATTCTCTTCATAATTGACGGGTGGTGACCACAAGCGTCCAGCTGAGTATCATGTACCCGGAGAAGTTGGAACCCGGCATGGTTCAAGGTTTCATTCATGTTAAGGCTGTATATGTGATTCATCTTTGACTGCGTCCGTCCCGGAAAAGCACTATGCCCGAGCATTTCCGCACTAGTACAATTTTGAAGGATGTAGTAGAATTTTGAAGATGAACTACGGAGAAGTCTAATGATTGAGTGAAGAAATTTTTCGGAAAAATGGAAACAGTCCCGGAGAAGATAAGCCTACAAGATTAAGGCTGTGGCTGTCGTTTTTATCACTTAGATACGTACCGATGTAGTCCCTTCTTGATTCAGATTCATTCTCTTCATCAATCATGAAATAAAATAAACAGAGACCACAGAAGATGATGAATCTGAAGACAGTTCGCACTCGTCTTAAATTTTTTATTCATTTTGGCTCAAGTGCGAATACGAAAATAGCAAATACAGAGAGAAGACGAGAGAAAGAGAGGTAGGTGCTGACTGGCTTCTCCGCGGGCCATAGATGTGTAAGCGTAGCAGCGGGCAGGCCAACGGGCCTTCATTGATCCCTGGAATAGAAAAGATGAAGTCTGCCGGGTGAGACCCAATAGATCCGTCGTCAGATCCGCCCTTGCCCGGGCGCTGATCGTTGTTGTAGAACGCGGATCGGGCGCGCAAGCGCACTACGACCCAAAATCCCAAGGCAGAGCAGCTTGTACCGAGAACCGTGGAAGTTACACTATCTAGTTCAGGACTAACACCATCATCAACAAGGCGGCTCGCACATAGAGCGGCAGCTATAGCAATACAACGGAACTGCGAGGACTCTCTCCTCCACAAGGCGGCTCGCACCTAGAACCGCGGCAGAGCGCGTCGAACAGGACATCGCACACTCTTCCATCAATAAGGTAGCTTGCATACAGAGCCGCAACGTCCTGTATCGCACAGAACGCGGAGCACAACTCTCTCGACAAGGCGGGTCGCACCTAGAGCCGCAGCAGAGCGCGCCGAACGAGGCATTAAGCACTTATTCATCAACAAGGCGGCTCGCACATAGAGCCGCAAGACTCCGTGTCGCGCGGAACGCGTAGCACAACTCCCTCGACAAGGCGGGCCGTACCTAGAGCCGCAGCAGAGCGCGCCGAACGAGGCATTGAGCGCCCATTCATCAACAAGGCGGCTCGCACATAGAGCCGCAACATCCCGTGTCGCGCGGAACGCGTAGCACAACCTCCTCGACAAGGCGGGTCGCACCTAGAGCCGCAGCAGAACGCGCCAGACGAGGCATCAAGCACCCCGTCATCAACAAGGCAGCTCGCACATAGAGCCGCAACGCCCCATATTGCGAGGAGCGTGAAGGGAAACCTGCTCGACAAGGCGGGCCGCACTTAGACCTGCGGCATAGCGCGTCGGACGGGGTATCGAGCACCGCTTCATCAACAGGGCAGCTCGCGCTCAGAGCTGCGCCAATCCGTGTCGCGCGGAACACGCACAGTAGACCTGCAGCGCAGCGAATTGCGCGTGTCGCCGAGGACGTGCCCGCGAGCTAGATACGCTACGCACGGAGCGCGTTCGCCGCACGGAAAGCGGCGTCTCGAGGCCCCACCTACCCGAGCGGATGCTCCCGTTCCCGTCGGACCTGTACGAGGAGGGCGTAACGTTAACGTTGGGTCACGGCCTCAGACCAAGCAGCGTGCGCAAATACGAGAGATACGTTGTCGATATCCTGCGCGGCAGCGGGAGGAACTTGAAACGCGGCTCCTTCCCGCAGACCCGGAACACAATCACAGACTGGGTGCAGGTGAAGAGGTTATTCAGGACATTGCTGGAACAGGTGAACGAGGACAACTTTCACGAGAACTGTGCTGCACTAGCTGCAGTTCAGCGCATGGTGAATAGTGGCCGACTGCTAACCTACTGGGTGTGGAAGGCGCCCGAGAACGTAGACCCGGAAACCACTCCGGAGCCGGCGCCGGTGAAGCGGGTGACACACGTAGCGATCCCAACGTGGCGTTGAGTCGAGAACGCGTTTCAGGCCGCACAGTACATCGCGCGCATGCGTGTCCCGAGTCTGTGGCGGGCCTGGACGGTCGTCAGCGTCAATATGATGCCCGAGCAAGTCATCGGTGCGCGCCGCTTTATAAAGCACCCTGAGTACGGCCCGTTCGAACGCGGAGACAGAGAATCGAGTGAGTACATCTCGCTTCATATGGAAGCGGAGGCTCGCGCGGGTTTGGCGGGCGCCTCCACCGAGACGCGAAGCGCGGCGTGCGGAGAAACCTATCACCAGCAGGAAAGGTGGCGGAGGAATATCCTATGCGGACGTCCAGACGACGGGAAGCAGCGGAGAGACCTGAGAGCAGCGGAAGCACGGCGCGCACCTCTCGGAACGAGATTTGCGCCCCCTACGGTCTACATCCGCGAGAAGTCCGCGAGAGAGCGCGCCGCGGAAATAAGAACAGGAGTTGCAGGGGCGCGTAGACGGCCGAGAGACGGCTACGTAGCGGATGCGACTTCGGACTCAAGCATGGAATCACCAACAGGAGCAGCCGAGAGGATACGTCAGTCCTGGGCAAGCATCGGTCAGAGGAATGCCGCTCCCGGGAAGGGCGGTTGGAGTCGCATTCAGCGCGAGCGCGGCGGCGGCGGAGTGATCGGCGCCGTCAACAGGACGTACTCAGATCCAGGCCCACAAAGCGACTACCGATCGGACAGACCGACTTCAGCGCTGGCGTTCGAGCGAGGCTCGATGCGAAGGTGCGCGTGGAGCTCAAGAGCGCTTTCTCGCGGTCGCGCGCTTCGGGCCGCCGAGCACACGGCGCAAGGCTCCGGCCGGGCACCGGTACGGTGTAAGGAAGGGTCGCCGCCCCTTCCCGCAGCAGGAAACGACCTCCCAGGAGAAGGTCCCCGGGAGCGGACTGCAGCGAGAGTGATGTCCCTAGCTCACGCTCAAGGAGTGGTGGAGGTGCTCCCCCGCAATGACGAATACAGCACCGGCGAAGAGGTGCTGGTCACGGAATGGACGGAGTGTTTCACAAGCGCGGGCCCCGCGCCGCCGAAACCGAAGCCGATGTTGAACCCAGCAGGAAAAGGAGCATGGGTGAGCGGCTGGAAAGGAGTCGGCACGGACGGACAATGGCGCTTCTGGAAAGGGCAGAAGAACAGGCCTGGTATAGTGCCCGCGAGCAAGAAAGGAAGTTGCAAACAGGGCGCAGCCGCACGCGAGCGTAAGGGCGCGGGCGGACCAATGCCTTTCGCACCGAAAGGCGGAACTCCGAGGGCAGTGAGAGCAGAGCTGCGAGGCGCACACGCGGACGAGCGGCTGAAGATTTTCAAAAGTCGGCCGCACGGCGCGATCGTAAGCATGGCGGAGACAGAGGCTCCCCGCCCGGCCACGAGCATCTCTCTCCAGCGAGTTCAACGGCGAGCGGAGAAGCCAAGGACCGCCCAGGAGCGACCCGTGGCTGCGCGCCACGCGAGCAGCGGCAGTTCATCAACGTCTTCGAGCCGGCAGAGCATCTCATCATCATCGACATCAGATTCGGAAGCATGCCCACCCGGTGAACCATGCGTGCTGCAAGCGACACAAGCTACGCAGCCTAGCTCCAGCATGACAACGGACGACACAGACGCAGTGACGGGCCCTCCGGCGAAGAGAGCGAAGACGCGTGTGACTGCCGGACTTTCGCAGCACTACGCAGTGGGAGCAACGGCGAGGCACGCTACAGTGAAGCCGATCGCGGCGCTCCTGACCTCGAAAGCGAGGGCAGCGATCTTGCACGACGGAGAAGCGATCATCCTGCCGAGGGTGGGGTCGCAGGAGTGCAAGGCGGTCTTCGAAGCGGTAGCGTTAGTGTTCCTGCAATCGGACCGCGGGCCGTGCCACGACATGGCACCATTCGCCCTCGCGCGTCGTGTCTCGAGCAGATCAGCAATGGTTCTGTCGATAACGCACCCTCATGAGAAAGGTGCCCCAGTGCAAGCAGCAGAAGTGGCGAGGAAGAGACGCGCGGTCTTAGAAGGCAAGATGCGACCGTATAAGGACTGGGCAGCGCGCCTTTTCGTCTTCACAGCCATCCTGGCCGACCCGACGAGGATGGCGAACTCGACGGACGATCAGCTAGCAAGGATGCCAGCATCGCAGCGTCATCTCGCTTTTGAGGAGCACGAGCCGCACGCCGTGAAGGCCGAGTACATGACAGGGAACAAGAAACTGGCGGCGTTTGAGATACCAGACATGTACACGGAGATGATGCTGCCGAACGGTGAGTCCGCTCTTCTGGCAGCGTACGACGCGATGCCGCGGAGATTCGGCGGCGGCGCGGATTTGCGCGCAGGCTCGCACCTTGACGAGCACGTGCTGAAGGTGAAGTGCGGAAGCATCGAGATATTCCCGACGCATTACGCGGACTGGTGGATAGTGAGGCAGCTGACGGACGGAGACGCACCGCAGGTGTCGTTGCACGAATGGCCGCTCCCGACTTTTGTGCGGACAGTAGCAGCGATCATGAGAGCGGAGGCTGACCCGTGGAAAACAAGATGGCGGTGGATGCGAAGAGACGAAATCGAGCAGTATTGGCCATCGCATACGACACTCGAGAGAGGTCCATCCGTCTTCGCGGCAGCGAGACCAGTGAGAGTGCATGCTGCGCAAGCCGACAGCACTGATGACGACATAGGCGCCTTCGGCGATGACGCAGTTCCACCGGACCGATTTTGGGCGGACTCCATGGACACCACGGACAGGAATGGCGGCCTGGTATGGAACATGGGCGGGTGGAGCGCGCGCATGCGTCTAGGCGAGTTAGCTTTTCTGAAGATGCCGTTGGTCATCGCAGTGCAGGAATTTAAGCGCGCCTTTTGGGCGCGTGAGGATAGCCAAGTAGCTTTCACTAAGAAGAAAGTGAGAGGGCAACCTGCGCCAAGAGCAGCGATTCTGAGGGGCGGGTCGGAGGTAACAGCCCTGGACTTCGCAGTGGTAGCATCGACAGATGCAATCGGTCTTGCAGCACCAGACGGAACGGGCGGAGCAGCGGTCCTCTTGAGGGCGGATCAGCTGTTCCGCTTCGTCGCGTCGACGAGTGTGGTGTTGATGGCGGACCCGGATGACAAGACGGACGGCCACACCGCCATGAGAGGCGCAGATGATTTCTTGGCGTACATCGCGGCGGCTGTTCTGGATACGATCATCGTGATATCAGCGTACTACAGGACGCCGCGATCATGTAGGCCATTGAACATCCCAGCGATAAAAAGAACGATGAACAAGTACATAGCGGATTTAGGCAAGTATAGGCAGGGCCGGCAAGTGTGGCTGATGGGTGACTTCAACTACATCCGAGGAAAGACCCGCCCATCGGATCCATCTCCGGCGCTCTTAGCCGCAGCGTACAGGCCGCTGCAAGTCTTCGCAGGACACCCGGTGCAAGGCATCGGCCCGACGTGCTGGCGAGCAACCGCGCACGGAGGGGAGCCGACAGCGATCGATCACGTGTACACATCGGCATTAGCGGCGCGCGGAAGCGCGATTGAGCGGTGGCACGTGAGGAAATTTGCGCCGTGCCTGATAGGCCCTGAAACACCTTTCGCGCAGGTACCGACGGATCACGCAGCGCTGTGCATCCCAGGCTGGCTGTTCGAGCCCGCTTCATCACAGGAAGACATGTTCGCCGCAGCGAAGGAAGCGTGGGCGAAGCATTACGCAGCGCTGGCCTTGAGGTGCCCAATAAAGGTTTCGGCAGCTTACTCGGACATCATGTTCCCGGTCGGGCAAGCATGCCTGAAGGCCGCAGTAGCAGTAAACGCAGCTAGCATAGCTCACGGGTACGATTATCTGGTGGACTGGAGCAGGCGGACCAAGTTTGATGAGCGGGCGTACGCGACGGTCCTCGCAGACCACATCGGGCGTCGCACGTTCCGCCCGGCGGCGCTTCGAGACGTAAGGCTCGGCAAGAACGGAGCGTCATCGGAAGGTCACGCGGAGCGGAACACCACGTTGCAGCAGGGTCATCGAGCAAAGCCGCTGAGGAATCTAGCAGACCTCGAGCGCGTGATGACGCACGTTGCAGTCAAGAGAAAATTTGTGAGAGCGAAGAGAGTGGATCAGCATGAATCGAAGATAGACTGGTCGAGGGACGTCGATGACATGACGGCCGCAGGCGTAGCAGACGATGAGAAGAAGAGACCAGCGAACGTCGCAGCGTTCGCGAAAGCCGCAGCTGCCTTGCGGACCGGCCAGTCAACGAAGGAGGACAAGCTGTTTAACATCATAGACGCATGCAAGGCCGCGCTGTACGGCAGCAAGCGCGGAGACCCCGCGGGTGAGATATCGCACTGCGTGGCGGGCGCGCTCGCAGCAGTGGGCGCATCGGAAGTAGCTAAAGGGCTACTGTTATCGCACCTTTGCAAAGCGCGGCTTATCCGGGAATCGACCAGGACCCTGTTGACGGCTCCGGATAGGCGCGAACTGTACAGGCAGGTCTTAGCAGTCGCGAAGGCCACCCCACCATTACCGATGTCCGCGCACGAGACGAGAGAGCTGCTGGAAAAAATGGCAGCGAAACCACATATGCGTTCGCCGAACGGCGCGAGGAAATCTATGGTGACTGCGATGCGGCACCACCCGGACACCGTGGAAGCGCTCCGCTGCGCGGTCAACGACACTACAGCCGGTATAGCGTCGACGACACTAAGAGCGTTTGAGCAGTACATACGGCCGGAGCGTAAGGCGCTAGTGGCAGCGGCTTTGCACAAGAGCGGTCGCACGGACAGAGCGCAGAAGCTAAGGATCGCCGTGTCAGCCGAGAACCTGCATAGGATTGCTGCGCAGAAGTGCTGCATTCGCATAAAGCAGAGGATGGAGAGGAGCGGTCTGCTCGGCTCATGGATAGGCACCGGAAGACCTGGCGCAGGTCTGGACGCGGCTTTTCGACAGGAGCTAGACGCGATCGGCAACATAGCGCATAGAAGAAACGACCAATGCTCGGATCCGGAGATGCAGCAGATAGCCATCATTATCACCACGGACTTCGAGAATATGTTCAATTGCCTCTTCTACGAAGTGATGGTGAAGACCATGATCTTTTACGGCGCGCACCCGCACGACCTGGCGTTCATGATGTGTCTGCAGGCATCCAAAACAGTTTTTCTACGGAACGGCAGGAGCGTCGCAGCCCTGCGTCGTTTCTACGACCTCGTAATCGGTGATCCAGTCGCGATGGAGATATCGTTAGGGGTCATCGCGCCATATCTGGCTTCCATGAGGCGCGCACTCGACGAGTTAGAGAAGCGCGCAGCAGCGGGGGCCGAAATCGGCGACGCCAGCGAGTACGAAGACCAGCTCTTCAGGGAGCAGAGGAGGATTTTGACGGCTTGGGAGCATGAGTACCGCAGAGAGGACGTCCCTGACGAGTACTTTGACCAACGCTCGCACACTGAAGCGAGGATACACGCGGAGACGGAAGCGACAGAAGTACCGGAAGCGCCATGGCAGAACACATCGGATTTCGAGATCTTCATGCGGGCGTGCGTGGACGACATCACGACCGCTATCCGCGGAGCGATAGCGGAAATAAGGCGGCCTTCGAAGCGCGTACGCATGGCGGCGAGAATCCTGTCAAGCAGGACGGAGACGATGTGTCGCGACTCCCAGTTATTCTTTGCGGCCAGAGAGAAATTCTTGCTGGCTATCTTATCATGGGACCCAGTGCCTGACAAGGACGGGATTGCGGCAGCGATCGCCCCGCTTTTCGTGATCTGCGGTTTCGCGCCAAGAGTCGTCTTTGAGTCGAAGATCGTTGGATACGTGTATCGATTCCCGTTAGGGGACGTCATAGAAAAGCAGCTAGCAACCGCTACTGGTTTTTGCAGGCTCCTATGTATGAGAGCTAGAGCAGCGCTCGGGAAACAAATCTCACCAGCGATAGCGATCGCGGTGCTCCAGCAAGCCCTAGCGGCGCCGACGACGCATCTGTGGGGAGCCGCGAACGATAGATTATCCGACGAGCAGATAGAAGCGATGGAACAGCGACTAGCGACGGCGTTGCTGCCGGAGATCGGAATAACGCCCCCGGTGGTGCAACACATTCGAGCAGCGAATCCCGGCATCACGGAAAGGGAGACTCTATTCAGTCCAATCACCGGCCTTCAACCGAGGTCGACGGTAGGATCCAGAATTTCGGATAACGGTCTGGTGAAATGGATGTCTTTGGCGGGAGCATGCCGCTTGGCGGACAATTTCAGTGCTTTAGTGGAGGACCTAGCGGAGGCTGAAGGCAGAACAAGAGACAAAGAAAAGACCCTGATGCTCGCAAAACCGGCACCCGTGAGAGAGTCGTTTCGTGCGCTCGGAGCATCCGGCACAGAGCCACCTCTCCTCCTCAGTATGACACCGACGTCAGACCCCAGTATTGCAGTATGGGTGCGAGCGGATCACGCAACAGCGCGCGTGATGGGAGTCTCTGAGGTAGCGGCGATGCCCGCATTCGCAGTGGAGGTCCGGATGATGCCAGGAGCAGCAGTGAGTCCGCATGTCGCGAGGGTAGCGAAGAACATGTGGGCCGTCACGGAGGCAGCGAGAGACGCGATGAACGCCGCACGCGGCGTGGGAACAAGGGTTAGAGTGGTGCGAGTCTTCGGCGCGTACACTCTGCCGAGAGTGCGCACGATCGCGCACGAAGCGCTATGGGCGTTGAAGCACGACTTGGCAAGCGACGGGGCGTGCCTGGAGCTGGTGAGCGCCAGGACACCATTGGACTTGAGATCGACGTGGCCGAAGCAGGAACGTAAGCGATTGGCACAAAAAGACATTCTGGACCCGGAGCTGATGCTGAGATCGACGGAGGATGACAACAGAACGCTGAACTCGGGGTCATCCACCTTGCCGCGTCTATCGAAGCTGCGGACATGCCAAGCATGGCCTGAGGTGAAGCGAACTGTAGCAGAATCTCTGGGGTGCTGTTATGCCGCACCGCAGCGAGAGGATGACGAGTTCGAGGACACCGACGATGGAGAACAGAAAGGAAGGTGGGGGGGCGCGTAGCCAGGCGAAACAAGTCTGATCCTGGTTTTGCCGGGAGACCCCCTCCACCATCACATTCCTGAGGCGATCAGCGGAACCTTAAGAAGGAGCCTCTCCATCGGAAGTAAACCAATAAGAATGTAGATAGTACGAGCAGACGGCGGAGCTTCGTATGAACAAGAACGAGCTAGAATAAGCAGACTTCTGTAACAGTTGTGCCGCAAATTCGGCTTTGTAGGAGACGGAGCCTCGCGCCCGCTTAGCAGCGACGGGGGCACAGGCGGGCGGGGGTTTAGCTGGGTGTGAAAAAAAAAAAAACAAAAAAGAAATCAGGCCAGGACGGGGCCCAAGGAAACACTCAGCTTTCCCTTTGTGAACGCCAAATGCGCCCGAACTGTCGCTGCGCTTCGATGAATATGCAGCGTGAAGTTTGTTTTACAGCCAATAGAGGACGTTCAACAGTAGAGATCAGGTAGTAGAAGATAAACAGGGCGCGACTGAGTCGAGTACGAACGGAGGATAACAACATTAACAGAATAGAGGAAGTAAACCCGAACGAGGGGATCAAAACAACAGCCGCACTAAGCGAAGGGAAGCAAGCGGGAAGGAAGTAAATATATAATAAGACGAAGTGTTCGGTGAGGCGGTAACGCGCGCGCGTATTTCAGGCGTCGCCGGTAACTGTGATCCACGTTTGTTGCGTAGGTATTTGCTGATGCATACCCAGAATGAAGATCTCTACAGAGAAAGTTAGGTGTTGGTATAGGACATTCGAAAACGTGAACCAACGGAGGACAGCTCCAAGGCTATTGTTAGCGCGTAGAAGAGCGAAGACTTAAAGTAGGCAAGACCCCTCGAGGACGATACTTCCCGAAACACCAGTAATAGTGTCTATAAAGAAGGAGACGATAGCTTTGTTAGCATACGAACGGACTGAAGAGTAACAAAAGGAACCTAGGCTGTAGTGAGCTATCGAAGGACGTAGTGAACACAGGAGGAACACCCATAGCACATTTAGCAACGGATCGAGAGTAGACGAGCAAAAAAGTTAGAAGATAGTGTACGTTCACATCACACGGCTGCGCACTTCACTCAAGCATCTCTTTCGGCCAGGAGCTGTAGTGGAAGAATGAAGGAGAGTTCTTTTGTCCTCGACACTGAATACGGTAGCGCGCACAGACTCCGGGACAGCGAACTATAAATAGCGATGAGGAGTAGTAGTCGGAGCGGAATCTGAAAGCTGAGCTTCGCGTGCCTCGTAGTGATGTCCTCGGCGAAGTCATACCACCCGCGATACGATAAGTTTTACGTGACAAGTGTCCGCATTGACGTTAGCACTCTTATGCGATTTTGCGAAGATCGTTCTGCCGTAGTTACGAAACCATCGAAGCATAACAAGAATCCGATCGCAGAACTAGCCGGCGTCAAATTGTACATCGCGCCGGTCGACGCTGCTTACTCGCAGGCGAGAGTTCGCGCCGGAACACTAACGAAAGAAGTGATAGAATACGCCCTCAAGCACAGCAGATACACGTGTGGCATCTTCTGCAACGTTGTATTTATTGAGTCCGGTAAGGCGGTGAAGGAGCACGTTACTCATAGCGAGCATCTGAAGAACATCGTGTCTAGATAGGGAAGCTCACGTTGTCCCCTAGGAAATACGCAAGACGACGCTACACAGTGCTAATAGCGCCGAGTGGCCGAAACGTAAGTGCTAAACTCGCAGCAGGGTCCTAGAAGTGTAGCGTAACTTCCGTTGAGTTGGGGGTATGGTGAATCAAATGACGGATTTGCAGCGTCCGTTGTCGTTCAAGCAGACGGTGAGGGCGAGGGTGGCCCTTCACGTCAAATGTTTGCGACGCGGCGCGCGCGACGTCAGTTTTATAATTAGACAAATGACTGTGGAGTGGCCTAAATGGAGAGAACGGGAGCGTGTATCTCACCACGAGTTTATAGGTATAGCAGCCCACGAAGTAGAACAATATTTGGGGGACATCACCGAGAAGATGTTTGCTTGGGAGCCTCTCGCTGAGATCTTGAAGGGGCAAGGAGGAAAGAACAAAGTCCCATACAAGTTGATTAGGATTACCAAAGAAATGGGGAAGTTCGTGAAGTCTCAGGCGTTCTCTGTCCTTCAGTACAAGGAGATGCTCCAGACGGACGGGTGGCCCATCAAAACTGACTTTTCTCTCGACGGGAGTGCAGGGGATGCCCCCATAGAGGAAATGGCTGATGTGGTGTCCTCCGAGTTGCATCCTTTTGTCCTTCAATTCAGGGCTTTCGCTGAGGAGCTCGCTGAGCTCCTAGAGCCCGGTAACATTTTGTCGTTAGCTAACGTTGGGATCGCTAATGCTAGCCATGAACAAGAGTCACAGCTCCACCTGGCAAAGACGGCCGCCTTTGCGGTGCACGTCGCCTTGCAGGACGCTCTTGTAGATTTTAGCTACGCGGGAGGAGAATATGTCAAACGATTTAGATACCTAGACGATCAGATACAGACAGAAGGCCATACTTCAGGGTACACGAGGAAGGAGCCTTTCTTCGTGCTACTGGGTAGGTACCGGAAAAGTATGACTAAACTGGAGAAGGTCCTTGAGGAATTTGCACCGCGCGCACGAGAATACGTGAAGCACAGGTGTGAACCGGAGGCAGCCGCCGTTCAGAAACAAACAGATTTGCTCGTAGGTAGGCTTCGTAGTTACTTGGAAGAAATGACGGCGAGGTCAGACGCGGAGTATTGGGCTAATAATGAAATGGGGAAGTGTCGTACGGAATTTTTAACCTTCGATAACCTCGGTTACTGTGAGGTGGGAACGGTAGGGAAGGTCTTCTTGAGTTACATAAAACTAGCGGCAGGCCAAGCAGCCGATTTCGCGAAAGCGATCGGCGCTCAGCGCGCAACAATTTACCGCCCACAGGGCTGCACGAGCGTAGAGTAGAGCACTAGACGATAGAACTAACCCAGCCCCGAACACGTAACTGAACTCATGACCCTTTAGAGAACATCCCCAACGGACATGACAGAAACGAAGGAGACGCTTTTACACATAGGAGAGCAGAGCAAAGAAGAAATCACTTAGAAGCAACGACTGCAATCGTAAGTACATGGTTGTCTCAGCACGGGCACCAGGTAGCCCCCTTCATAGGAGTGTTACACTCCGAAGACGGGAGTGGCGAAGAGCTCGGTGTAACAAGAAGTCGACTAACTAGAACGACGTTAGCAAAGTCTTCCATTCGCGGCTATTAACGGCCGGTGAGACCAATAGGATGAACGTTGATCTTACGGATTCACCGGAGGGAATCCGAGGAATAGACACTCTCCCTCAGCGTAGCAACTAACGTGACAGTCCGTATCTATCTCAGAGTACTGGCATACAGCACGGATCACCTAATAGATAAAAATTTGTTTTTATGCTTTTTGTGTGGCTGTAATGTCCCATCTTGTCCTGTAAGGTGGGTCCTTGCATGTTAGTTGGATTTGTTTGTTCTTTATTTTGGTAGCGAGGCTTCTCTTTCGTCTCGCGGGAATTCTGTTTGGGTGGTGTGGGTCTAGAGACTGTTCTTTTTACACGTCTCTCAGTAGTTTGTAATCAGCGCGACGCGCGCAAGGGGAATATATACGGATCAAAGAGGAGCGCGTAGCGGAGTGGAGCACATTTCTCGGTCGTGGAAGATCGTATACAGCGACAACAGACAGGACGCTGATCGGCGGTAAGGAATATAATCTGCAGGAATGGCGTCGTCATCATCGGCGGCATCAACGACCGGTCTACCGGGTTTGAGCAATCCGTTTAGTATAGGACAAGCACGCGCTTTCAGTAGCGCAGCGTCGATGACGCTCCAGACGGACATGGACGTGATGTCGGCAGCCGCATGGCCTGGAGCGCCGGCGGCTCCCGTTCTGCCGCCGTTAGCAGCGACCGCGTCTGGGAGGAAATCCCGACGAGCGAAAGGGATAAGTATCGAGAGCCCGCATCTGGAGCGCGGACCGACAGACGCGAACGTGCAAGGCACGCGGGTATACGCCGGCTTCTCACACAGGCTGTTCCTGGCTTTCGGAGCATGTGTGCAAGCGTTTGGCGATCTCGAATATGTGTTCCAACTGGAGGATCACTGGCGCATGGTTTTCGTACCGGCGGATGAGGTGTTTACGAACGACGGATCACCGATGTTCCTTCGCTTCCAGACAACCACCAACACGGTGAGCACGGAAAACGATCATCAATGTATATTAGCATATAGCCTGGCGGTCTTCGCGGACCAATTTCGAGATATCGGGATTGCTCCGCTGGTAGGGGAAGCGCCGATGCCGGATAGCGCACAGCCGAGGGAATATTGCATTTTATCAACGATAGCACATTGGCCGAATAAGCCGAACATGATGCCCAAGCAATACGCGAATATACCAATATTTCCGGTCGCGCAAGCGCCGTCGGTGATACCGTTGGCTTTAGCGAATTTTTGGGATACCAGCGAGAACAGATGGTCGCGATCGTCGCCGCAGTTTCAGCAAAGAAGGGCGTTGGAGGCAGCGGAAAGACAACCGATGGCCAGGCTTCGGTTACCGATGGTGACAGAGTTGCGCCAGAAAGCGGTAGATAACGTTCGAGCCGGGCGCGCAGCTTCCTTCGGCACACCCGAGGAGCGGCCGTTCGAACTAGCGCACACAGCGACGGAGCGTACGGGAGGGCATGGGCAAGCGACGGTAGTGAACAGCGAGCATCAACGCGACAGCAAGTGCGGTCAGCAACGACCGCCGGCCGGGCACGCAGTGCACCCAACAGTCGTTGCGCACGTGGGCGACGGCATTACCCGGATCGGCTTCGAGAACGCCCCTGCAGGCCCGGACACAGGCACGCACGCCCTGGAGGCACCTAGAGCGACGATCTCGTCAATGAGCAGTACGGAGTTAACGCCAATGCGGTCGCGGGCGGTCCCGGGTTCGACGAGTGCGAACGGCGCGAGCAAAGAGTGTGTCGGCAACATCCCAGGAGCGTCAGTGCCGGAAGAGCTCGCTGCAGAGTTCCCGGGCATGTCGCCGGACCTGCTGGCGAAGATGTGGACAAAGATGAGAGCCATGTCTAGTTCTGCCGACGCCGATATCTCCAAGCAGAACCTGAACGGGTCAACGGTCGCTAACAAGCGCGACGGTGGGCATGGTGTCGGCGAGAGTGCGCGGAAGAGCACTAGGAAAACGGATGCGCGAAGAGATTCTCGATCGAGGAAGCAGTACGATCACGGTAGACGCGACAACGGTGTGTCGCGCAGCCGGAGGAGCCGTAGCAGGAGCCATGGTCGTTCAGGCACGCGCGAAAGCAAAACCCAAGCAGGCAGCAAGCGGTCGCGGGACATGGATGTCTACCAAGCAGGAGGCAGACGAGGACGGAAAGACCGATGTTGAGGCCTGCTCCCACGAGGTAAAGAGCCAGCATGTATGAGACATCAGGGAAGACGATGAAGAGACAGTAGTCATACCCACATACAAGAGGAGGCGGCGGAGGCAGTGCACATATATGAAAGGGCCGTTCTGGAGGAGATGGCCATTCTTGGTACGTTCGAAGCGGCTGCTAGATATAGATACATGGCACCGCGCAGATATAGAAACGGATATGTTTAGAGACCCATTGGAGGAATATGCGAGGAACGCAGTGAAGAAGCGGACGGTCGGCGCCGCGGCGCCCGAGTATGCGAAGAAGACGCTGAGGTCGAAGATCGTCTTCTTCGACGACCTCAATGAACATGAGCAACAGCGTATGAAAAAGAAGTTTATCACGTCGCGAGCGAGCGCAGCAGCCGAGATAGGCTGCATCGCGGACAGGCACGCGTTACAGGCATCTCTATATAGGGTGCATGAGGAGATCCTTTTTTGACGGAAAAGAAGGGGAGCACGCCCGCCCAGTCACCGCCGTGACGAACCGCGCAGGGACGCCGATGTGCGGTCGCAGGGAGGGGTCGTGGGGCAGCGTGAGTAACACGAAATAGATAGAATTGGAGAGGTCCCATTTAGATAAGTGGGTACGGTCACCGCAGCGGGCACGGGTTCACCGCCCACGCGGAACGGACACACCGGTGTTGAGAGCCCCGGCCATACGGACGCGCGCAGGACGAGCACCGCGGCCCGAAGGCGTTGATGGGCAGTGTAAGCGCTGCCCATCCGCCCTCGTTGCCGCGCGCAGGTAAGGTGCGGCCGGCGGCTGCATAGAGCAGAGGATGGGCGGCACGCGGGGGAGTGTTCGGGTGAGAGCGTGCGGCGGAAATGAATTAGAATGAAGGTTTGGAAAGGAACAACGTAGCGCAGTAGAATGCGCCTTTTCCCCATTAAACCCAACAACAACATCGGTCCGTCAGGAAGGTCCCTAGCGCCCTTACATCGGTGTCCATAGTGACAGATGGTAAGAGCGCCCGAGGGCGTAGCACGTGTGAGGCGTTCGGGCCGCGCGCGAACTAATAATAATAATAATAATTTTTAGTAGAGCTATTGTAGGAGTACGTTGTTCTTTTGCACTGTTCTCTCTGCTTTGAAGCTTAGCATAATTGTAATGACACGATAAGCATATTTACATTAAGAAAAAAAGAAAATGGAGGGTGCAGATGCAGTTTGATTATATGCAGATTACCTCTAAGAGCATGCATGGGATCGCTGGCTCACGACGGAAAATCCCGACACCAAGCAAGACGAAAAGCGACCGCGTGACAAGCGCATTCGCGTCACTACCTTCCGATGGCGCGAGGAGAACGCGCAGCTGGCAGGCCGGGGCGTGGACGATAAGAACGAGGATAGATTTCGAGAACTCTCGCCGCAGGATAAAACACATAAGCCGGTGCTACGACCCGTCGGAAATTGGGTGTGTACAGAGGACATTTATGTCAGTAAAGAAAAAGAATAGGGAATTATATGTATATTAAGAATGTTTTTTTGTTTTCTAGTTAGGTGTGCTCCACCGATATATTAAGAATGAAATATTTTGAGGTATGGAGGTAGCTAGAAAATGGAACGGGGATGCGAAGTGGAGTTTGTACGCGAAGTGGAGTACATGAACTGCGACTTATGCACCACTGTATGTATTGCTCAAGAGATTCTTCTTAATGCAAGAACTAGAATAATAGCAAATACGTCCTCACTAAGGTATACTTGCAAACCCAAAGAAACGAGGGAGTTTCAACCTCTACGGTAAGAACAAGCGTGAGAAGCCGCTTGTGAACGGCAATACCATCGCAAATGGTCACGCTGATGGAAAAGAAAACCACCTGGCGTCGTTTCTGCAACGCGGCGATTCCATGGATGCTCGCGGTGGTGCTTTCCGCATTGCCAATGGATCCGCCGCCACGCTGGTCGACCAGACGCTCGACGAGACCTTACTTCTGGTCCTCTCCGGATTCACTGTTGCTTTTCTGTTGTTACGACAATGTAGGTGGAACTGCAACTGTAATATTTTTAACCACACAAGGACAACGTAGGTTGTAGGTGGAACTATGCAGCATATCTAAATGAATGTATCTATATTCTTAGCCATACACAACTACAAGGACAACGTAACTGAAACTATATTTTTGACCAGACACAACATAGAGATAGAAGATCCTAGGCCTGTTATTGTTAAGCTCGCGACAGCTTAGCTGGGACTGGGGCTTATACACATAGAGGGCATTTCCCTTAGAATGGGACCTCCCTTAGACCCGGAGCCACTTATACACATAGAGCTGATGCTGGAACTGAATACATACTAGCACTTTTTCTTTTTGCTCCTCTTCAATCTGTCGTGAGATAAAGGCGCTCGCCTGCTATTTTTCTCGTCACATATCTAATACTAATACTAACGGTCTATCTACTAGTATGTTACGGGTCGGTACACCTCTCGGTGTCGTTGGGAGACACTGCTTTTCGTCCGCAGAGAGTACTAGTATTTCAACCTCCTCCAAAGGAACAATGCGTCCAGCAAAGAGCCTCTCGTATAAGCGACACGCTTTTCTACTACAACGTTTTCATTTAAGTAGTCTTCATCATTGTTGTCTAATCTTGGCCTTCGGTGTGGTCTGGGTGGCCAAGACACGAATGCGCGCCTATCAAAGACTGCAAGAAGATGGTGATGGCGATTGCGCGACGTTAGAAGTTGTTGTTGCGTCTACGCAGCAGGGAGCTTCCTTCAGTACGAATTAGATCTTGCCTCGATCTTACCTCTTGTCAGGCACATCAGTTTGATCCGGTGCTGGAAAAGGGGGAATCGGCAGTACGGTTCTGGATAGTGTATGAGCAAAGATGAGATAGTTATATATTTTATAGTTGTTATTTACTAGAGATATCAACTACAATCAACGAACATGAAAAATGCTCATGCAACATTTCTAGCAACTACCAGAGAACAAATTCTCATTGTTAGCATCAATTGTGTAATTGATTAATAGGGAAGCAGCATCTACATGCTCTAGTAACGAAAAAAAAAAAGAGTCAGAAGGTGTGAATGGTCGAGAAACTACAGGGAGGCCGCCATTTGATTCTCTTTGATATGTATCTGGAACGATCACGAGGATGAGGACCATTATTATGATATCCTAATCTATTTAATGACTAAAATCATGTTGTTGATGACACCATACTCATAGGTCTAAGATTTGATGATACAACCAAATAGCTCCAATTAGATCAGCTAATCTATGTAAATCTAAGGGAATAATTATATTATATCAATCATAGTTCCAAGATCATGAACAAAAGATATTAGAGTGACGATTGAATTACACTTACAGATCATGAGAAAATAATAATAGCAGTAGAGTGACAATTACACACGCTCCTGATACATCAATCACAATCTATCAGAGTAGACTGAGCGCGTCAGAAGAAGTAAGTCATCACTTACACATATAACCAGCATACCAAGACAGCCAGCGACATTGATCTTCATATCCAACGACGTAATCTATCATACGATAGAAACTGAAAGAACATCATACTAAAAATTTTCACATGACTATATCAGGTGAATGACCTGTCATGTAGACAACTTCAGCATCAATGAAAACGAAGTTGGTACATCTACCACTACTAGCATCAAAATCAATTATGAAAATGAAAAAATGCAATTCATCAGGAAAAAACTCATCAAACAGAAATTATAATACCGGAAAAGATAGTTGTGTAATTAAACTTGTAAATTATAAGATGAGCCTTGGAGCAGAATGAACAGCGCATAGAGCATGGACAGCCTGGGTCAGTCTACGTCTACTTGTAAAAGTGAACAAGCAACAACATCACAACTTGATGTCTTTGTCAGATGGGTGATCACAACTACAACCTTGCACACCTGTAACAAAAAGTCCTTGTATTAGTATTTACTTACTTATTTGTGATCCACTACTACAACATATCATCGTCCTTGTACAAATGAGAAGTTTCTGCATCTACTAGTCAGTGTTGCAATGAACTGTATTTATTAAGTGACGGTTATGGGAGACACCGAGACCGACACCAAGCACACCGATGCCACAAAAAATGTCTTAGCAGCAATAGCTAACTACTTCTAGGGCACAAGCAATATACACGTCGGGTCTTGATTGTCAAACTGAGCATTAATTGACTTTGGGAAAGATACTGCTACTTACAACAACAATTTATAAACAACACACAAGGCGAATGCGAGCGGAACAAGTCGTGTTCAGTTTGCTGGAGGATCCACCAGTTCGTGGTAGTATTCTTCTCTTGACTGAGTCGTGGAGGATGATTCTCAAGTCTCAAGTCGCGTCGGTATAATTGTACGACTTCTTTGCGCCCACCCCAGCTAGTGCGCTGGCCCTATGGCCGAAGACTTTGAAATTGAAAAAAATTGATCGAAAGTGAAACGCTCCAACCCACATGAGCGTGCTGGGAAGACAAAAAGAAAAGCAGAGAGCAGAGGATATCCTATGCATCCTTGACAGCTGATACGGAATACGTCTGTCTTCGAGTGAACTAGTCGGGCCATGCTTGTCCCTGTCCCGTTTCGGTACGAGATGTGGTAAAAAGCAAGTAGAGACTAGAGAGGGCGCGCGTCTCTCTTGGAAGTTGCACCTCCGATGATGGAAGTAAGCACACGGAATATCATCGTTGTAGCAGAGTGCAGATAACAAGTATGGGGTAGAAGAAAGTGAAACTGTCGGACTCAACCGAGGGGAGAACTTTCAGAGGAGTACATGGCGCTAGAGTGCCACTTCCACAGGAGAAGTCGGGGAACAAGAAGAGTAGCGATGAGGAGGTGCTTCCTACGCTTAGCACAGTCATTCCCGTGTTATGGTTATCGTACCCGACCACTCTCGAGTGTATACAAGAGCAGTTACTTTCTTCCAGACAGCTCACCAGCGTCATTTTCCAGCGAACGCGGCGTTGGAGAGTTCAACAAATCATCTGGTGAGGCGGAACAAGCGGAAGGCTAGGACTTCACTATGAAGCAGAACAAAAGGGAGTTTGACTCTCTGGACCAAGAATACCAAGAAAAAGCCGTGACTGTGACGAACGCCTCCACGTCGACCAAACACTATTCTTCGTGATCAGCACATGAGGCAACTGTCCTTGAGCTTGATGAAGATCATTCATGTAGTCTGTGCGCCTTAGCGTTACTTGACTTGCAAGAATGCAGGTGAAGTACGTGCACTGAATTACAACTGATCCTCGACTTCGGGCTGCACTCTGCAGGAGAGCTTTCTATTTCTTGCGCAGTATGACGTGGTACAGGAACATTTTTACTAGTGCTGGGACCAGGGTCGTTAGCAGACTAAATGCTGTAAGCAGTATGAAACACGTTGCATGCAAGGCACTCAGAGCCACGCTCGTCGTCCACAATATACTCTGACAGGTACTACTACTGTCGCTATCAGCTCTACTAGAGATACTACTCGACTGCCCATTTGCTGGGGATATAATGTCCCATGCATCATTCGCCGTTGCTGCTTCTTCCTCGTCCTGCTGCTTAGTGCTTAACTGCTGTTCATCTCGTGGTCCACGCAGTAACGGATGCCTTTCCTGATCATCCTGATCTTGACCCTTAGACGTCGCGTCTGCTTCTCGTGGAGATGCCGTGCTGTTGCCAAGACTCCAAGGCAATAGGTCAAAAGCGCGGCCATTGCGAAGGAGATCGAAAATACGTGATGCGCCTTTTTCCGCCTCGGACAGAGACGCGATGATGTGACCCGCACCGTGCTGCGTAGCAGCTGCCTCCACAGTTCCCTCACCGTCCTCCGAAGAGGGGTAAAGGCTGAAACCCCCGACTCCTCCGCTTGCCGACGAATACTCTTGAGATTGTAGTACGTGGTTCTTTATTGCAGAATCATCTACATCGACAGCCTCTTCTTCTACTGACGAGGAAGATGAAGTCGTCGTGTAGGTCACCAAAAGACCACTACCGAAGGTGACCGTCATTCCAAGCCCAAGACAGAACCACACTATTGAAATGGAGGTGAAAAACGCCTCGCAAGCAAACGCTTTGCGAAACGTTGTCCGTCGTTTGATGTTGTCAATTAGAACTCAACCTAATTATTAGCATTTTTTTCTGGGTCCTAATCATGCAAATGCCGCATTTTCTTGTTCATGATCCGTCCTAAAACGTCTATTTATTTTTCTCCTTGCAAACGTCTGCAAAATTTGTCCTCTGAGGATGGATCAGGTGGAGCCTTACGTGGAGCCTTAAGTCAATGAATACTGTGAGAGGAAAAGAGCCGAGAAGCCCACAGAACAACCAGGCAGCGAGAAAACCGTCTCCCTCGCACTTCAATCCCGTTGAGAGTGCGACCTGAACAAGCACTCCGAGAACGTACATATCGATGCACCCTGCCCAGATGACCAGTTGCGACACGTAGCGGTAGCGCTCTTTAGAGGTTGAGCTTCCACCAAGACCAATCATATATTAATCATGAGATTATATATAATATTGTCACTGCATTCATCTTCAGGAGATGGAGATCACCTTGCTTCCCATCTTAGGAATTCTTTCCAACAGGAAAAGTAGAAACGAAGGATGGTAGATAAGGTTGTCAATCACGTTGTTGTAACGTGTCTGCCCAATAGAGGACTATGTCTTATTTGGTAACCCGTAAAAATACAGAGGCAATGTCAATGCGATAACCCGTAATGCAACATAGGCAGTGTGATAACCCGTAATTTCTGTTGCGTGACGCCACTCGCCTCCTCGGCAGCCGGCAGCGGGGAGCAATTCTTGCGGAATCAGATCGTTGTCTTCTAGTGGAAGTGCTGTTCGTGACGCGTGTTGATGGACTTCATCGAGTTTTTTGTTATATGTCGCGGTCCGTTCATGTGGTGGTAGTTGTGCATGCGTGGTCGATGCCTGCCTTCTTTCTCTTCGGATGTTCATACTATTGTTTTTGTAGGCTTCATCCCGGTGGTCGCTGACATGGAGGGGATGTCGTTGGCGCAAATCTTGCGAAAAAACCACACGTGTACTTGGCCGCTTGACGTCCATAGGTGCCAGTTTATCTCCCGCTGAAAATATTTGTTCATCTTCATCTTGTGTAGGCTTCCGCGCTGGTGCCCTTCCTCTACCGAAAGACGTAGTGTGAATACGCGGCTGGTGCCCCGTGCTCGACCTTGACGTGCAGCTTATGGAGGTGCCAAACGATGCCCCTACTACAACTGAGGTCTCATTTTAGATTTAGAAGTACCTTCCAGGATGAATCAGAATAAATCCAGCATCTGGTGAAAGAGGCTCCTCATAATTTGACGTCAAGAAATTCTCGCTCTCGTCCCTGCCTTGAAAATACTTCATGAAGGGCACAAGAACGCTCTTTCTTAGACGTGGTTTTCTAGGGTTTCCATTTTTGCTGTAGCCTTAAGCGTCGCTTGTCTCTATTTTTCGAGTTTCAGTAAGAAGTTGTTCTCGCTGGTGGTGGAGGTGCGGCGTCGTCCTCTGTTCTGTACTGCTTGGAAATAAAGAGAACGGATCATCAGCACCACCATCGACCCGAGGCCGTTCTGGGGTTAGGTGCGCAGTTTGCTCGCTCACAACTTCACGCTCCGTGCTTGCAAGAAAGAGTCTTTCCGATGGTAGTGAAGCCCGTAGTTGTGCGCCTTGTTCTGTCCTTGTTGTTGTAGATGTTGCAGGCGTAGTAGAGAAGTATTCGTCGTCAAAGAGTTTCTCTTTGTCTCTCGTGTGTGAAGACTTTCTGGGCTTGTCTGGCGTCTGGTGAAGGAGCAAAAGCGCGGAGCTTGGTTCTTCTGCGTTCCCTCGATCTTGTTCGTCTAGAGTCGCATTGCCACGCGTTTCTCTAGTTCTGTGATCATCCTTTTGATACGTACTGCTAGCACTAGCATCTCCACTTCGAGCGTCCGAAGTTCTTCTACTTCCACGAATAAACGCTACATCATGTCCTTCCCGCAGCTCCTGAGGTACTGCACTTCTTGACTCAAGAAGAGAATTCCTCGATGATATTGATATGGGAACTACACCAGCGGGTCGTTTGCGGTTACCGAGTCCGTAGGTCTCGGCTCGTCCCGAGGTGGTCGCAGTAAACCGAGGAGGACACATGGATGCCAGTGGTCGCACAACATGGTCGTTGAGTTGCGGATTTTCATTTTCTCCTACTAAATACAAGACTTCTTCCTTGTCCTCTTGTTTTTCCTCTCCTGTCTTCTGCGGAAGCTTTCTGATGTCTGGACTTCTCACTTCGCGTCTCATGATCCGGCGTAACGGTGCCAGGATTCTCGGTTTTTACGTAAAAACAAGAGTTTGGAATTACGAGATTCCTGCTCTTGTGTCCTTTTGCACCTGCTCTGCGAAGTCCAGATGCATGGCATCGATTTATATTTCTGCTACTTGCAGCACATGCACTCGTTAGAGCTGTAGACTGCGTCTGCGTGGCGTCTCACTCTTCTTCTGACCGACGGGTTCAAACATCAAGTTGTTGCCGTCGAGCATCCATGCCAGTACGACTACAATTCTTCTCAAATATTGATCAGCTTCAACAATCAACAGGAACAGACAACCATGTGCATGGAGGATGATGCACTATCGCGTTCGCGACAAGAAGTAACTGTTACATAGAGCAGGTCGAAAGTGCCAGTACTTCATACTGTAGATATTGCTACTAGTACTTCATACTGTTCTCGCACTTCATACTCATTGTTCGTGTTATTGTGATTCGAATAAGCGCAGATGCAAATCTAGCAAGGAAACTTTTTTTCCATCGCGAGGAGCATCTTCTCGAAATGCACACAGTAGAGCTACACCTTCACTTGCATGCCTGCTACAATTTGATAAAGACTTTTTCCTGGCCGTTGGATCATCGATGAAAGATGAAGACAGCATCGAGATAATTGCACCAGTTTCATTTCTTGAAAAGGTTGTGTTATACAATCTCCTCTCCAACTCTCAGCTTCCACCATTCTCGATCATCGCATGCACATGGTACTAATGTCATTGCTCGTTACGCTCATGCAGCTCTCGCGATGCGGATGAACCACCTGCTCCTCTCTCATGACTTACGCAGTCCAGTAAAAATAAGTACATAATCATCGCAATCTTACCGACGCAGAATTAACAACCGCGCACGCCTGAGCCTGCAAACTCCTTACCCAGGATCAAAGAAGCACAAGCACTTATGTTCCGTGGTGGTACTTCTGCATGTTGTCACCACCTTACTTAGTGCGTTCAAAAAATTCAAGAATGTCGTTCTCTACTCCTGTTGCGCTTGTAGAAAGAGTTGTAGATATAGATATTAAGTTGTTCTTCCATTTGTTCTAGTTCTGCCGGTGTGCAAGTTTTAGTTCATAAAATAAGATTGGCAGTCAGGTCTTGTTGTCGTTCCTCAGTGTTCATTTGTGATTGTGAAACCAAAAAAAAACTTATGCTAACGAAACGACCGATGTTAATAGTACTGCTTTTTTTCATCATCATGACGCCATGGAAAATTTCGACAAGAATAGCGGCCTCAAGCTTGAGGACGATAGATTATTAAAAATGATACAGATAAGTATGAGTTGGTGGGACGTATTGTTTACTACTTATATGCGTATATTCCCTGGCTTTGGCTTCCTCGTGCCTGAGCATAGCTTCCTAATTATGCGAGACGAACAGGACCTGAGTCTAGTTTTCAAATAAATCTGAATACTCATTCGTGTTGTGCTATTTATCTTGGTTTAAATCGAATACCAGGACATGATAGCGACACGAAATCGAGTCGTGATGTCTATTCTTATGTTCTAACATGTACAACGCTTCGTTCTTCTCCTTCCATCTTTATACTATCTCAAATAGTGGAACTTTGCGAGACCACTTTTTGAGACAGAAACGGAATTATCACCAGGTCGGTGTAACTAGAACTAAGTCTAACATAAACATGAGAATAAATAAAGACTACGATTGCGACCGCTCCTCGTTCTTTTCTCGCACAACAGTGCCTTGTAGTGTTTTGCATCTTCAGCACGCAACAACTGAGTCTCAACTAACAAGGAAGATGATTGTTTTAACCATAATACGCAAACACGAATGCGCATGCGGGTACTTATCCTTGTGGTTGTGTGTCCTTTAAATTATTAAAAGAGCAATCGTACATTCTTGGTAAAGTTGGTGATACATTTGGACACTAATTCTTTTTCTTCCCCGACCCGCGGAGACACACCACTCATCAGCTTCTATATTTCACTTCATTAGATCACTGCATGAGGTAGAGATTGATAACAACAACGGATTTTTGATAACTACAAGATGATTGATTGTTTCGATCCCCTGCAACGATATTATATTCAGTTATGGCAGGACGTCCTCTTCTTGCAAGTGTGTTTGATCTTTGAAAAAAAAATGCACGCTCCTCGATCATCCTTGAGAATGACGAAGTGCCTACAAAACATCATCTTTTTCAAAAGAGTTTTTCAAGAACAAATATCACATAGACTTAGACAATGCATTTTTATCCCTCCAGTATATAATCAAATCGCTTTTAGTTACTTCTTAAGAGTTCATCAATTTCTACAATCTTATGCGGATGTCCGAACAATGCAAATTGGTCAACCACGTCAACCAGAATCGCGAGCGAGATCTTAACCGCGCAGCGACCTATATTTATATAATTTATAACGTGATAAATTCGGCGTATCTGTGATAGAGCATTTGGTATAAGGTGAATGATGGATGGGATGCTTGTATAATGATCCAGTTCCCCTGTTCTGCAAATGATAGAAATAAGAAGATGAAGAAGATGAGCACGATGATCCTAGTACTTTCATGAATATGAAGAGCATCAACAGCATGAACATGATGGAAATCATTGCAATCCCATAGTGACAAAGATCACACCACTGGAGTACCATGCTAATGATGTGGATCCTTATCGTGATACTTATGAACAAGAAGGTCCACACATTTGACAACTTTGCAACCGCATGAGAATCATGCAAAACCTTCACAATTTGCACAACTGAAACAGGCCGGGAATTATATAAAAAACGCATCACCACAAGGGTGAAAATATACAGTCCTAGTGTTCACAAGCAGTGAGTTGTTAGCCTTTTATACGCGCACTAGAATAATTTTTTTTGACTTAGAACCCACCAAATTTTTGACTTTTTTGGTCTAGTATTTTTTTGGTTTTTTAGGTTAGAAAAGTTTGGCGTTTTCGTTCCTGTGCGCAGTGGTAGTCCCGATTCAGTCGGATTTTGGCCCCACGCGTTTCTCCAGGCGGCATCGTTCTTCGATACGTCGAAAACGATCCCGTCGACCCTAGAGCAGACTCAGCATCTGCTTCACAAAAATAAACCAACTTTAGCCCAGTGGCGGGGCAACTAAAACAAAACAGAAAAGGCACCAAGCTCCCGACTTAGTCGGCAGCAGCCATAAACAAAAATCTGTAGCTGTTCGGGTGTGGCTCCTCGACAGTAATTCAGATTAGCTTTGGCTACGGCCTCAGCTAGACAAGAAAAAAAAAGTCTCACGGTACGACCGAAGACAGGGCAAAGCCGTCGCCACGGCCCACCTAAAGACCCTCGGACTGAGTCCGACGGCACCTAAGAAAGAGAAAAACGAGCTTTCGCGAAACGCGACTGCTTCAAAAGTAAAAACCTGCGCTCGCCCAGGCGACCGCAACCCCACAAAAAGACGCGTCCTTCTTCGTTTGGCGGAGAAGTTCGCGCGCCCGAAACCCCGGAAGGGGCGATATCGCGACACACGGCTGCGCGTCCATCTAACACCTTGTCTTTTTTCGGCAGATTTTGTTACTTGACCTTTGACGTGAGTCGGATCCCGTGCAAAATCTCCCCATAAAGAGGCTTGCACAGTGGGAAAGCTAGCGGCAATTTGCCAAGGCGCGATATCTCGGGTGCTTCGGTGGTGATCAGGATCCCACCCCACTGAAAAAAAAAAAATGGCCCCAGCCATGAAAATTTACGCTGCGCGCGTGAAGCGCTTGGAGCAGTATGTCATCAGTGGAATGGCGTTTGTCTACATTGAGCCAGAATACTACAATGCCGAAAGAAAAGGCAGCATCAAGTACAGGCGCGGCGTCATCAACGTCGACGGCTCACCTGACTACGAAGATGCCGAAGTAGACTGCTACCCCTCGGAAGCACACGGCGGCGGCAGATTCGTCTACTGCAAAATCAAGAGGGAAGACTGGCCTGAGGGTGCTAAACCTCTGAAAGAGGGAGACCCACTCTGGGAAGAGCGAGTTCTGAAATCGCAAATTGATGCTTGCCTCCAGGAGATAAATACTCTCAAAGAGGACAACGAAGTCGGTGAAATCTACAGTAGCCTAATCGACAACCATACGGACTTCGCCAAATCGGACGAAGAGGAGGACCCCTCGCAAACGGGTGAGGAAACCCCTCCACCGGCGGAGGAGGATGAAGACAAAACACCGTGGAAAACGGTGGAGTCGCGCCGCAGGATAAAGGTCGAGCAAAACATAGTGCCACTCAAAAAGATTGAGGAGCACGATATGTGGCTCAAGAAGCTCGCAAAGTTTCGCGCGACGTATGAGCGTCATCTCGATTTGGATGATCTCGTCTATCGCGTCGAACAGTCCATCAAGATCGGACAAGAATGCGCCGACCACCTTGCGACGAAAACCTTCGCAACCGTCGAGGAACTGCTGGAAGAACTAGAGCGGTGGATAAATCCCCGTCAACAGCAGAAAATCTGGGATGACTTTTGGCAGCTCATCGAGTTCCAAGCATCCTCAAAAAACGTTGTCAGCGCGGAGCGAGATTTCCGCATCATATATGCCAAAGTCAAGGGCATGACGATGGAGCAGGTTGCAGGAATGTGCTACCTCAAAGGCATCGGGAGTGACATCCCTTCGCAAGAAATGCAGGGAATCCAAAGAGACCTCAGAGGCGACTTCGAGTTGGAGAATGTTGTCAAGGAAACAAAATACTCCTTGCATAACAAAGTCAACTTGGACGGGCGCGCTGCTACACGCACGCCGGGCGCTGAGGAAGTCTTTCAAGTCACGGACCCACCTGCAACATTCAAACAGCACAAAGCTGGCACGTGCTACAACTGTGGCTCTTCGGCGCACACGATGTGGCAATGCACCAAACCAATCTCCGAACAGGCAAAGAAGATACTCTCCAGGCAGGCTCAAAAGAAGACAGAGGTCAGTGGAAAAGGTAAAGGTAAAGGTAAGGGCAAAGGAAAAGGTAAAGGAGGAAAATATGGAGGATCGCAAAACAAGGATCAGCCTAAGGGCATGACTACCAATCCATCCGGGTCAGGCAAGAAGAGGGACGGCATCGCCTCGCGCATCACAGTGCTCGGCGGCGCTGTGCCGCCGTTGTGACTCAACAGCGAATCTCAAAAGAGAAGGATGGAAAACCTTGGGACGGGATTAGTATCGTACTCGGTCCCCGTGCCCAAGGTAAGAAGATCCAGTGGCGGGTGGCGTCCACCTGGATCAGAAAGCCTCCATGGGATGCATGGAGCAAAGGAACGAAGTGTACACTGGATCGATTTCCTTCGTGAGAAGGGAGTTGATCTCGTCAATGCTATTGACAAAGACAGTCTGGCGCCGCGGCAACCTCCGTCGTGTGCGTGCAGGCAAGACTCGCAAAAGGATGGGTGTCCCATCTGCGAGCCAGTCGTCAGCGAGGGCGACCAAAAACAACTTCTCGACACGTCGCAGCATCAGTCCGCGACGGGACAGAAAGAAGGAACTCGGCAGCCCTTGGATCAGGCGTGCATGCGCACGGTTCAAGAATTCGAAAGCATCCTTCTGCACACTGTCAGCGATGAGATCGAAACTGAGTGGATCTTAGACAGTGGAGCCACAATATTTTGTGTCAAAGACTCCAACATGATCCGTGCTCCGACCAAAGACGGCGGGAAAATCCAACAAGCGGATGGATCGCATGTTAATGGCGGCTACATGGCATCACTACGGACACTAACGGCAGACAACGGGCATAAGTTGGCCCTTCGCCGTGCGTACTATAATCCGAAAATGGCGCGAAATATCGCCAGTCTCAGTATGCTCTTGGACGCAGGTTTTACCGTCACAGAAAATTTCGACGGACTGCGAACACCTAGCGGGACGCTGATCCCAATCACAAAGAGGGGAGGACTATACTTCTTCCGCCTCAGCTACAGGCCTGACCTGGACTCGGGAGAGCTCAACGTGACCCAAGAGGTCATCCACAACAGGATGGGGCATTCAACCTACATGCCGTCCTGTGAGGCTTGCCGACTGAATAAGGCTCGCCGGAAACCGTTCAGCAAAGAAACGCGCGAACGACTCCTCCCGACCGAAGCTGGGCACACAATCAGCGTGGACCTCTGCGGGCCGCTACCTGAATCGATAGGCGGCAACCGCTACTGGGCCATCATCGTGGATAGATATGACTCGTGGGTAGAAGTCTTCCCAATTGCGCGCAAAAGCGACGCATACACCGGACTCCAGAAATGGATGGACATGTTTGGAGTGCCGAAAGTCTGCCGCTCGGACAACGGAAAAGAATTCGACGGCGACTTCCTCAAACTGTTGAGAAAGCACGGCATCAGGCCGCGCAAGACATCACCGTACTCACCGGCGCAAAATGGTAGCGCGGAAGTTCATAATCGTCTCGTCATGCAGGGGATGAAGTGTCTCCTAGATACAGCGCGACTCCCAGACACCTATTGGGGTTTCGCGGCACAGGCATTCTGCTATGCATTAAACAGGTCGCCACGCGCGATACTCGGGAGCGTGAGCTCCTACGAAAAGCGTAACGGGGTTAAGCCCGGCGCGCAGCATATGCGGACCTTCGGGACGCCTTGCCGATACAAAAACTTCGTGAAAACGAAGATGGAGCGCGCGTATCTTCCGGGTATTTTTGTAGGATACTCGCACCTATCGCCAGACTATTTAGTCTGGGACGAGCAGAAGAAAAAGGTCACCAGGACCAGGGAAGTAGACTTTGGCGCGGAGCCAACATACAGGGGGGATTCATCCCGCCCGTCCATCGCTCCCGAAGCGAAACCGGACAAAAGTGGAGACAGTGGACAACCAGAAAAGGCTGACGCCGCACAGTCGGGGTCCGTAGTCCGTCTCACGCGTGATATGTTGGAGAAGCTCCAAGTCCCAAAGAATCTGAGTCGGTATCAACTCTTCAGCTGTGGAGACAAAATCCCCGCCAAGCTCAAGCGCCTCGGCGCGGCTGTTCTCCGAGTCAATAAATATTTTCCAGCTGATCCAGCTAGGTACATTCCAAACAGCACAGGCCTCTGCGCTGAAGTGTCTGACGGTATCAAGACACATGAGAACTACTCGCAATTCCTCAGCGATGCGACCAAACTTCTCAAAAAGAGCGGAAAGCTCGTGCTCCAGTGCTCGAAAGGTCGCCATAGATCAGTGGCACTCGCGGAAGCGCTCCGTGAGGAAATGGGCTTAGAGAGTCGGCCTGTACACCTTAACCTGCAGCGAGAACTGGAGAGACGCAGTAAGCACAAGGAAGAAGAGACCTTGCTTCCCAGTGGACACACTGCGGCAGTCACATTCATCGAGGACCTGTCCCCTCAGAGTGTCGACTTCATAGCCAACATCATCGAGAATCAATCAGAAATCGAGATTGGCGACACTACGGACGCTCTGACCCACGATGAGTATGTCCTCCTGCTAAGGACCTTGACGCGAAAACAGGCACTCGCAGAGGATCCAGGAGGCTGGGCCGCCGCGCTGGCGTCAGAGCTAAACTCGATCAAGGGACGAGACGTATTCGATGAAATATCGGTCAACGACCTGCCTCCAGGAGCGAAGGCTGTGCCGATACGAGTACTATATAATGTCAAAGAGTGTGGGCGACTCAAATGTCGCGCCGTCGTGCTCGGAAACCGAGTAGAATACCAAGAGAGCATCTACTCGCCCGTCCCTCGGATCCCAAGTATTCGGCTCATGTTCAAGATAGCCATGGCGCTAGACTTTGATCTCGAGCAATATGATGTCAAGACAGCTTTCCTATATGCAGACATAGTCGGCGAGGACGTCTACTGCATACCACCCCCCGAATGGCGCAAAGGAAAGGAGAATGTCCGATGGAAACTCAAGAAAGCCCTGTATGGATTGAAAAGTGCTCCAGCTCTCTGGGCTAAGACGTTCGCAAGACACGCCACCAGCTCCGGTTGGAAACAGAGCTTAAACGAACCGTCCATGTTTTTTCACGGCGAGCGCCGTGTGTGCATGCTCGCATACGTGGATGACATAGTCTTTCTAGGTCGGAAAGAGGACATAGCCGCGGTTCGAGGCTCGATCCTCGACAGGTTCGAACACAATACGTGTGAACCGCAAAAGCTCGAGGACGGCGGACTACTGTATAAGTTTCTAGGCATCAACGTTCTCAAGAAGAGACGCAGACTGGCCTTGAGTCAAGAAAATCTGGTCGATAAGATTCTGCAGGACTTTGACCCAGATAAAACTCTGAAAGAGTGCGATACTCCCATAACACGGGCGGAGATAGATCGTTTCGAAAAAGAGCTTTCTGAGAAATCTCGCCCGAAAATCGCTACACGCGTACAAAAATCGACCTACCGGAAGTTTGTCGGTGCGGTCATGTACCTATGTACATCAACACGGTATGACATTGCGTATGTCGTTCAATACCTATCCACATGTCTAGAGGAGCCCACGCCAGTGGCCCTGCGAGTGTGTGATCGATTATTAGGATATCTTCGCAAGACGCGGAGCTTCGCCCTAGACATTGATGGTCGCGACGGTGACTTAACTCCAAAAGCTTGGTCAGATGCTGACTGGGGAACATGTAAAAAGACCCGTAGATCGGTCAGTGGAGGTCTCGTCGAATTAGGCCAAACCAAGTGCACGCCTATCGCGTGGCGAAGTAAAAAGCAGCCTGTCGTAGCACTGTCAACGACAGAAGCGGAGCTTATAGCCGCGACTGAAATCGCGCGGGAGGCAGTTTACCTCCGGAGACTACTTCAGGAATCTCTTGAAAATCTAGGCAATAGCCGACAATCAAAATCGACGGATCCGCATGGCCGTTTGAAAAAGTCTCTAGCTCCAATTCCTTTAATGATCGATAACCGAAGCGCGAAAGCGGTCGGCGAATCGCCAGAAGTTCGTCGGGTCAAGCATATGGGTCTTGAATTACTCTGGATCCGCCAAGTTGTCGGAGAAGGGAAATTAGATCTACACTTCTGTCCCACTGACGAGCAAAAGGCAGACATCTTCACAAAAGCACTTAATAAGCCGACACTTGTGAGTCTATGCCATAAAATCGCAGGAACAAAACCCAAAAAGTAAACTTAATTTTTTTTCTACTCATCGAGGTTCGTTGTCGGATCTCATGTGTATTGATGCTTGCATCTGTTAAGTTCGTTAAACGTTATCGGATTTTCATGCATATTCTTGTTTACTGTTTCGAAATTTGTTTTTCGTCTATTTCTAGCTGGGTTCTAGTCATAAATATTTAGTGCGCGTATAGTATTTCTTCAATAGTTTACCGTTGTATTTTGTAATTATCTAACAATATAGATTACAACTACCCAAAACAAAAACAAAATGTCGGGCTTCGCGAGAGTAATCGTTCCGAAGGAGCCTCAACGACTACAAGGGACGGAAGCTTGGCGTCAATCTTTGATGTCAGCAATCCGAGGTAACGAGGTGTCACTTGCTACAAGACCCCCTTCGCCTGCTGTTCCAGCTGATCTCGGAATAAAGAGTCACATCTTCTACGAGATCACTGAGCGACACGTCGCAACTTTGAAAGGATGTAGGTCGGACGGCGACTACGCAAAAGCATTCCAACTATGCTTATCGTGCATGCTTGTCCAAGAGGAGAATGTTTGGAAGGAGTGGATAATCAATCACGGCCCGAACGTGAATTCTCACTACAGTCGACAGTGCTCGGATATGGGTCTTGCTCTGCAGACTGAGTATTGGGACCTGGCAAGGAAAATGAGGAAAGAAGGAAGCGCATTCTTCCACAATTGCATTCTCCGTTTAATTTACGCTCGGGAGACGGTGAGTAACCTGGATGCCGTTGGATCCATGGGAGTTATGGAGAATACAATCAACCTCGTTCAAGCCTGTCCAACGTCGACACGGGTGCCCCACAAAATGGCACCTGGGAAGCTGACTCCTTCTTCTTCTAGCAGTTCCAGTAGTAGTAGTAGTTCGGCGACGAAGAACGGCAGCAGCTACCACAAAGGAAAGGGGAAGCAAGCGGTGCAGCAGCCGCACAAAGGAGACAAAAGAAAAGGCAAAAAGGGGAAAGGTAAACAAGAAGACGGTGGAGCAAAAGGGCCGCCGCTGAAGAAAGCCAGAAAAAAGGGAGAAGCAGCACCAGCAGAAGCAGCCGCTGCCCCTGAGGAAAACGGAGAAGAACAAAACAACACTGAGAATGTTGTTGAAGAAGACTTCGGAGAAGAGCTCTAAGGCTTATACTCGGCTACGTAGAAATAGCCTATGTTTCTAATATTGTGCAACAAAAATTATTCATCTTCAATCATAACATGCATCACGTTTTTTCCGTATTGTATTCATTCGCTGGAATACAGTCGAACTTGCAACCACTATTATTATTGTAATCTACACGTCATTCATTAGATGGAGTATAGATTAAGGGGGGATATGATCCAGTTCCCCTGTTCTGCAAATGATAGAAATAAGAAGATGAAGAAGATGAGCACGATGATCCTAGTACTTTCATGAATATGAAGATCATCAACAGCATGAACATGATGGAAATCATTGCAATCCCATAGTGACAAAGATCACACCACTGGAGTACCATGCTAATGATGTGGATCCTTATCGTGATACTTATGAGCAAGAAGGTCCACACATTTGACAACTTTGCAACCGCATGAGAATCATGCAAAACCTTCACAATTTGCACAACTGAAACAGGCCGGGAATTATATAAAAAACGCATCACCACAAGGGTGAAAATATACAGTCCTAGTGTTCACAAACATATAATGAGTCAACTAGGACATTTGACAAGAACGATTGCGTTCTGAACCAACCTTGCCCTAGATATTCTTGAAAAGCTCTCACTTTAAAACGTTGTAAACGATAATATTATGAATGCAAAATGAATGTGCTAGCTTCCAAATGATACAAGTTACGTTTATGTATAATGCCCTGCGGGAATTCGTCGGCCAGTGATTTGCGACCCCAACGTGACGGCAAAACGGAACGTTGCGCAAGCGCAGGTCGTTGCACCGACCAACGGCTAGCGCTAGGGCTAGTGACAAAAGTCCATCTGCTTCATAATCCGGCTAGTGACAAATCATCATGATCCGAATTCCGAATATTTTTTTACGGCAGAGGAGGACCCCTACTGGCCTCAACAGGGACTTCGCCGTCCGGGGTTGGCTCGCTGCCTGGCTGGTTTAAAAATGTGGTCTCTGCTTCTCGATCTTTCTAGAAGATGCAGATGACGAGTCTCGCCTGCTACTCTTATTCCGGCGGTCTTGTACTCGTTGTAGTTGTTTTTGACACCTCTTCTTAACAACAAACTTCCTCCTTCTTCTTTCAACAACGAACTTGTTCCTTCTTTTTCCTTCTCCTGTAACTGTATCCATAATTCTACTTATGTGTGTCGTCCTCTTGGCTCTCGCATGAGATTCCGAGGACCTCTCGGTAACGCTCCTGAAATTCCTCTTGGTCCAACTCACTGGGTGCTGGAGTGGGACCAAACCACGCCAAATCGAGATCAGCCTCTCCTTCATCACTTCCTACGGCAAGGTCAACAGTCCTACGCTCTTTGTGTTCCTCGAGAACGAGGCCATCTTGTTCGCCTTCAGATCGTTCTTCTGATTGCAGCATTTTCGTCTCTGGCTCTTCGCTGACGCTGTGCTGGTCGAGGTCGTCTTCATCTGATTGCACCTTTTCTTCGTGTTGGTCATCATCGTCAGTCAGCATGGCCTTACTATCGTCGCTCACCGTCAGTCGGGCAAAAGCAACCTCCATCTTCTTAGCCGCATTCAGATAGTCGCGCACGCGCAGCTCCGCGTCATCAGGATCAGCGTTAGTATCTATTTCCGCCTTTGATGAAGAAGGAGACAAGGTCTCCACACCATCAGTAGCATCGGGTCCTTCACCGTAAGGAACCGGGGACGGCGCCCTTGTCGACGCTGCCATGGTGGAGGCGGGAGTGGCAGACCCGGACAGCGATCCTGGAGATTTGATTGTATCACTTTTTTTACCACTTTTTACTTGAGGGTCTACTGCGGCAGGAGCGGTGCCTGCTCTGCTGGGATCATCAACTTCGTCGTCCCGGAAGCAATCGTGACCAGGTATGGCTCCTCCTGGCTTGCGTTGAACGCGAACACATGGTTCAAGAAGAATATCTTCTTGCTTTTCGGTCGACTGTGTCTGTGCTTCTCTTCTTTCGTCTTGCTGGACTGTTGCACTTGAAGGTATTTGTATTTGTTTCGGAGGTGGAGTCGTGGTGCTGCACAAAACCGGTTCTGGAGCGGCTGTCGTCGAGCCAGTCTTACTACTTGATGCAGTTGCAGATAGTGATAGTGCTGTTGTTTTCCTTTTAGTACGGTTGTTCTTCTTTTTTGTAGTCTCTTCCGCTCCTACATCACACCTTGTAGAAGCCTGCTCTGCGGTTCTTAAGACTTTCCTTGTGCACTCAGAATCAGATGGATCGTGCCCAGGAACGGTTGGTAAGTCTTCTGCTTCTCCTTCTATTGCTGTTGCTCCTCCCGCCCCAGGACAAGAACTACCGCCACCAGTTACTGGTGATAGCGTTAACGGCAAGAAGGGTTTACTAGTTGTATGAGTGGATGATGGTGTTGACACATGAATTTCTTCCACTTTCTTGGACAGTCGTCGTTCCGCTGCAGGATCCGTGGTCACTGTAGTATAGTCAGTAGTATCCAGGAAGAGAGGAGTCGTGCACTCATTCCCCGATTGATCTGCTGACTCACCATCAACGTCACCTTCGACGCCACTTTCAGCACCTGCTTCTAATTCGCGTAAGCTGCTATCACTTTCGTGGTCTTGTTCATCTTGTGGACTACTTGCTAAAAGTTCATCTGGTGCACTAGCTACCACTTGTTGGCCACCTGAAGATGATGAGCTTGTTGCTTCCCCTTCAGATCCTGACTGAGGTCGGCCAACATCCATGCCACTGGCACTGGCGGCTTCGCCATCTTCTCTAGAAGGTACCTCACGATCCACAGATTTCGATGGCGCTGAAGATGCGGTCGATGACGATGTTAATGTTACTGCTGCTGCTCTCTTTTCTGAAGTACTAGAGGACTTAGTAGCCCTCCTCTCACACCTCCTGGCGAGCAATCTTTCCGGTGCAAATGAGACCCCTGGCACAACAGGGACCCCACTTTCTTTGTCCAGGAGTTCACGGCGAGTAGCGATGATCACAATTTCCTTTGCTGCCAAGTCCGCTGTGGGCCATTGCTCTACTAGCATCTTTTTCTCCAAGTGCCAGGAGGGGTCGTCGTTCTCCACTACATCTAAGAAGAAGTCGAGGCTTCCCCATGCCAAACCTCGCAAGTGCGACGCCCTGGTGGACGAGAAGATAATGAAAAGTAAGTACTTCAATGCATCATCCATGTTTATTTGCAATACGGGTCTAAGCTACAGCCTGAAATTTCCATAAACCAAATAGAAGATTCGCTTGTCAAATGACACGAGATACTGGTAATCATTTGCATTACGCAAGATGAAAGAATAAGAAGTAGACGTAGCGAAAGAAAATCAAAATCTAAAGTAAAAGTTTTAGTTTTTCAGTAATACCAGAAATCGGAGTCGAATCGTAGAGCGAGGAACCTTTTGTTGCGCAACAAGCGACGTTTCTCCGGGTCCTCAATGGGGTTGAGAAGAGGCGCCTCCGTCACTTCATGCGCGTGAGAGAGGAGGAAAGGCGTCGACCTGCGTCTGTGGGCTTGACATGTTAAAGCTAGTCGATCATTATCCGTCACGGACACGGAATGGTACTCCTGAGTTGAGTTTCCCTGAGTAGTAGAGTTTCCCTGCAGGCGCATGGTTTCCCCTTCCAATTTAAAGGGAAAGCCAATAGTTGCCTACAATTAAGTACTCAGGATACATATGGATACCTCCTCACACACGCGAGAACGAGATAATGATCGACTGCCCTTAAACATGATAGCATGTTGAGGAGTACGGTGAGAGGTCCTCGAAGCTTTTCCATCCCCTTTTGGACTACACTAGAGTGCATGATCTTCCTTTTTAGATCGTTGAGCAGCTCCTCTGGACTTTTCGGCCGTGTTGATTGTGCTCGTTCTCCTGCTTCCTCTGCATGTTGTTCTCCATCTTTGTTTCTGCTTCTTGTTTGACGTTGTTGAGTTAATGAGGTACAAGATGACGTTCCTTCATCTGGCATTGGCGATTCTTTTGACGCGCAGCAAATTTTTGTACGCAACAAAGCTGACCTACTAGAAGTTAAGCTTCTTTTCTCAACATTGTCTTCTTCATCTTCCTGGGCATGATGGGCTCTGCTACTTGGGGACCCAGATGACGCTGTTAATTCCCACATAGCTATGTCTACTGTTTCCTCTTGTTCGGCATCGGAAGGATTGCTTCTATCCTCCTGCTCCTGCATCGACGACGATGAGAATGCACCACCAGCAGAACCAGAAGGCTGTTCGGCGCGGCCGCCGGATACCACGTCAACATTATCAGAAAAAAAATCCGGTCCGAATATCCATTTTTCCCGCGTACTCTGGCAGGCGCCTTTAAGAAAATTCTCTCGCTTCTTAACGGCTCTTTCCCGCATACCTGCAGCTGCCTTTACGCTCGGATCCTTTTCTGCTTTCATATTTAGAGATGATGAGCCATTACTTTGCGAAAAAGCCTCAGCTAAGAAGAAATCACAAAAAAATGTCAGAAGGTGACTTTTTAGATTTACTTTTCCCGTGCTGTCAATGATTGACTGTTTTAGATCCTTACTCTTTTATTTCTAAATAGATACATAGATAGGTATCCACCAACAACAGCAACAACAGTAATAACCTGATCATAAATCGAAAAATTTTTTGAGGGTTTCTAAACTAGGTCTTGCGTTCTCATCCAAGATGTCGTCCTTCTTTTTTATCAAGTCCTCGTTGTCACAGCTCGCGATATCGTCCACGATAGCATACAAGCGAGCAAGATCCGGAGACGTAACCCCCTCTTCATACTCCAGGCTCCACTGAATCGCGGCATACACCTCGCGCATGTAGTCAAGCAATGCATCAAAAGTCAACAGGTAGAAGTTCTGCGGAGTCGACGAGTGGAAGTCCTCAACTTTGATGGTGGTGCGGCCAAGAGCTCCTGCTTGTGCGTGGTCCTCAACGTCGGCGAGGGCACTTCCTGCTATCTTCTCTGCCGGATCCCCAAGAACGTCCTCGGAGGTGTGGACGCGAACTCCTGCTTGTGCCTGATCCTCAAGAACGCTGGTGTGGACGCCGACACTTCCTGCTTCTGCAACTCCTGCTTTTGCCTGCTGGTCACCAAGTGCATCTGGATTCTCCAAGTCTAAAACTTCATCGCTTTCCATCAGCACGAGAGGGATCCCGTGCTTGACCATGCCTTCAAAAGTGTCCTTCAACTTTCCGAAAAGCTTTGCAAGAGCTTCTCTATGTTGTTCTCGCTCGTCACGCGTTTGCCACATCGTCTCATCCTTGATCAAGAGCAAAGCAAACATTAGAGGAGGATGCGACAAAGACGCACACGGAGACGGGCGACGCTTCATAATTTGCCTGGTACTACGTACAGCTGAATAAAAATACAAAATATGGCCTCGTACTCGATAGTCGAGTCCGTTCTACTCGATGGTAAAAAAGGTGGCGAGAAGGACTTAAGTAGCTTATTCTACCTCCTTAGGTTGTATATATGGCCCTGGCCCCCTTTTTAGGGCGTCTGCCGGGGGTGGAAGGCCTCAAAAGGAGGCCCAGGGACCTCCCCCCTCCGCTCCCTTCCAGCTGCCTGGCTGTTCCCCAGGGGCCTCCGATGGTGGTGGGAGGCTTGAAAAGAGGCCGAAGGGACCGCCTGCGCTCCCGTCCAGGTGCCTGCCTGTGCCCTAAATGCATCCGCTAGGCTTCGCCGCCGCAGCAGTGCGCCGGCAGCGGAAGGGCTCCGAAGGCGGCAAAAGGCGAGGGGCTGGACCCCCTGAGCCGTGCCGCCTGGACCCTCCGGGCCCTTGGCCATCGGATTGCTTGCTCTTGCGACCGTGGCCGCCTTTTACCCCGGAGACCTCCCGCCTGCGAGGGTCTACAGAGGCCAGGGCGGGGGTCCCTTGGGAACACGCTGAGAGGCCCAAGGGGAGGCCCGCGCCAAGTTTTCCTTCCACCATTAGAATCCGCGAAAAATCCGCGCGGAAAAGCGCGCGCGCCACCACAGACCAGACCACAGGGGGGGGCGGAGGGGGGGGGACCGTCCGGCCCTGAATTATATATATTCTTTCTATAATTGAGTAAAGGCGCATCTACATCTATAAGTGCCTCTCTTTAGTCGATTGCGGTCAGTATCTCCTCAACCCGATTCACCACCTGCCGACTACTACGCGATCTTGAGATTGCTCAATACTAACCAAGTGCTAGCTACTCCTCTATGGCAATCCTTGCAGCTCATCTTATTTCACTTATTCGATAAACTTAGTTGGCTCTTGCTATTTTTAGATGTATATCTTTCTATTGGTGCGCGTGCGACGTAGAAGATCTTTCTATTGGATGGTGGTAGTATGCTTGCTTCTGCAAGCATGCTAATAAGCTTTGAAGCGGAGAGAACAGTGCTTGAAATGACTGAAGTCTCCACCCCGAGAGATAAAGTCGTGAAGTCGAAATCGGAGCCATAGATACTTTTTTTGCCAGAGAGCTTTGCAGAGAACTTTGCCTGCCTCGCCCGTTTCGTGTTTCGGTTCGTAACTGTGCGGCAGACCTGCGCAAACAACAACAAGAACAAGTAGATGAAGGCGTTACCAATAGAAGGGTCCGTGTGTTGAATTTGAATTAATACAACATTGACTGTGTTAGATGAAGCCGCTGATATCCGCTCCGTATTGATCAGAAGGTGCATCAAAATCAACATAGCAAAAATTTATGGTTTTGGAAAGAACTACTCTATTAGTCCACAAACGCTGCTGCAATCGGCGAGGAGACATCTATCTTTTCTCAAAATATCTAAGTAGATTAAACCAACAATGCAAATCCAAATTTCTTAGGAAACACGATGAATACCTTTGTATAGGGTGCTCGGGTCAAGCTTCACGCTCATTCCTTCCATCTTCCTTTTTGAGGGGCCTTTCAGCAACGCAGATTTGAGGCCTCCTCCTGTAGGCGAACTATACGCAGCAGATGCAGATATAGCGCCAGGAGCTTCATCGAAAGTAGATACCGTTGTCACATTGGTTGCGTTGGTACTCGAAGAATCAGAAGTACTTCCATCGCCTTCCTCCGGGTCCGCCTCCAGGTCGAGCCCAGTCTTGTTCTTGATGTTGCGCTTGTTGTTTCCTTTATTTTTTTGCTTTCCGCGTTTCCCACCTTGCAATTTTAGTGCTGCTACAACATTCACAGCAACGGACAGAAGTGCTGTCCACGTCCGGAGACTTGGAAATCTACTGCTCCGACTTCCCACCATCTGTTTTTGTTCGATTAACGGCCAAGCGATATTCTCCTTCCATGCATATTTGACATTTATAACAATAACATAGATTATACACTCATATGGATATGAGTCGATATCTTTCTTTGTTATAGATTTGGATCCAAGTAGTTTTTCCTTCGGCTTCGCACAATAATCTTTACAAAGTAAGTAATGTGATCCAAAATGATATCTTGTAGGTAGCTAGTTGTAGCTAGTTGTACAAATTAGTTAATCAGTTTAAAGCTTGCAATCAAGTTCTTTAATAAATTAACGACCATCTTGATATTCGCATACAACTCATAGAGCTTCTAGAGAAAAGCATCAGTATTAGTCATTACGCCCAACTAAAATCATCTTGCACCATATGCATATCCTTCCTTCGTCTCTGTCGACTATTTCGGGCACAACGGTTTTGGTTGAGCAAGACTGTACTATTGATTCGATGTGAAGATCCACTACTGAAAAAACTTGGATTTGGTGGTCTCACTCTCATCACATGCGTGGTCATCGTACTAGTGGCAGTGACTGGACAATTAAAAATATGGACCTTATTTAACATTAAAGATTCTGGTGGTAAAAGTATTTTCATGTACGAAAAAATTCAGCCATGTGTACGTTGATTTGTAGTGGAAGACCGATCAAGAAGATCTCGTTTATCTGGAAGCATTTGGAATGACGGCGGTGCACATGGCATCCCTGACGCGATCGAGGCCATTGAGCTTGAACTTGAAAAGTGGATCAGCGATACCAGATTGATACAATGCAATACAATTCATTTAATTTTTTTTTTTTTTTGTAGTGCGAGCGAGTTCCGATAAGTCAGAACCTACCTGCGTATTTTGCAAGCGAGTGCCGATAAATCAAAACCTACCTGCGTATTTTCCGCGTGGATACCGGCGTAGGGGGGAGTTCTTAATCTCCTTAACAACTACGCTAATGCCCCTACGATTTTAAAATGCTGAACCCTAGGAGTAAAGGCAGGAGAAATTACACACCTAGTACCTGCCACCGCGAACGATGTCCGTCTCCCCATCACGCGCGTATTGGGAATGCTAAGTGTGTGGGCCGCGGAACGATGTCCGCTGAATCAAATTAAATAAGTAGACAAGGGCCCTAGGTGGATCTGCGCGGCAACTGATTGGTGGAGGAAACTAGAAGATTTTTTGGACTAAGTAAGAACATGCATGTTGATTAGAATGGTGAAGGAACTCTACGTGCTAAGGGGCTTAAAATTTTTCTTCGTCGTCATGCTTTGTTTTTCTTCTTGTGGCCGGCTCCACCCGCTATGCAGCCGATGAGAGAAAAAAAAACAAAAAGCAAAAAATTGGAGGGCTGACTCCGACCAAAGGGGCTACCTTATGCCTGATAGCCACAACTCTGCTAAGAGCGGGCGGGAGAAAAAAAATCGGTAAGGGAGAGCGATAGGACGCTCTCCCCCTTTTAAGCAAGCTGCTTGACTATGCTGAAGCTACTGACCATCTGGCCAAAAATTTTAAACATTCCACTTGCACCCTCAAAGGGTCCTACCTCATGATTGCATTTGCTTAAAAATCGGAAATCAACTCCAGGCGATGTCTTCGCACTCAGTTATATATTCGCTCATACGAGTAACCCATTCACTATACGGCAAAACACATTCAGCGCAGACTGCCGCACGGTGTCATAGTGTTTCGCCACGATGATTACTCGCACAAGTTTTGACTCAACTAACAGCGACACGGAACTCAGAAAGGAAGTGACAGCAAACTTATTCAAGCAATACAATTAAGCAACAGCTGCATCGGCCTACTTAGCACAAGCATGATTGAGATTTATAGCGAGCCATGTGGACAGAAGCGAAAGGTTAAAACAAAGACTCGATGAAGGTGATCAAAATCTCTCAGCAAGGAACCGAAAGAACTAAATGAGTGTCCTCCTTCGTCGAGATGACATACGCATTTGGATTGGTGAATGAGTTGTTGTTGTTGCTGTTCCGAGTCAAAGATGCGTCTCGCCGATTTCCAAAACAGTGACACTGTGTGAACATTTAAGATGAACATTGATTTGATGGAGATCCCCCGTCCTGGACGATTCCTTATGCATTCCACCAACCCGTTTCCGTTCGCAGGTCAGCTGGACAATCCGGTTGATTGAAGGGGTGGGCAGACCGGACCGCTTCTAACTTTGCTACATTAGTGCTGTGGAAATCGCAATCGATAAAGGGCTTCGTTTTATATTATAATAGATACTTATTAGCATGATCATTATATTTATATTATGATACATAGATGGTCTCAGGGTAGAAGTAGAACAACTGGATGATGTTAAGCCAAAGCTACCGTTTTTCCGTAACTAAGGCCTCCAGCTTCGTGGCAACTCGTGGGAATTTCGATAGGTCGACACCGAAGCGGTCGGCGTTTGGCCACTGCGCCACCAAGCATATATCTGCGACTGTAGGCTCTTCCTCGCTAACACAAAAACGCCGCTATGCATTAGTACTAAAAGCGGCACATTACTGATCCTATTGTGAATGTGATGTACAAGAACAGGGGAAATTCAGTATTTTGGATAGTACAAAGCACTGTTTCGCAGTTACTGATTACTCATTCCCTTCCCGAAAGCCATTTTAGGGTTGAAATCTAAAATTTAAGTAACTATAACCTCCCATATTCAATGCGTAACTATCTCTGCACTTTCGAGCGTGTTTTCGACTGCGCGAAACCCTCGCTCTATTACCTGCCTTCCCCAAGCTTGTTCGTCTTGACCCCATGCCTTGACCTGCTTCAAAATACGTAAATTTTGCACAGGTTGCGTGTCACACCTTTGTTTTGGAGGTCCACATTCTCAGTTTCTTCGCCAACTACAGCAAAGGAACCAAAGGGAAGAAGATTATAGAAAGTCCAGTCGTAGTACGACCGTAGAAGAAGAACCAACTCGCTGCAATTATACCAAGAATAGATCTCGCTGTCGCATGTGACTACATCTACATGAAAGCCGACTTCCTACTGGTGTAAAGACCACTGCGAAAACGAAATCCAGTACCCGATAATGTGAGCAATCTCGCGTGCCCGCTGCCGTTCAAGACTGCGTAGGGGTGGAAGGAGTGAGGAGAGCCGCGCTTCTTGCAGGTAGTCTAGTATTGCTAGACTCTGCGAAAGTCGATGCCCGTCAATCTCAAGCTAGCTTAGAAGAAATTGTAATATTGACTTACACGACAATCAATTACACTTTTGTATCATTTTTCCTAGACGCTACGAGGGGATGTCGCGCTTGTATCTTAAATTGATTGATTTGATTGGTGTGTCTAGTCTGGAGATAAAGGGGCTATGTGCATGGGGGAGGTGGGTTAAAGTTAGTGCCAGAAGTAACAGAAGATGTCGCGTTTCTATCTTCTAAGGCACGCATTACATCGTTCGTCTGTTGATCAAAACATGTTCATCTTAAGGAAGGAACCAGCCCACTCGGATTCATGTGCTTCACATATTTTGCATCATGTTGGTCCTGGGTCAACAAATTTACGCCACAATGCTCGTACTCAATGCCACACAGCTTCAATTATAAAGGTAGTAGGCAATCATCACCGTCTCTGGTCGAGTGATCAATCCCCTTGGTTTCTTCCTGAACTCAAAGGGAAGTCGCTCATAATACTACCTGTTGATAGGTCAGTCCAGCAGCGGATAATGATTGTGATTGACTAGTAAGTGGTCTTAATTTAAAGCGATTCGGACGCGGTAACTGCAACTGGAACGGAAATAGCCATGTAGACGCACTGCTCCGCTAGCAGAGCAGGACGACGACATGTCGTTTTCAAATCTCAAGCAATACAACAAGATCTTGGAGGATCTTACAACTCCTCTGACGTTTAATATCAACTTGTTGGATCTTGGTCTTGGACTTGGATCTTGAATTTGAATTTACTTATCTTACTACTGTTTCTTACTATTCCAGCGTTTATCAACTCGGTCACAGAAGTGTCATCTTCACGATGAAAGGAGCGCACCTGCTCATCGGCTGTCGTCTTGGTTGAGCATGTGGAAAATGGTTCAGGAATTTTCCTCAGCTTGCTTGTTCCTGTCCACTAGGAGGATGATTGAAAGATTCGCATACATTGACGTTTATCGCAAAAAAAGTTCCCATCGGGCTCGCTGTCCCTGGCACGAGATACAATGGAGAAATAATCGCAATGATAGATAAAGGTGGCTGGTGTCTCATTGGAGTTCAACAAATCCGCGAGCTGCGTGATGGTGATAGGTTCGCTGTAGAGCGACTGCGGATAGATATTTTCTTTTTCATGCAGGTACAAGTTCACATTGCATTTGCAGGAAGGAAATTCTTCAACTACATGGCCCCGCGGATATTTTTGGGACAGGACAGAAATCCTTGCCAAGCCGCATCTGCATCATGTCGTGAAAGCAAAGGCGGTCTCGTATTTTCCGCCTAACTTCATGGAAACCATTCAGCTTGTTCTCCCCGTTGAGCACTTTGTCTGGCACACTACTGAAAAACTGGAAGAAGACGATCACCGACAGCAGGTGGAGCAGGCTCATCTTAAAAAAGCTGCGGCAGCTTCGCTTGCTCGGTGATGCGAATATGAAGACTGGTGGAGGTAGGAGATCTGACTACTAGGAGATGGATTGATAGATTTCCTGACTCCAATGACGGACATACGGATAGATAAGTACACAGAAGAAGTATCAATTTTTTGACACATCAGTGCTTGGATGGAGGGAAAACTTTAACATGTTGCGGTGACATATTCTCAACCGGGTACTCTTCATAAATTTGAACGCTTGAAAGGATCGCCACCAGAATATGGTAGATCCGGTGGTCGACAGAATAAACATCCACGGCACAACGCTCGCCGCGTAGCCAACCAAAGGGTACGCAAAAATTGCCCACAACCATGGTTCGCAGATCTTTGCCGTCTCCTCGTTTGTTTAGAGCTCACAAGGAGAAAAAGAGATCTGCTCCATGGCTCGTCTCTGTCTAGCAACAGACAAATCAGACTGCGCTCGAGGAAAAACAAAGATTTTGCTGTGCCCGCCTCTGACGGTGTCTCACACTGTGACAGGTCAAACATCCTGCATCTCAAGTACTTAGTTAATTCAAACGTCTAGTGTGGCCTTAACCTGTGGGGTCGTCAAGGCAGAACATTTTGAAATTTGCGTTCTTGTAGTCCTCCGCATAGAGCCACGCTAAGGAGTAGAAGTGGGGCATCTGCCACAAGGCCTGAAAGCCGAAGAAGAACAGGCAATGTGGAAGCCACGGGGAGTCCATGACAGAAGCGAGAATCCCTGAAGACTCAGAAAGTGTACTTGATATCAGCGTAGAAGAATCAACAATACTCGAGGCATGATCGGGTACTGACGAGGTAGTAGATGATGATGCTGTTGAGAGACCATCAAAATCTAGATGTAGATGCTGCTCTGCTCCTGCAGTCACCAGGAGCTCTTGATCACTAGTACGACCATCGACATTACGTAATATGTTTTGGTGAGCAGACAAAGTTCCTTGATCTGCTCCCTGAAAATGATGTAGTTCTGTTGAAGCTACTAGCAATTGTTCCGTGGACGTCGAAGCACTGGAGTGTTGTAGAATGCCAGAAGATGGAGGTAGCGCAGCGGCAAAGCCGATGCACGTTGGGAGAGCCCCTGCAATAGCCCCCACATGGGTGTTGTAGCACGATAGGCGCTTCATAGGCGTATACCAGAACACATAGCTGCCAAATGTTGCGACCGCCACTGCTGCTGCCATCGGCGTATGGTGTATAGCAAGTAATGTCGTACCGAGAGTTAGCGTAGAGGCGGTTAGAATCTTCGCTTCCGTCTCCGATACTGCGCCTCGAACCAAAGGCCTGTTTTGCGTCCTCTTCATCTCCCGGTCGTACTCTACTTCGATCAACTGGTTTGCCTGTGAACGAAATTAAAAAGCCAACAATGAATCCCCTGAGGAAGAAACAGAAAGAGTTACGAAATGCAATTCTACGGATCAATCTCAAGATCATGCACTCTCTAATAGAGACATAGCTCAACATACCACTTGTGAAGCCGTCGAGCAAAGCCCAGTGCCGATGAATAGCGTCGCCACGTTAAATGCTCCGATTGTGGGAGCTGCGATAAAATACCCTGGCAAGGCGGACAGGCAGACCCATATGGTGAGCCGCCCTTTCGACAGCTCCCAAAGAAGACGCCCATAGTTGCGTGACGAAGCATTTTTTGCACCTTGCAGTGCTGTAGCTACACTGTCTAGATCTACTACGGGCGTCGCCGTCGACACCACTTCTGCCACAGTAATAGTACCAGCGGCTGATGCTAACGCACTTGGCGCTACCGCAACCGACGCAGACGAGATATGGTCTGATCCACTAAGACTTGCCGCTGTGGAGGAAAAAGAAGAAGCGCCATCAGTAGGACTCAGCTTCCCGAGAGGCAGCTGAGTATTACTCTGCTGAATCGAGCTCGAAGATACATCTTGACGGCCTCCTAGTATCGATGATGCTACACTACAACCAGAAGCAGAGCTGGACGCTTCTGTTGCCAACGACGGCCCGCCTCCTGCCAAGCCAGCGCTACATGCTACCGCGGCTGTGCTGTGCGAACGCCGACCCGAACCAAGGCCGAACCTCTGTATTCTAAAATCCATCTCAACGATGCGATGGAAGAGACAACCGTGCTTGTGCAGGTAGCGTTCCAGGTCGAGGTGCCTCCGAGCAGCTGATGAAACTCGTGCAGATAGTTGTTGAGTCCTTCTCCCTATCGGCAGGCTGAAAGAGCCACTGCAGGAGGAAGAGGAAGACGAGGATCCTCCAGAAAATATTGTTGGACAATAGTGGGAAACAGACCTTCTTGAAATTGTACTAGTAGTACTTGTATCTGGTAAAGATATGGGAACTCCTATTTGACGCACGCCGGTCGACGTCGAACTTGAACTTCGTTGCGTGATTGGCAGTTGTGACAACATGCCGAACGTACTATGTTGCTGCGCCTCTCGCCAAGTAGTTTGGTAGCTCCTTGTCTGTCGTCCCGCCACCACCTTCGGAGGTAGTTTCGCGCTAAACCTCCGTTCATTAGTACTGCAGACACTGTCGGCCGACCATCGTATGAGGCTTCGCCGGCAGTACCAATGGCCACGCTGCGGCATTTTCGGCACTCGTTCGCTCCGCTATGACTATGTCCAACCGCAACCGATTGCTTAGCCTTAGAATAGGCTTTGTCGTGGTGCGCTAACAAGAATATCAGAGGCTTGTAGCTCTTAGGCGTTCACAATCGCAGATCCAGATGGAACGCGTTCGGAGCCCACAGACGCGTTGCGACATTTTGTAGTTTCTGTTCTGTAGTTGAAGATAATTCTTGAAAAGAAAGACATTGATACTTCACATTCCACGGCGAAAAAAAACAAACAACTACAGTTGGATTTGGACGGAGCGGAACAAGTTTTGGAATATATTACGTTTACGTGGGCGCATTTTCTTTCGTTCAAGGCAGCACTTTCTTAGGTTTTCTTATTCTTTCCAGTTCAGTTTAGTTGATATTCTTGAAGATCATGACGGACCGTGTTAACTCTTTAGATAGCTTCTTCGCTGCACTTCTCACACAACTCAGTTACAGCTCCCGGTGAGACAGAGTGCTCTTCTTCAAGTATCTTAGTACATCCTTTCCTCCATCCCTATCCTCTTGCCTCTCGCAGCCTAGGTCCCTCTTTTTACGTAAATTTGCCTACATCAGGAGCTTTAGCACTCAAAAAACTCACTCACACGTCTCTCTCGTATGTAGAGTTGCTCTGCGCTACTTCTGAGATAGAGACCAGGGTACTACGGAGTAGAACTTTTCAAGCAATGAAAGCTTACCCGCTGTGCTCTCGCTTTATTACGTTTTTTACCTGACTAAGCAGTTCATAGATTGTTAATCTCACTATCACACTGGCAGAAGCTTCTATCAATCATCGACGCAACCTAAGAGAGTCCGTCTCAGTTCTTTTTGCACTGTGTGGTAAATTTCGCATGTTGATGAAGATCCATGCCCTTCCTTTCCCTGATCATGTTGTTGTTGATGGAGTTCCCTTCTTGTAGTTCTACTTGCCTTAGGATGTTCACCTGCAGATGATGGAGATACAACCGTTTTTTCACAATTCCGAAGAGTTCTAGAAGCTCGAGAAGTTGTACCACTATTCAATGGCGTCGACAAACTAGTTGAAGATGAGGAACAGGGTTTCGCGTTCTGAGGTGAAGACGTTCGTCTATTTGGAGTTCCAACACCACTACTTTCAGTCGCAGTGGCAGGATCTCGTCTAATGAATCTGCTATCCGTATTCCGTCCATCACTACGCGCTTCTTCGCAATTCCTCGAAGTCCTACTTTCAGGTTCAGGAAGAAGTCGACCATTTCTATATGCAACTGCTTGCTGGTAAGCGGCATCCTCAGGACCATGTAGATCTTCCGCTCCTCTGGTGGTCGACTGTACATTCTTCTTCTTGTTGAAGCAACTACCACTCATGCGAGCAGATGAATGCCGCAAATCGAAATCCCGTTCTTCCATCAATAATGGCATTTGCCTCTTCGGCAACGGCTGCGATGACGAAGACGCTGTAGCTGTGACGTAACTTCTAGGACCCGTCAACATCGTACGAGTTGCTTCATGGTGGTTTTCCAAATTCTTACGTCCCATGCCGGATGAAGAGACAAGTGGTTTATATTGTGCAGGCTCAACATCAGTGCACTTGTTGCTTTCCCTCCCTCCAACAAGATGCTCTTGACGGAGGTAATTCGTTATGAGGATGCCTTGTGTTCTTAAGGACGACGAAGTTCCGGAGCACGACGATGCTGCACTATGCGGCTGCGACATCGTGCTTTTTGAGACTCTCTGCTCGGCACCAGTTCCCGTCCTCTTATCTCTATGATCGGCAGCAGCATATTCTTCGAAACGACTGTCGGAAATCAGATGGTACTGAGTTTCTCGCGTCTTTGTATTCAAGTACACAGGGCTTTCTTGCGCATTTTTCCACAGAAGACTCTGGGTCAACGGTAGAAAGACTGTATTCGGTTTTATGCTCATCGTGTTTGTGGCACTGTTAATATCAACCAATGAGAGAGAGAGAAGGAGTTCAATATATGGTTCAGGATCACGTCTTCTACAACTTTGTTGCGACTGCAGAAGTATTCAAACACTGTTGTTATCTACTATCATCTTATTTTCTGCCACGTGTCTGGGCTCTCTGTCTACTTCATCATCCGAAACTTAACCTTTCCTCTACACGATGTGGAGTTCGCTCGCAAAAAAAATAGACAGGTTCTTTTGGTTTTGTACGGCGTATTAGAAATGAGACTAGAGGAGTATCACAAGTCCGAACCATTTCTCATGACACAGTCCCATCCGGATTTTGATCCAAAGCTCTAGGTGCAAGCACCCATACGGATTCCGAAAACAAGAGCAAATTATCACTCCTACATCAGAATGATCTTGAACCTTCTTCGAGATTAACATAGAGCGAAGGAACACACACTCCCCTGCAAATGTGACTCTCATTGAAGTCATTTACTCATCATCCGCTTCTGGCGCAAACGATTTGATGCTTCCTTTTTCCATACTGGCGTAGAAAAATGCGAAATAAAAGGGCGGAATAAATTTTTTCTGGTGCTGTGGCTTAGCTTGAGGAGGTACTTAATTCAGTATCGCGTTGAACAGAAAGTGCTCGTTACAGACTTCTCAGTACCCCATGCCATCGGTCGCTATGAGCATTTTTACGGCTTTTACGATTGGATTGCTTTCCAAGTCGTACGTCGGGTCCTCAATTTTCCGCTTTAGGATGTTTTCGCGCATTTCATACCTCAAGCGCTCTACCAAATGGGATATCAGCGTGTTTTCCTTGGAAGTGTTGTTTGAGGATCCAGCAGGTCCAGCTCCTCCTGCAGCACTTTTAGCGGCCTGTGACGGAGGACGGAGGAAGTCCAACGATCCTGTTGTAGAAAACACCAGCTTCCCGTCGTCCACGAAGATGAGGCCGTCTTCTCGGAAAAATGGCTCTTTCGAGAACGTGCCTAAGAGCAACACCGCGAGTGGCGCCGCCTCGCTCATGGTGTCCAGCGTCAACTGATTGTTCTGGCAGAATAAGTTTGTGTGGCACAGGTAGCAGCTCGTCGGTCCTTCGGCGTGGAACAATGAGTTCGGGTTCGTATGGTACCGCATCGGATTCCGCTGCTCCACGTATTCCCCGGTTCGTGCATCCAGGTTCACGTTCCACAAAAACGGATCGCGCTCTAGCTGGTAGTACTTCGTTAGTAAAGGGTCTGGAGAAAGCTGAATGCTACTGCCATTCGCGAAGCGCTTGTAGGTTGGCGGAGGCTTCATCGCTTTCACGAGGAAGAAAGAGGCGCTCACGGCAGCTCGAAGCAAAAACCACTGTGGCGCCTGACGGATCTCAGCCACTGCACGCGAAGATAATGTGCTTGTCGAGGCGGACGTTCCTCCAGTCCTGGCAACTACAGTACTATCAGTAGTTATCCCATCGGACCCTCCATGTCCAACAAATACTCTTGGTCGCGTGGCGTTCACCGGAAACCCTAAGAATGATAAAGACTGGAGATATTGAGCCCGCAGCTTCTTCGCATCGTGGAGCGCGTCGTAGTTGAGCTTAAGCACGTCTGTGCAATAATCTCTGGTGAGGACGCGTCGTTCATCGAGCAGGATCAGACTTGCTAAGAAACAGTGGTCCGACTTGGTTCCCCCAGGACGTAGATACTTTCTTCGATACGCCGACCGGGCGTCGTACTCGCTTTTTTTGTAAATTCGAAAAAAGGGACTCTTCACGCTCAACATCGCACATAGCGAAGCACCTTCGAGGGCACAGCCGAGGACAGAACTCATCACAAGCAACTTGCCCAATCGAGCGTCGCAAGGGATCTTCACCAAGTGATGGCCCAACGCAGTGACACGAAGAACACGACGACCGTCTCCCTCGTTTGGTCTATTTGACTTAGTAGAAGAAGCGCCGTGTCCGTGTCGACGCGATGCTGAGGAATCTTCATGATCTTCAATGTACTGATACTCGATCGCACCGAGGCCCTCAAGCTCGTTGAGGCCAACAGTAATCGCGTCCTCTACGGGTGGTGAAGGCGCGTACTTCAAACACTGGCGGAACAGGTCTATTATGTCCGACTGCGCTGCCCGCTTGCTATTCTTCGCAATTTTCGGAGGATGTCCTCGCTGCTTTTTCTCCGACTGGTACGAAGTTCCTGCTGCTCCGTCTACACTAATAGTTGTTGTATCTCCAGATGTGCTTAATGTTGAAGTCATGTCTTTCTCTTGCTCCTCACGCAGCGAAGACGGCATTAAGATCTTCTTGCTTCTCTCGTCCTGCAGTCCGACTAGCAATTGCAGAATGATGTTCTCTAGTGGGAGAACGTCCATCTCCGCCTCCGTATGCGCCAGCAGCTTGTTCTCGGCGTAGCTTCTCGAGATCATGCGAATGCAAATTCCCGGCTGTACGCGCCCAGCTCGGCCTTTTCGTTGCTCTATGCTGGCTTTTGAACAGAACTGCTCCTGCAATACGGGCAGCCGCAAAGTGCACATTTCCATACTAGATAGTTGCGATACCGTCTTCGCAGCAGCTGCGGCTTCCTCTCCTTTTGGCAACATAGAGTTATTCGATCCAGCCGCACCCCCAGCCCCATGCAACGCAAATTCCACCTCTGCGGGCAAGGCGTTGGCCTCAAAGTTTAGACGCTCTCGATTTTGAGCCTCGATATCTAAGACGCCGCTCTCGTCGCCGGACACGAATTTGCGCAAACCCAGGCGTTTTTCGCGGCAGCAGTCAATCACACACGTGACGTCGGGAATCGTGATCGAAGTTTCACACACGTTTGTGGAAATCACGATTTTCCCGTCAAACACTTCGAAGCAGCGCTTCTGCTCCGCTGCAGGCAGCGAAGCATGCAGTGGCAGGATGCTGTCCTCGGGAATGAGTCCCGCACGAGTTCCACCATCCTCCGAATCCGCTTTCTCGCGCAAAACGCGGCACATCTGCTTGATTTCGCCGACGCCCGGCATGAAAATCAGGATCGCTTTGGAGTAGCGCCTCCAATGTCTCGCTGCCGCTTTCCCTGCGCCCTTCGCCACGACGTCAAAGTGGTCGAACTTTCCGCGCCTCACCATCAGAACTGCTTGCGCGATCGCATCGTAGTCGATGAAACTATTGGGGGTGGTCAAATCGTAGTTGGGTATCAATTCGCGCGCATAGTGCACAGTCACGGGAAAGGTTCGGCCCTCGATTTCCAATCGCTCCGCGTCTGGAAACATCTGGAAAATCTTCTGGTCCAACGTTGCGCTCATAATAATGAGCTTAAATCGCGGATGCGCATTATCCAATACAGACTTGCGAATGTGATTCGCGACCAACATCAACAAAAAGTCTATATCTAAACTGCGCTCGTGCGCTTCATCTATCACCAAATGCGTGAAGTCGATGTTGTCCTCCAGCAGCTTGCGAATCAAAACACCTACGGTACAGAAAACCAGCTCACAGGTGGAGGGTATAGCCACATCGCCACGAACGCAGTAACCAACGCTCGACGTCGTTGCTTTACTAGCGCTGTTGTAGCCAAAGCCATGCTTCGTCTTATTGTTCTTATGCTTCCAACTACTTGAAGAACAACTTGAAGACGATGAGCCATAGTGATATCCTCCACCCTGATTCCTTGGGTCAGGCTCTCCGCGTTCGCTTGCGACGCGCTGAGCTAGGGAAATGGCTGCGAGCTTTCGCGGCTGAGTACAGACAATATTGCCCTGCAGAAACTGAGGCAACTGAGTGCTCTTACCGCAACCAGTCTGACCTAGGACTAATGTCACACGCTGGTTCGCAACTAGTTCCCGGAACCTCGTTTTGGCATGGAACGCAGGCAAATCCGCGTTTCCACAGTGCTTTCGACTCTGCAAGACTCTCTCATCGTTTATCATGTGGCTATTTTCGTGAGGCCGCCTCTTATCGGAGGTCTGCTCCATCGACGTACTTCCCGCACCTCCAACAACCTCATTATCATGATGTTGCAGCTCACAAGCCTGTGCTTTATTATAGAAGTGCCTACCTGAAGCTATAGCTAAAGGACTTGTAGCTGCGTTTTTCACTTTCATCTGCTGCTTCTTGAACTGACGCCATTTACCACTATTCCAGGCATCCCACTCTTCCTGTGTCCATCCTTCTCCATAGTCTTCCTCTTGATGCTCCTGTATTCGGTTTTTGGAAGTGCCGCAACCTTCCACAGCACTTCCTGTTCCTCGACTGGAGAAATCTGCTACGGTCATGCCAAAGTAGGGTGAACCTTGGAACCAGCTCGAAACTTCGTGCACATAATCCTTCAGATACCGTTCCTTAGTGTGCTTCTCTTTGGTATCGTACAGGTTCTCGAGAAATCGAACAGAAGCAGCACCAGAGGTACTCGCAGCTGTGCTGCGATCATCACCAAATTCTTCACTTTTGCAAATAGAATCGCTGTCAGCCGGATTTGCACCGTCTTCTCCAAGCTCTGACAGTGTGTTGTCGCTAGTCGTAGCAGATAAAGGTAAAGCTGTTGACAACTCAAGTCGTCCAGCGGCAACAAAGCCTTGCTGCTTTTTCGTAACATTCTGCTTGACACTCGTCATATCATCAACACCTCCCTTCTGTAATGGAACTTTTTTCGATGTTGATGATTGCAGAGCAGCGTCTGGCGGTCCTTGTTCACTTCGCGGTGCTGGTAGCACGGAAGAACTTGAACTACTTTTACCTCCCACCTGATGCGCGAAGCCAACGTCGTCTACTTCAGCACTTTCTTCAAATACGCGACGCACCGCTAAGGCCCACTTTTGCTTGAATGCGACGATCAAACTTTTCCCCAGGTTCTCAGTTTCGAAGATGCTGACGCAAGAAGATAAACCCTCCTCGCTGTTGCAGGGATCGAAAAACATGCCGACCATCGCCGCAGCATTCTCAGTCACGGCATCGGCTTCGGCACTTCTCCCTGTATTCATCATCACCTCGCGTCGGACGGCGTCACGAAGCCAAGAGGTCAAGGAATCAAGCTCCCGCGCTCGTCTTCCTTCGTACTCTTGTTCTGTGTCACCGGCCACTGCGTCAGGCCTCGCAGGAGACCACGTGGAAGAGGAACAAGATGAGGAAAAACTCGATGCTTGTTCTGTAAGGATCTTCTTCTCGCCACTTCTAGCACTTGGCAACTCGGCTGCCTGCTCGCTTTTAGTTTTGTCTTCAACAGCCTTGTCCTCGTATCGTTTTTTGCCGGTGTCTATGGCCACAAGAGCAGCATCAGGCACTAGCTCTACGTCCTCCTGGGGTGCAGCTGTCTCAAGGCCTTTCCAAAGACCTAGACCCCCGAATCTTCCTCCTTCCGCAACAAGCGGAGCCACTATGTCGTCCACTTTACTGCGAAGGTCGCTGTAATACGACGATGTCGATGTTGATTCTGATGATGGTTGTGTGGCACTTCCACTTGGATTTTTTCGTGACTGAGGTTGAAAGATTTGCTTGGCAAAGGTCTGAAACTGACCCCGCACGCGGAATTCGTCGGGTAAAAACTCCTCTGGAACATGGAGTGACAGCCAGGAGCGAACCGCATTCTCCTTTTCTTTGTACGTAGTGGCACTGTTTACAGTACCATGTTGTCCGGGCTGATTTTTCTTGCGGTTCCCGGTACTACTCATATCTGTACCTGTGGTTTCTAAAGCGATGAGAGCACACATTACATCGGCAGGGCGAAAACCTACTTTTCGCACGAATTGTCGTAGAATACGCTCACCGCTGACCCCACCCTCGAGGAGTTGAACGATGGCGCCCTCCAACGCTCGCTGTTTCATGGACGAACTGGATACGTCAAGACTAGCAGCTCGATTTTTCGTGCTAGGAAAGCTCCCAAGACTACCTTGTTCACCGTCTTGTTCACGCAACATGTTTGTAGAGTCTGTTGTAGTCTCGGAACAATCTTCTTCAGCGGCCTTCACATCACTCTCCAGATCTTGCAAGTAGCGTACTAAGAGTTTATCCGTGACTTCGCTTAGCTGGCGATCGACTTGCAGGGCTCGGAGACACAGCATTCGCATACTTTTTGCGAAGTACAAAGGCTGGACAGCTTGCTCCGCCCAAAATTCGCGTCCTGTCTCCTGCGCCCGCGTGACTTTGTTCAACACCACCACCTCAGGGGCCGCTTTGGTGGCTTTCCCCTTGCTAGTTAGGCCTAGGCTATGGTCACTAGAAACCGCACGAAGACTCCCTGGCCCAGCAGCGGCATTTGAGCTACTGCTGGCTCCAGTACCACTTTCTGCCGCTTTCATCTTCTTGCCAGAAACTGCATTTCCTCCGAATCTGATGTTTCCACGAGGAGAGGTGCCTAGTTTATCTTCGCGACCTTCCTCCTCCTCCTCGTCCATGTTCAAGTGCACGGCTTCCGCAGCCAGCCATCGTTCTGCTTGAAGGCAGCCTTTTTCACCTTTTGCCATGTTCACCCAAAACCCCTTCCAAGGATCGGGTAGAACCCTTGTGACCTCCATGAAATCTGCGGTTTCATGTAAGGCGGCGCTCGTCTTCGGAACAAACCGTCCACTGCGCCGGGACGCAAGCTCGTGCTTCTCTTTAGGTATTAGAAGACAACGAAGAGTACGATGTTCAAAATCAAATAAAACAACAAGATCAACTCCTTGTTACAATCATTATGAAGATATCCTGGACGGAATCGGAACGAACGGGGAGGGGACGCTAAAAGTGTGTGATAGCGTAACTTGAAGCCAAAAAGCAAAATGAAGGGGAGATCAAGAGCCCCAAGTCATAGATACATAAAAATACGATAACTCCACCTCTACCTACTATTGATTTGTTTCATACATACACCAATGACGATCTACATGTACAAGAATGAGAGCTACGTATCTCTTCTGTCATAAGTCAGCATCTGTGGTAAGGGCCAGCTCGGGCGACGTAAAAATGCAGAAAAACGCTACCAGTGCCGCCTCTTCCTTCGCCACAACAGCTTTTTTTGCTAAAAGTTTGCTTTCGAAAGGCGAAAAAACTAAGTCATTTCCCGCATCTCCACCAGGATCCCGCAAAATTACCCGGAATCTCAAGACATTGTCCTGAAACGACTTTGCTTGTAGAAAGACGGGCGCCGCACGCCGTTTCTTGGCACACCATTCGGCCAGAAGGAGTGAAGGCAACTTCTGCCAGCTTTTGACGACGATTTCGCCGCTCTGCTTATCAACACGCGGCGGTGCCTCCGAGTACCACACCTCTCGTTGCCCCGAACGCTTCCCAAAATTTCGCACCTTCATCTTTATTATTGTTCATTTGGATAGAGTTAAGGACAGACAAGGGTTAGGGTAACACACACATGCTGATCAAGAAATATATGCTCCATCGGGTGAGAGGTGCGTATAGGGCAGATAGAAGGTTAAAATCTCTCAAGCACTATAACGCATAAGCTTCATGTGCATTCATTACAGGGCAATCCCTTCTATACCTGTCGACGACAAAAAACTACTAATGGCGTTATCTTCAACAGATTCTGGTGTTTGGTACACCCCGACTACAGAGGTAATCAGCATCGACCGACTATTTTTATTTTTGAGAATCTTCAATGAATTGTCCTTTTTCTTTTTGTTTTTCCTTACTTATCTAGCCGATTACGATTCTCCATATCATTTTGGCTTTCCCTTCGAAGTCAAGCATGCAGGGTGGAAATTCGCCCAGATCGTGGCACATCGTGCTGTTCAGGATCTCATTTTTTCCAGCTCTCGGACTCTGGACTAGTCCATCCTGTCATGAGATTACTTTTGCGGATCATCTCGGATCGGTGTGACGGATACTGACGGAGCTAGAAAGGGGATCCATGGATTCAACTACTTCAAGGACCAAAAAAAAATCTTAAGTAACATTGTCTTAAGTCATGACTGTCTCTCACCCTCTCTCGTCGGGACTAGGGCATCCGCTGTTTCACTCCCTTTATTTCCCTATGCCTGCTGTGTCGCATTTCTGCTAGCCGTATGGTATCCTTCGGATAGCCTGTCACATAATCAAGTCTCAAACTGCCTCAGTCCCTCAAATACTCCTGGTAAGACCAAACCCTTCTGTACGCTTTTGAGTCGATGAGTCTCAATACTGTCTGATACTTGAAGAGTATCCGAGCTAGTATGTAACAGTGGTTACTCTTACTACTTCGGACGTGGTCGTAGATGTAACAAATGATTTGGCGTCTTTATCTCTTTGAAGAACTTGTTTGAATGGTTCTGGTATTTGGTAACCTGAATTTGATCCTAAGGGAAAACAAGAAGAGAACCCTTAGGATCAAACTCAGGTTACCAAATACCAGAACCATACATTGTTCCATATTCCTGGTAGATCTAAAAACAGTCACTATGCAGAATTACCTGGTGGTCGTAGTCGTTTCAACCTCTAATAAGCAGAGCAAAATACAAAAGAATAAGAATCATTCAATCAATCAACCATTCAAAAAAATCAAATTGAAGTTAAGTACCTTACGGCAAAAGGATCAAAGTTACCTTCTGCTTTGACTCCAAAAATACCGATACGAAACTCTCATCAAGCTTGCCTCCCCAACAAAATCTTGTTTTCGATCTTCATGATCTTCATGCTCTTGCAATCATGATGAAAGAAAATAGAAACGTAACCAACATAATTTCGGAAAGAATATGAGCTCACCTACCTAACATACATGCCTACAAATACCACAACTCGAGTAGGTCATTTCGCGTCTAATGCTCTATTTCACCTTCACCCGCATTTCATTAATTTCATCCAGCAAAAACTACAACAATGATTCAGTCGGGACGGAAAATCTTTAGGTACAAATGTGTCAACATACAAACTGGCGTACTGCACCTCGAGTACCTCGTCTCTGCGCCTCGCGTTCCTCATGCGAAACCGCACAACTTGAAAATCAACTAGCTACGTACTCTGCCTGATTGGACATAATTTTCGGGATTTTCATACGCGACACCAAAAGTGTGGCTGTGGCAGGTTTTCGTTGTACCCGATAAGATCTGATCGATCTAAGCGCAATGTAGTAGATCCGACCTAGTTTTTTACACTATTGTCTAGCTACGATTCGTCTACTTTTGATATAAATTTCCTCTCACCCGCTTCTCTCAAGCGTATTACTAGACAACAGCATCTTTTCCTCTCCAAGTTACCTTCATGACGCTCAAACACTAACTTCGTAAGGGCTGCAGACTGCGAGCGCAGTCGCTGGTTGGTCGAAATCCCTTCTCGTGGCTCCATCTGCTCCCCCGATCGTGGTCCTTCGGGTTTTAGGGCCCATGCGCATGCTAGTAAACGGGCAGTAACGCCAAACACATATCTCTTCGCATGTACTGCTCTAATCTCCTTTTCTTCATACATTCTGTTCTTCCTCGTTGTATGTTCCTACGGGGCCAAGTGCGACCCGAAAGAAAGTAGTTTCCTCAACATGAGATGTTGTTCTTACGTGGTCGGAGTCATGATCAACAGGAAGATTATCGATTTCGCAAACAAGAATGTGGGAATTATTCAAATTGCGACACATCAGCTGTTGTGATGAAGCAACAATATGGACGATTCCTTCTATTGAGTCTATGCTGGGCGAATGCTAGTATGATTGAAAGTGTGGTAAGATACAACTACTTTCAACTTCAACCATGCTCAGTGTGCTAATAATCATGAATGAATGAGCATGAACTGTAATGATAATACTCTATGAAGATTATGAAATCTGTAGCTGATGCTGCAATTTCTATCCTATGATAATTATGAGGATCGCCTTGAACATACAAGAAATAGAAAGTCGTGTCACTCTATAATCCCTCTGTGTTGAGCATGACAATGACTACTCTATTCTCAAAAATGCAATGAAAACTGACACCAAGGAGCAGAAGAATACGTTCAAAACATCAAAATGAAAATGAACTCCCAACATCAATGACCAACGTCAAACCTTGCTTTCGCATGCATCTTTTCTTGTCGTAAATGGATGTTCACGTAGGAATATAGAACTACCTACTTATGGATAGGAAGTCAGACATCGATTCTACCACCTACATGTTTCATCATCAGTGCACCTCAGATAGTTTTTCTAGATATTTCAAGACTACTAGTAATCAGCCCACTTCACACTACCATATCTTCGGGGACCTCTTCGATGCGCGGACCCGGAGTCTCCACAGTTTTCACAGGGTCAACCGTCTCCACCGACACGGTGGTTGCCATGCCTGCCATCATGCACGCATTCTCGCCAGCAGCCAGACGGATGAAGCCCTCCTCACCCCAGTCGGTGTTCGACATTAGAGGAGGAATGATGATGATATACCTAGTTGTCTATTGAGATTGACCGGATTAGCAACGTGAGAAAACACATCTTAACACAGCTCACGACGCAGAACTTCTTCTACTTCCTGGGTTCTTCTATCTGCGTTGTGTATGTTAATGTTTTTCAGAAGAAATTCAGACCCTTCAATTGTACACGCACACCATAACCACGAGTTGCGCACGACCCAGTAGGGTTCCTCGGCATCACCATAGTAAGCGACGGCCTGCACGGCGTGGTCCAGTTGCTCAGCGGCGCAGGACGTAGCGCTCATCACACCACCCTGAGAAAAGAGAGGTATAGAATCGTACGACAATGCTGGCATCTACAACATGTAAAGTTAGAACGTCGGAAAACAGAGAGGAAAAGCAAAACAAAAGAGGTGTCTTGGTTGCAGGCCTTGAGAAAGATGAAAACGAATAAAACAAGATCTAGAAATGAATCCTCCTAACGAGAATTGCGGCACACTGGCACGCCTTTGACAAGAACAATTCGGATATACTAGGAAAGTCTACTAGGATCAAACGACAACATACAACTGCATCAACAAAGCCTCACAACACCGTCCGACTGACCTTAGAAACCCTTTAGACAGTGGTAGAAAGTTACGTGAGACAGGAAATGAGAGGTGCGTAAACAGGTGAAAAGCTAAAAGTAAAAGTATGTTGCTTTTTACCGAATAGAGTTGCCATTGCTGCGCATCAACACCAAGAGAAAGCGGGCCACTTTGCAGCACGTACTTGATCATTTTCTTCTCGCCGGTATGAAACGGGTCCTTTTCGTCTTCACTGATGGACTTGAAACTGGTCACCTGGCGGGTGAAATATCAAAAAACACGTAAACAACAGGTTGAAGCACCACCACCATAATTAATCTGTGCCAATCTCTATTCCAAATTCAGTAGGTACTAAGTGATTTGTGTACTGGCATACGCATCCAATGTAATACCAACATAATATTACCCTTACACATTCATAATTGTTCCCAGAGTCGGACGAAATCATAACTGTGAATATCCGAGGATAGTACTTTGATCTTTCCTTCGCTGAAGTCGGCCTTGCATTTTCCGGTTTCCCGAGTGATTCCGGACATGTAGGGGTAGTCTACCTCGGCCTCAAGGGGCTTGTCCTCCAACCAGTCAAACGCGTTGGTTGGCAATCCACCATTGCATCCCATATCGCCATTTTTTAGCAACCAAGAGGGTGGATCTGCGAGAGGGTTTACTTATGTGGTTTTAGGCCGCTTCGCTGGGTTATTATTTACAAGAGAAAGATGGTACAAAAATTTTCTGAAGACTCTCATCTACAGCTCTGGTATTCGTGGTTGTCTTTCTCTTGTTACAACGAGTAGTTTTTTAGACCCGTAAATTGTGGTCGCATGAAACAAGCTCCTGCGGTGCGCCAACGAAGTCGGTCGTGATACCCTCCACGCGAGCCATCGATTCCACCTGCTCTACCGTAGATATTAGAATGCGAAGATTACCAGTAGGAACGCTCGAATTCAACTTGTTCTACGTGGTTGATGACGATGATGATCATGATGTTAGTTGATGATTCGGATTGGACTTATCATGTGTTCCACAAGGATCATATCATAGATACAGCTAGTACGAGTAGCAGTAGTACGACTTTCTTCATAAGGAGAACGCCCAGCAGCTGCCGCATTGTCCTTGGTCTTTGACATCCGTGATGACATCAGCATCGCGCCAGTCCTTCGTCTCAGTGGGAAGAAGGCTTTCTTTCGGCAAGAAGCGGTCACTGCTGATGGCCAGGCGCACGTCTTCTGCAGGGTGTTGTGAAGGAGAGATGTAGGTGCAGATGTCTGTTGTAAGTCACAACATGTAAAAAATTATATCAGGTAGAAGTGGAACTAGAAGATGTGTGAACATGGGATTTCTACATACAACAGGTAGTCGCTTCTGGTGGTCCTTTTCTGTATTGTCCTCTCAGGATCAAGCCTAAAAAACAAACAAGGACTCTTTCTACAGACGTTTTCAAGTACAAGTTACCTTTTTCCATGTTGTCCATCAAAGCCTTCTTCTCAGTACGCTTCATGTTACGCATGCCCAGGTAGAAGTGTGCAAACTCTTCGGGTTTCAAGTCCATGAACTTCGTCACACCGAATCGAGCCAGCTTCGTCTCGAATTCATCCGGGACTGTGTGGGTGATTGACGACGACAGGTTCTTGGAAGTAGATATTTATATTAAATAGGTGGATTTAGAAGTATAATAAGTAGCTAGAACAATCTCAATCGACTTCGACAGTATCAGTCTCTATTCACATTCTCGTACTAGTTGATTTGGTGAGGACGAACCCGTTTAACGATCGACCAGGAGAAGCGGTACTTGCGACTCTTCTAAAACATTCATTCATTCATTCATTTACCTAGCATGAGGTATGAGTTCAAGACTTAATTAGGATTATTTACGCAAGATACCTGATCCGTCACGGTTGATGCGATTCTTTCCGAGCAGCTCCATCTTTGAGTCAGTGTTTTGGGCAATCGCACGCAACACGTTGTCCTCGAAGACTTTCTTGCGGTTTTGGTATTCTTCTTCGAGGCCAGGAGCAGGAACAAAACCAAACTGGTGCTTCTCCGAATGCTTCCCGTCATTGTCGGCCGAAGAGTGAGCTGTGAGATTCTCAGAAGTTGGTGGGAGTGAAGAGTCAGTATCTATGTTGTTCAAGAACTTTTCGAATACATCGGAAAAATGGCGACCTCTCATCACACTTTCAGCAATATCCCAAGATGAGTTAGAGTTTATTTCGAGACCTTTGGTAATGCACAAAGATATTCAGCAGTCATTTGCTGATGATGTTAGTCGAACCGGATTGGACCTACGACTATCCAAAAGAACGAGATATCCATACCTTCGACAGCGCTAACGTAGGGCTTTCCGTGGGACGCTGCGAAATTATGAAAAGCGTCTGTCATTGCAACAGGGTCCAACATGTAATGTTGCAGCTGAGCTTGTGTCTCGGAAAAGGTAGTCGGACGGTCTGCAGAAGCCCCGGAGGACAAAGCTGCCGCAGCTACAGCCGGACCAGACACCCACTTTTGGAAAAAGGACCGTTGGTTTAGAGGCAGAGGACGCGGTGGAGTTGTATTGTGAAAGATTCGGTCCAATCTTCAGTTGTGTACCACTATTATGGTCGAATTCTGGACATAGTATCTGTGGTAGCAGTCGTTTATCGGTCATTTTTTCTGGTTGTCGATGGTGTTGATGATCTGCATATGACCACCGTTCAGCGGTCCTATTAAATCCTACTACACCAGTCTTCGATCCGGTAATGTGCTCATTGAGTCAAAAGTGAATCCTTAACTTCTGAATATGCGGCTTCACGCGTTTTACGGCAGCGACTCCAGGTCCAGTGGCACCTGCCACGAGTAGCAATATGCAACGAGAGGAGGTTCCGACCATTTTTTTGATCTTGTGAAGTTCTTATTTTCTAGTGCTTACGTATACCTACTCTACGAGTCGTAGTTGATTCTATGCAATTCTTGGTAGCAGTTGCAATTATTTAGTCAGACTTACAAACGTCTCCCTAGGAGTAGGAGAACAACGACGTAGACAAAGCTTTCTTTCTTTTTTATTATCCCTATGCTGACATCATGAGTAGAGGTGGATTGAGAGTGTGGTAGAACGTGTAGGTGCAAGCTGCTCAATGTAGTATCTATTGGTAGGGGAACTACAGGTACATTACTCAATGACTTGCCTACAAATTATACCTATTGGGACCGAAATGACTTCACGGCTCGAACTCTCTTCTCTCCGTCGCTCGGTCATTTCATCAAGGATACAGGAACGTCAGCTCTCATCGCGCAGACGGATAACATTAGTGACCGATCATTGCCGGCTGATAGGCTCTCCCCAGTTGAATGATCTGATCTCTTTTCTTACCCCACGTCAGAACCCTTCCACGTTGTGTGCCAGAGGGATCAGTTCAGGCTATGCACCAGATCCACCTTGGTATGAGCGCGCCTCGCCGCACACGTCCCCAGCGGAGAAATCTCTCCTCGATACTCGACAAGGACCAGCAGATGGGTCCCCATGCTCATCCGTTAGCGGTCCAGCAAGCAGCTTTATTACAAGAGAAGGAAGGATAAAGTCTGACACTTAATTACCCCTGTTCTATTATAGTAGAAGAATGGGAGCAGCTCGTATTCGTGCGAGGATCCAGTTGAGCGACTACGTTCAGTTAACGGGAGCCGCAAGTTACTTCATGATAGATCATCATCATCATCCATAATTGCATTTCATTCAGAACAGTTGAACTGGAAGATTCTGCGAGAACTTATTGTGTGCACTTCGTTTAGATCCTGACACCACTAGCCTCTCTATTTGGACGACCTCCTCAAACTCTCCAATAAAAGAAGCGACCCGATTTGCCTTCAGAGATCCCTTAAAAGAGCAAAAACCGTGGAAGGAGATAGAGTGAAAGATAAGGAAAAGCTAGTAAAAGAGATATTGTACTTAGAGAGAGCCGACCGGGTAAGTGAGAAACCAAAGAAACAAAATTACAAACTAGGATCCTTAAGCGCTGTCAAGAGAAAAACAAACATAGAAAGACAGAGATTCAATAACAAACAAGGGTCGTGTTCCCGACCGAAATCATGTTCACTTGAATCCTTCGATTGATTATCCTACTCAACTGAGCTGAACTTCCTCAATGTGCGTCATAAAAATTGTGCTTTCCAATGATCTCAATGGCGCCATAGCAAGACGGGCTACCACGTACTCGCAGCTGCAACATCCAGAGCGAAGTGCTCTCCTCGGAGGCTGTCTCAGGTGGCCGTAAAATCCCCGTTGCTCCTGAAAGCAAGCTCGCGACCAGAATAATCCGTGAAAGGATCCCCATGGAGGACCGCGAACACGAGCCGGCGCCGTACTCTTCATCCGCATTACACGCGTGCTCCTCCCACTGTTTCATTGCTCATCCGGGATCTCGTTCCGCAAGGCTTACATTGGTAATAGATAAAATTGACGTGTGTAGCGGTACTAGCTGAGAGGAAAGTGAAGGATTTTCTGTGGTCAATAACTGGCAATTCTAATTTTTTGTAAGTAACATCAGATAGATACGCTTTGCCAGGCAAAGAACTGAAGTACACATAGAAGATTGCGGAAGTTATCATGTCGTTGACTGAAGATCCCACTTTTTCTTTTAATGGTATATATTTTCTAAGATTAAAAATAGCGATAGTGACCCTCTAGCACTCTGCCACGAGGACCTAGTCGGCGGGATGCAAACTCATCTATGATAGATCGTTTTTCTCTAAATGTACCCCTTTATACTAGATGTTCTTGATCATTACGAGCTATTCGGACGCGGATAGATGGAGTCATTATCACTCTCTTGTTATGATTCTGGTAGCTCATGCATGACAAGCAGCTATGGCGATACGCATCTTTTTTTTCATTTGATGCAAAAAAATCGAAAACTGATTTTCCTTATTCGCACAACTAGGTTTCTGGATATATATGGGTTGTTACACTGGAGGTCAGTCCGTCTAGAAACTCTAGAAAACACTGAAAGTCAATTTGTCTAGAGTCCATACGGTGTCTAGAAGTTATAGATACACTCCTACTTCGCCGTCTCTGTCACAGCGATTCAAAAAATATAAATGTACAAGGAGAGCAAGGTGTTGCTGGATCAGCGTGCGACTTCGTATACGTGATCCTACAGGATAGGATGGGAACAATTGGCCAACCGTCGGCAGGGTACTTAAACCCGTATCCTTTTACTTCAGTGACTATACGCCGGAATGATCACAGAGAGACATCAACTAAAACTGCCTGCCATACGACAAACAAGACCAAGGACACATGCAATCCAGCTCAATCGACGAGTAGCTCTAGCCCTGCTTTACTGAAGATCCGTACAAGAAGCACATACAGAATCATGAACAAACGTTGACCCACCGCTAATCATCAGCGCGCCTGTGGCACTACTTTCAAATGTCAAATTTTCCGGTCAAACAATTGCTACCCTTCTTGCAACCAAACAGTGTACGAGTCAACAACTCGTCTACTTATTTCTTGTTTGTTCATTCGGAATAATCTAATACGACTACAACTTCGTACCTGCATTTTCATTCTCAAAACAATCAACAACAAATAGTCAAAAAGCAACAACATTCTTTGAATTATAATCTCAAATTCAACGTCGAAGAACTGATTATGGGGTGGGTGAACAATAACATTCATCTCGAGCTCTTTGATGTCAAGACGACGACAGCACATGAGAGTTAGAATGGGAGTTTGTACCTTTAGTAGATGCGACTGAAAGTGAAAGCTATTCCCAAAATTAAAATTTGCGATAGACGTTCAACTATTTAGTCTCGTCCGTGCCTGCATGACAATATTTCGTGTGTGTAAAAGGATAACGATTTAAATCGTGTTCGTGATCAACTGTTTTGATAGTTTTATTTGTGTTTGAGAATGTGTGAAGATAACGGCAGTGGCTATGATTTGAACAGGACGTAGATGACAGTACATAAACTGAGTCGCCGAGTCAGCGAAAAAAATTACAGCAAATAAACCTCCTATGTAAATACATCTTCGATAAACTACAGTAATATTTGGTAATCCGAGGGGAAGGCCTCGTCCGATTAGAAAAGTAGGACAAATAAATATGATCATTTGCATTTTCGTACGCTATTGCGTCATTCTTACCGTCAAAGCTTCGCTCTTCTGTAGTATCACTGTACTCGCTTTCCCATGTAGGGCGTTTGGTATTACTTACGCAATTCCTATGACAAAAACTGAACGACTGGTGAAAAAGAGGTCGCCTAGGTCTTACAATTTGCGTTTAATCCTAAGAATAAAGGAATCCCACTTCATCCAGGTCCATCTCCATGAATATTACATTCATCATAATTACACCTGGACCTATCTAAAAAGAAAAAAAACATAAACACGAAGGTGAGTTTATAATACAACTCTTCGACGACAATTTCAATTTCATTTATAAATGAACGCAGTAAGATTGTCCTTCAACATCTACCTCCCTTACACAAAAACCAGCACTAATGCTTTTAGCAAGCCAGCTCGAGTACTCTGGCGAGTACAAGCGCGTGAATGCGGGTTCCCTGTTGCAGCCCGGACGCCAAAAGTTTTCGGACGGTTTCCTTCCCAATCGCCTGAACCCGCTTTTTCGTGCCATGATTAGAAGAGGTCGTCGTTGTAGTAGATTGATATATATAAGTATTATGATGTGGACTGAACAAGCAGTTGTGTCTTCTCCTGCTCGTTGTTTTATGATGTGAACTCAACAAGGAGTGATGTCGTTTCCTGCTCGTCGTATAAAGAAGTCACCTAGCAGACAACACAGGCTCCTCCGAAATGGTCATAGCGAGTCATCATCAGTAATACGATTTTAGTTCCATAGCAAGGACAAATGCCAGAATCCGCGCTGCAATAACCTCGAGCTCTGCAAGTGGTAGAGCGAAATGGCTTGTTGCAGTGTCCGCGTAATCTTAGAGCGAGGTAGATTCTTTGACCAAGTAGAGGATTCGCGCTCTTCTTGAGCGTGGGCGCAGATAACTGTTTGTCCACAACAGCTCCTGCTAGCCCTAACCTGGTTATTAAAAGTCATATCTTACGTATACAAGGAGCTAGCCCTTACTCCCATCTTAGAAGTTGCCACTGCCTTGGTTCGCATGTGTATGATATGACAATGCGAATCTATTTGGCAATCGACCTAACATTCCCCTGGCGACTTCTACCCGCTAATCTAGCTTGTTGTTGATGTGTATGATATACTTAAAAAGCACTTTACGTCGCCAATCCGTAAGTAAAATAATTGTCTGTCGAGTCCGCGTTATTAAGGAAGCTGCTTAAGCCAGCGTAGATTTCGTCCAGACGTGTGTTTTTGACCTCCGTCAGCTCTCCACTTGTTGTTGCTGGATCTGTTCTGGTATCACACGGGCTATTTTGGATTAGAGATGTAATGACGAAAAATTCGCTCAGAGGTAGAGAGCAGAAAGAATTTCAATTATTGTAGTTGCAAATCATTACGATATGAAGATTCTATTTTCATTATACCATCGGCTAGTACGTTGTTCATTCTACATCTACTTCTAGCTGACTATTTATACTGAAAACTCCGAAAAGAGCTCGCCATAGTCTCGTGGATGTGTCTTCGCCGGACAGCCCTTCACCCCCAGAGGCTACCATGCAGAAGGAAGACGCACAGCTGGACGGCCCTGATCGCTCCAATTTTGGGTGGCGTCCTTAGGAGATCAAGATGAAACATATTTATAAGTATAAGGATCGATAAAATTATGAACCAACATGAACATCGTCAAAATCGATAGCGATATTACAACTGCCAGAGCCAATTATGCAACGTTGACAGCATCACTAAGGAGCAACTACCGCAAACAACGAACTGCCCATGTCGCGTGCTGTCCCTCGTAATAGATGAAATTGCCCGTGCCCGAAAACATGCTTGGTAAAAACATGGGAGAAAGGGCGATCCCAAAAATATATTTAATATAAATACGATATTCACAAAAACATAAGGACTCTTCAATCCCGCTTGAGGGCTGGACAACTGCTTTTGCAAAAGCCTGGTTAGAGCCGTCAAGAGAGTATCGAGTACTTTTGCTTCAACATCGTCGCTTGGAACAAGCGCATCCTCTATGCCGCATCGTTCGGCGAGAAACCACAACGTTGTAAGCACATTCACTGCGGCAGCGGCGTCCGTCTTCAAAAAGGTAACAGATTCCGACCAACAGTCTGACCACGTTGATTTGACTTCTGTAGTTGGAGGAGCCGCTCCATCTGCAATTCTGCCCAACAGGGAGGCGATATCGTACTCCTTAGATATGCGAGGGACACAGGGGTACAGGGAATTCTTTTTCCATTTACAGGCGTCGGGGGTATCTATTTGCTTCATCGTGGTCTTGTTGACATTGATCATTTATCATGTCCGTATTCACGCATCAGCTTTTTTCAGGTACACATTTAGTTCCTCCCAAGATGCAATATCGAAGAACTAACAAGAACTGCAACTCCTTCTCCTAGTACATGTACTTGCGACGAAATATTGGAAACGGAAAGTTTTTGCCTCCCTCTGAACAGGAGATTCTTCTCATCTTCTCATCTGACTCTGAACTACAACTACTTCAGATCCCTTTCATCATAACCTTCATCTTAGGAGGTCCAGCCTCGTAGTTTCGCATTGGACAGAACTCCCGCTGCATCACCTTGACATCCAGTTGGTCTGCTAGCCTTGCTGCAGTTGCCTTTGCGGCTGCTTCCATTAGATGATTATCGAAAGACCTTCACTAATCTTAAACTAGTGCAGCCTGGAACCTGGTAGTTATAGTACCTCCCGGTAGTAGTACGTAGTAGAGGGAGTAGTAGTCGTAGTGATGTACCCATTCATGAGGTACTTATGACCTTTAAAAGGTGACCTTTCCTTTCTTTAAATAAAATGGTCCCAGACTGTGGATGCTCTTCACGATGAATCTGTGAAAGCAAGCCTTAATGCTGCCTCTTTTTCTTTTTTCGAGCCCGCTTTGGTAGGAGATGCCGATTGCACTTTTTTAGTGATCAGGGGGGGAAGTTGTTGCGGTGAAAAAACTCGAGTACTTGCCTTCGTCTGGCGTGAAAGAAACCAGTGTAAAAGTGCGTGGGTCGCAGGGAATTGACAAGTTATCGACACAGGGGTTGCGAGATCTCCTTGATCCGCCGAACAGGGCCCCGCTTCTCCTTCGGGGACCTTCTTTGTCGTGAGCGGTAAGGACAGGGAAGGTTCCTCTTTTGCTATCGTGTTGTTGCTTCCTTTGCTGATGTGGCTCTTATTCGAGACGACTTCAGCTCCAACACTACTAGGGAGCTTGTTCTCACTCGAAAGATCAGGAGGTGCGATGAAATCGAGAGCAGGAGGAACGTCGTTGAGGCCAACTTTCGCATACTCTGCCACGTTCTCGCCAGGACTGTAGCTAACGCCCTCAGGGGACTGTAGAAGTGGAGGGGGGAATCATTAGAGCAGATGCCAATCATACCAATAGAAGTGTTGAGATTAGCCACAACTTTTTCGCACTCTACTTCAAATGATCCATCTATCAATCTGTTGGACTACGACTTCCCTGACTCGTAGTTTCTAGGTTCTTCTACTTCTATACAATACAATAACTTTCGCACAAAGTGCAGAATGTATTTGGAACATCTCAATTCTATTTCTATGATGTTGAAGTCAGAAACTTAATTGATCGACTCTGGCGGCGGAGCTTCCGGAAGCTGCGGTCTTGGGGGTGGAGCTACATGCCATGTAGTTTTGTTCGGGGAGCTTGGCATTCTCGGAGGTGGCCTTCGTGGTGGCGGACTAGTACTTCTATCTGCGCCGAAATCCCCTCGAGGCGGGGGAGGATATGCTGGAAGCAGAAATTAGAATGACCAACACTAATATATTGGCCACGCTTCTAGGTATCTCGTTGATGGTGTGAATCTATTCGGCAACCTGCCTAAGATTTCC